GGATTGCCACCACAGTTAATTTCAACAGGTTTTTCTACCCATTCGAAATAGAATTTGAAACCTTTATAGAAAATATTCGGTGGAGACGAAGCTTTGTATTGAATATCTACACGTGATGCACAAATAGGCATCATGGCTAATTTTCTTTTGCCGCAATAAACGTAAGAAACATGTGGAGTATTGACGATCAAATAATCGTCCACGCAGGTATCACGAATGGCTGGATGTTGTTCAATGCGTTTGACTACATTTTCATTTTCATAAGTTTTATAGAGAACTAAATTCGGTTCATTTGATTCATCTGCAAAAGAATAGAATAAAATACAGAACTATCAAAGAGAATGCTTACCATCAATATTACGTTGTCCACCAGTTGCAGTAGCCATTTCATTGATCCAAATTTTGAGAACTCGATCTGGCACACCGAGAATTGATCGTTTACAAATGCCATTGGATTGTTTATATGTTGGAAAGCCAGGACTCGTTATGATACCATTAAAGTCTGCGATATCACCGTTTGTATCACAAATATCATATGTGCGAATGGTTGCTGTTGCGCTAGCTGATTTGCTAGGAACGCATTGACTAGTGATATGTAGATAGTCGGCATATTTATCTAAACATTGAGCGAGTCGACGTTGTGTCGAATAAGATATGTAACAATTTGCTGCATCGGTTTTGCATTGTGTAAGTGCTGATAATGTTTCGTGCACACAGTCACCTTGAACGAATCCACATTTGTTTGATGATTGACTTTTAACACCATAAAAAGCATCAATGAACATGAATGTATAACCTGTTGGACATGTGTGAGTTAATGATTTTGTATAGCAAATATCGTGTTCGATTTCATCGCGCGCGGTCATTGTTGTTTCATTTGTTAGCGGCTTTTCTGTTGGAGTAGTAAATGGCGTTGTCGGTGAAGGACGTGGAGTAGTTATGGTTGATCCCGGTTTGCCACATGACCAGTCTGATGGACGCGCTTGACTTTCAATGTATAATTCAACACCTTCAGAAAATAGCATACTACCGTCAATAACAGAATAGCGCATGTCGATTTCGTTTGAACATGTCGAATAGAGTAGAGTCGTTTGATCTTCTTCGCAAAATGATGGACCGTCAGTCTCACCATCCTCTACAAATGAGATTTTATTCGATTTACAATCTTTTGACCAATCGTTTAGATTGATATCGATTGAATAGAAATGCATAATATCACCGGGTTTTGTTGAAAATCGGTAGACACAATTCATCGTCAGAAAGGCTGGATAGTTGTAACTTTGAAAACGACCACGACGGTCGATTTTAATTGGAACTTTTGACCCATCTGTTGGACATGGTGTATTAGTTGATACAACTGGAGCGGTTCTCGGAATACATTGATATTCGACGTATTGATAAGTGGCATATTTGTTGTTGCACGAGGAAAGTTGCCGATTACCTGTGTACGTGTATGTACAACTTTGATAACACCAGAAGGTGGGCTCTGTGGCTACGACACAATGTCTAGCAGCATCATGAGCTTCACATTGATCAGATGAAGTAACACCGAAGATGTTTGCTCTCACAGTGACGAGATAGTTGGTCGGACATTCAAGTTTATGTGATTCACCTGAAACACAAAAAAGTTTTGAACCGTTTTCTTAAGATGTGCAAGTTGAAGCCAAATTTACCTTTGCAAAGTTGAAAACTTCGGACAGGCGAAGAAATACCAAGTATGACATAAATAGGTACAGTTGTTGTTACATCTGGCGAGACAGTTGTTGAAAGTGTTGTTGTTGGTACAACTGGTGTAATTGTTGCAGTGGAATTCGGACAACGATCATTTGGCACTCGATCGACTATTTCAAAGTACATTCTTAAACCACGATAAAACGTCGATGTCGTCAGCGTATAGTATTGAATGAGAACTGTTGATGAACATAAGTATGGATATGCATATCGTTTGGTACCACAATGTTTATACGTTTGTACACTGTCGACTACATAAACATAGTCCTTGATACAGCTAGTTCCCATAGGAATATATAAGTCACTTAACCATAAACGAATGGTCTTATCCTCAGGTACATGAATGGCACGAAAACATTCCTTTGAAGTGGATTGAAATTGTGATGGATAACCGGGTGATTTGATGATACCATTATCAGTTGTTATTTCGCTACCATTTTGACAAACATTGTATTCTCTCGCTGGATCGTTCATTTGTAACGGTACACAGTCATATTCGACGTGAAGATAGCTGCTGTATTGATCATTGCATTCCGATAATTTCTTTTTGGTTGCGTATACATTGCATTGGAGAGAATCTGTATTACATACAATGGCATTCATAGCATCAGCCACGCAATCACCAGCTTTGTAACTACATGAGCCGGCTACTTGCGCTACGCCATACTCAGCACTTGTAACGACAATTACAGAGTTAGGTGGACAACGAAGAGTAGCACTTGATGCAGCGCAAGTCTCAACAGGAACCATTGTTTGTACCTTTTGTCCATTAGTGTAAAAGATATATTGTAATATATACAAACTAGTGAATAACAAGAATCTAATTGTCATCATTTCGCACGAAAGAAACACTATGTTGCTACAACTCCTAACTAGAAACTAGAAGAGCAATAGCATTGAAAGACACCGAAGTCGTAAATGATAATAATAAAAAAGAAAACAAATAGTCCTCAGCTTTTATTTGCATCAACTTTAGATAAAGAGCAGCAACAGAGAAGATATGGTTATCTAAGATTCTCCTTTTCTCTTTACTTTGTTGCTCATTTTTCGCCAGTAGTTGAAAAGACATCAGCAACAGATTTCTTTCTCTTTCTTCACTATCTAACTAATGTCGGTTAGGTGATGAAACGGCAAAACTAAGATTAAAAAAAAGAAGTATTACATAAATAGAGCACAACTTTTCTTCGTAAATAAACAATCGAACGTCTTTACGGCACAATAATTCAATAGATTTATCTTTAAACTACAGTTATTCATAGTTGTAGATAGAAAAATAGTTTACTTAGATTACATCTTGTTGGACTAAGATAACCTTGTTCTGCTAATATATGATTACTTTGCAAACTTTAAGCACATATCGCCAACGCAGTTTTGATTTAGTTTCATTATTCAGTTGATAACATTCAATTCAACTCGATATTTTTCTCTTCTTTGTTCTTGAAAAAGTTAGTTTCAGTTGTTTATTACGAACACAAAGAGATAGAACAAAGGACCAGCACAAGAGAGAAAACAAACGTAAATACATTAAAGAAGAAAAAAGAATCGTACGTATGTGTTCTTGGTTTCTATGCTTGAATTTAGTCTCATCTTGGTATACCGTACGTAATATAGACGTACCTATACGAGTACAGGAAGTGAAATGAGAACAACAATAAGAGACACGAAATGACAACAGATTACTGATGAAACACGTTTTTCGTTTAAAGAATGTAATCAAGTTCATATCGAGCATAATCATTGCGTAGTTTTTTCGTACGCTTTTGAGGTATTTCATCTCCTTCGATGGTTGAATGAATACTATCATCTACAATACGTGGATACGCAGCTACTAGGGAATCTTGTGCACCGATATAAATGGTGTTGTAAACTTTCCAGTATACATCACGCACACGACGAGCGGGATGAAATAGGCCTTGTAATGTATAATACAGAATTCGACATGGGCCAAGACCCACGCGTATACCTTCGATAGCTGAAATGAATGCTTGAATAACATGAGGACTTGTTTCGAAGATATTTGGCCAAACATGATTTAATAAATGACATAAAGCATCTTCACATCCGAAACCGAATACACCTAGTGACATGTGTCCAATGGCAGTCATCGCGGTTTGCCGATGAACTAAATCTCTGTCCATCATTGCATCTTCCAATAAAGGTGTTACAGCATAGATGTAATCCTTGGACATCTCGCCAATGTATTCAAACATAAATGCCAGTGCTTTCAAAACACCATTTTGAACATTCAATTCCGGCACACGATATTCATTCATGAGACCTAAATGAGAAAAGATAATTTGACAAGAATAGAGTACAATAAGATGATTTACCGGGTAGGACAGTGAACGGTGAACATGTTTCTGAGACAATAGCAATGGCAACAGTTGTACAAACACGTAGTTGACGTTCTTGGACTTTCAAATTGTTTAATAATGTTGCAAGGACATCATGTGGACCAATGGCTTTAGCGATGTAACCAAATGTGTTGATAGCAGCACGACGAATTGATTTCTTATGTGCTTTGAGCAGTTCAAGTAGTTCAAAACAAATACGCATCCATTCACGAGCTGGAACATGTTCAGCACCTAATTCAGCAATACGGCCGACAAGATCAATACAATTTTCTTGAACTTTTTCATGTCTAAAAATATACAATAAACAAAACTATCTTATTTTCAAAATTGAATCTACCTGTTTTTCAGAATGGGTGTTAATCGGGGTAATAAGTCTTTGATCGGTGGTGTCATATTAGTCATACCAATCACATTCACAATTCCTAAAATATGTCAAATAGATTTTTATATGTACTTTTGATAAATTCTTACCTTTTAATGCTCCAAGAATACTTCCTAAAACTTCCGGATACTCTTCACCTAGATATTCATATAAGACGAGACCTAATTGTCCCATTAGTTTTTCTTCGGAGCATAGTTTCATAACATTCGCTATTTTCTGAATAAGATCAGCGGCCTGTTGTCTAACTTTAGCTGCTTTATTATTCAAACGCCAGAGAATTGTACCACACATTTGAGGTAGATATGCTTTGCAACGTTTTCCTAACGAATTGACCACGGCACCGAATCCATTCAACATCACAGCATCTTCGGTTGTTTGTTCTTGAAACGCGTAAAGTATACCATCAATTAATTGTTCTTCTAAACGTGAATCGATATCAGCAGAACCCAGATTTGTCATGATCTTTTCGATCGTTTCAATAACCATTTTACGGTATTGTTCGGATTCATCCTTTAAATCATCCACAATACGATTGATAATTTCTGATGAGCCAACTTTATTGGCCATTTCGACAGTGGTATCGACTAGCTGCCGATAATTACGACGATCGAGCGCCATACGTTGATTCCAGAAGTATCGAAAGAAGGCTGGCAGAACTTCTTCTTTAATATATTTTGCTTCGACACCATCCGTTGCTGTACATTGTTTAACGACTTTGAGAACAATCTTCTTCATTTCTTCATCGGGAGATTGAAATTCACGGATTAGGATAAGCATTACTTCACGGGTATAGTAACCAGCATATTCGGCATCCATCAACGGAATCAAATAACCAATGGCTTTGAGAAAAGCAGCCAGACCCTAAATTACACAGTATACTATGTTCATTTTCAGTTCAACAAGTTAACTTACTTTGCCACGATGTTCCTTAATACCAGCCCATAACGGTTTGAGTACAGTATCAAAAGATTCGATACCGTAAGGTGCAGCTGCCTCTGCCAACGCGGCGATACCCAGAGCAGTAATTGTTCGAACTTTTTGTTGTTCATCGACGAGACCTAGAATTGAAATGTTAAGCATGTTAGAAGAAAAACGAATGAAATATTGATCTTCTTACCATGTTCGATAATTTCCACCAAAGATTTCAAATGTGGTAAAATGGCACAACCGAGAAGAATAGCGATTTGTTGGATGATCTTTATACCCGTATGTCTTGCTTGCCAAGATTTTTTACTTTTACAAACAGCTTTTAAAAATGGTAATAAAGCTGGGATACCGAGCGCTGATGCAACGACAGCAAACGCACGAGCAGTTGTATTACGTACATATTCATCCAAGTTATCAATATCAGGTCGCATTGTGGAAATCATTGTCGCCAAACCAGCAGCTTTAGCTAAATTTGATATAATTTCACGACCTTCGACACGTGCATAATAATCTTCATCAATCAACAATGGCTCGATAACGACGCATATCTTGTGAACATAGGGACGAACAAGATCATCAAGTTTATAGAGAATACGATCGATAACTTTTACAAGTAAATGACGTTCTTGATCTTCTAATGTTGGCGACATTAGCAATGGTAAGATCTGATTAAATAGTGGACCAGCACCAAATTCACGTGCTTTATCAGTGATCTGTCGTAGTGCTGCTTTACGCATAGGCGGTGTACCATTTTTAATTTTTAATAATAGTTTCATAATTTTACGTTCCTTTTGTTCTTCAGGCGTCAAAGCTTCTTCATCGACTTCTTGTAATAGTTTATCGAAATATTGTAGATCATCTGGTTTTAAGAGAGGTAAATTTCCTGACGGTTGATATTCTTGCAATTGGTTCGATTGAGCAGCTTGTCCATGAGCCGATTCTTGAATGTGAAAACCAGACATCGTCGATTGTGGTGTGGGTGTTGCCATTAATTTTCGTGCTGGTGTTCGAATAGGTACATAGGATGCCGGTGGTGGCAAAACTTTGTATCCTGGTGGAAACATAGCATCGAGTTCTTCATCTGATAGTGGACGATTACGTTCATCGATTTCACGTTCCCAACGATAAGCTTGCATCTGCTCCGGTGTCATTGGAACTTGATTAACTATTGGCGTAGCCATATTAGCAGCGCGTGCGCCGACAGGTGTTGCTATGATTGGTGTCATGCCTGGTGTAAAACCGCTGGCGGTACGCGGAGTTGACGCAACACCTATTTCTTTCGCTAATGGTGTAAAACCGCCTCCATTTGTTGTGGTTGCATTTGCTGGTGTTTCATCCCAACGTGAACGACGTTTATCACCCGGTGTAGGAGTTGCTCCCATAATATAATCGGAATCATCCATACCACCACGATCCGTTCTAGGCGTTTCTGCCCAACCGGAATTCGTTGTTTCACGTTCGGTGCGTGGTGTTTCGTCCCATCGGTTGCGTTTATTTGACGGTGTTGCTGAATGATGCGGCGTTTCAGCACCTGGCGTACGTGAAGCCATTGGTGTTTCATCGAACGATGATTGGCCAGGAGCTGGCGTTGCATCCCACATTCGATGAGCTGGTGTTACGGCTTCATCATAGGCAGTTTTCTTCGCTTTAGGATCATTATCATCCGCTGGAGCCGTTTGATCCCATCGTCGTCGGCGCTTTTCTCCGGATGCACTTGCACTTCCATTTGCTCCGGCACCGCTCTGACCTTCGGCTGCTTTCAGTTTGTCTGCAATTTGATTGCGTGTATCCGCCTTCGCATTTCGTAGAGCCATTTCTCCCATGATGTCTGCATAGCCACGACCTTTCGCTTGTGGATCAGGTGTTTTGCCGCCTAAATTACAAAATCAGAATTGTTAATCCAAAATGAAAAGAACCTTATCTTCAACTAGATCACTATTTTCAAAGAAATGATTAAAAGACCCACCGTTATATGAATGAATACTACCTCTTTTGAAATCTTGAGTGAACATCAAGAAAGACTTGAGAGAGAAAAAGGAAAGGTTTATGAAAAGAAAAGAAATACATGTGTAGTAGTATCTGTACCATGCTCGAGCTCATTTCAAGCAAGATGACTGTCAACGTTGCGAATGAAAACAGCACGTTGATAATCGTTTAAAGTCTAAAAATAAGCTAAGATTCTGATAAAATAAAATCGGTGTTTTTTTTTTATGAATCATTCACACCTTGTCTTCCTATCAGAAACTAATGGATATGAAGATGATGTATGTATATAGAGAGTAGAGTTATCCATGTCGCCAGACGCCTATAAAAATGAACTCGGTATCAAAATAGCCTCTTCGAATATGAGAGAATATACTTCCACACTAAATAATCAAGAAAACAGATCATTTACCATCAGCGAAATAATCCAATCGTTCAGGTGAAATCATTCCCGGTTGCATACGTCGTTTCTTTTGGTATTCATTTTCTCGATCAGCTATTGTTGGTCGACGATATTCTGCTAATGGATCGTAGTTCTATTAAAGAAAAAGACTTTCTTGTATCAAAGAGCAAAACATTTTAGGCTCACCTTATCGACGTTTGGAATATTTTGTCGGATATCAGCAGATGGTCCATACTGTTTCAATTTCATGTTTGACAACGATGTTTGATAGTTTTCCTCTTCATCCTGAAACAATACAGAAAAACATTCTTTCCGTTTTGTTTTCAAATGAATTGTTATTAACTCACGTCTTCATCGTTTCCTTTAGGTAAATAATTCAAATAGCTACTACGACCATCATCTTCGTAGACTTCTGTGTCGAGAATTTGTTGACCGAATCGTGTACCACGAGCTTCATCTTCTTCTTTTCGTCGTTCATCACGTATAGCTTTCGATTGAGCTTCAATTGCTACAAAAAAAAACAAAGAAAATCAATGATTCGATTTATTTTGAACATCGATAAATCCTACCGTCGTGTTTGGAACTCATGGCGTATTAAGCAATACTAACCAAGAGTAAGAACTGAATTGCTGTTCGAAGTATGCTGCAATTGCGTAAATATGTTGACAAAAAGGGAATAACAACAATTGTTTAGAAGTGTTTTTCTGAATGGAATAAATGAAGATTTGTCGAGAGAAAAAAAGAAATTGATTTATAATTTGATTTTCATTCAGAAAAATACGAGAAAATTGTTGAATTCTCTCTTTTATCACACTTATGCATTCACATGTTGATTGTATTGGCTGTCTACTGTAGCCAATAGGACAAATCCGAACGGAAATCGATGAACTGAATGTTTAAAGAAAGAAAAAAAAAGACAATTTTAGTTTTGATTTGTTGTTATCAATAAGTACAGAAACAAATAGATTTTCTTTGCAGATAATCAAACATTTTTGCTATTTATTTCGTTTTGGCTTTTCACTAACTTATTTCATATGTTTTCACCATTTGTTGACGGTATGCACCCACATCAACATTTTCCACTTATGCAATTACCTGATCGACAACAAATGCAAATACCGACTGGGTAAGACACTTCGATTTCGAAAGATGTTCGAACAAAATCGATCATGTCATTAGTTAACATACCGATGGAAAACTAATCTCGATAGGAGATCAATCTATTTGCGTTTAAACAATGTTTACATTTCGCATAACCTTTCTTCTTGGTAGTAGTGACATTCTCAACATGACATTTTTCCTTCTCGTTAGAGTGAAAAATATGACGAAGAAGGAAGAAGGAGAAGAACTTGTTAAAACTGAATTACTTTTGACAATCGATTGTCATTGTTCATCATCATTTGTTGTTATTCGAAGTTATTTTTTATATTTTGCCTCTTTCGTTCATGTCAATATTTTGCAGAACAATATGATCAATTGTAAGAACTTATTCGAACGTGTCTGACCTGAAATCGATAGGCGATAAATCATCATGGTCGCTCGTTTATTTGCTCTCTTCCTCTCTCTCTCCCTTTTCTCTCGTCATTCTCGCTCTACTTGACCCTTGGCGAACGTGTCCGACAAACTTTCAAACCTATCTCTATGTATAAGTTGCCCTCGATTAATTAAGTTTTTCTTTCTCTGTTCTGTTCTCGGATGAGGGAGAGAGAGAAAGAGACACGTATATATACAGAGAGAAAAAACCGAGAGCGGGCATACTCTTGATTTGTTTAGAACAGAACAATTCATTTTCTCTATCAGTTTTTTTCTTTTCCCTCTCTCTCTCTTCCACTGCGAACGAAATAAGAAATAATTATATGGCGTGGCCGAAGCTAACGTACAAAATATAGAGAACGAGAGAGAAAGAGAGAAAATGCGATTAGAAAAAAGAAAGAAAAGAGGAAGGGGACCTTTCGTCGACATCGTTGTCTTCGTCACATTCTTTCATACATTACCATGCCGCCCTTCAACATCTTGAATCTTTTCTCCTTTGTTCCTATCAAAACGAACAATATCATGTGTTGTTGTTTTTTCAAATATACACACTCGGAGTCTGCGCATGTTCTCCAGTGTGTTTTGTTTCTCCTCCCTCCCCCCTTGTTACTCACATGTATAACGCGTGCTCCATCATCATCATCATCATCATTGCCACATATATACATGTTGTCAGAAGAATGAGAGAAAATTATTTATGTCGACTACTTGAGCCTGAGTTAAGTGATAATGATGGTGATGGTTCAATTGATTATATACATGATGTAAACAGTAAACAACTCGTTCGATTACAGATAGAATGATTATCGATGTAATACATTCGTATTAAATCTGCGTACTCAAAATGACTTCTGCACTATATTATCAATCGATGATAGTGCCACCGCAACAGCAACAACAGCAAGCTCAACATATGCAAATGTAGTGAGTAACTAGAGAGGAAAAAAAAGAAATAAGAGACATAATGAATAGTGATAGAACATTTGTTCTAATCATTTTTTATTCGATGACGTTTTTGAAGTTAATTGAGATTATTTCTAATAGAATTTGTTCATTTTCTCCTTCTTCATCGTAGTTATCATCCACAACAGCAACAGCAACAAGTGCCATTGCCGCATATGATGCCACAAGCACAGCAAGTTCATCATCTAATTCCACAATCAACGGGAACATCGACGACAAATCGCGATCATCATCAGCATTCTCATCCGCCTAAAGAAATGAGCAAACCCAAAGGCCGAATGAGTGCATACACATTTTTTGTACAAAAATGCCGTGATGAACATCGAAAAGCATATCCTAATGAGAATGCTAATTTCAGTGAATTCTCGAAGAAATGTGCAGAAAAGTGGAAGGTATGAAAGAAAATCGAACTTATTTCTTCTTCTTTGTGTTTCTGAAATGTCGAAGTATAATCTTACTAATGATCATGGAGATTATATCTCTGTCAGTCTGAAATTCTAATAGGATTAATCAAAAATTCATCAGTATCTTTTTCCGATGATGAAATGATAATTTGCTGAATTTGCTTTTCATATCACAGTCGAGTCCATCACTCGCTTCTTTCTTGACGTGCTTTAATCAAGGACAAACAACAAAGAGAAATTATATAGGATTAAGTGAATGTTTAAGTGTGAAAGCGAAGAAGAGAAGAAAAACAATGGAAATCGATTTGTCTATTTTGTAGACAATGACTGAAAGTGAAAAATCAAAGTTTGCTGCTCAAGCTGAAGTCGATAAACAACGGTTTGAACGTGAAATGGCTGTATATCAACCCGGTGAAAAACGAAAGAAGAAAAAGAAGGACCCATTGGCACCAAAACGTCCTTTGTAATATATTTCCTTCCGATGATAAATTGATCGAACACGAGTTGATTTCGTTCTAGATCGGCTTTCTTTCATTACTGTAAAGAAGAACGTCCCAAATTGAAAGCAGTGAATCCAAGTTTATCTGTGGGTGAAATCGCGAAAGAACTCGGCGATCGATGGAATCATACAGCACCTGATGGAAAACAAACTTATGAAGAAGCTGCACAACGAGATAAGGAAAGATATGAAAAAGTCAGTGATGATTAATCGACATAGTCCATCATTTATTATTAGTTCTTCTTTTCTTTTATTATTAGGAAATGAATGACTTCAGATTAGCAAATAAGAAAGCAACAAAATCAAATTCATCATCTCAAGCGTTAGCACAGCAACAACAACAACAACAACAATCGCATCACACTGATCAACAAGTCAGAGTACATCAAGATGTGAGTCAAATAGTTCAATACGATTGCATTCCCTCTCTTCTCATTGTCTAGACTCAACAACAGCAACAACAGCAGCAGCAACAACAACAACAACAACAACAACAGTACTCTTCAGCACCATACCAATTACCATCTTTTAATCCAATGCAATCTTTTCAACCACAAGTAATTACTAAATTTGATTGATTAATTTTATTTGCAATTTTCTTTCGAGGCTTTTGCTCAAATGAACAATTTTCAAGATAATGGCTTGGCAGCATCACTTTTCCCTCCTTACAATGGTTACTCATTACCAATGCCACATAACAACGTAGGATATCAGTGAAAAGTAGAAGTAGTACGCACACACACACATACATACGCACCCAGAAACTAATTATTCTTGTTTTCTTCTAAACTAAAGTCTCCAGAAATCAGTGACCAGTGTATATTTCTAATTCTTCACGTGTGTAAATGATTGACGAATCTCTCTCTCTCTTCCTTCATCTATTGGTTTTCTACTCCCGAATAATAATTCTGATAAACAGTGTGCATGTGTTTCGAAAGATAAGAATGTTAACGATAACTAATTAGTACATCAACATTAACTATCAGCATTTCTGTTTTCTTTTTCTTCCGGTTTTCTTTCTTCCTTGGATTTTTTTATTCCAAAAACCAAACTCTGTTGTCCATTGTTTGTTTTTGTTTGTTATTCTTGTTTTATGTGTGTAAATAACAAATCATAAAGATAGAAGAAAAGACAGCTAAATACGAACCACTCCTTTCTTTCCACTCATTAAAATTCGTCCTGATGAATAGAGGTAAGTATTCCATTTGCTTAAATATTGCCGGGCTTCTTTCGCGTATCGATGTGCGTGTGCTTACTTCTTCTTCTTCTCGTACTGCGGCTTTTCCCTTTACCAAAGAACTTCATTAAAATCATTCTCATGTCGTTATCTAGGTTCAAATACAGCAATTTCAAGCCTTACAACAACAGCAACAATTGCAACAACACATTCAGCATCAGGTAAGAATAAACGCTGCTGATGAATTCATCGATGATTTCCTATTTTGTTGCTGTAGACTTACCAAACGTTAACGACAGCGAATACGAATTCGACTAATAAAAATAATACGAATAATAACAATGGTGAACAACAACACGATGGCGACGAGGATGACGATGATGAGGATAATGACGACGATGATAACGAATCTGAAGGTGAAGAATAAAGGCAACTCAATTGTTGCGCTTTTCACTTGTTAATCGAGTAGTAATAAACATTAAAGAAGAGAAAAAAAGACGAAAAAAGAAAGTATTGTGCTATTTGTTTGTTCCTCTTTTTTCTGATTCTTATACTTGTCTTGATTCTCCTTTTTTCTTCTTTCTTTCCTTTGATGGTGTATATGAGTACACCATCGATTTGATTGTGTTTTCTTTTTGTACTTGTTCGTACTGTGACTGTTGGATGTATATCAAAAGAAAACGAAAACATTCACAAATCAAACTTAGCTTGTATGTATTGTCCTATTTTTCTTTTCGTTGTCATTTTTTGTATCATGACAAAGGCACATTTTTTCATTTCTCTTTGCTCCTTATTCTCGTCTGCTGGTTTTACATGATATAATGTCAGACGCTCATACATACATATCGTTCGTTTTCTGCTCTTTTTCTTTATCTTGTGAGTAAAAATTGAAACACATGGTATACTACCATCAATTTAAAGTTCTTATGCAAGTTGGTTGTCATATCTTTAGATTGATTATAGAAATATGACTGCTTCAACTAGTCTTGATATTGTTCATAAAGTACCAACACATCCACGCATTCTTATTCAACCGGATTGGTCGGTTAACGTAAAGTTGAACACGTTGCCTGCGGACGTTTGGCTGGAATTCAAATCAGGCAACGCTAGTATATCGCGATTAACACAAAATGTTCATGGAGTTTGTTCGATTAAAGCATTGACCGATGACAATGCGAAATCATACAAAACTTCAGCAAGTGATAACTTTCAATCGACAGATATTGATCGAAAACAACAACAATTACGAATTAAAATTCGCGATACAAATTTTAGCCATACGTTTCAAGGCAAACTATATAATGGTTTCCTTTTGATCAACTGATGAATAATGCTATTTCTAGGTCCAACCAAATCCTTTTCGACTACTGGAAAGCCCGAAGATGCCGAGGGACATGCTATTCAAGACCCATTAATTAATGTACCTGAACGTCGTCAAAATCAAACGCATTTATCTGCTCACCCTCACTGGTGTGATATCAGTTCCGGTGGCGTTGGCTTAACAGCATTAAGCAATGGAAACGTTACCATTTGGGATATTGAAAATGGTACACAATTTCAAATATTTACACTTCAATCTACATGCATTGGATTTATTTTTAGGTGAAGTACGACGTAAACTCAAAGGGCACGTCGAAGATGTCTATACCAGTCGATTCTTTCCTTCAGGTACAATTTAATTTTTACAGACATATCCTTACTTGCCAATTTAGATTTGGCTGTCGTTTCCGGCGGGGCTGACATGCGTGTGAAAGTCTGGTCGATTGATAGTGATAATAATCAAATTCGTGATACGACATTGACTGGCCACCGTTCGCGTATTAACGATGTTCTTGCACTGGATAAGCAACGCGTTCTTAGTGCATCGAACGATGGTTCGGTTCTTCTATGGGATATCACCAAAAACGAACAGATTAGTAAAGTAACTCAACTGGATAATGATAGTGTGAATAGTATCAGTTTAACTGATTCGGCAACATTAGCATGTGCTTGTAATGATGGAACAATTCGTTTTTACAATCTAAGTAACAAAGAAATAGGCAATGAACTCAAAGTTGGATCACCAATTAGTACACTCTGTTATTTAAATGATTCGAATCAATTAGTTTACGGTACGGAACATTCTATTCTTGGTTTTTATGATCTTCGACAAATGAATGGAACTCCAGTTCATGCCTGGAAAGAGCAACGAGGAAAAATCACTTGCGTCGTTCCGAGCCATGACCAAGGAGGAATTCTTGTGACAACCACTGATGGCAGTTGCTTCGAATATAACAAAAACGAATTGCAAACCATGTCGGATATCCTGCAACAACATGTTTGTGATTATACAGGCGCTGATGAGGCTGTTCTAAATAGTAAAGTATTCAATAATCGAATTTATTCTATTTGCCACGATGGTCTCGTCCGTGTTTATGACAGACAAGAAGAAACAAAATAAAATTTTCGTTTCACAATCAATCTTGCTAAAATTAGTTTTTTCAAAATTTTTCTCTTTCGAATGTAAAGCACGTTTTCTTTTTCTTTGTATTCCAGCATGTGTGTATAATATTAGACAAGCGAAATAAATTTTCTGTTTGAAACCAAAACAAATCAGCATTCGAAGCAAATCTTGATGAAATCGAGAAAATTTCCTCCAACCGTTTCCGTTCGGTATAATCAAAACCGAAATTAAGCCTATTTCCTCAGACGTTCACCAAGCAAGACAAAATGATAAATCTTTTGTTTTTAAATAAATGTTTATGTATTTATCTCGTAAGATTAAAGTTCAATTATATACACAATAGCAAGACCAAAAAGAAAACCAGCAATAAATTAATGAGAGAAAAAGAGGCGAAGAAGAAGAAAAAAGAAAGATATCGTTTGTTTGTATGAGAACAAGAAAAAGAAGAAGAAGAGAGATTTAAATAGGCTTTTCATTACTTCGAAGTAAGAGATGCTGTTGGTGTTCAAAATGTTGGCGATATTTGTTTGCTGTATTAGGCATTGAAATTGAACGACAAATTTGAACGGCAGCAATGGATGGTGCTTCTAAACAATCGGTTATTGATGCAACTGGTTCGACATCCGTATCAGTGGATGAAACCTTGTCATGTTGATTGCAGATCGAACGTATTTGTTTCAATGTATGTCGACGTGAATTGGACATAACTTGGGAAACAGCTGTAGTTGCAAATGACGACGAACGTTGAATAACATACCGAAATAATGATGAACGTTGTGCTGCAACTGATGGACCTGTTGAACACAAGGAATTATTTGTTGGATGATGGGATGTTGTCGAGTTCGAAGACGTCCATGCGCGAGTGACCGATGGCGCGCGGCATTCTCGAGCTGGACGTGTCAAATTTGCCGAGATAGGTTTTTCGCCTGTATCATACGATGATTGAGCGAAAAGCGCGGCCACCCCAGTACGAGTTAATGTCACTCGACGCGTATTGGAAATATCCGTATCTTCCATGGAACTTGGTAATCCATGATGTATATCATTTGCCATTGTTGATTTAACTCGCGACTAAACACCAATGATATTATTGAAAAAACATTCAGTTAGTTGCACTCGCCGTGCACATGTATTTCTTCTGTTTCTAGTTCTTCTGTTAAATCTATCGTTAAATATATAATTATACATACACGACGTGTCTCTTTCTGACCATGTTTATTTGTCTGTCTATTGGTATATATTTTTCCTATTCTTTACATTAACTTTCTTTGTTGTTTTCAGCACGTTCTTGTCAGGCAATTGAGAGGGTATGAAAGGATAAAATATTTAATTCTATGAAGTAGATCCATCGATGCGTCCTATTGTCTTTCTTTCTTGATGAAATGATGATCGCGCCAGAATTGAATTCGATGGGAAACGCCAAAATATAGTTTTGCTCTATTTTTGTCGATGATCTCTAGATAATAGCACGAGAAAGTCGAAGAAAACCAGATGAGTTCCTCCTTTGCTTTTGTTATGCTTCGTGTCATTCTATTTCCGGCTTATCAGATCGTCTGATGAAAGTTTCGAGAGATCCAACGTAGTTATTGTAATGTTTCACAAAGATACTTTGAACAAAGTTCAATATAGGGATGAATGAAATGCCAATGAACTATCAAGATAAAAAGAAAACATATATCGAAAATCTATCTGCAAATGTTAAGATATTTCCTCGTTTTTTAACACGAACAAAAAGTAATAATGAGTTGAACTTTCGATTATTTACTTTTGCTTAGAAGAGAAGAAGAAAAAAACACTAATCACTAAACTGTTCATTGTCAACAATTCGATGAAAAGGTCTTCTATTCATCGAACTCACACGCATCCATATCTGATTTATGTGTTAAACCGAATAATGAGTCAGTTTTGACTTGATAGAACAGATGATGCAATCGAGAACAAGAAATTGTTCATTGAATCTTCGAGTATAAATCAACTGTTAATGGAATGTTTATAATAACATCATTTATCATCGGATAATATCCGAAATTCTCTTGCAAATTACCATATTCGGCCATCTTTAGCTGATTCATTTTCTCATTCGCACCGTACTGTACAAGGTTTAACTCATTGAACTGGTTTATGTCAATACAGACATGTATGTCAATGACAATATCTTAATAATAATCACCGTCACTACTTGACTAAACTTTGTTTTCAATCTCGAGGAAAAATAATGAATAATATATAAATCTTTCTCAAGTTTCGCTCGTAAAAAATCAACACACGGATGATTTTAATATTGAATAAAAAAAAAAGATGTAGTATGTCAGTCAAGTCGAAGGACTTATTTGATTGATTCATTTGACTAAAAGAATTATTAATAATTAAAAACGTCTTCTACCGCCCTCATGAATATTATTGGTTAATGAAAAATGATCGTCGGTAGGTTTTTTCTTCTCCTCTGATCTGATCGTCGTATGTACATGTGTGTATATGTCTCTTTCCCTCTTCCTCTCCCTTCCCTGTTGTTTCGTTTGCATATGAAATTTTGGTTTTAAGTGTTTGAGAGAAGATTTTTTTTTTCTTGCTTCATTTCCTTATATAAATTTACACAAGGAAATAAAATCGAACCGAATATCATTTGTTCGATGATATGACGACAGTTCTTTTCATTCTTTCCAGATCATTTATTTTCCCTAAGACAAGAAAAATCTGTTTCCGATTTATGTCTGTCTTAACATAACCGTGTTATTGGATGTTGTCTTTCATCCGTTTCTTATTTTGTTGAGAAACACAAAAGACAAGTCATTGATTGCATTACGTCGAAGATGTGTTGAATGTAATCGTATGTCCGATCAATGTATAAGCGTCGATAGGATGACCTCTGAGTTATTTCCTTCTTCTCTAGTTAGACAAACATATATATATCCTGAAAGATCGTGATGATTGAGTAACTCGCAACGCAAATGTTCTTTCCGTTATTGGTGATAAGAGTGACCGAGAAAGAGAACACAATGGCTCGTTTTAGCTGGAAATTATCATTAGATTCATTTGGTTGAACAGATAAATTGATGCTTGCGCACAAAGCTGACATTTACTAGATTATATTTCTTACTGAAGCTTATCCTCTATTGACACCTTCGTATAACTGATCATCAGATATCGATCATTTCTTTCCCCTCCGTTCTGATTGCATTAATCATCTTTTTTGACTTCGCGAGACGTTCTTTTCCTCTACACATGTCTGTTAATTTCTCAGTAGAATATCCTGACCTATTTCTTTGTCGTGAATTGAAATTTTTTTTCTCATCGCATTCCTACGTCACGGTAAGTTATTAACTCGACGAGTAATATTTAATTTTTCGAAATCATTTATGTTGATATGACACATTCAAGGCTTTTATGTAAATCATGTTCGCTGTTATTTTGCTTCGTTCCAGAGAAAGATTTGTGTTCATTGATATATAATTAAACCAAATTGTCACCGGCAATAAATCATCGATGAAGAGACATGTGACAACTCGTGCGCATGTATCTGTTCATTATTAGTTTCTTCTCAAGGTACTATTTACCAATACATATACATATCTTACTTGAATACAAAAATAACTAGACATGGAAGAAAGGTAAGACTATTGATTACTTCTCTTTCTCTTCTTGTATAAATAAGCGAGAGAGGAAAAAACCGAGCGGAGAAATATTAATATATATATATATATACATGTATCATTTTTATTACGATTTTTTTTTGCTTGATGTCTATTAGATTCGAGTGGGTACAAATTATCGAGCCAAAATCCAAGGACATCATGTATGCCAATCTTGTTACTGGTGAATGTGTTTGGCAGGCGCCATTAGGTGCCAAAATGTAAGTTTCAATTTTCTAAATCAAACTAATTATCGATTAGATCGGATTTCTCGTTGGAAAGGAAAGAACGAGCGACGACTAATTGCTTTGAATTTTCATGACGACGAATATGTCGAAAAGAGAAGAGAAGAAAAAGACTAGAGTCATGGTAAAAAATGATCAATTTAACTATGTGTTCAATATGTCATTAGTGCCTAACAGGATGACATTGATATTCATACAGATGTTTAACATTCATGTTCAGACCAATAGACATAAATAGTCGAAGAAGCAAAATCCATTTATTTGGATGTCTAGTTAAATTATTTATACAGGATAGAAACAGAAAGCAATATCAATTAGCAACTCGACTAACATCGGAGTGTATATTTATCAGACAGACAATATTATCAAATTGCTTAATGACATCAATTTCTTGATAGTTTACATCAGGACTAGCAGGCTGGAGTGAAACAAAAGAAATGTTTAACCTTGAGCGTTTTTGTTTACTTCTAACGAGCAAAATCTAACGCTGCTGATTTGAAATTATCGACATTCATTCTAGTAAACGAACGGATGAAAATCAATGGTGGGAATTGTATGATGTCACTACCAAACGAAACTATTATTATAATGCTCAAAGTCAACGAACGATTTGGCAACGACCGAGCAATGCAGATATTATCCCATTGGCAAAACTCCAGGTAGTCGAAAGTCTATTGCATAAGACATCTCTCGTATGTACTTGTTAGGATACGATGAATAGAAAAACATGTGCTGGATATTAATCATCATCGAGTCTCTTCATAAAAGATAAAAATATGTGCATTCTATCTCCGATGAGGATGAGAATGATGATGATGTAAATCTTTCTTTTTGTTTCTTTTCCTCTCGTGCCTTGACATAATCATGGTCAACTTCTCCAACGTCTTCATTTCTCTTCATCTAGATGATCAAAGAAAATAGCGATGTGAAGGATGACCAAACAATCATTAGTGCGAAAACATCAACTGGTAATCATACGGCTGAACAATTAAGTCCACCAAATAATACATCATCGCTGAGAAATAATAAACGGAAACAAATATCATTACAAGGTCTCCATATCATACCGCATGTAGCAAAGCTTAAAATATCTTCACCTACATACCATTCAACAACGCAACAACGAGTAAGAGAACGAAATTGTTTGCATTAAAAATTCATTGATTCGTTCAGCCATTACGTCGAACAGAAACTCAACATTGCTCGCATACAATGAACAATCATTTGACATCATCGATGAAATTTCAACCGATTAAAAATGACAAATCAACTTATGATAATCTAGGCAATTCAATACAATGTTCGTTAAAAAAGAAAAGCAATCAACATTATGACAATTATCCAATTCTCTCTCAACCTCAACCTCATGTACTCGGTAGATTTCTTTCATTTCGCAGATAATCATTTCTGTCATTCTTTTTCTCTTTAGATCAATCTTTGTATGCGGCTAAACGTTCTCAAAGTATTCATTTGAAATCTTCGCATCCTCAATCGATTTCAAACAATGACACACATGTTTTTCGTCACATTAGCACACCATCGTTAGAATTCTTGCACAACAGTAGCAATCAATTAAAATTATCTCGCTCGTCATTTGGACGAACGAACATTCGAAAAAAGCCTCCGCGAACCAATCCCAACTATGTGAATATCCAAGTTCAAACTGACGAAGGTTCACTTCGCAGTCGATACATTCGCATTGACGAACCAGCAAAATCAGCGACATTTTCATCATCATCATCGTCGTCGTCGTCATCGAATAGTTCATCTGAACATGGTTCGATTCTATGTAATTCCCAAACTCATCTTCACAATTCAAATGGATCTTTTCCAAGTGACGAAACGATCAGCATGGAAAAACCGAAATCGAAACAAAAGAATGAGCTCCATTATAGTTCGATTGATCAGACGAATAGAAAAGATTCAACAAAGAAACAATTCGTAACATGCACAAATGGTAAGGTGTTAATCCTTTGTGGACTACGTGAGAGAGAAGATGTTTTTAGAATTTGTATTTCATTCGACGACTGATCCATTGAGTTTGAATTTTCAAACAATGAATAACAGTAAGGTTTCGTTTCATTCTGATCTAGTTAAACACAAGCGTCATTTTAGGTGAGAAGAAATTCAATCAGAATATATCTTCATCGATTCTACCTATGTTTCACGACCCTCGCTCGAATTGTTCTCAAAGTGAGAAGAAGAAATAGATCTGAATTTGATCATTACTTCTTTTTTCGTACAGCTATCAATCGAATTCATGAATCTTCGCCGAATTTAACTCGATCAATCTCGAATCACTTGAATGGACTATGTACAAATCGCAAGAACACATCTACATCCTTCCGAAAACAAGTAAAATCTAACATTTTCTCTTCAATCTCTCCTTCATTCTTCTCTTCTAGTGGGTGTCATCATCCCTTTCAACGAAATCTCCGTTAACCATCACCGATATCGAAGCTGACATTCTCTTTCATGATATATTGAATCTAAACATTCACAAACGAACCTTCTTTGGTAAACGTTCCACTCAGGAGAATTTATTATCATGGTCCAAAGACACGTTAACCAAACCATTACTACGTACGATGGATAAAATCTTGAAAAAGGAAGCTCCAGACATATTTAAACTCATTCAAACCTATATGGGCGATAGGAAGTCGAAACAAGGTGCATCGTTGAATACGTGCTTAGAACTAACGACGAAAGGATGGAGTTTGCCATCGATACGCGATGAGCTTTTCTTACAAATAATAAAACAGATAACTGCTAATTATAATGCAGAGAGTCTTCAACGTGGTTGGGAATTAATGGGTAAGGAGAAAAATCAAGCTAATTTGAAATGTTAGTCGAGTATTTGTTTTTTGCTTAGCAATTTGTCTTTCATTTTTTCCACCATCAAATAAGTTTCAAGCACTAATTGAACGGTATGTGTCATCGCAAATGAATGGAAGTTCTGATACACCCGAAGTGCCGATATCCATCTATGCAAAAGTTTGCCAAAAACGTTTAGAAAAGATTCTTTTGACTGGCCCGAAGAAAGGTTTGAAGAAACCGAGTTATGAAGAAATTGAACTCTCGAAAGTAAGCTATTCCGTCGAACTTACTTGTAGATTTACAAGAATGTTCTGTTTTCTCTTCAGCATACGATTCATTTTCCTTCGATGTTCGGTACCAGTCTGGAAGAAGTCATGGCAATGCAAAGAACACGATATCCTGAACGACGTCTACCATGGATTCAAACAATCTTGTCTGAAGAAGTTTTGAGGCTGAACGGTGCGAACACCGAAGGCATATTCCGGTGTGTTGGAAACAAAAGAATCGATAAATATTTGCCCTTTGTCGATATTTTAGAGTGCCCGGTGATTTAGACGCTGTTAATGCTTTGAAAGTTAGATGCGACCAATGGCAATTTCCTTTACTCGAAGATGCTCATCTTCCCGCATCATTACTCAAGTTCTGGTATAGAGAATTAGCTGAACCATTGATCCCATCGGCATTTTACGAGCAGTGTATAATGAACTGTGATAAAGTTGAACCGTGTATACGTCTCGTTCATTCATTACCGGAAATCAATCGAATAGTTTTGACTTATCTGATTCATTTTCTTCAGGTAGATCCATTTGCACGGAAAACAATGAACGACGATAGTGGTTTCTGTTTATTATAGATTTTTGCTGCATCAGAAAATGTCGTTTTGACTAAAATGGATGTCAACAATCTGTCGATGGTGTTCGCACCGAACATTCTTCGGTGTGATTCCGAAGATGCGAAAGTTATTTTCGAAAACGCCCGAAAAGAAATGTTATTTATTAAAATTCTCATACTCAATCTGGACACAAACTCAATTGATGGAGTTATTTAATCATTCAAATGTATAGGATGGTTTTCTTCTTCTTTTTTTTTCCTCTCATATGTATTCAGGAATTAATGTGCATATATGTTTGTGTGTGTGTGTTTGTAAGCAGAACAGTTCTTTTTTTTTACAAGCTTTATGGAAGTTAATGGAAAGAAAAACAGCGATTATATAGAAATAAAATCGACACTAGTCATCGAATCGTAATCTGCCTGTCTCTACCGCTAATTCAATTACATAAATAATGGTTCTAATAAAATTGTCGAAAAAAAAAACTTGAGAGAAAATGTGAGTTAGAAACGGAAGCATAGAACGGAACAAATACATTTAGATTTGATTAATCTCTTCTCCAAGATATGGGTCTGCATAACCTTTGCAAAGATAATCTTCTGAAGCGTACTATAAATAGCGAAGTTTTTCTCTTCCGCTCATAGATCCATTGACACTCTACCTGAAAAACTTATTTTCATATCGAAATAGAAACCGAGAATCTATTATAGTGTTTTGTCCTTGTCGAAAAGAATATATCTCCATATAATTGTGTAGTTAGTTGATTATCGATTGTTCTATTTCACAATGTTTTCCTTTTTTTTTTCTTCAAATGTGTATATACGATTCTTTTGGGAAATCTCGAATTCTCAAGATTACACTTGTCTTATTATCAAGATAGAGTTACATTCATTTGTTGCGAGCGCAGTTCGTTAATTATTTAGATTTTTCAAAGAGAACTTCAGTTTCTTGATGTTTTTCTTCCTTGATCATTAAGAAAAAACACATTATGCTACTCAGAAATAACAAGAATCAATATGCAGTTATGCGACGCGTATAGACCAAGTAAATATCATTTGTTAACCTACATACGCGTTGTTTGCCTTTTGTCTTCTTTTCGTCGAGCATCATTATAGCCTTGATTAACACATTAGTCAAACGGAATTCAAATCCGATGCAAAACAGCGCCAAACGCACACCAATACCCGCTCAGAATGAGTCATTGCTTGCCGGTGTTGCTTCTGTCAACATTGCATTCCAAGATCTTTCTTTTGTAATCGAAATTGATTTATTTATGTCAAAAAAAAAAAGATTCTGAGCAAAGAAGAAACACACGACGCGTACATAATTATAGTAAATAAAGACTAGTCAGCATCAAAGAATAGAATAGCAAACAGAAATCGTTTGTATTTTAATACGAACAAACTATGTATGTATAGTTTTGAAACACACTCTTATTCCCTTTCGTTGAAATATATGTAGACATGACGAAAGATCTTTCTCGAATTAAACATACAAAAAAAGCAAACAAACGAACGCACAAGAAGAAAAGGTGAATTGAAGAACAGTTCACATTGTATAATGTTAGATATTGATAATCAAGCGCGAACAGATCGACTAGAGTGAGAGATGAACAAACGAGGGAACAAAACTGTCACATGCACACATCTGACAACATACACAAACGAAAATGAATCGAAAAGGAAAGAAGAGATCGAAGAATTTTTGAGAGCGATGTGATGGAATCGAGCACGAATTATTATGTTGAATTTCTCTTGTTAGAATTTTATGTTCACTGTCCACATGAACGTGTCTAGAAAGGTCAAATGAAAGAGAAAGAGAGTCACTGGAGCTCCTTCATTAAATACACAAATAATAAAGGCTAATAGAGAACAAAAATATATGTATATATATGGTAAATAGAAAAAACAGAACATCGACTATTATTATTATTTTAATATAAACCACAACCACGAAGATTTAAAGTAATAATCACCTAGAAGAAAAAGAAAAAGAGTAGATTTCATTTAGACAAATGAATTCAATTGATTTTTACATCCGTGACAGCATCGAATACAAATTGAACATTCTGGGTATCTGTTGCACATGTATGGTGACAATAAACTTCTTTTTGTGTTGATTTATTTTTTGATACGAATTGGGCTTGAATATATTCCGCAGCAGGATCGTATTCATTCGGGCCCGTATATTCGCGAAAACAGAGTGTTAACGGCGAACGTTTGATTTTTTCTTCGAATAAATCCTTCTTATTCAGAAATAAGATAATACCCGTATACACAAACCTAAAACGGAACTTCTCATGAACAAATCTCTATAGAAATTTGTACTACTAACCATTTATTATTACATATACTATTGAATAAGCGTAGAGATTCGTGCATTCGATTCGTTGATTCGTCTTCGTAAAGCACTTGATCGTATTCGGAGAGTGCCACACAGAAAATGATCGCTGTGACATCTTCGAAGCAGTGAATCCTAGATGAAGATAGAAAGAAAGAAAGTTGGATGGTGTTCATTGTCGAAATTGAATGTGCAAACCATTTCTTTCGTTCGGATCTTTGTCCACCGACATCGAACAATCGAAAATTCAAGTTTTTGAAAGAAAAGTTAATTTCCACAATGCCGGTTGTTTTGACACGTGTTCGTAAAACGTCTTGTTCATTCGGTAGAAAGTCCGGTGAACCAATTCGGTATAATTGATCTAGAAAATATTGCGCCGAATCGTTCAGTTGATATTCGTTACTACGAAGAAAACATTGTTGAACACCACTATCAGCCCATAAACGTTCCATAGATGATAATAAGACACTATTGAATGGTTCGGTATCCTTCATTCGTTGAATAACTTCCAAAACACGTTGAGCGTCGGCTTCTCGTTCCGCCGTAGCAAATTGAATATTGAGCATATTCATCGCACGAATGATTGCTCCCAATGATTGAATAGTATTCGAATAAACAACTGGACGATACTGTTCAAATTCTTCTCTCGTATAACCATGTTGATGAATTATACGCATTTGTTTGACAATAGTCGATTTACCCGATTCTCCAGCACCTGAAACTTCCGACATATAGTTACTATTGATGTCGTTTTGAATTTACTTACCGAGTAGTAGAAGTTTGACATCTTTCGCTGCTCGCTCAGCATCTTCTTTTATCAAACGATCGAGTGCTTTGCTGTACTATAAACGAAAGCAAACAAATCAAACGAATGTTTTATGATTCGAATTCGATTAGATCAAGCATTTAAAGAACTAGGTGGTTTTGTTAATCAAATAAAAGGCAAATTATATGAAATGATGTCTTACTCAGAAAAAAAGTTTGCTGAAAATGAATATTTTAAAACGCATCATGGAATCTGTTAAGCTCAACGATGAATCACTCACTTCTTTTTGTCGTTTTTCGTCTTGACTTGTAGCGCAGCCCATTCGAAAATCTCTTGTTTTTTTTGTATTCAAGAAAAAACAAACTAATTCATTGGCACGTTTAGGAATCGGTAAGTTTCCTTTTCTTTCCCTTTGTCTTATTCGATGCAATAATCAGCGAACGACGACGCCGCCATTTTGATTTTTCTTTGACGAATCAGCTACATGAGCGATGCAATGTGTATAGATGCGTTGAAAAAATGCATTGTGATAGATACGTTTTTTCGATATGAAAACATTCTCAATTTCAAAAGAAAATTCAATAGAAATTCATGGAAAAAAATTTTATCGGTAAATTTTCCGCCAATCAGTTTCGTTGAAAAGTTTCGCAGTTAGCTTCTTCGGCGTTGTTATTTGAATTAAATCAAAAATGACTTTAACAATTCAGGATTTGATTTCAACGTTGAGTGACGAACGGAAAAAGAGCAAATCTAACGACGGTAGATGAAATTAATTATTCAAGAATGGAAACAATGTTTTGTTTTCTCCTAGATGAAGATTTCGTGGTCGTGCAACAGTTGAATGACGAATGGCCGAATATATTTCATACCTATTTTCTATCAAAAATGACCCGTCTTCCACAAATAGCAACTGGTGCTACAAGTGACGATGATCTAGTCTTCTATGTCACGAAGAAAATCGATGATAATTCTCAAAGTAAGTCAAAATATTTATCCAAATATTCGTACAAAACCGTCTGATTTCAGTTAAAGTCTTCCGTCATCACGATGAGAAACGACAGCCGAAACCAGTATGAAAACATTTTGATTTAGCAAGTTCACTGACATAAATGTGATATAGGGAGCGGTGGATTACGATTGGGAAGAGACCACGTATCTCAATCTTGTTCTTCATCAATTCGAGTATACAGTAACAACAGCTGTGTGTATTAAAACACACGAAAAACGGTTACAAATTCTCAAACGCTTATCAACGGTAAAGTCAGCTTGTTTGATTGAAAGACAAATAGAAGCAAATGATGTTTGTAGAGAGTATATGCGAGTCCATCACGCCGCGATATGGAGAATAAAGGCAGTGAAGAGAAAATCACCTATCCGAAATTGTATTTTACTGTGGATAATTTCGAAGAGGTAAGATGAAAACGAACAGAAACACATAATTTCTTCTTTTTTGTTCATTGTTTTGTAGACTTTTTGTGAAATGTTTGTCAATGAAGGTCAGATGGTGTGTGTGGAATTAGTAGCTAAAAATCCGGTGCTAAATACATCTCGAGTGCTATTTCTTGGCTCAATTAAATATGAAGCATTGAGAAAAGTTTATGAAACACGAGTAAGACAGAAATGAAAATGGTTCTTTGCGATGTATAGTGGGCTGTCCTTTAGGAAACGGCTAGCACTCGTGTTGCTCAACGTGTTACTTTGGGAATTTATACGAAAAGACGAGTTGAGTTCGTTCGAATGCGTGGACCGAATGTAAGTAGACAATGCCAACGAAAAAGTTCAGTGTTTCTTCAAGCAAGATTTGCCATAGGGCAAAGGTCATGCGGAAATGACTGTGAGCCGATACAGATCAAGTCAATCCGGTTCGAGTACACCTGACTCAACACCGTCAACGCCCGTCAAATCAAATTTCGACGAAGAGAATGTAAGTTTTATTGCAAGAATAGATGAAAATTATGATTCATTCCATAGGAGGATAGTCTTCCGCGTGAAGCAGCAACACCACCTGCATCCCGAGGATCAAATACATCTAATGCTGCTACTCCCGAAGTCGAATCGACTGATATTCGACAAGGTTACTTATCGAAAGAGTCTCTTTCCCTTCCGCTTTTCACTGATCGCTTTATTTTCAGAACTATCCGATAATCCGGCTGGTTTTCTCGGTCGAACATTCAATCAAGCTGTTAGTTGGGTGCGTAATTCTAATGTTCGTTTCGATGCATCGGCTCAAACTCTGCCATTACAAACGTGTCTTACATATTTAACTCTACCTTGTGATACAATCATCAAAGATCTTCTGGAATCTAATTCAACGCCTCTATTGACGCCACAATAATGCAATCCAAGTAAATTTTCTTTCGAGTAATTCATGATTCTACGAAATTGAAATCCTTCCAAAAAATCCGCTCGCGTAATTTCATATTTTTATACTGTATAGCATTTATGTTGAATATAATGTATTTTTTAGCAATCGAGATGAAAACAATCAGTGATTTTTCTCCTCTTTTTTTTTCAAATACATACACATACGTTTATTTTCTTTACGTTTGTTTGTATACATTTTGATACAATATATTTGCATCTGGTTTTTGTCAATTAATCTGTTTGGATATCAACTACATTTTGAGTTTATTCAGACGATGGATGCATACAGAGGATTAGTTGACATCAGACTTATGATATTTCTGTTTTTAATTCAGATATTTATAAATCTCGAGATGGCAATGTTTTGAATAACGCATCGCCAGTGACGTAAGTTATCCGGATTCGATTTTAATCTTCTCAAAATAGTTCAGCTAGGCGTAAGTCTAATTAGACAGGATATATGCTATTATCAGATTGAAGATATAACAAATGAGCTGAGCATTCTTGCGCACCAGTAGACATCTGGAGATATATTTTTAGAAAGAAAACTGTTAACGTTTCAAAGTGCTATACTCTTGCCTCAAAAGCAGTTTTTTTTATCAACTATTTCAACTTTGACCGTTCTCTATGATACGAATTGTTTCTTTTGATTGGCTAGAGCTTGATAAGACACTCCAGGCGAGACAGGACTACAAACGGATTCTTATTTCTCAACTCCTACTCATATTTCAAATAGATAATTGATAAAAAGAATGTTATTAGTTTTCACAGCTTTACTTTATCTAAATAATTTCAAGTAGAACAATAACTGAGGTTTCCGAATAGAAATCAGTTCAAATCTCGTGAGAAAACCGACCGATACCTTATATCTTCATCTGCAAGGCGGTTAAATATTAATTTCACGTCGCGAAGAGGACGAATAATTATTACATACTCACTGTATGTTTTGATTTTAGATAATGAATACTCCAGTAATGAATGAAACGACATTAGGTCAACGAGATGATTATATTCATGAAGTCAGATTACGTGATCGGGCATGTGTTACTGCGTATCATGATGCTATTATGAATAATAAACATTTGTTTGAAAATAAAGTATCTCTATCGCTGACAAATGCTTCTGTTTATACTGATCGGATTGTTTAGGTCGTTCTTAATGTGGGTTCCGGAATAGGAGTTTTGAGTATGTTCGTTGCCAAAGTCGGTGCTAAACTTGTCTATGCTGTCGATAGCTGTACACGAAGATGCGATTTAGCCGCTGAATTAATCAAATGTAATCACCTGCAGAACAAAATTCAAATAATCAATAAACGCATAGAAGAAATTGATAAGTTCGATGAAAATATCGATATTATCATCAGTGAATGGATGGGTAATGAATATCCTTCGAAAAGCGGAAAGCATTTATCTGGTGTCTTCTAGGTTTCTATCTCTTCCATGAAAGTATACTCGAATCTGTAATTTATGCTCGTGATAAATTTCTCTCGCTGCCATCTCCAAATAACGACATTACACCTGATCAAAACGAATCGATTAACATATTTCCATCACACGCCTATTTAGTTTGTTCTCATCTATTCGACTGCCATTCATAATCATTTCTTTTTTTTTAGTACTGTGCTCCGTTTGTTGATCAAAATATTCGCATTGAATTGAATACCATGTGGAAAGATTACTTCAATCTGAACATGTCACCGATACTTTCGCATATAAAAAATTCTCGATTAGATCAGTGTATGATCGAAACTATCGAACCTTCTCAACTTGTCCATGATGCTCAATTGATCCAATCGATTGATCTTCGAACAATACGTGTCAATGACCTGTACACCTTACGTTCGTTTTGTGAATTTCACATTAAGAATACGTGTATTATATCTGGTTTTTGTTTTTGGTTCGATTGTTATTTTTCTTCGAATAATAACTCATCAATTCTACGTTCAACACGTTTAACCACCAGTCCATATTCGTTCCGGACTCATTGGAAACAAACGCTAGCTTTTCTTCCAGAAGATATCTATCCGCTCAAAGGCGACACTGTCCCTGTTTACATTAAGTTACAACAATCAACAACAAATCGACGACAATATCAACTGTCTGTAGTATTGAAGAGAATCAAAGAAGGAATCTGTGTTGATAATGACAGTTCGGATTCGACTACGCGTAGGCGGCAACGGCGACGATCGTCAACAATCTCCTCGGATAAACGAACGTATTCTCAAAATAAATCGAATGATACTTCTAGTGATAGTAATACTGATGATGATAATCAGAATGGTTCTAATGAACATCCGATTCCGTGTTTATGCGATCGCGATCGATGTAAACTAATCAAAACCATCATTGAAAGTCATAGTGAAGAAAATATCATTGAATGATCTAAATTCTTTGAATCTTCTTATACGCATGCTTATTTTTCACGATTTAGAACAAATTAGTGCCACTTATTTTTATATGCTTTCCTTTTCTAGATAATGACTGATCGTGCTCAACGAGCCAGTCTAATTAAATATTCGAAATCAGGACGAAAAGCTCAAACAGATCGGCGTCGGGCGAATCCATCGACAAGAGTAAATGAACAGCTACCTCATGGAACTGACACATTGGTAGAACACTCATCCACAAATGTAGATAATGATTTTATTAAAGTATTTATTGCTAATTTAACGTCAGATGGTGATGATCCACCGATATCACCGGTTAACGAGACTTCTTCGATGATAGAAACACTTTTATCATCACAACCAGGAGGAAAATCTAGTACGTCTAATCGATTTGATAGTAAAGGTAACTCGAATCGTCGAGGACTATCGACAGGTGACGAACGACGAGATGAACTAACGAAACTCATGAAAAATCTCTACAAAAATTGTTTTGAATTCGATTCCAAATCGAATGTTAACTCCATCGCTGATAATTTCATCAACTCGGATAAACGAAAACAGTATTCTACGAACTTATGGTAATCAATCACACTCAATACGAACAAATGCTCTACTTTGCAATGTTTAGGTATGAATTAAAAACGTTTTTCAATGGAAATAACAAACTCAACGAACACGGCATCGAAAGTGAACGACACTCGATCGATCATCTACGAAAGAAACTACTCGATGAATTCGACAAATCATTCAGTCAGTGTAATTTCGAACAATTGAATTATCATCAAAGTCCGACTATTCAACGTCGACATCTCTGTGAACATCATTTAAATCATTGCCACAATGTGGAAAAGTCCATGCAGAATTTGTTCGATCAATGGGATACAATTCTATCTTTATTTCCCTCGTATTCAGCTCTCGAACAGTACGATAAACGTTTCAATCCTTCGACAAAAGAAGGAAGAATTTTCTACGAGAAGTTGTTTATTTTCCAAGCGTGGTTTAATCTCCATTCCGAAATCAATCGGTTAATTTCCGTTCTCGGTCGATTGATGTCATGTACACAATGCTACATGTGGCCACATCATACACATTCATCGACGAACCGAGTCAACGATGCGATTTCACGTCCACAAACCCCATCATCTACATCGAGTAATGAACAAAAAGATTTCATCGCAGGTTCACCACCCCCGAATCCACTAATGTTCGAATCAAGGACAAGACGACAGAATACATTAACATCGATGTCAAGTATTGATAGTATGTATCAAACATCGTTGTCATCTTCTTCGTCGTTAATGGATTATTACTATCGGTAAGATTTCAAACAGTTTTGACTTCCGCTAGAATTCTTTTTTCCAGGTATGTTGATGATCAAGTAACACATGCTCGGATTGAATTAGTTGGAAGCATATTTCGGTCGAAGCATGGTCCATTATTACAACGATTACGTTATACGTACCGAAAGGTACATAAATGCACTTCATCAATATTTGATGATATTCTGAAGAATTCGCCGTTTCTGCCCGCTAATCTCATTCCGAATGATTACTTGCTCGATGCGAAACCGGATAAACTAATCGACGAATTTCTTATCCTACATAAACAATTGCAAGAGCAGAAGAATCCTCAAATCGGTAAGTGAACATTTGGAATATTCATCATCTCTCTCTCTCTTTCTCTTCCTTCAGTAACGAATAAGACCAAAAAGAAACCCGTCGATATCTATCCAGATAATTGTAATAATATTCTGCATCGTTTTGATCAAAACTCGACATTAATCTCAAGTACATTCGCCCCTGCGCCCGCGCCGACTCTAGTCCTAAAACTTGTTTCACACGATCGAAGTATTCTCAAGCGTCAATCCTACTTTCTTGACTATCTCGATCCAACCTCATATCCGCATTTACCTGGCTCAACACTCTTTCCCGATCCATGCTTGTTTCTCGAACCTTCACCATCAAATCTCTACTCGCAATTAACATCTGACCAAGATCTACCAATCGGTAAAATGTTAACCATATGTCATCGACTTTACGATAAACATGTCTGGGTTGATAGTGGAAGATTTTCGGATATGTGTGACATATTTCACTTGCCATCACTCTATCCACAGTACGTCTTTCTCGTGCAAATTCCATTGGACTTGATCATTGCCTGGCATCGATATCATCAAGATAAAAAGATGGAGCAAACGCCAACAACAGGTAAAAAGAGAAAAATTTTAATTTCGAGATCTTCTTATTTTTCTCGAATGCACACATGTCTAGATTATGTTTTTTCAGGTGCATTGCTTCTTCTCATCGATGAATGTAAGATTTTAATACACAGTGCGACGCTTATTCGTCAATATGTGAAATTAATGATTACGGACACATTTGGTAAACGAATTTTCTTGTATTTACGATCTCTGATCGTTCCTTGATTTATAGAAAAAGCTGAACTGAGATTAATCGAAGATGAATTGGCCCAATTCGATCAACACATTATTGAAACAATCTATGAAATCATGACTTATATCGAACGCTACATCGAAATCTCATTATTTTCGTATTCATTCCATAATTGCATTATTTTACTCAAAGAACAATGGAAATGTTTGAAAAAATATGCGACGATGATGAACATGGAAGAGATAATAGGTGAAAAATTCCTGAATATTTACTCGACCATCATCAATCGTTTTCGTGAATACGTGGATATTTTTCATTCAGCGATTCCATCCGCTGAACCCATGATAATCGAACATATCAAGAAGAAAATGAATAAGAAATATCAGAAAAAATTAACGATGACTCTTCTACGTGAAGCGAAGGCGATTTATGAAGATTGTGCCTTGACAATCAATATTTATCTACAGAGGCCTGTTTGCAAACGCTTTTTATTAATTCTCAAAACAGCTGGCTTTGAAAGAATTAAATTTGGTAAGACATAAAAATCTTCAGAATAACCGAGATGATGAAGTTGACACTTTTTTGTCAGCATAAGTGAATAGATAGAGTATTTCTCCTTCTGTATCCTATTTAATTGAATCTGTCAGATTAGAAACAAGTTAAACAACTTCTAATGAGATTTATTCTATTTTCGATATTCTAGCTTGTGAAAATCATCATCCACATCGAACGCATTCGTCGAAAAAAGACAGTTCATCTTTATCAAAATGTCTTTTATTCGCCCCGGCTGAGTATTTCAAAGATGTTCCATCGAAAATTCAATTAATCCGTACCTTATCATCTTCATTTCGAATCAATGCGAACAATAATTCCTCTAATGAGCCAACTGACGATCAATTGCCACCTCAGCAACAATCTTCACCAACTTCCGCTCAACAACCCGCTCTCCCAACCATCGAAAACTCTCCTCCCTTAGTCTATATACTCTGCGTACCGATTACTGAAGAACTCGAATCGGAATGGCGTGGCATGACTCATATTATACCAGAAAACAAAACGTTAACATCGATATCACCATTGCATATGCATTGGAAAACAACAACCATATTTCTTCTAACCCAACAGACGACCAATCTGGACAAATTCGAAGAATCTTTCAAAGAACGTCTCGGAAAGATTAATGTTCAACAAAATGATCTATACAATTTCGAAAATCCTGCGAAACAACCTCTCCAGAAGCGTTCGTGCTTTGAAAAGATTGATAATTCAATGCGAACACTCGCTCATTCGATCCTAAATCTAAGCAATTGTATTACCAGCAACGTGGAGAATTTTGAAAGGCTAATTGATCAAATTCACACACGAGACTATGTCGTAAGTGAACCATTGACGTCAAATGAAAGAAAATCTTCTAAACAGGATATTCGACACTTTTAGCATACGGAAGAGCGAGCGTTTGCATTCGGCATGGATGTGGTACGTGAAACGAGTTTCTACGCCACACAATGTGAACATGAGACATTAAAAATTCAAGCTGAACGGCAAATATCATTTGGAAATTATTGGCTTAACTTCGTTCGCAAGAAAAAAGCTACAACCACATCGAGATATTTAATCCCCATTCCCATGTGGCTATTACCTGGTATACATTTTCTTCGACATATATGCTCACTACAATTCACTACTCATACTGATAATGATCTCTTTTCGAAATTTTATGATAATATGAGACAGACGATTAAATATCTGAATAGCCCAAATGAGAATAGTAATCGAAACGTGTATCCGTCGAAGTTGATGAAATATTCGTCCATGAAGAAACGTCGTGGAAGCCAACATCCGTCAAGTAAAGTACGCTTGACTCGTATTGAACAAATCGAACGGATGGATAAACGGATCGATCGGCGACGTTTCAATGAAGATTTGATTGGCAAAATCAAATGTGTATCAAAAGTCTCGTCGTTAACCAAGAAAAAAAGAGGATGATTTAGCTCATTTCAAAATCCGAGACTTTCATAAACTAAATCTTCTCTCCTGCGGCCAATTTGCAACCAGTAAGTCAACATTTTGACATGTTTTCATTCCTCCAACTTCGCTTTCTTCCAGCATACAAATGTTGGGTAAATCGCAATGGTAAAAAAGAGACTCTCTGCTATAAACAATACAAAATTCAACCAAACGATGCACAAGCGATCGATAAAGTTTTGGAACTCATGCCATTAATGTACATTGAACATGAAAATTTAATCAAATATCACGGCATCGCACTCGAACATGATCATATTCTATTTTTCATGGAATACTGTAGTCATGGCACCATAGCCCAACTATTACTCGGTACCTCATTACCATCTTCATATACGGATACACGTCGTTCGTCATATCCACTGTCGAGCTCACTAAATGAATCCTCATATTTTGATAAAGGCTTCGTTCAAATGCCTGGTGGATATGTTCTCTTACGTGAATTTGTTGTTCAACGTTATTTACGTCAATTATTATCTGCTCTCTCATGTTTACATAAAAAAGACATCATTCATCGTGATATTCGAAATGTAAATATCTTTTTAGCTGATTCAAGCCGACAATCAATCAAATTAGGTGATGTTAATTTCGTTTATGATTTTAAATTTATGCAAAAGCAATCGTCTTTGCTTGATGTCGAAGACGTAACAAACATTCGCGAGTCCATTGTTTTCTATGCGCCGGAAACTATAACTCAGTACATAACAACAACGAAATCCGACATCTGGTCATTAGGTTGCACGATGATTCACATGCTAACTGGTCGAATTCCATGGAGCAATCCGGCGATTGCTTCACGGCTTTATTATTTTAAAATTCTCAAGTTGATCGCTGATGGTGATCAGCCAACGATACCAACGAGTTTGAATCTCTCTAACGAATGTATACATTTTCTTGAGCAATGTATTCAACACGATCCTAATCGTCGACTATCGTCACACGAATTACTTGAACATCCGTTTATTAAAGAAGAATAAGCAAATCTTTCTTCTGTGTGTGTTTTTTTTTTACATGAATATACATTCACATAGTAATAGAATATTGTTATTTCTGATTTGTTATATAAATAAACAACTTCATTCGAACAAAACGAAGGAAAACCGTTCGTTTATTTTAGATTTTTCATGTTTGATCATCATGAGTAAATTTTATTCTAATGTCGAACAAGAAATTCTCGATTTTATTCACCGATGTCGTGGTAAAACAAAAACTTGATTGAAATTTCAGAAAAACCCTTTCGCTTTAGACACGACGACAACATCATCTTCCGTTCCATGTTTAACAACGATTTCGCTCGATACATTCACATTAGCAATCGAACATCTTCATAGATTTCTTCAATTTTTATTAACTTACACGCCGGATGTGTCAATCGATTTCCATCAGCTTATTTCTATTGTTAGTAATTGTTCTGAACTGATGAATTACATTGATACATATCAATATCTATTTATTGAGTATGCAATTGATGATTACCTACTTCTCGACGAACATTTCAATGAAATTTACGAGAATGTCATCAAAATTCTGGAGTGTATTCGTCATTTACCAACAATCAATTCCGAAATTTATCATTTAGACAAAGAACTTCGTCTCTATCTTCCATTGACTTATTCTCGCTCATTATCAACACAGATTGTTTCGACGTTAATCGATCAAACATCTCGTTTATTCTCCTCGTCATACAATTCTCTATCCAATGACACCGAAGATGATGATAATAACGATAATCATAATACGTGCATCATGTCATCCAGTTTTCTCTTTAGTAGTTCACCGTTAATAATCAACTATGATAACGATAACAAAATGATAAATCTCAATCATTCCGATTCGTTCAATGAATCGCGCTCGATGATACAGTTGGATAAAATCAATATTCGTACGACAAGTTTAACACATTCACAATTAACACCATCATTTCAATTTGATTTAACCGAGTTCGAGCAGATTGAGAATGATTTAGGTAAGGAGAAGATTTTCCTAACTCGAATGAATTCGAACATTTTCGTTTAGATCAATCGAGTGATTGGATGAAAATCGAACGAGAAGTTTTCCATAAGATGATCTCTGTTTGGTCTCATGAGAATCTAACAATTCAAACAATTAATCCTTGGTCGAGTGAAACCTTCTGGATCTTAATTATGCATTTTAAATGTTCGGATATGAATTTGAAATACGAATTCATTCTTATCATCCAATGGTGTTTTTGTCTGTTAGCTATTCAAGCTTTCAATCGTGATTGGGATTTGTGTATGTCGTTTGACCAGTTGTGATCGATTTGAAATTGAATTCATGCGATTGTTTTAGTATTTAGTAAAACATTAACTAATACAATAATGAACAATCGCTGGCGAACGATTTACTCGTCGAAAAATATTCATGTCAGTGCAGTCGGTCATCACCTGAATCAAATGTTTCTTCGTCTCATTCGGATCGTCGCAATTTTACAGTACATGAAAATTCTCGCCGATCAATCCTCATATTTAACAGTAAAGAATAAGGATATGTAAAATATTTTCTCATGTTCGAATTTAGTCCTATTTCATCAACCTCATTTCTGTAAATATCAACATGTTGACCCAACAGATTGAGGGAACATTTCATTTATTATTGATTTGGCTCAATCAACATGCCGATGCTTTCATTAACGCCGATTTATTAGAACGAGCATTACTAATCTGTACAACTGATCATATGGTTAGTAAAACAATCCAAGAAGTGCATCGTCTAATCATGTCCTTTTCTTTCACTTAGCAAATATCCAAAACAATCGCCTACTTAGCCAATTCGCTCCGACAGCTAAAAGATTGTCAGCAACCGATTACGTCAATAACGAAACTACATTCTTCATGTCAGGTACGTGTTGCTTGCGCATGAGATCATCAATAGAACTTTGTCGTACGGTTTTGTAGACAATTGTCAACGATACAATATCGAAACTATATCGTCGTATTCATATCAATGCAAGTCAATATTTTACTAATAAATTACCCTTAACAGCAAACGAATGGCGACTAAGTAAGACGATTGGATTTTGCGAAATATTTATCCAATGTGTGTTTTAGCGTATCAGCAAACATCTTATATGATTACTGCGTGTGATAAATTATTGAAATCAATCATTAGTCAAATTGAATGTTTACATTTTGATACGAAATTTAATATTTACGAGAATGTTCTTTCAGCATTTGTGCAAGCTTGGATAATGGTGTTACTCGAACGAAAATATCGATTTTGGTAATTTCTGAAGCGTTCTGATTCTTGATCTTTCATTTAGCTATTTAGTGATGACATGGTTAACATCCTCCAAAAAGATCATGAATATTTGCAAACATTTCTTTCGGAGAACATAACCGATGAAGAAACTGTCCAAGCACTGAATCAATCGCAAGCTTTGCAAGAAATTGCCAGTATTATAAAATTACTAAAAACAGGAGACAGAAACGAATCGCGTACGTATCGAATTCAGATTTTCAAGGAAATACTCATAGAATATGATATATCATTCCATTCAATTACCGAATGCATGTCATATCTTTGATGTTTCTAATTATTCCGAACATAACTCTAATTTGTATTTCATCTTCGTGACTGGAAACCAGAGAAGTTTGCCTTTCGAGTATCATTAATAATACTCATATCTCTGACATTTTTCTTTCTTCATTATGATCTCAAAAGCTCACTAATATTACCATAAAGATGTCTCCGTGTAAAGAATAAGATTGCTTGAATCTGTCTTTGTTTACATCGAATCTAATCCTGAGGAGAACAATGATCTGACAGTTAAAGAGCTTTTATTCTCTATCGAAACGTTAAATCCTGACAAGCATTCATTTCTAAGCCATTAATACGTCGCAACTTAATCAATCTATTATGATTTGTCTGTGAATACAACAATGCATTTCGATAGTTCATTCATTTTAGTGCCTCATATACCCAATCAAGACAAATGGCTGCAGTCGAGAAAATCTTCATCGTCATTCTTTGAATGTTTTCAACAAATCTGTTGTTGTCAACGGCGGAATCGTGTTACGACGGGTCTGTCGTGAGATAAACTGGATCTCTCCGCTTATCTGCATCATGTCAGGTTTATATCCAACTCGTTTTTATCTGTGATACGAATATATTTTATTGTTTTTCGAGACAAAAATAATAAATTATTTTTAAACAAATGTACGTGTGCGGTTTAGCAAATAAATACATTTAAACAGATTCGAATTCTTTTTGCCATTGAATGTATTTATCTTGATACATTCGTCCCGATGGTTTCGTCGTTGAGAGAACTTTCTCGACGTCGGCTGTTGTTATGGAATCGAGTTCAATTGAATGTGCTCCTTCGACATCTAAACAGTTCGTTCAATATTCACACTCCTCGTTTCCCGACAATCTACCTTCGTAATAATGTTCCAAAATATCAAAGATTTTTCGCACCGGATTCATTGCCGCCTCTTTGCATACTAATTTAATATCTGCACCTGAATAGCCTTCAGTACACTAGAGGAAAAGAAGCTGATGTTGTTGCAAGAAAAAGAAATAATGAGATAACTTACTTGACTTAATCGTTTGTAATCCAAATCTGCGTATAGAATCAATCCATTTGGATCGTGAATCACCGTCGGTGGAAGAAATTGTTGAAACATGGCTTCACGAGCTTCTCTTGTTGGCAAATCAACGAAGACGCGCTTTTCTAAGCGTCTCAACATAGCATGATCGAGTTCCCTGAACAAAAGCAAATCAAATAGAAATCTTTTTTTCCTTGAAAAACCTTCTTGCTGACATATGTACCAAGGCAGATTAGATGCAGCAAGAAGAAAAACAAGATCGTCGGATTTAGCTAATCCATCAAGTTGAACAAGTAATTCCGTTTTCATTCGTCGACTACCTTCGTGTTCACTGAAATATCATCGAAAGAAAATCCTTTTAAACTTAATTCCAGCGACATCGATGTGGCTTACGTACTTGTTCGTGCTGCTGCTACCACCACGTTGACTCATAATCGCATCGAGCTCGTCCAAAAAGATTGTTGATGGGGCATGAAATCGCGCTAATTCGAATAAAACTCGAACTAGTTTTTCTGAATCTCCACGCCATTTGCTAACTATAGTCGATGCCGAGATATTAAAAAACGTTGTTTTACATTCTGTTGCTACAGCTTTTGCTAATAACGTTTTTCCGGTACCCGGTGGACCATATAAAAGTAAGGCTTTCCATGGTGATAAGATTCCAGTGAATAATTGCGGATACTGCGTTATTCAAATGAAAAAGAAAAGAAGAAGTTGTGCGTTTTTCTTCTTTCATTTTCCCTACGCGTATTGGATAGACGACTGCTTCTTTGATTGTGCGTTTCGCAGCTTCCAGACCGATAATAGAATTCCATCGTACACTTGGATCATGTAGATAGATATCCTAAAAATGTCAATATGAACGTACTGAATCTCCAGAGAGTTCTAATAAGCAGAAAATATTCTCGATTCGTTATTATTCAATTAAAACCATGACAGTTTATTTATTTCATGCAATTGAACCTTTCCGTTTTGTTTCTCCAGAAATCTGTCTTGACAGTTTCAAGGTTGTTCTTGTCATTGATTGATTAGTTTTTCTCCTTTTCTCATATATCGAATATTAGATGAGACGAAAAACATAAAATTTACAGTAGAGATCCTCTCGAGGTGTGAAGCGAAGAGAGCAATAGAAAAATATGTTCCATTTAAGATTACATATAAAAAACACTTGTCTCTCTTCCTTTCTTTCTCGTGTCAGATACAAAATAAGTCTCATTTTCATTCGTCGAACTGATTATACATTCAGAGCAGATCGTTGTCTAGATTGTCTGACATTACATTCTATTGAGCTACCGTTTCTTTCTCGTGCTGTCAACAAGTCCTATGTTCTTTTCATCTTAGTTTCCTTTTTATTTCTCAAAATCCATTCTCTTGAGAGGCGAGCAGAAAAGAAACATGCTCAAAAACCCAAGAGAGAATATTCTTATTTAATTCAATAATTATTCTATATATTATCTTTATGTTTTTTTTTTGACTTGTCATTTATATGAATTTTCTTTTTTCTTCCTCATGCATATAAACAGTATATAAAGTTAAAAATAGATCAAATCTAGCGTCATCCTTCAATGCACGCATATAAATTACACGAATAAAAAAGAAAGAAGCAGAAAACTTTTTTGCATTTATGTGAGAACAACTGCTGAGAAAAAAAGAAGGAAGGAATATAGAGGAAAAAAGAGAACGCATCTCCATTTTCATTCTCATGCGAACACAGCAGGTGAGAAGAGAAAGAGAGAACTGACAAATACAATCGTCCGATGGGGTGCAAGAGGGCAAAGGAAAAAGAAAAAAGAAAAACAAAAGACATCGTCCAAATGGGGTTAATATTTCTTCATTCTGTTCGCTCTTATTTCTTTTTTTCTCTTCTTCTTCTCCTCCCGTCCGTCGAAAGCGTTCACATCCCATCCAACTCGACGCGGCATGTTTGCCCATTAGTTATCTTCTTCTTCTTCTTCGACTTCAACGAAAGCAACGGCAAACGCGGCCAAGATCATCAGAAAAAAAGAAAACAGAAAGAAGAGAAGTAAGCAACGCATGGAATAGCTATCGAAAATTTTCATCATTCCTGTCAAGACATATGTATATCGATCGATCAATATCTTCGTATTTGTCAGANATCGCCGCATGGATGTTTGTGAATAACAATCCACGTTGGTCCTACGGTTTAAAATTTGTACAATTAACACTAAATTCGAATATTAATAATGAATTAAAACGTTCACCATATGAAGCATTATTCAAAATGTTACCAGTTTTAAGACCAGCAACAGTCACGCTATCGTCTTCAACGACAGATAATTCTCTACAACAACAGCAACCGCAACAACATCATCATCATTCACAGTTACTTCAACCAAATGCAGCAGTCGTTCCACCATCATCACATTCCCCATCGGGTAGTGCCACTGAAGGTGATTTCGTGACACCTAATGTGAATATTCTTCCTTCGACAATGACTTCAACGGATCGAATTAAAGCAGAAATGTAAAATCTCTTTGTACAAAACCAAAGAAAAATATTCTCTTTTCTTCGTCTCTCTCTCTCTCTATCTTTGTTGATGTTGTTTTCTTTGTTGTTATTTTCTTTTTTCTTGTTTTGCTTTCTTTATTACTGTCTCAAAGAGTCTCTCTATCAGACTTGATATGAAGAATGATGATGAGAACCTTCAACATAAAATATCTTCAAAAAAAAACACTAAGAATTCCTTCTTTTTATCCATTCAAAAACCTGTTTTGTTCTTCCATATGAAAATTTTTCTTTACTCTCTCTCTCTCTTTATATATTTTTTTCTCCTTCTAACTAAAAAACAAAGATTTTCTGGGGTAATCTCTTTTTCTTTTTTTTATTACGCAGTGGTGTTTCTCTTTCTTTCCATCTGGTCAGGTGTTTTCGTGTGCGTGCGTGCGTGTGTGTGTGTGTGTATAACTTTACCGTTTTTCTCTTTTTTTTTGTTATTATTATTATTATTTTTGTTTCGTGCTTGTGACCATACTCGAGCGGACTAAAAGTGATGAGAAATATGTCTAAATGGCGAAGAGTACGAGAGTAATGTGATGAAATACGAGACAAATGATGGAAAAGAAAGTTTTTATAAAAAAATAAAGACAAGAGAAAAAACCTAACTGCTGTTTCATTTACCCGACTGACAACTTCGGCTAATTCACGCCATTCGGCATTGTAACCAGCATAACCACCGAGCGGTTTCAGCAAACGGTCCTGAATGCATATACAAACAAATGTTCATTGGAAAATCGAAGGACAAGAAAAGTTATTTACAGATGGATCTGGAGGATTTTCGATCGGTCCACGCAAATTGTCATTGAGCATCGAACGACAATCGATTATCGCTGTAGGATACTGAAGGACATATGAAGTAGTCGCGCAGCTCAATCGGAAACTCTTTCGATTACTTTTCTCTTGTTTGCACACTGTTGTTGATCGTTCGATGAAGAAGTTGTTTTGACTGATGACACTTTCATGAATGAAAGTGCCATTTCTTCCACAGAACTAACTGAATGTTGAATACTAGGAATTCCTGATTGTGACTGGAGACGAGAAGTACAATGAAAAAGACTCGAATGTGAAGATTTGTCTCACTTGAGAACCTGAGGATGACATGGAAGTTGATGATGGAAGTTTCTCTGAGTTCGTTCGATTGAGTTTTCGAGTGTTCGATAATTTCCGTATTACATCTCCCACTGTTGGAGAACGTTGAGATGAACCATTGCCAGCTGCTGTGCCTTCATTTCCGTTGCTAAGCACTCGTGGCAATGATGGAACATTACTACGACGAGTCGTTGACTGAGCACTAATGGAAACACTGTCATGAGTAAGATTGAACAATTTTACGAGTCTTACTTGGCTAGTTTAGCTGACAGTTTACTTGTAAATGCGGCTTTAAAGAGTGGTAGAACTTTCTATTTGAGAGAAATGAGAAACGAGTTTACCTGCCGGTGCGATTTTTTTCGTCAATTTTGGGTACCGATTAAATTTAACATAAAAATATGACCTAACGCAAAACGGAGCTTCGTTCAGATCTGTATTCGAATAAAACAACATACTCATATTCCTGAAGAATTGTATCAAGACCAATATTGTCGCAAACATCGTATTTACTAACATCAAGATGCGTTTCTTGTTCGAGCTCCCGTGCAGATTCGATGTAACTTGAAAAAAAAAATAACAAAAAGTAATGCGATTGTTCTAATCTTCAACCATCATAATACCCTTCTTCAGCAAGCCATTGTAAGACGAGAATAATTAAATTTCTTTTTCGATTTTCGATTCGCAAATCATCCTATAGCAAAGAATCGAACGATGTATACAAAAAAAAACGCAATCTTACTGCTTCACGAGCGGCATGCATCGTTCGGATATTTTGATAATTCAATGTTGCTTCAGCCATATTATCTGTTTTTCGAAGGTTACATTCAAAATAGGATTCAACAGGAGATATAAATAAAATTTCATTCCATTCAAGACGAACTCTGATCAAAAATTACTTAGCTACCGACGTGAAAAGACTTGCAATTCGAATAGATGTCGTTTTGTGAATCCACACTGATCCGCGATGATCAATTAAGAAAGTATCACAGATTCGTTTCGTTTGGTTCACTTCACCTGTCACAAACCATCATAAACTAATTGAATTTCTGACGGTTTGGCAATGTATTTCAATATTCCAGTACAAAATCTAATCAGGTAATGAGTTTAATTCGACATTATCTCATAAATAATACTGAACGAAGAATTGATATCAAACAGGGTACAGTCAGTTATATGATAATGCCGTTGATTCATTCCCATCCATTGTGAGTGTTTTGTTTTCGCGTACAAATAATTAATAAGAACTACACAATATCATTCTGACATCAAAACAATAAAGAATTTAAATATTTATTAAATAATCGACCTGAACGTTTGTTCTCGTTTTTATTCTCCTGACGAAAATAAATAACTTTCCTAGTCTTTCATTCATTGCGATTTAAACGATGGCGTTTAGAGATCAAACTCATGTCATATACGGCACAAAAGAGAATTCAATCGCCCATCATAGAACTGTGAGCTCTTACAGATAACGCTATCTTACGTATTGATCTGATCCGTAGAATTCATTGTCAAAGTCACTGCCAATCGAAAGCTATTTATGTCACCAATTTCGGGCAAGGCCGATATAAGTACATTTTCATAAATCAAAGAACATGTCCTTATTTCTGATATTAGACTAGAAACAAATATACCTATAACTTTTCCATGTCTAATTGTAGCAAATGAAAAATCAATAATTTATGATCTGTTAACTGCTGTTTTCTCGATCAACATCTTGCACGATGTTACAATCATCATGTAATTTAGAATTTGACTTGGTATCTTCGTTTGCCGACAAAAGCATTTTCTAATTAAATCGATTTTTAAAAACATCACACCATTTACTCAAAAAGAAAACAGTGAACTGACTGGAGTGACGTTCTTTTTTTCTCAGATGTACCATTTGTCAAATGTTCGAAAGAATACTACGTATGACGTAGGTTAGTTGCTAAAGGAAAGATCTTCTAGAACATAGATAGTTGACAATATCTCACGAGATTTTGCCAGCGCGAGCGTGTTCGAGAGGAGGCAAACGTTATGATTTGTAATTATTTACATCTCTAGATAAAAACATTTCTAATTTTGAATTCTTCGCTTTTTTAAATCATATGATCGAAGTCCCAGAAGTATGAGAATCATAGGCCGAACTCGGTGATGAATATGATTTGAATAAGAAGCATGTCTGATTTCTGGCACATGTCGCACAACGTCAAGATTTACTTTGTTTTTGAATGGTGAACATCATAAAACGACAAGTCAGTTGATTAACGACTATCTTTACTTGTCAAAGCTTTTAAATTCATACAAAAAAGGTTTCGACCAAAGAACTCTCTCCTTCTGCCGGGAAAATGCAGGTCGCCGAAGAGTCTGACATTCTTGGTTAATATCACATATTCTTCAAACGAAATGTATTAGACATGATATTTGTGTGTGTAGAGATCCGAATTCCTATTAACGTCGTCAATCTATCATTCATTAGATACGTTAATGAAGAAAAATCTATTGTCAGTATGGTGCCTAAGAGCATAAGAAGTAACCGGAGAAGCAAACAAATAAATTCATTTAACATTAGCATTGTTGTGAATGTCGTCTATGTATTAGATCATGGATACATGTGTATTCTAATTATTGTTTTCGGTGAAATGATTATGACACAATAGAAATAATATATAACTGTCGTTTATTAATTTCTTTTACCGTTTCTTCCATTTGAAGATAGATTTTATTTACACACAATGAGATCTTTTATGCTTTCTTCAACTGTCTATCAAGGATCGCATCCGTTCATACGATATATAGAAAGACTGAAGTGTTATTGTTGTTATTATTTATTCCTTTGGATCGCAATGTATATTCTGTAGTTGATCATTAACAATTTCCGAGAGAAAACACAACAATATTAATAACATGTTTTCTTTTGATCGACATGTTCTTATTTTGGGATATTCACGATTTCTCTACTGAAATTTTCAAGGATCAGATTGAAAGAACTTCGTTGAAGTTCGTGACGTTACATCTGATTTTCCTTTTCTCTTTTCTTTCAGATTGTTTTGTGAGTTTTCTCCGGCAAGAGTGTTATAAATAAAAACACGAAAATGCTTTATTAGAAGAAATCGTAAGTTCTGTCTATTTACCAACACGACGAACAGTGATGTTCGGGGATAACATGAAGAGAGAGCGAGCGAAAGACAGAATGAAATTACTTTGCTGATTATTTTTTGTTGCGTGTATTTCTTCTTCGTTGTCTCCAATACATGGAAGAAGATCGAGAAGGAAGAAGGGAGAGAGAGAGAGAAGAAGCGAGTACACTACTAGCTCTTATTCTCTCTCTATTTTTCTCTGAAGAATGAAATATTTTAAAGACAGACACATCTTTTTATTTTCTCTATTTTTCCGTTTATGAGAACATTCATTTATTACTAACGTAAGTGTATCAGGATCGTTGTATTTATGAGGACTCATCTTTCATATACGTTCTAACATTGTCCATCTGTACTTCAACGAGTCAATTTCCGTTCGTTCTCTATCATGGAAAGAAACAACACTATCGTGTAGTAAAAACATACATTGATGTACAATAAATCTATTTTGATAGCATCAAGAAACACCTTGAAAATGTCATCCATTTGTCTTTCTTTTTCGGAACTCTTACGAATTCTCACAATAGACTTCCCATTCTGTAAATCTTCAAATAAACGTTTATTATTATTGTACACCTGAACATTCAGTGGAAAAACATGACTTTTTTATCCTTTCATGCTGATATTTCTCTAGAGATTTTTTTATTGTTTGTTATATTTCAGCATATTTTTCTATTCTCTACGATAAATCTCGTACTACCATCAATTGATTCACTAACAATGATGAAATCAATTCCATCTTCGTTCGCACTACTCATTTCCTGCCTAATTATATATATACATGCAAATGCTGACGAACTCCATCAACCACATTGGTTAAATGGCGCCCATCACAATCGTTATCAATTGTTCAAAAAGTGGCTCGAAAGAAAGCCAGTAGATGAACGTGCTGCCGCATCGCCCTACGATGTTTTGCACCCAACACATCAATTCAAAGGTATACTTTACTTTCTATGAAAGTTCATTTGACCGAAAGCTCTACCGAGCAAATCTTCTAGGCTGTATCGATCCATCAGAACCATTTCAATGCCCGCGAAGTGAAAAATGCATTGCTCTGCAATCGATTTGCGATGGCGTTCCGGGTGATTGCCCTGGAAATCTTGATGAGAATGAAGAAACATGCATTGCTGGTAACGAAATTGGATTTATCATTTGTATCAAACATCGTTTTTGATTTCAGCTAAACGACCAGCAAAAGAAAATATCGAAAAATTCCTTCAAGCTGAATACACTCTCCACGGTTCGAAGTTATTTACATTCATATTCGGACATAAAATCTCCAAGAGTATCGAAGGAAACAGTGCATATTGGTTCGACAGTCTCGCATCAGCTTTTTCAAGTAAGAGAGATGACCGTAAATATAAAATATTGAATTCGATTTGTTTTCCCTAGTCGCCAAAACCATTCGAAACTTTGCCGAAAAAACTCATATGTCTTCAGATGAACTTGCACATTTTCAAAATGTCATTCAAATGATTCACGATGGCCGATTGGAAGAAATCCCTGTATATGCCCAAGAAGCTGTCAATCAAGGTCTCGCGTCCCTAGTCGAAAAACTGTATGAATCCGGCTTTATGGATCAATAAAACAAAATGAGAACAACTCGACTACAAATGAACTCGTTTGAAGTATAAATAAATCATTCTTTTTAATTGTTTATGTCCGAGAAAGAAAGAATATATGAATATCTTCATTTGTTTAGTCTTCTCGTATAATTATTGGTCCTTTCTGTCAAGTTCAATTGCAGAAAAAATAAATTCCTCTGACTGGCGATTCTTCAATAAAAATAATGAAAAAAAAACCCAGATTGAATAGACATCATTTCGAGAGTCTATCACTTCCTTTCCTATTATAAATAACGGAAAATCATCTATACTTAAAACTTGGAAAAAGTTTAAAAAATCCCACCCCTTGGTAAGTCTTCAAATAAGGACATGTTCTCATTTTACGATGGCAAGAAAATCATTGACTATGATTCGAGTAATTCCTAGACAATACTCCAAAAGTATTTTAGGAGACCAAGATTCATGGAATGTTTTCCTACACTGATTTGATTCGAACAAATATATAATCGGTAACAATGCACAATGATTGATCAGATTCGAAGCAATTACCCAATCGATATCACCTTTCCAATGTTCCTGTATCGACCTGACTCATTTCATTTCAAACGACAGGACCCGATAAACATATTGATATTTTCTTCCTAAGCAAATCAAATTGCAATGTCACATGCATATATTAGTAAATATATGAAATCTAATCATTGGACGATGATGTATCGTCACTTGTTACACATCACTTGATAGCATTACGTCTATCACTAGCGTTCGTTCTTTTGCGTTTAGTATTGGCTGTAATCACCTTCAAGTAAGAAATATCGATTCTTTCCGACATTATACAAACATAACCTTCGAGCAAATTCACAATTTGTTGATAATTTTTTCACAATTACAAACATTCTTCGGAACAAGTTAATCTAGAAAAAATAACCTTGATTTCTGTTCGTTCGCATGCTTATCGATATGTTAACAAAAGTGTATGATGTCATTTCTTCGTTATGAATTATCAAGATAACACTACTAGATACGCTTATCACGTGTATTTTGTTTAACAAAAAAACTTTATTGTATCGAATAATTATTCATCGATTCGGAGATACAGATAAGCATGAAGATTCGTAGTACGAAAATGATTGATCATTATCATTGAAGTTTCCCATACGGATTAACTGTTTCACACTGTCTGGGTCGACCGCAAGCATAAGTCTGATTGAAATGTGCTTAATCACATAACATTTGATCTTCAGGGGCAAATCTTCAGTTAAAGTCTACTTTCGATTATACCCCTTAAAAAAAACAACAAAATCCTTTGATCAGTGTAGATTGTGTTTTGGTTACTTCTACGATTTCAAACGTTCTTAGTCAAATAAATTTTGAAAATGAGAGGCGTGATATTTGCTGTTCTATCATACCCCTTTTTTTCTCTTTTGAATACAACTGCAGCACACCCCCGTCATTTATCTATTGACACAGTAGAATATATATTTTGCATGGAAGAAGTCGAAACAAAGTTCCCACCTATCGTTTTTTTTTGCTCGCTTGCTTCATCATATGATGCAATGTTTTTCTGCTCGAAGTTAAAACTCAACAATGAGAAAGTACAATGCTAAGAAACAAGAAAAACAAATTTCATCATAAGACATTCATTGTTTAGTCAACTGACAGGTACAGAATCAGACTGTTCGTAAGATGTTGTAGTGTAAATAATTACTTTCCTCGTGTCACTTATGATATAATGTTCTCGTATTTTACATGACGATGCATCGTGACGAAGGATGGAAAAAGTCTGAGAGGAAAGAAGAAAATGGCGAATGAAGAGAAGAAAAACATTTCTATAGAGAGACAATCACGCGCTTACTGAATGACATCCTAATAGGCCTATGCGTGTTTTAGACAAGATTGTAAAAAAACCATCGACTCTCGTGACTAAGAACACACGTTTACATTCCCCCATATATATCCAGACGCCGGCATCGAATGATAGAAAAAAAGTTATTATTGTGAAAAAACAAGACAAACACCCCGTGAACCGATAACATGAGGTCAGTCAGTGGATTTTTTACGAAAATATCTTCGAAATTCTCTTTTCTTTTCATAGAACTATTTTACAAACTACTCGGAACGTCGATCACGTCCGTTTCAACTTAACACTTGTTCGACAGTGAGTATTTTCGTTTGCGTCGACGTTCTCCCATTATCAGTCTCTTTACATTCAGCGCTGAAACTCATGCAAATGCTGAAGGTATTATTCAGGGTCTGATCGACACTGAGCTATCTACCATCGGCTATCTTCAATGCCAAGCACTTGGTCGACATCTTCAATCTCATCGTTTTACACATATCTATTCCAGTGATTTGAAGCGAGCATCAGAGGTATGTCTTTTTCTTTTTTTTTTGTATCATAGGAGTTAACAGGTGGATTCTTTCTCGTCCTTTGAGAGGTGAAGAGCTGAGACTATAAAAGTTATTTTCGTCATAACTTTATTTATAGTGTTTCATATCTCGTCATAACCACTTGATGTAGTTTTTTAACAGAACAACATTCCATCTGTAATAACTCGAATAGATAGCTTCTACTTGTTCGGAGACATCTATCGAAAGCTATATCATGTTTGTTAATACCATAACCGGAAATCACGCGCAGTGGAAAAATTATTTTGATAAATTATCCTCCGAGTAGGCAAACAGTGCAAATGCTTGTCGAGATAAGCCCTGCGTTCTTTACTCTATTCTGTCGTTTGTGGTCCACACTTACTGATGTGTGTATTATGCTGCTTATAGACTGCCCGCCAAATACGCACTCACAATCGTGTGAGCTTGTGTGACATCCAGTATGATCCCCTTCTACGTGAACGCGTATGTATAATCGTACAGATCTTGTATTTGTGTGAAGAAAAAGTTTGTTTCAGATGTACGGCATTGCCCAAGGTCGAACCCGGCAATGGCTACGTGAATTAGCCAAAGAAAATGGTGTGCCGTATGCTAATTTTACACCACCCGGTGCTGAAAGTTCGGGGCAAGTACGTGAACGTGTTGTATCATTTTTTCGACAGCTGACTCATGAAATTCTCGAAAAATATGGTTCAAAATCATCCGAAACCTTTGCAAAAGAAAACAATTATCAGGTGTTATCACGGAGTGTTTCGTCCGAAGATCTCAGCTCATCATCACAGTCGATTTCGAGATCCACTCGGAAGCGTTCTTTATCCACCGGTAATTGTCAACTGGATCTGCCTACAACTACTCAATCATATCATTCATCCGTCGATTCGGCACTCGACGTATCATCGATCTCATCGGATCAGCAATCTGTAGCATCATCAACATCGATCATCTCTCGGAATAATAGCTTCGAAAAATATCGAATGTTTTGGAAAGGTTTACCACGTTCGCCGTATGAAAATCATTTTTCCGACCTTGACGTACTGATTGTGAGTCACGGTGCTGTTATTCGTGAATTAATCAAATATTTCGTCTGTGATTTACAAACTGATATTGGAAAACACTTAGATACCATACAAGATATAGCACCAAATACATCCATAACACGATTCGAAGTCACTTGTGCAACGAATGACGAACTCATTCCAACAACCACACTCGAGCTCATCGACTATCATCAGAAAACACATTTAACTAACACAATTAATGATGAATATAATCTGGATGTTGTTAATAAATGTAGTTTATAATTTCATTTCAATTGAGAGAGTGAGAGAAAGAAATATGAAATTCTTTTTAAAAAAATATTTTCTCTCCTCCTTCTCCTCCTCCTCTTCTTTCTCCTCCATCTGTATACATATCGAAATGTATGTCAGATAAAAAGTGTCTTCTTCTTTATTCTTTTTTATCTTAAAATAAATTCGATTTTTATTGCAATGTCATTCATATGGAAATAAAAATAGAAAGAAGAATGCATTTGACTCGATTATTTTGCTTCTCATCTACAATCCGAACTTAATCTATGTGGATATTTGCTGATTAAATCACATTAGGATCAACTAAGAGAGAAATCTGACAGCAACAATAGATATATATCCTTGTCTTGAAAACAGTTAGAATTGACGAGTTATTCGATTAGAGTGTTTGTGCTCCATATACTCGACAACGGTTTTCAACAACTGTTCTACCCCATCGTTGGTTTGTCTGTCATAGGAAAGGAACAAACATGTATATCATTTTTTTTATATATCGTATCGGTCGGTTTATCTGACTCGTCTCCTCCTTTCTAGAAAATAACACACAGTATTTGTTAACACTTTCACGGCAAAGTCCTTTGGGTAGTAAGTAGAAAATGGTTAGGTAACACGGAGTTTCAATATGATTGAAAGAAACGTCTCCGAAGAGATCTGTTTTGTTGGATCGCCGTCGTTGAATGTTTAAACATCATATGACTAACAAGCAGTATAAGAACGAGAGAGAGAGAGAGAGAAGAAACAATGCAGTAAACCATTGTTAACGCTGGAGTCGAGTGAAAGAAAATGAAATATTATTTTTCTTGACTAGTTACTTCCATTGATGTAAGTTTGAGCATTCTGCATGTAATTATTCTCGCTTTTTTCGCGTATAGAGTAAGTCAATTAGAATAATAAGAATGAAATTGTATCGACAAAGACAATATTAATCAATTGTTATTTGGAAACGATGAGAAAGATGAAGATACGTTTTTCTTCCTTATTCTTGGGCGAGGATCCGTTTGGTTTAAGCATTCCAGTCTGAGCGCTATGCTTATTCTCTCCTTCTTCGGTTTTTTTTTTCATTGACAATCAAGCAAAGGCAATCTGTAATAATAAGAAGAAGATGTTCCCTGCCAACGCCTTCACAACAGCTAATCTATGCTAAATAGAGATCTCGTCTCATCTTTCTTGAATATAAACAAGAGCACATGTTTATAAGCCAGATCAAATGAGTAGCTTATGACGATTGTACTACTAGCAATGATGATGATACGAATCGAAAGAGGGGAATAAAACAATGTTTAGTTAGGCATTAACATAAATATACACGGATGTGTATATATGTTCGAGAAAGTATCTTTTTTCTTTTAGATTTCTTCTTGTTGGAATGTTGTTCTTTCGACGACGAGAAACTACAGTATCTCAATCACGCTTGAGCGATCAAGAACGTTGTATTCATGCATTTCTTTTCTTCGCATTTGTTATCCTGATTATAACAATCGTTCTATTCTACTTTGCGGCGACAAGTAAAGGTCCGAATGATCAACGTCTATATTATTACATTGGCGCTAGCGTTAGTCTATTTTTTCTTTTCCTAATCATCATCGCAACAATAAAATATGTCCGACGATTCTACAGCAATTCGTTATCTTCAACTCAACAACAAAATATTATCTCCAACGATGAATATAACAGTGCAAGGTATTCACATTATCGCGCGTGAAATATTCCTTGACAATAGCGACTCTATTCGTCGAATTGCGGTCATTGCTGTCACGTGGATATCTGAATGTTCAATGTATGTGTCCATATATACTACAAATTGTTTCTATCATATTAAACATCCTTGTTGTATTTCAAATCTCCACGTCATTTTCTGCAACAGAAGTTTTTCTGTAATAGAATAGGAGGAAAGAAATCTTTCTTGTTTCATTTGTTACCAATCTATCTGAAAATATCTTTATAATTTATCAGAAGCTATAAGATGCACACACGCAAGGAAAAAATGGAATCTGTCAGTCATGCGTACAACGTTTCCTGTTGGTGTTGACGTCTGATTTTCAATCTATTCTTGTCCAAGGAGAATTGAATGGAATTGCAAAGGTTTGAGTACTTATGATTGTTAACAAATAATCAATCAATTAATGATAAGTTTGTTCTGTCTAAATGAAGCGTTGCCTATTGTCGTATGACTTGAGTGCCATGCAAAATGCAGCGAGATCGGATTGATTTTGTTTTGATTAATCATCGAAACTCAACAGATTTCAAGTGACAAGGTTATTGTTGATAAAAAGTGCCATACAAAGATGTATTTATACTTCGAGTAGAGATAAGAGCAACTAGTCGAAACGATGAGTTAAGACGGCTGATAATGAGAAAAAAAGTAGGACGTGAGAAAAACAAATCTATATTAAAGATAGACTCGTAATTATCTTATTAATAGAATTTTTCTGCATAGAAGAGAAAAACTTTTTTTTCCAAATAATAACGATAGTTGCATTGAATAGGCAAATGAATCTTTCAAGTCTCTTAGGAACTATTAGAAATAGTTGAAAGAACTCGAATGAAATCTATCAACTATAAATAAGTCAATGTGTTTTCATTGAAGAAAAAATTCCATTGCTATTTGGATAATTGATCATGAAATTTCAAGCCATGACACACTGGATATTGTTATGTAAGTTGAATTTGAACTACACAGTATTGATATCAAATAAACATCTTCGTACCCGTTGATCTTCATCATAGAATGTTCATGGATTAGACATACTTGTGCATGCAAAAACGAATGCATTGTTATTGAGAATTATTTATTCCGAGAAACAATAGAAGGAGTTTATATATAATTCTGTATCAGTTGAATGGAGATTAAAAATCTTGTGATAAATACGACCTCTCTCGAAATAGTTTGGATTTGAGTAAAAGTCGGATCAACAAGAATTTACCATCTGTATGGGTATTGTCTCGCTTCAGAAAAAAAAACCTTTTTCTCGTGTGCCATTTGAATATTTATATGACGTGAAAGGGATTTTCTTGCTTCTTTGGAATGTCGAAGTCATTTAGAATCAGTTTTCTTTGCAAAGATCACTCCCGACAGGTAAGAAAAAACAAGATAGCAGATCTATTTTTTAACAGATGACGAATAACAACGCACTGATACTCTTTTAACATAATCTTTCTTAATCCATAAGAGAAAGCGAGAGAATGAGAAATTAATATCATATAACTAATATACGGAAAAGAGTACATCCAATTATCTTCACGTTGAAAAAACCGAAGAGAAAGTGCGCGCGTGCACATATAAAAGGCGAAGAGCAAAACAACTAGTTTTTCTTTTCTTTAATACCAGATGAGATTTTAGATCAACTCGCTCGATGTAGAATCGATGAAATCACCTTTCGGTCATTATCATTTGTAGAAATATGTTCGACAAACGCTGTTTCATTCAATATGGGCTCCGTCATGTGTCGTCGTTTCAGTTCTCCATCCCCATTGTTCCAATTTTTTAGCCAAACACTGTGAAATATTGACATAACACGATTGGTCTCCCTTGATTTAGTTCGCACTTGATCGCAGAACGATTCCCATCGACGCGTCGGCTCCACGGGTGCCTGCGGTTCATCAACCTTTTTCAAACGATCAATAATTCGATAATCATTCGGATGAGTATAGTTTTCTTTATTTATTCCAGCTGATTGATTTTTCAAACGTGCTTCAAATAATTGCCAGTGACGGTCGTCAACACGCTGTCGGATCGTCGGTTGACATTCTTCACGCGAATTTTCTAGTTTTGACATGAGATTTCTGAAAAAACAAACAGGTAAATATCATCTATCGAAGTTCTCATAAGCAAAAGAAAAAAGATTCTATTTTGCTTTCCTGCTCGTTTTGACGACCTTGAAAAAGAAAACTATTCCTATCGGAATCCGACTTTTTCTTCTTTTTCTGCAAGACGACTGAGACTAGGCATCGTATGAATAAGAGACATAAAAACTGACTTGATTCCTTTCTTTCTTCTTCTCTCTGTCTCATTTTGTTTTTGCCTGAGTTTATGTTTCTTTTTTTCGTTTGTAAATATTCATCCATAGAGAAGAAAGGAGAAAAAAAAACACGAGTCATGTGCGAACGAACAAATGAATATTTTATTCTGATAAAGATCAATAAGATTGACACGTAAAAGTAAAAAATAAGTATTACAAAGAATAAATGTCGTTTTCACGTCAATATTTCACCCAACCTTGAGCATATCAATTTGACGTTTGTTATTGTAACTAGTCCGTTTCTTTCTTTTTTTTTATTCTACATAAAAATTGCAAGAAGAACGTCGGAGAAAGGAATATTGTTCGATATAGTTTCTCTTTGGACTTAAATATAGAATTCTAATTGTGTTGTGACCAAAAAAAAAGCATACATGAAAGAATGTACTTTCTTTCAGATCATTGTCTTGTAATGCATGTGATTCTACTGTTAATTATTTGTTTGACATCAGTCAATGCCGATTGTTCTTCCGAATCTGATAAAAGCAAATTCGTACGAGAGAAAATGAAAACATGGGGCATCTATAATCAAATGTAAATAGCTCACTGATTTGATTAGCATGTAGGCGAGTCTCTCATGCGTTTTAGTTATTCAGTGACAAGTCGAACAGCAACGTATCGATTTGGAATATGCTCGTTGCCTAATAATTCAATTAGTAATGCAGCTATTTTACAAGAAGAAAACAACGAATCACACATTCTCGGTCAATTAGATCAGTCGGACCTGACCGGAACAGGTTTTTTTAAATTTCAACCTTGATCGAGTCTTTTCTTTCTATCTGATTAGATAAATGGATGCTTTTAACGTATGAAAATGGCACTCGATATGTGAATACGTGTGGTAATAAAACACGTTCAGCTGCAATTATTTTCATTTGTGGGCAAAAACTGGTAAGTGACAGTCAAAAGTTCATCTATTTCGCATTGGCTGAACGAGTTGTTACTGATCGGCTTCATCTGACGTAGGTTTATCATTGAAAATGCGATGGAACTCCGAATTCATAGGACCTATAGGAACCGTTTTTTCTCCTTGGTTAGACTTCACGTTTTACCCTCTAATCACGGATGATTGTGACATCTAATGTCGACAGATAAATGAAGTAGACATCCTTAGAAACTCATGGTTTGCGAGCGAAGCAGAAAAGAATTGTTAGTTGATGTTTGTTCTTCTTTTTCTTCTTTGCAGGGTGATATTACAGTTGTTGAAGAGAATTGCAATTATGTGTTTGAATTTCAACTTCCTGGATTATGTTCAACGGTGCCGCAAGCTACAAAGAAACTAAGCGGTAGTGTAATATTTTTCATCATGTAAATTATTGATAATTATCTTTCATTTTCCGCACATCTCTCTTCTCTTTTTTCAGTCTTCTGTGCTTGGCTAGCGCATATCTTATTGGTGGTTTCTTCTACATGCGTGTTAAACACGGCGCTCGGGGCATTGATCAAATACCGAACTTAGATTTCTGGCAGCGGATTGGCAATTTCATTGGTGAAAAATGTGATCATTGTCGGTGCTGTAAAACAAATGTACCACGAACAGGGTATCTTTTTCAAGAATCAGGTCCTGATCTTCATGGTGATGATGATATTCTTGCGCCTTAGTCGCAACGAGTAATTGATAGTTCGCAGATAAATCATTTTCGCTTGCTTGCTATGTTTAATAATCAACCGCTTTCGTGTGAAAAAAAAAACTCAGCGTTTTGTCTTTTTCTAAGCTCCTTATTATATTTTGTTGTTATCCATGTTCTTACATTTATATATTTCCATGCAAAAACAGAAATAAAATCGAGCAAGATGCAGCCGTCATTGGTTTATTTCTGCAAATATTACTTTAGTTTCTTTTTAATTCTAGTCATGGACGTACAAGCAATACGATACCAACGTGGCTCACTATTAATTTTGGATCAATTAAGATTACCTGATGAAACTGTTTATGTTCCCATCAATACAATTGACGATGCATGGAAAGCGATTCATACCATGGCCATACGAGGTTTGTCGGTTGAAATAAAGCAAAGAAGATGACTAAGCATTCACATTTTAGGTGCATCGGCGATAGCTGTCTGTGGAGTGTTAAGTGTTGCGGTTGAATTGTACCATTCGCGAACAAAATTCGATTCGATTCCATCTATTTTACAATTCGTCACCGATCAACTGAATTATTTGATCACGGCACGACCGACGGCATTTAACATGACAGAAGCTGCAAAAATGATCATCGATTACTTAATTCCGTTGAGTAACAAACAACAAAATTTAACTTTGTATATAAATGAATTACTCGACTTTATGGAACAACTTCTTCAACGCGATCTCGATCATAATCGATCTATCGGTCAGTTAGGTGCCGAAATGATCCATCAGCAAATAACTACGAAGAAGAAATTGACCATTTTAACACATGCAAACACCGGCTCATTAGCAACAGTTGGTTTTGGTACAGCACTTGGTATTATTCGACAATTGAATACAAACAATCTCTTACAATTAGTTTATTTTACTGAAACTCGACCATGTAATCAAGGTTCGCGATTAACTGCCTATGAATTAGTTCATGATCGCATTCCGCATACAATGATTTGTGACTCAATGGCTGGACTTCTCATGCGAACTCAACCGGTTCATGCGGTACTCGTTGGTGCTGAACGAATAACAGCCAATGGAGATATCGCAAACATCATCGGAACATATCAATTAGCGATACTTGCTAAACAGCATGATATTCCATTCTATGTTGCAGCAGCAACAACGTCGATCGACTTAACGACACGAACTGGAAGTCAAATCATTATCGAACAACGTCCATCGAGTGAAATGACAAGTCTCAAAGGAATGAATATAGCTGCAGAAGGTAAAATATATGTTGATGCAAAGAAATGAGTAATTAGGAATTCCTTTCTTAGGCGTCCAAGTATGGAATCCAGCTTTTGATATAACACCTGCTCAATTAATAAGCAGTATTATTACCGAACATGGTGTATTCAAACCTGATGAACTTGAAGAAAAACTTCTCACTTTACAACGAACAGTCAAAAGTCCAATATCGTGAATCTACACACAAGTCAATGAAAACAGTAATGTTAATTTTCTATTTGTTGTATTTCCTTTTTATGTCTAGTTTTTACTATATTTTATTATAGTAAAATCATTCAATAAATAAAATGCGTTCATTTTAGTGAGAGGACACGTCTTTCTCTAAAATTGAAACGTTTCCTTCATTCTTTATTAAATAACAAAATCATATTTACATAGAAAACTGATCTATTCTTAAATACGACTATTCCGATCACATTCAAGTTGACATTCTCGAACAAGAATACGCGCAGATGCAATAGCACGTCTCAGACGTTCCGCAGAGTTCCTATTTCCTGCATAAGTTGGCTTGATATCTTTGCCCATTTCTTCGATAACATTCAACAGTTGCGCATATTTCGATGGATGCGCATGACGTGATTGGCTAACCGAAGGAGTGGGAACTGATGGTTGGATTGTTTGTACTAGTGGTAACGGCACTGCAGATATGTATGGAGCACTGATGGGTGGCGCCGCTGCTGGATTTAGAATAGGTTGAAAAGAAGATATAGGTGTTTGTTGCTGTGGTTTACGAATGGATAAATCCATTGTGCGAAATGGATCTAAAAAGAAGCGTTTCAAAATGAATAGATATTTATTGCGAGAGAATTATTTGATATTTTTAATATTTCTGAGAGTAAAAAGAAAGAAGCTTTTTATGAAAGGGGACGACGTGGTGGTAAACGAGTAGGAACTGACAATTGATGTTGAGGAAGAGTAATCATTGGACTATCTAATTCAAGAATTTGTAATTGACAAAGGAGATTCAAGAGAGATTCCATATCTTCACGAGCATAGAAACTATCCATCTAGAGAAAAAAAAGCAAACAACATTAGAGCAAAGTTCAATTACACATTCTCGTACTTCTCGATGTAAGAGAATGTTATACCCATCATTCCAACACGACATATCGTAGTCATTTTCGCATAATAATGTGTATGTTGTATCATTATGGAGGGAAATTGTAATGCTCGTATGTGCATTGCTCTATAAGAAAAGTGTCAAAGATTAGATTTTCTCATCTTCAAAGCTATTCACATGACGAGGAAATTTTCCACTACGTTCTTGAACTATAAAACTTGCAGATCGTGATTGATCCATGTTCGATTGAACGTCTTTGATATTTTCAAGTGGAACTAAATGAAAACGATTGAAAAAAGAGAATGAATTAGTTCAATGTTGACATACTCATCGTTCGAGTTAGACTTGACGTGGAATTATTATTATTATTATTCGCAAGATTCTCTTTCGTCGTTGTCGATGTTGTTTCACTACATTGAACATGTTTTTCATTGTCGAGCAATTGCCAATACATTAATCGATCTAAATGCTTACATTATTCGAACAGGAATATACAAAAAAAACACGAGAAATGTACTTTTAGTTTTCTTTGCACCGGGTCGACTTTCGATAGTCATAAATATCTGACCTTTTTTCATTGTTTTTAAACGCGCTTGACGTGTTAACAATTCGACATGTGATCTCAGACGTTCTTTTAATGTTCTACATACAGTATGACTTTTATCTTACATATTCATCAAAGATATTTCTTACTCAACAATTGGTAATCTCATAACTGTTTCTTCACGTTTCAATTCTTGATCATCTCGTCGTTTACATATATCTTTATAGTTATGAATATTCAATCGTTCGGAAAAGTAATCGAACGTGAACTTTTGTAAGACGCCTGATGTCAATGATGTATTCATTACTGTTTTCAAAATTGGCGATGATAATGTCGTTTGATTGATCGATGGTGATATCAAAGTTTTGTTATGAATTGATATTGAAGAATTCGTTAGGCCGATATCACCAAGAGATTGACATATTTGCTGATGTACAACTGAACTGACCTGTTAGTCACAAAATTCAAACATTTATGTTTGTTTCAATGGAGAATAAAACATACCACTAGAAAATCGACATCGCAAGCACGCATTTCTTTCCATGTTTTGTTGAATAGTAACAAACAACGCACAAACGCTTGTTCGAAAAATGAAGAAATTATATAGAAAAGTAAGAAATAGTCTGCATGGTTTTGATGTCGATTTGCTAAACGTGAAACTTTCGTCATTTGAATAACTGAAAGAAAATAGTTCGATGCTTACGTTCAATACCAATGGAAAATAATGTACAAAGTATTCGTGTAATTTCAATAGCTGATTTGACAAGTGGACATTGTTGTTGGAGAGTTTTACAAGAGTTCTCCAAAACAAACTTTGATTACAAAGAAAAAACTATCAAAAATGAGTAATGAAAAGATACAAAATCATACTCGAATATAATCATTTTTCTGATGAATACAAAAATAGAATAAATTTTGTAATGATAAAATACCAGGTGGAACGCTCTGAAAATCTTTTATAGGTTCTCGAAGATCCTAAACATGAAAATATTCAATCAGATTGATATCTTTAGAAAAGAATTTCTTGTACTTGAAATCCAAGTCGTTCATAATCGCGTTGTAAGGCTTCCACACGTCGAGGATTTGTGATTGTTTCATTCAAATTCATTGATGTCACTCGCATACTTAAATCTTGACAACTTTGATCAGATAGTAAAAGGTCAGTATCAAATGCGCTTCGCCGTAATTCTGTTATCATATCTCGATACTTCTAAAAAACATCCACTAGAAACATCGAAAAACAAAGTTTCAATATCGCATTTGAATGCTAACCGAATCATGTCGATCTGGTGCGGTGTTCATTTGATTGGTGTACAATTCATTGAGATAGAATCGTTGTAGAAGACATAATTGTTGAATCAACGAACTTCGAGTTAAATGCTACGAAAAAAAAGTATCGTACATAGGTTATAAGAATGAATACAAACCCTTGATGATTGTACCAAATTGTCTACAGATGAAAAAGAATCATTAGCAGAAGGTTCATCCTATTTCAAGAAAAAAAAAGGTACATTCTACAAAATATCAGCTGAAAATCTTACATTATTAATAATCGATTGTACGAGTTCGCGTAGACGTAGGGTGACGATTGTATTCGACATTGCAACAACAAGTAACTATCAAAAGTGCATTCATCGAGACATAATTCAACGAAAAATTGACTAACCGAACGAATTATTTGATCACCTTTGCTCATAATGACATTAATCAATGATAGTGCGTAGTATTGTGTTTCCATATCCTGTTGTCTAAACAAATTTGACTTATGTCGATGATATTTCTCTCTCTCTCTCTCTCTTTCCTGAACAACACTCACTTGTTACAATAGTCAAGAAGATGTCCGATTTGAAGTGTTTGAATGATCTTTGACGAATATTTTGATTCGTTATTTACAATTGAATAGAGAATCATCATTGCAGATGATGAATGTGAACGAGTAATTTTCGACTGATTAACACCGACTATCAACTAAATTACAAACAGACACGCATTTACGAAGTTTATTCGCATTCATTTTTCTCACTTGATCAATGATAATATCGATTGATTCAAGATTATCCCAATCGACTGCATGTTGATTAACCACTATGTTATGAAGTGATCGAAGCAGATTCGGTGTGAAATTTTCAAAACTAACAGTAGAAATCAACGTTCTGTATATGTACAGCAAGATGTTTTACTTATTCGATTTTTCATCATTGATGAACAGTTTTAATAGATGATCAAGACCATATTGATTGACAAATTCTAATGCAAAAGTTTCATCTTCACCTGCTAGTTTCAAGCGTTCAAGTGCAGTCGAATCATAACGATGATAATCAGTTGATGATAAATATTTCAGTAGATCTCGAACTTCGTCTTCCTTTCGTCAACAAAAGAAAAAGTTACAATAATAGATGATAATACGGATAATCTTCTTACATGTGAAAGAGAAAGATAGAACACTTGACCGGTTGGAATTTGCAAACGATTCTAGAGAGAAACAAAAAATGAAATCAATCGCAGAGAGAAGTAAATTCTTTTACTTGTTCAGTTACAAATTTATGTGTATCATCATATCGTAGTGCATAATGAATGGAGTTTAATTGAGGAATCTTCCAACTAGAAACAATAGAATAGATTTGATTGAATAATAACTGAGAGTCATTCGTATTACTCATCACATATCTTCGAAATGTAACTATCTAGTGGAACACTCTATAAAAGAAGACATGAATTCCAATGAAGTGGTTTTAGTAGCACAAACCGGGTCGAGTTCGATAAGTTTTGGATGACGAGGACTGCCTGGAGATGGAAGACCGATTGCAACAGAATTTTTCCAATGTACACCAATTTTGATTTTATTATTTGATGTACGTGTTGCCATTCGTTTTGCTCTCCTACTATTACTTTAAAGGAAACCAAATAATCGAATCAGTTGTTTCAGGTAATCAATCAAATGTTCGTGCGCTTGTTCGATACGAGACCATCCAATCAACAAGATTTTAAAATCTCCTTCTCTCGCATTGATTGACAGACATGCATTGCACGTTTTTTACCATCATGTTTCAGTGACTGTCAGTGCGATGTCGCCCTAATACATAATCTGATAACATACGCACTTTTTCTTTTAGCATCTTGCTACCTATAGTCATAAATTAACAATCCGATTTCTCTGTCAGAGATTACAAATGTATACTGGACAATATTTTCATATCTGAATAGGGTTTTCATTGTTATTCTGTTTTGCTAATTGAGCGAATGCAAGCCGCGCCGCTCTCTCAAGATGAAGAATGAAAGGAATACGAAAAAAAGATGCTACGAATTGAAAAAAAGCGAGGGAAATATTGAGACACATCGATAAATCTTCACATCAATCATCACCAAGTCCTGCAAAAGTAGATACTATATGGAGCTTGTTTATTATTCTTTTTATCAATGTTTCTGACTGCTTCCTAGCTGACTTTTATTTATTAAGTTAAACGGTTTGCTTTATCACTGTCTATGTACTGAAACTTTTCACGATATTTCGAAAAGATTAACTAAAGTGAACTTTAATATCTATGGCATTTTCTTTCTTTTGGTCTTGGTTTTATTGATACAAGTACATCGATTGCATAGTGCAAATTATCTAAATAATGACAAGAGAAAGCAGAATGAAAAACACAAATGAAAACTAAAAAAATGACAAAAATTGATCAGATCATAATTAGGATGTTGTTTCATCTGTTGGTGTTTTCGAAGACAAATGATTCATTGTCGTGTTTGTTCCATCATGAATTGAACGTTGACATAATTCTTCTAATAATGAAATGACTCGACTAGTCTGCTTTTCCAAACCAACTAATTTCGTTTCTAATCGTTGGACTTTGGCATTCAATGTTAATTGTTCACGATCTTTATCGGAGAGGACAAGTGGATAGGCTTTAGGTAAACCTAAGGATTGATCTAGACGTCGTTGAATGTCCGCTAATGTATACATAACTTTTAAATTTCCTTGCGCATTTTCATCCATGATATCTTTGAAATCGTATGGCTTATGTGCTTGACGAAATTTTCGTTTTGCCACATGATATTTAATGATACGTAGCATACGTATAGCAATACGTTGATTGTCATCGAGATCTTCGGCTTTTTCAATTTTACGCCACGATATTTTATCTAAAGGCATGCCATTCGACGATAGATTAAAGAAGTTTTGTCCACTACGCGTACGTGGTGTGCCATTGCCACTATTCGAACCGCTCATAGCGAATGTCGAACCCAAATGCCGATTTAATTTATTAGATCGTTTGGTTTCAATACGATAGATACGCCATGTAGCAGGCAAATTCGCTCGACGTGATGCAACTAAACGCCACCAATTCTGTATTAAATTCGCTGCAGCTGGTACCAAACGATTGAATTGCTTTTCACGTTTCTTCTGTTCAACTTTCAAAGCAAAGCCTGAACCAATAATTCCCGATGGTAATGTCCAAAAAGCCACACCACAGATACATAAGCACGACGTGATCATCTTACCAATATAAGTTCTCGGGCACTTATCGCCATAACCGATTGTGGCCTAAAATAAATGAAGATATACGAAGAATGAAAATCAACATCGATTTACCATTGTCACAATCGCCCACCAGAGTGTATCCGCAAAACTGTGAAACATGTCTTCACTAGGCAATTTCGTGTCATCTTTTTCAACTAACCAGATCAGATATGCCACAACAATGAGGAAAATAAAACAAAAGTAAAGTGTGGCAATTAATTCATAACGATGATCATAAACAACTGAACCAAGTAGACGCCACGATGTCAAACGTCGATCAACATGAAGAAATCGAAGAATTTGCAATATTCGCACGTATCTCACTAATTGAATACTAAATTGTGTATGACTTAAACCAATACATAAAAGAACAGCATAGCCAATAATCACACATAGATCAACAATACACATTGCTTTACGCATAAATAATAATCGTCCATGTCGACCACGATATTTACTTCGGCAACCAGATGACCAAACACGGACAATATACTCGATGAGAAATAGAACAAAAAGTACAGATTCAATCCAAAATAAAATCGAATACGATTGTTCAATATAAACGGTTAAAATTGAACTATAGACGAGACAACCAATGACAATAACAAAGACAGTGAAATGATATAAGAAACAAGAGATGCCGCATGGTCGCTCAAGGAAATTATAGACACGCGCTTGAATTGGGTTACTAAAACGTTTAAATGACATATGAGGGTTAAGTGGTGAACCGAAATCGACTTCTTCATCCAGATTTGTTTGAACTGACAACCGACTTGGTCGTCTAAGGGTGATTGTCGGTGCGGAAGATAGATGAGTTTCATCCGTTGGGACGGGTATAAATTGATGTAGTGAACTTTTCATGCTTAATTTTGTTAGATAATATTACTGTACAATAGAACAAAAAGACATAGATCAATATAAAATACGCAAGAAAAAAGACTGAGAGAGATTAGACGCAAATACGATTTGAACAATGGGAATCAGCAGCAGATGTTTTTCATTTTCGTGTGCTTTTTCTTCATATTATATAAGAAATTCATTAGAGATTGACAATCGTATTCAGAAGAAAAGCAAAACGGTTTACTTTGGTACACGATGAGCAAATGATAAGGATTTCTTCCTTTTTGGAGCATGTTACAATACCTGGTTAGAATATTGATGGTCGTTTCGTAGTCGTTTTGCACGGTGTTATTCTACAAGGACGGCGTTGCTGCATCTTCGAAATATATATATATATATATATATACGTGTGTGTAATGTGTTTGTTCCACGCTATTCGAAACCTTCACTGTCGAACTGCGAGCTTCGTTTCTTTCCTTCGTTTCGTATTTTTCTCACGTTTTTTCCTGTGTCTTACAATGCTCCTAATGACAATAGTCTATACCTGATCATCGTCAATACGTCTTTTCTCCTTCTTCCCTTTCTTTTTGTTATTCGCACCCTCAACAAACGAAAGAAAATAAGACCTATTACAACGTTTTTATTCGGTCGATAAAGGACATGAATATAAACATATATAACTTCAATTGTCTTTCGAGAAAAACATAGTCATGATATGAGTAATTCAAATGAGTATGAACAATTAGTTTTACTCCCCTAACAAACCATAACTTTCCTTTCGTATTATCGTCAACTGACGATTGCGTTCATGGGTTATGAAAGAATGTGATACATTGTCGCCCACAAAGAGCAAAATGACTTCGATTGATTTCATTTATTATCATGATAACAAAGACAGCTGACTGTACAAAAAAGAAAGAAAAAGATTTAGCCGAAATATGTTAGAAAACCAAATGAAATTTCCTATCGAATGAAAACAGAAGTTATTGAAAAGGAAATTATTCTATCGAGGTTTTCTTACATTTATGTGTTTGAGAAATGATCCGTTGGCGAGCATTAGCAAACGCTAGAATATCATCGTCAGTTTTCTTGTCGCCTGTTAATGGTAAGTTCCATCTAATCAAAAATCGGTACAATGACAATCAAATCGATAAAATTTCTTGCGACATACTGTTGAGATGATGGTCTATCAACATTGTTTGATGCAGCAGATGAACGGTCCATTTGAAACTAAAATACGCAGATGTTTCTTCACTAGTCGATGATGAATTTTCATACCGATGCGGTCGATTTTCTCGATTGATCATGGTCAGTTGTGGATGGTTTCATTTCTAACAGTTGCCTTTGTTGTTCCTATGAAATGAGAAGATTGTTTGCATCGAGAGAAGCAAATTTAGAGAAGATTTCATACTGCTTGTTCAGATTGTTCTTCCCACCAATCGTCGAATTCCTTCAGCATTTGCAAACGATCTTTTTCAATCACATGTTGAATATGCTCGATCTCTTGCTTCATATTTTTCAATCGATTGAAACATTCACGATATCTGAAAAGTAAACGAAACAAGAATTTTTGCTGTCTGGTGCTGTTAGTTTTTATTACTTCGTCTGTTCTCGTTCCATAGTCGAACGTAATCTATTCAATTCCTGATTTTTCTCGATTTCATCCTGGGTCAATTGTGCAGCAAGACGTAAATGCATTTGTTCATACTGTCCCTTCATATGATCTAGAAGAACGATTTTCATCAGAGAAAGTGATAATTCTGCTCATACTGATTTGATTTCGACATTGATTGGTTTCTTCACCGAGTACTTTTGCTTCTGTAAATCGTTGTTTTAATATGCGTTTGTGCTCTTCGAGTTTTAGATTGATAGGATTCTCTCGTCGAAAATGATCGAACGCTTCTTGACGACCAACAGACATGTTTTTCACTTCAACAAATCAATTGAATGCGTCTTGCAAGTCCTATACACTAAACTTACACTGATTCCCAACTCGATCAGTCGATGAAAACGAGTTTTCAGTCTTCAATGTTGTACTAGAACACCCTAGAATGCTTTTCCTTCTGCTCTAGCAATCACATACCTTTCAGTAAACGGCCGATATTCAGTTTTCTTCTCTTTTTTTAACATATTGACCAATATGCTAATTTCATTGTCTCGTAATTTGATGATTTCTTTCAATTCTTTCACTTCTTTACTATCGTATGGTGAAATATCATGTGTGATGTAGATCGGCTGGCCATGTTTCGTCGACGTGGTCGATGCTGTTTTCAATTGTTCTTGCAATTCAAGATGTAATTTCTATCTGAGCATATGTGAATTGATCAGTACACCTAAATCGCTGAAAACTCACTTTAAATGCTCGGTAACATTGATCGATCTTCCGCATATCGGCGCCGACATTTAATGTTGCTTCGTTGTCCGTATCAGCTAAATAGACTTTTACTTGTTCAAATAATCTAAATGAAAGATTTTAGGATTTATGGAGATTTTATACATGGGATTTACTTTTCGATCAATTCTGTAGTTAAGCTTTCGGTGAATTGTTCATTTCCATTTTGCATCGAAATTTGATTTCGTAATTGAAGATTCTCAACTCGTAACTGATTGATTAACACACGCGGATCAAGTTCTTCGTTCAGAATGGCATCGTTTTTGATCAATGCGACACGTTGAGAAAATCGGCAAGTTGAGATGGTTTCCTTCAGAAACGAAATGTTCATTTAACGAACACAAGGCAAAATAGATCATCCTACTTCGATGTTTCGTTTATCGACTGAACAGGTTGCAATCATCGTTGTCATACAATTTCCACCAAGACTATCACGTAAAACCGATGTCATCATGGAATTTCGGTATGGAATATGTGAGCGATGTTTTTCCGACAGTGCAACAATGACTTGTTCAAGATAATGAAGTGATAAATTGATATATTTCGCTTCGGTTAACAATAACCCATTAACATTTGTTTTCGAAACACGTTCCGAACTGAATAGACAAAAGATGTCAAACTATCAGCAAACATTTTCTGCACAAACCCAGCTAAATCAACTAAATGCAACTTGGCTTTGCGTACAGTTGCCGAGCCAACTTCTTTACTAGTAACGTGAATAGTGAATATACAATGAGATCGTGTTGATGCTTGATTCATTGGAGTCTATATGTGAAATAAGTGAGTATGTATGTACGAGAAGATTAATGAAGTATACTTCAGCAATCATTCGATTGGTATCGCCGAGAAAGAGTAAATTCAATGCTTCTTCTTCATTTTGTGCTGCATGAACAGAGAGATTTTTCAAATGCATATTTTGATCTTCGTCTTCCATTAGTAAAACTCGTCTGTCATCAATGCGATTTTATGTTCGATCAGAAGATTTAATGTGAAAAACACTTACGGTAGATCTTCGAGCTTGGATGCTTCATGTTTCGGATCGAGCAGATCGTAACCGTTTTCGTTGTAAATTTCCAAATAAGACACATGAACTGTGTGACTTTGATCGGCATGCTTTAAATGAAGAAACAGTTTACATTACAATCAACAGAGATATGGACGGATATTTACTTGTGCAAATTGTTGAAAAATGTAGGAGAGAGAACGTGGAATAATACCACGATCAGCATATCGTTCTGGTCCGCCAGTGATAGTAAATGTCTTTCCTGAACCCGTCTAGAATTGACAGTCATCGTTCGGTATGTCAATTTACGTCTTTTGAAAAGAGTTTCACCTGTCCGTAAGCGAATATTGTTCCGTTATATCCAGAAATGACACTAGAAGATTACATTTGAAGTGTTTTAAATACAAATCGAAAGACTTTTTACTTGTCGATAACCGGTCGAGCAACTGCAGCGAAAACATCGTCTTGCTTGGCGTTTTGATCAAATATTTGACGAAAACTGCAATGAAAAGTACGGAATGTTACATTCTTTCGCCATTCAATCTACTGACCGAAAACGAAAATCTTCACGTTTATTATTTATATAACCTTCGGTTGCATCTTTTGGAACGATAATGGATAGATTAGCTCCATCCTCAACATGATTTATTTCATAAAACTGTAAAAATATAGAATAGACCGTTTTCTATCGTATCTTTCAACGAATATTTTCGTATCAGTACCGATGTTTTCGATTTCGTTGGTTTTACTCGACAATATATTTGAATTGTTTGCTTTACCATATTGTTTTCTCGACTTTTAACAAGATACTCTCAATTTTCAAATTTCAATGACTGATCATCTATACTTTCCTTTTTCTTTTTCTCTGAACTACTATGACAACCATCCTCCCTGTTCGGTTGATCCACGTGATGTCGCCCATGACTGAAGCGTTCAATGCAGTCGATAGGTTCTGTCTTTTTTTTTTCAATACCATTATTGTGTTGGTTATGTTATTCGGTTGAAACAACAAAACTACATTCATCAGAACAAAAATCGATGAATGTAGAGAACAAAAACAACAAAAAGCACAAAGAAAAATTCTTTGGTAATTGGTTCATTGATCACTCGTCGTCATCGTCAAATTTGATCTTTTTATTAGATGTTTCAGTTGTAGTCGCGCCGTTGCTGTATCCGCCGCCAAAGCTACGTTTAGCACCGCCAGCACCACCACCACGTGGGCCTCCGCGACCACCAAATGACGATCGTTCTTTTTTCGGTTCGGGACATTCGAATGATTTGTGGCCATCTTTGCCGCAATTAAAACAACCGCCAGCACCAGCACCACCGGGACCTCCACGGCCACCGGCTTTCTTCGGTTCTGAACATTCAAATGATTTGTGACCATCTTTACCGCAGTTGAAGCAGCCACCACCGCCGCCACCACCACTTCCACCGCGACCACCAGCTTTCTTCGGTTCGGGACATTCGAATGACTTGTGGCCATCTTTACCGCAGTTGAAACAGCCACCACCGCCACCAGCACCACTTCCACCACGGCCACCTGCTTTCTTCGGTTCGGGACATTCGAATGACTTGTGACCATCCTTGCCACAGTTAAAGCAGCCACCGCCGCCGCCACCACCACCTGCCAATAGAACAGTACAAAATAGAAACAAAAAAAGAGCCGCAATTTCTAACCTGATCTGTTTCCACCATTTCTTCCAGAATTCTTGCCTTCTGGGCATTCAAATGATTTGTGACCTTCTTTTTGACCTATGAATAATAAGAGCTATTGTCTTTCTTGTCATACAAATTGTATCCACTTACAATTAAAGCATGCATCTATAATTATTGAAGGAGAAAGACGATACATTAGGAAAAACAATCACTTTATATGCTCACTTGATCTTCCTGAATTTCGATCACCACCTCCAGATTTATTGCCACGTGTGAAGATATTATGATCATTCATAGAAGCTTCATCAAGTTCGGGTAATTCTGTAATAGGTCCCATTTGAATTCGTGCACTGTCTCGCCACGAACTTTGCAATTGTTCATCATACTTGCTTGGTAGATCGAAAATGGCACCCTGTAAAAGAATCATTCATCAACTATCACTGCTTTCTCAGTGAATGTGTCTGTACGTACTTTATAATCTTTAGTAAATGCGATTTGTGGAACTGAACCTTTAGCATCGAAATCATCACCAAAACTTTTACGTAACATTGTAAAAACGAAACCAACGCCTTTGATTTCATCATTGGTAGAAAGTTGATAGGTGGTATAGTTCTAAAATTCAACGCATAGAATAATGTGAACACACACAGAAAAGAAATAATACTCACGGGTTGTTTCGAGAGAAGCGATCGAGGACCGTCATCTGCGTTACCAGATGTATTGGTAGATGAACCATTAACTGGTTTTTCATCATCCTAATAAATGAATACAAACATAAATGAGTTTAATTTTCGATTTCTAAACTTACTTCATCATTGTCATCTTCCTCTTCATCATCATCAGCTGTTGCTTCTTCTTTCGTCTTTTCAGCGAGATTGAGCGTAACAGCATCTGTGGACAAGAATTTCTTGAGAGCTTTACGGACGGTATCGGGCGCTGCTTCCGAAAGAACAATCAATTGTGGTTTTGTTTCTTGATCTATTACAAACAAAAAGTATGAAAATTCGCTTTTTATCAATTCGAATATCTACCTGATGTGAAGACATTCTTGAGAGTTTTCTTCAAATCATCAACAAGTTCATCAACTTCATCGAGAACAACATGTTTGATTTGTGACAAATCAACCTTTTCTTCGTCGATAAATTCTTTCAAACGATCTGGTGTGGCGACCAAAATGTCACAACCATTTGTAACTTCTGTTTCTTGATCATCAGATTTCTTCTTGGTTGTATAAATGGTTGCAACGGCAAGATCGTTAACAACAGTTTGAAAATCATCGGAGATTGGTTTAGCTACAAATAAACAACATCGATTTCGACTTATATCTCTTCGCTGAATCAAATCCTACCTGTATCACGTGTTGGTGTTACAACAAGAACACGTGGTGCACGACCTGACATTAACTCAACTGATTTATCACTTTGCAGTAATTCAACAAGAGGAATGACATAAGCGAGTGTTTTGCCAGTTCCGCTGGATGCTTGAATCAAACAATCGTTTTGCTCGTGGATAGATGTATAACTTTCGCTTTGAACAGGAAAGAGATATTCAACGTTACGAGCTAAAAACAACAGTTTACATATGATATCTCATCACAAGGATTGGATTACCTTTGAGTTTTTTTACTGTTTTTTTTGAAATTTCAAAATTTTTGAAATTTCCTTTTTGCTTGTCAGCATCCGATACTTTGATGGATGTTTTCCCGTTGATTCCATTACCTTGTTCGAAACTTGTATCAGCTTCATCTGATTCTAGAAAAGATTCATACCATAGAACAGGCGATATTCTTCAAAGTCATTTACCTCCGATAGCCACTTGATTTTGTTTCTTGTTTTTCATTTTCTTGTTTATGAAATGATAACGGAAATGAACGAGATCTAGAATAAGCGAAATATCATGTTTAACTGGTAGTTTTCTTTTCAAAATTAACTAGATTGTCTTTAATTGATAATAAAACTTCACGAATAGTAGTACCTTTAAAACTCATAAGAATGAAAGAAGTAGGCGAAAAATCAGATTTCAAGTTTAAAATTATAAATATTTTCTAATATATTCAAATATTCGATCTTCTAAATAGATTCGATCGTCAAGTTTTCTTGGCATGTGTCGTTCATCAGGAAAAAGTACTAATTCGTATGGTTTATTTGCTCGAATCAGAGCATTAATTAGACGAGCCGAATGACGGAAATGAACATTTTCATCAATTAAACCGTGCATAATCATTAAATGACCTGTTAAATTGTTTATATAATGCATCACACTTGATACTTCGTATCCACGTAGATTTCCTTCAGGTGTACCCATATATCTTTCAGTATAATGAGTATCATATCTGAAACGAACATATAGGCATGCCTCGAACACATCAACTATCCGTATTTACCCATCCCAATGTGTTACTGGCGCACCAGCAATACCTAGTTTGAATACATCATTTGCACGAACTAATGCCATAGCAGACATGTAACCGCCGTATGACCAACCGTAGATGCCAACACGTGTTTTATCCGTGATACCTTGTTGTACAAGATAACGAACGCCGTCTATTTGATCTTCAAGTTCTAAATGTCCCATATCGTATCGAATCGCACTTTCAAAAGCAACACCGCGATTTGGACTACCGCGATTGTCTAGTCGCAGTACAACATAGCCAGCTTCAACTAAACGTTGGCAACGCATATCCGCACAAAGTGCCCACGAATTGATGACACTAGAACAAAAGCATTCCGTTTTCTTTCGATGCAGATTAAGCAAGACACCTACCGTTGAAGATGTGGTCCCCCATAAACAGACACAAGTGTCGCATACGGTCTTTGATGTCTATCTTGTTCGTCATTCGGCTTATAAACAGCGCAATAGATTGTATCATTATTTCGATTCGTTATTTTAATTAATTGTGGTTTAACAAAGCGAAACTGTTCAATGGTTTGCTGTTGGCCTTGATGCAGATGACTAAAATATTTTATGACTTGTTTCTTTTTCACATCGAGCATGCGAATCGTTGGACATTGATCAATCGAGTTCCATTGGCTGATACAATATTCAAAAGTACGATTAAAACAATGAACAGCGTGACAGCCGACCTCTTGTGTTATCCGATCAACTGTGGGCACATCATCATTGTAATTGACACTGTAAAGATGAACTTCTATAGGTGTTTCACGATTAGCCAGAAAGTAAATAATCGAGTTGTCTTCATCGATATCGACAAGACGTTGAACGACCCATTCGCCGTTTGTTAACGACTTTTTCAATTGTCCAGTAGTTAGATCGTACAATTCTAAATGCATGAATCCCGATCGTTCACTAGCCCATATGAATTGTGTCGGTGTTTTCTTCAACGTATGAAAAAAGTCATGCAGATTAATCCATGATCCACTCGTTTCTTCGATTAACAATCGTGAAGGTTTCTTAGCTAAGAAGTCACATTGAAATAATTGAAGTTTTGTTTGCTCACGATTTTCGATTTGCAAAGCGAGAGTATTGTCAGGAAAGAAATTTACACGTGCGATATAGTAATCGTGAAACGAGCTGAGATCAATCCAATGAATATCAGGTTCTTGCTTAGTTTTATCTCGCAGATCAATAACGCCAACAGTAACTTGAACATTTGCCTTGCCAGCAAACGGGTATCGATGTTCTTCAATCTAGGAAGAGAAAAACACTCATTAACAGGAATATTCCTCGGTGTGACTTGATTTTACTTGGTCTGGATCATCTGAACCGGAATGGGTAATACGAAAGACAGGAACATTTGATTCGTCAACTTGAGTAAAAGCAATGAAATCGGAATTATCAGACCACCAAAACCCATCGCTACGATTCATTTCTTCTTGAGCGATAAATTCGGCCAGACCATTCGTTTTATTCGGATGACCACGAGCATCGAATGTTATTTGACGAGGTTGAGCTGTCGCGTCACTGGTGGATATATAGTAAAGTTCACAATCTTGCACATAAGCAACAAATGAGCCATCTGGTGAAAGTTTTGGATCGATTATCGGTGGTTGATCGGAACCATTAACTAGCAGACGAAGTTCTTTTCCGTTATGAATGTAAAGATCACAACCAATGGGAATGAGCATTAGTGAATGTGACTTATTTGAAGACCATTGATAACGCGTTATCCCAGTGATCAATTGCCGTTGTCGCTAAAAGGGAAGATCAAAGAATTGATCAATGCACAACTAGATTTTCTTTCTCATTGCGTTTGAAATAGAACATTTTGGATAGATAAACGAAAAACACACCTACTTCACGTCGAAGTTTTTCTTCCATGGACAGATTTTCTTCGGTTTTTCCTTCACCATTTTCAGGTTCAGCATAAACATATTCCTGTTCATTTTCAATATTGTATGCATAAAGTTGTCTGGATAATGTTTGGTTAGGTGAACGAAGATAAGTTATAAATTTATCATCCGGACTAAATCGAATCGACTCAGCCAGGTTAAAACCAGGTTGTGGTAATGATGCCACATCTTTACTTGTTATTGGTCGATTTAACATCTACAACAAATATACAGACAATGAATTCGCTCGAAAATAGATTTAAAATATTGCACTTTGATGAGAGAAAAATAAATGACTGTACGATGATCACATACGAAACGATATCAACGTATGAGGAATAAAATAGATACAAAAAGCAGAATTAAGAAAATAAAATATTGAGATTGAAAGCCATTGCAAATTTGATTTTTGTTAAGCAGATTTCTTTTCTTGGAAATCATTTTGAGATTGCTCATAAGATGGCGGCGCTTGGTAATTCTAAAAATGAATTCTCGCTCATGAATTTTAGTAGTGATGAAAGAGAGAAAAACGAACTTTTTCGCCATTCATTTGTGGAATGTACATTTGTCCACCACAACCATTATTTTGATAGGCCAATTGAGGTGAATGAGTTACGTCTGTAAATGGCATCTCCGAAGATTGCGGAACGAATTCAGCACGTGGTAAACCTGTCGGTTGACGTTGATAGACACCAGCGTACGGTGCCGGTGCAGGCGAAACAAACATATTTGTATCTAGATTTCCAATCAATGTGATCAATTTAAATTTTAACGAATATTTTCATACCTGCAAAACTGTTGTGTGCATTTTGAGCTGATTGGTACGACGGAGGAGGTGGCTCGTAAAGATCAGCTGCCGCCATACTATACACTCTAAACATAATCGATGTGTGTAGAGTTATTTTCTATAGTTGATGACTTACGGTGGTGCTCCTTCTGTTCCTCGATGAACTAGAAGTACATGAGGGAAGAAAACGATAAGTGGGCTGATATTTGTAGTGCATATGACTCACAAACAGAATTGACTTCGCGTAGGGCAACGCTTGCGTCAATGGCGCCTCCAGATGAATAGGTTAATTGAAACTTGACTTCACCTTGAAATCCACCTAGATATAAGAAATATTCAAATGTCATGAACGACATATTGTTCTTATCAATTGATTAATCGAAAGTAAAAAATACAAATGATAAAGAATCCATCTACAAAGAAATCATTGCAATGGCAACAATGCAACGAGTTGTTGTTCTTCTAGCTTTGTTTCTAGTTAGTAATTATACGAATATTCTGATCGATGCAAAACCTGAGTTGGATTATCATCGATATTTACAACAATTTGGCTATGCACCAAAGCCTGATGGTCGACGATTGATGTCTATACTTGGCAAATCAACATACGATGATGGAATCAAAAAATTTCAACGACTGTATAAACTACCGGTAAAAAAGTCTTGTTCAATGGGAGTGAACGGTTGTTTCTTCTTATCAATGGATGTTTAGGAAACAGGAGAATTGGATGCGCGAACGAGAAAATTCATGGAACGAGCGCGATGCGGTAATCCTGATTTAGGTACCGTTGAATCGGTCGGTCAACCAGTGAAACTCGAATCATCACTAACGCCTTCATCAGCGAAAAAAAGTAAAGCACCAGCAAGTTATGTGGCACAGAATATAGTTTGGCCAAAGAAGACTTTGAAATGGTTCATTGAGGAATACCCAAAAAATCAAAAATACTTCAAATCGCAAGATCAAGTTCGTCGCGTATTCCAGCAAGCCTTTCAAGATTGGGAGAAGTACTCAGGGTTGAAATTCGAAATGACTACAAACAATAAAGCAGCTGACTTAAAGATCAAATTCCAGGCGAAAGATCATGGCGATGGATATCCATTCGACGGACAAGGCGCAACATTGGCTCATGCTTTCTATCCGACTAGTGGCGATTTACATTTTGATGACGATGAATTATTTACAGATGACTATACAGCTAAAGATGATCAATATACCTTACGATTAGTTGCTGCGCATGAAATTGGTCATTCCTTAGGTTTAGCTCATTCATTCGAACCCGAGTCGTTAATGTTTCCGGTTTATCAACAGTTCAAAGCGGATTACAGTATATCAGAAGACGATCGACAAGGTATTCAGACACTCTATGGCAAGCCAGACAGTAAAACCGAGGTTGAGTCAGACAGAACAACAGCAACGACAACAACAACGAAATCGCCATCGGCTATTCAACCTGCGCATGGATTACCATCAAATAACTGGTGTCCTGGTCAGTTTCAAACAGGCTGTGAAGGTCCCGATGGTGACCTCTACTTGTTCAAAGATGAACATGTCTGGCGATATCAATCACGAAGCAAACGATCGTGGGAACCTAGTCCAAAATTAATTAGGGAACGTTTTCCTCCTCTCTCAGACACAACGATTACAGCTTGTGTGAAATCGAAAACTGGCTATACCTATTTGTTCCGTAACTATCGTCTATGGAAATTAAGTACACATTGGTCAGTAGACGGACCGCACATCATCTATGGTTACCATTATCCTCAAAATCCTCGTGCTGCTCTATTGCATGGAAACTCGATTTATTTGATACGCAATCGTTTCGCTTATCGTTTTAATGAATTCAATCACGAGAGAGAATTAGAAATCTACAATATCGAATCGCTTCTAAAACCTCCACCTGAAGAGACGATTCGTTCAGGTTTTACGTACAAAAACCGACATTACATATTCACCAGAAATGATGTCTATGTGTACGATTCAACAAATGGAAAACTGCAGCCCGGTTTTCCAAAAGCCATGGTCAATGGCTGGTTTGCATGTGAAGGCGCATCGCTTCCGTCGAATTGGAATAAGAAAACACCGAAGCCAGCGAAACAAGCACATCGCGATAACGATGAAGAACCTAGTCGACAACCCCATTTTAATCATAATCATGGTCATCACCGTCCTCACCCTCTGCATCATCGTCATAATCGGCCCAGACGACCGCATCATCATCATCATTACGATGATTAAAAGCGAACTGATATCTTCTGAACAAGAAAAGCAAGAGGTACTCACCATTAGGATGTGCGGCGACTGTTCCCGATATATAATTTGCACCGAATAAAGGTTGTTCAACATGTAAATCTTTCATATACATAAATGCCACTGCGAATGATCGTAAATTGTCACGTAGATCATTACTAAGAAATACCATGCGATGAGTTGTAACAAAAACTTTGCCTTTGTGTTTTCCACGAAAGACTTCGCCATGTTGTCGATTCGAATCATCAAAGGATAATGTCACATTTTTCGAATGATTAACAATTCTAGAAGAAAAGCAGATTCTAGAAGAACTTAATGACCAAACGAGGTTAACTCACTGCTCGCCTTGATAGAGTAATAAACCGCCTTCGTAGTGTGCTTGATTAATCGACATTGTTCAGGAAAAAAATAAAATATTTATTCAAGTTCGTACTGCAATTGTTTCCTTGAACTAACGCAATAAACTTTTAAAAAGCTATTAAATGTTCTTCTTCATTCACAAGTAAATAAGCAAGCCAATCAAATGACACTCTTCGGTTTGTCCACCTTCGAATAAAGTGTGATGAATAAATTATTTTTCAAAAATTCAAAATCTATGAAAAATCTTCAATGAAATTGGAATACTTAAAAATTAATCGTGGATAAATTGTCTTAATATTTATTAAATATACATTCGCGCCATCTATTGAACATCCGAGTTTTCTTTTCAACTAATGCGCGCTGTTTATTTTCTCGTTCTTTTTTGCAAATGACCGAAAATAGTCATCGATCTTCGCCAAGCAAAGCAATTGAGAATATCAGTCCAGAAGAACTGGCTGAGTTACGAGAAGCATTTCGAGTATTTGACCAAGATGGAGATGTAGGATGCAAAATTTAATCGTGATTTTTATCCGATTTCAACATTTTAGGGAAGCATTACTCTCGCAGGTTGCTTTTGTACGAAAACACTGATTCGTTTCTGAAATGAATCAGTTAATTCTTGATAGAATTACGTATTGTTCTGGATCAAATGGGCTTAGAGCCCACCGAAGAAGAACTGCAAGATATGATTCGTGAAGTGGACGAAGATCAAAGTGGAAGCATTTCATTTGTAGAATTTGTTGGTAGAGACACACACCCGAAAATCATTGTCTGTTTCATGCCTATCACTGTTGAGGTATGGTGAAAAGAGCAGTCGATACTAATAAGAGCTCACGTGAAGAATTATTTCGTGCATTTCAAGTATTCGGTAATAAAAGTACACGATAAAGATATTCACACATCTCGCAAACAAATAGATCTTGATCAAAATGGTTACATTACCATGGAAGAACTTCGTACAGTCCTACAAGCAACGGGTGATCATCCGACAGACGAAGATGCTCTTGAAATGATTGCTGAAGCAGATATTGATGGCGATGGACGAAGTAAAGTCGAAAAAATGAATATTTTTCTCAAATCTATGAAATAAAACGTTTTAGTTAACTATGATGAATTCGTCCTTATCATGAGCAACACTATGTTATCAAGAAAATAATTATCATATGTATTTCGCGAGAAAAAAGAAAAAGAACGCACGCCAGTTTGAACAGTCGATAGAATCGCAGCGCATGTATTTACAACTGAATAGAAAAACCAAAATAATAAATTACACTTGTTCCAAATGAAAAATTTTAATAAATAACAAGAAAAAAAAAACTGATTTCGTCATTCACTAGAACACACACTCACATAGTTATGCAAATATATATATATAACAAAAAAAAAGGACGAATAAAGTCATCAGTAAAAGCTCTTTGATGTTTTTGTGTTTATGATCGATTGCAACAGGTGGATTTCTTCGTAGTTTTATTCAAATCAATGCCTGGAATTGGATAACGTTCTATATCTTCATTAAATTGCATATCTCTATAAGATGCAAGTGAAAACTATCAATTGTCGAAAACGATTTAGGCATACCGAGCTAATTCGATGAGTGTTTCATTGGAATTCGTGCCATCTTTCGCGCTGGTTTCAATAAACAACGCTTGATATTCCTACAAATCGAAATACTGGTATTTTGGTTTTCTAATGAATGACGAAATACTTTAGCTAATCGGGCACCATCATCGCGTTCGATGACCCGTTTTCCTTCTGCGCGCATTTGATCTCTTAAGTCAATTTTATTCGCAACAATCATAACAGAAACCTTTTTCGATGTCGATTCATTGATTGTATCAATCCATTCTCGAACGTTTAAAAACGACCGTTCATATGTAGCATCGTATACAAGAATGACGCCATCACATCGACGAAAATATGATTTCGCTACACTACGAAATCTATTCATAATTGAGAATGAAAAAGAAAGAAGTAGTACGTCATCAATTGTTTTTCTTCTTACCTTTCCTGTCCAGCTGTATCCCATAATTGTATAGCAATACGTTTCGAGTCTAATTCTAATTGTTTGTTTTGAAAGTCGACACCCAGTGTGGAGTGAATATTCGAAATAAATTTGCCTTTACATAGACGCATTATTAATGTGCTCTTGCCGACAGCCGCGTCACCACAAAAAACAACTTTATACATGCGACTAGAATAGAACAGAAGGCGCCGCCGCTTAGGCCCGACAAAAATACCACTAGAAATATTTACTCGAAGGGAAGATTTGATGCGATCTGTTCTGGTGGAGCATCTGCTGCTGTTGATGTACTCTGTTTTTGTGGAGTTGTAAGGTTAAGTGGTAAAGATTTGTTTCCCGAATGCTTGATTGATGACGAACGTCCACTACTTGCTGTTCGTTTTAATGATCGTTGTTGAGACCAGCGTTTTGGGTTAGTCCGATCGAATGAATTCTATTCGTAGTCCATGAAAATAGTAATTTCGTACGGACTCTTCTTACTTGATCAGAAGCATCGTCAGAATCTGTGTTATCGTTATTTCGTTTGATAGGCATCGACCGGTATTGTTTCGCGTTTCTGAATATTGACTTTGAATCACGGTCCGATTCAAGTTCTGTTGCATCGCGTACCGTTGTCAATGACAAACCACTATCTATGAAAAGAAGAAAAAGAAACAGTATTATAAGTGATGGATGCTTCTTAGGGATTAAGTTAAGCACAAGAAGTGTTGCCGACAATCACAAGAAGGTTCGCGATACAACGGAATTCACATGCAGGACAAACCATTCATAGTATTGTTTCGGTTAGCTGCATTAGAAGGAAATGTCGCTGGGGCTGCAGGTGAATGCTTTGTTAATAAATTATCCACTGAATCTAATTTGATTTTAGGTAAAAGTTTGTTCCCATGTATACCTAATTCGTCAGCTGAATCGAGATCAAGTGAGTCAAGTGCTGAAGGATTGTATGGTTGTTGGATTACTTGCGCATAGGACGGTGATGAACTAAACAGACTGCAAGTAAACACTTTGGCAGAATTACGAAACAAGACTTACCATTCTATTTTTGGTATGTGATGATTCCAGTATGCTTCAAGAATTGAGCCCGTACGAGATAACGAACGTTTTGATATTAAAGCGAGCTAGAAGAATGAAATTACTCGATAAGAGTTTCTTTTTGTAAAAGAAAACGAACGTCGGATGGAGAAGTTGCGATCGATTTATTCGATTCAGCCATTTCGCGTAACGTGTCATTTTCGTCACGTAATTTCTTATTAACTTCACTAAAAGACAAATCAATCGTTAAAATCATTCGTATATCGTGTCGACATACACAAGTTGACGAACATTGGTTTGTAAAGATTCCTTTTCTCGATATGCATTCGACGATGTTTGTTTCTCCCTACAAACACGAATCATCATCGAGTTTATCATGACAACTCTTCTTACAGAAGTAACATCGTTTGTCGCTCGTTCAATTGAGATTTTAGAGATTGTAAATCACTTTTTAAGATTGTTATATTGGTCAATGAATCATTTAATGACGAATTAAGTGTTTGATTTTCTTGTGTTAGTTTGGAAATTTCTTCGCGGAGTAAAACAAGTGATGCATCTTCACTAGACTGACGTTGAAGATAACACTGCTCGATCTAAATGGCACGAAAACGAGAATGTTTCATTGGATTAGACAGAACTGTACTGATTGTAAACGTTGAACATTCGCTTGTAAATCGGAGATCTGTTTGTTAGCACGTTCTTGGATTGATTCACGTATCGCTTCAAATTTGTGTTGCTCCTATTGAAAATGAAAGGTAGTCATGTAGTTATGAATGCATCGCTCCGCAAAAAAATACAAACTTCTTTCCGAACTTTTTCTTCCAGTTGTCGCATTTCACGTTCTTGATCTTCTTCAATACGTCGTAAATATTTTTCATTCATTTCCTTTTCCCTACAGCGATCAATTGTCTGTCACATCTACCTAAAACCGTTCTCCTGCTTACCGTCTGTATGAATCTTCTAATCGTCTGACTTCTTTCCGATATTTCACGATGTCACAAACAAATACTTCGAGAATCGACTGAAATTGTTCGACAGATTCACTCGATACATTCCGTAATGTTTGATAAAAGTCATAGATTTGTTCCTGACTAGAAGAAGAAAACACATCAGATTCGAAAATCTCGTTTAACTTACTTTGAAAAGATTTTATCAATGAGAATCTCTTCATCACACTCGATTAAACTCATTATGAAATGTTAATCGGTCGAAATTTCAAATATCGAAGAAATATCTGATGGGAACAAAACAACAGAGGTCGTGCGTTCGTGTCGTTGTCGTTACGATTAGTCTTCTTCTTACTTGTCCTCTTTCGCTCGTTCCTCTTTCTTTTTCTCTTTCGAATATGCATAAATTCGTAGCGAACTATATTTATGAATGCGATACTCCTTTAACTAAGTAATCAATGTATATTTAGTATTTTTTACTGTTCGCTCAAGTGAGCGTTTCGAAGAATAGTTGTCTTCGAAAGAGAACGAAAAACATATTGATCGAGGCACTTGAAGTGTTAATATGATCGATTAGTATCACATGTCTGCATACATATATTCACATACATGCTCGTTCTAATGTCACTGACATTAATGGAAAAAGAAAACTCTCACGTATCCTACCATGAAAGATTATTGAATACTTCATTGATTTGTATTTGGGTTGTATGGGAAGTGAGATCTTCTTCTCCATCGTCACCGTTATCAAGCGCGTTCTCGTGATTGAGAAGTTTCTTCTTGTACAATGAACGATGGTTATCATTCGATTTGATAAGATCTTTGAAACCACTTGTAAATTCAGCGAAACTGATGCGATTATCATGATCGGTATCGAGATCATTGAAGATAACGTCGATCTCCGCCGATGATAGATGAGGACATATACTATGGAGTTTTTCTTTGTTGAGATAACCACTGCCATCACTATCGACGAGTTGGAAGATTTCGGCGATATCGTTTGTACCGTCCATGATCGGTATGCTTGTAGTGTAGATGTGTCTTTAATATAGCGTTTTTGCCTTTTTTAGAAGACCATTCGTCAGTATCAGCGACACGTTGTAACGAGTGCTCCAGATGTTCGCTGTGTTCTGTGAAAAAGAAAAACGATAAATGAAAGACATAGGTAAATAGAGACTAGGCATTTGCGACTTTATAAGCCATCGGGAAAGAGAGGGAGAGGGAGAGGGAGAGAGAGAAAAATATTTGGATGATTGTTCTTGTTTGACTTGCTGATAAACTCAATATGATTCTATTGATAAGAAAAATAAAATTGAAAGTATTGAAATCTAAAGAACTACATCGAGTTTCGTTGGATTATGTAAATTTATTTGAAAATAGATCTCATTACAAAAAAATTGACTAGTCAGTATACACTGCGTATGCAGTTGCAATGGCGATCATATCATAACCAATTTTACATTGCACGGTAACTGATCCATCTGTTTCACTGTTCCACAAACATTTGGAAACGATAGCCATCGACTGATGTTTTTGCCGATCCGTCGGTATTTGTACAATTGTGACAAGAACGACGGTTTTATAGCGAACTTTACTTGATGGGTCAGGTTTGAGCACACGACGTAAATGGTAGGATAGTTCCCGAACAAAATCTAAAGCTAATTTGGGTTCATACCGGCTCGTTTTTGATAGCCGAGCACATCGTCGGTCGAGCTCTAACTGCAGAAATTTCTTCGCTCGGGTAAAGTCGAACTTTTTTTGAGGAGTTAGTGCATAGGCTGGCGCTCTTGGACTTTGTGCGCTATACCGTTGCGCTATGTCAGAGGTTGTACTTGATTGTTGAAACGATTTATTATGCCAGAATGGAACGTTCAGTTTCGGTGATACTTGTAATCCATACGCATGCTTTGTTAGATTGACGACACGTTGAAGCATAGCGCGAGTAGTTGATTGTGGTGGTTCCATTCTTCTTGTTATTGATAAATAAACGTTTTCTTGAATGTCTATTTGAGAAATAACTCGAGATCTTTTTTTTTATTGAACACGCACTTATTAAAATCTGACTTGAAAAGTATAGAATTTTACAGTTGTCAATCATTTTTCTTTTCCTTTGCTTGAATATTCTATTTACCATTTTATCGGTCGCGCATCAAATCTGACAAGTTGAATCAACCTTTCTCTTTCTTCGTCTTTTGTTGTCACGAAAGAATATAAAAGAAAATGTGTAGAATAATCAAATAAAAGAGGAGAAAGAACGAATAAACTACTTAAAGGAAATTGAAGTGACTGTCGCACACTATATGATTAAAACAACACAACCATACAATGCAGAGAAGAAGAAAAAAACCCGTGCAAGATAAAAAACCGCATATTGAAATTTAATAGGACAGAGTGAGTTTACGTCACAATGAACCATTATGAAATACCACGGCAACCACCATCAATTTCTCTTCTGCTAACGTTAGAGAAGAATTCTTCTCAAATCACTTTGCCAACTCAACAAAAGCAAGTGCCCGAAATGACAACATCATCGACACCTAGACCACAATCGCAAAATGCAACGCCGATTGACTGGAAATCGCGTTATGACATTCTACAAGCGGAACATAAACTCGAATGCGAACGCATTCGTCTTTATTATGAACAACAGTTACAAGAACGGGTTACAGGTGAGGAAATTTGTCATTCACAAGAGCACGAATCTATAATTTCACTAAAAATACTTCTGTTTAGAAGTCAAAACACGACTACAACGTGAATACGAACAACAAATCTCCGACTATCGAGCTCGACTAATCGAACAGCAACGATTGACAGATAATCTGAGTTCGAGTAGTCTCGGTCTAGATCACAGTTATGGCGATCAAGTACGAGAGCAAGTACGTCTCGCTGAGGAACTCGATCGTATCGATGATGAACGTCGACAAACTTTAATGAAGCATGCAACTAATAACGATGAATTGCAGCATCTTGTCAATAAACTACACACTGAAGGTACACAAAAAAAGAGTCGAGTTCTCTTGCAATAAATATCAAGGTTATTCTTTGTTTTCAGGTGTGCATGTTTTAACATTGAGTGAACTTCTTGCCTTACGATTAAATGGTATCAATATCCAAACAACTGGAGATTCGGTTGAATCTCTACAAAAATTGCACGAAGAGAATGTTCATCTTCGTACACTTATTGCTAACATGAACAAAAATGGACACGCTGATCAATTGATAAAAGATTTAGCAAATGTCTTCCGTTGTGAACAAGAACGTCGACTCGTCGAAGTACGTCAACATCCAAACTTCGATCTTCTCGAACAAGATATTAATACCATGGGCGAATATCAACGTGAAGCCTTAGAGAAATTCTTCTCCCAAGATCGTCTTTCGCCATCGAAGAAATACTATTTGAAATATCTGCGTTGTGAAAATTATCGTAAAGCTCTAATCTACCAAAAACGTTATCTTCTTATTCTCTTAACCGGTTATGCCGATACAGAAACGTATGCTTTGAATGAAATTCGTCGTTTGACCGGAGACATACGAGCGAATGCTTATTCACATTCGTATCAATCCGATCGAATGAAATCGATTCGTAAACAATCGTACCATCGACGTTTATTCGATCCGCGTTTTCGTTTTCGATGTTATGTTCGAACAGTGATTGTTACCATTCGCATGCGTTGTTTAGTTCGAAAATGGACAAAAACAGTTGCATCAATAAAAATAGATCGATAGTTTTTTTTTGTAAATAAATACGACCGATCGTTTGTTTAATTCACTCTGATCGAAAGAGTAGTCAGCTTCTGAAGGACTCGATAATGCCTTGATAAAAATAACTTAATCCTTTCTTTTTCGAAACAGTTTTCGTCGTAGTAAGAGAACTACGTGACTATACGATAGAGGGGTAATCAAGAAAAATAAATTCACTGTTCGTCGAAATATACGTTGAAAGTTGAAAGAGATAAGAGCGAGACTATTCTTCGTTCCAGTCTTCGACATTTATTGATTCATCTCGGCAGGAACGGAGACTATTTAAATCGATGCATACGCATAGTATTAGCTTATATTTCTTTAGCTATGGCACGTCTTCTCATTCAACTATTCGCTTTACAGTGTGTACTCTTCGCTGCTGTACATGGTCTTTTTGGAAAGAGTTCAGTGAAAAATGCCGTCAAATATCAACTTCAACAAAAAGTTCTTACACTTGGGTCATCGTATACTGTTAAAGATGATAAAGGCAATTCAGTTTATAAGGTACAAGAGTTATTTCTGGAGAAACCGACGTTTCATGCGAATTGCATGTTTAGATTGGATTTAAACAACTTGGTCTCGGTAAACATCTGCAATTAACTGATGTCAGCGGTCAAAAGGAATACTACGCAAGTAAGGAGGTTTTTATCAATGATTCAATTTCAATTTTCGATCGTTGCAATAGTTAAACATATCCTCAATCCACTCGGATTAGCCAAATATGAAATTCGCCAGAACAATCAAGTTGTTGCCGATGTTAAGTAAGCGAGAAATGAATGGTTGGCTCGAATTCAGCAAGCACTCTCATTTTTAGACGAAAATTGAATCTTATCGGTGGCAAGAAGTTTTCCGTTAAATCTAAATTCGGTGATTACAAGATCGAAGGCAACTTCCGTTCGCGTGAATTCAAGATAAAAAAAGACAGACGTCTCGTTGCTACAGTCTCCAAGAAATTCTTCTCTATTGGAGATAAATACGGTGTCAAGATTGAATATGGTCAAGATCAACCATTCATCCTAGCTTTAGCCATTGTTATCGATGAAGTTGCTCATGGTTAAATCGAACGAACGTCGTTCCATAAACTGTCCTTTCTTAGTGCTAATCTTCTTTCTTCGTTTCTTTTATATTAATGATCATAAATAAATAAAAACAAATATATTGAATCGATCAAATAACCTTTTCCTTATCGACTATTGCAAATGTTTTCTGTATTTATAAACTTTGTGATTTTTAGAGAAAAGATCACATTAAATGAATATCAATAAAACAAACCCTCAATGTTTATTAGTTTAAAATAGCTAATTAGTAATTTCCTATTCCCAGGATTAATTTGAGATTCCCATCTCCTTGCAATGCCCGTAGAATCATCGTCTATTAATATCCAAGTTTATTTTCGAGAATATAGATCGATTTACCATGTCGCGAGGTATGTTGAATGTGTGAATTGAATAAGATATCTTTCACATAGTAAGATTGATTATCTTCCAACACATCCTTCACTTGGTTGTACAATGTGTCGAACATGACTAAATGACTGGCCTTTGTAAGAAGCAATCTTGACCGTAAAGACGCGATTGGTGCAACAAAGAATCGATCAGCTTCGTCGAGATAATCACTGGAAGTCGAGTTTAAATTAGGTTCACATGTTAAGAAATTCAATTGAATATCAGTTCGATGAATGAAATTATGATATGGAGTTGAATGGCATGGCATGAGAAAATCAACGGAATAACTTCGTTGATTATCATTTGGAAGGTTTGTTCGAAGGTAGGTCATCACGGAGATTTGTCCTTGTCGATCAGCGAATGAAAAATAGATTCCGATCAATAGATGAATCGTAAACGAAAGGAATAACACCCATGGAAATTTCCTAATTCTGAACTTTTTCAAACACCAATCAATTCCATGTGCTTCGAGAATGAATAATATTGGCAGAATCTGTGTGAGAAATCGGAATTCTTTATGAGAATTCAATGTATAAATGAATATGGTGAATAGTACCACGATTGTTAGACGTCTATTAAACATTGCACCAAGAAAAATCAATGGTAAACGGTAGAAAAATATCATTGGTAGACCATTCGTAAAGTACCAAAAGGGATTATTGATTCCATAATGTGAAGAAATTGAATTCGGATGGAAAAAGTTGATGTATAAGAAATTCAATGGTACAAATGTCCATTGACCGTACATGTAACTATCTAACAGACTATTGCATAAATTTAATATGACAAAACAAAGGAATGCTTGAAGAAGAAAACGTAAACGTTGAGAGGTTTGATATAATAAGTACGGATAGATGATAACAAATGGAATGGCTGATGTTGGACGAAGTATAAATGATAGAGAGACAAATAGATGAAAAGCAAAGTTCGATGATGTGGAACGAAAGCTAAAACAAAAGAAATGGTATGTAAAATATGCACTTTAGACAACCGCAAAAGGTTAGTGGTTAACGTGACATTTACAAGCGCTGCATTCTTTTTGTTTCTCTACCTTTTCGCAGCAGCTAGACTACATATAAATAGAATTTCTTCTAAATTATTGATGAGTAATCTTGGAGAGGAATACATTGTGTACCAACATGAAAAGCGGCATAGGAGAATCAGGAATATCAGATTGTGTCCTTGAAGGAACTTCACATAGGCTAGGTCGCCAAGTATTGCGAGAAATGTTTGAAATAATGTCGCAACATTGACTAAAACACTTGCTGTATCCAAATGAAGGAAGGCAAGAAATCGATAGATCAACGAAATCAAGTATGGATAGAGATAACTTCGTATCGCGATCGTTGAGTTCCATTCCCAGGTTTTATAACCGTAGTTAAACGCTAACGAGTGAGCAATTTCAAATGTTTGCCAATATTCATCTGCGATGAAATATGTACGAACAATTAGCCAAGACAAGAAGCGAAAAAGTACAATAGTGAGTAGAAGATTTCGCGGTTTTCGAAATAACATCTGCAACATTGAAAATAGTTATGACAAATAAGTTGGAGAGAAGAGAAGAGAAAAGTGCAATATGACACATCAGCTGTTACTCATTGCATTGACTTGTTTATGTTGGGTATTATTTCGAACAGATCATTAATAAATTGATTATTTCTTTTATTTTGTGCTAAAATTTGAAATAAATACTCGAATTCACCTCTCGTTGAGAATCACACAACAAAATCCGATGTATGCGTTAGTGTTTTTTCATAATGAAATCAACAAGATGACATTAAAATAAAATACAGACAAACAAAGACAAATAAAGTATGTAGATATAGATATGATCACTGTTGTTGGCTTTGTTGTTGATGACTAGCTAGAATCGCGGCGTGTTCCTTCTTAAAACGTTCGATTAGATGTGCTTGGTCAGGTTTTCGAATAGCTTTCATATCGAGAACTTTTTGGAATGAACCTATGTCACCATCGTTATTCATGAATTGTAGATAATTCTTCACAAATTGTCGCGCTGAATCATTCGGAGTGAGAACAACTTTGAGAATCATTTCTGCGCGTGTCATTCCTTTCAGAACAATTTTTGTAAAGTTCTGCGGAGGTTTTCGTGATACAGGCAAACTAATCGATGGTAAGTCCAGAAGAACAGTTTTCAATGAGTGAGTGTCGAGTAGAAGTTGTTCGGCGCCGATCATGTTGATCGGTTTGCAACGATATAAATGATTGATGAATTTCGGAATGAACGAACTGAAAAAGAAAACGAGTTAGTTCTCTTCATGATGAAATGAATTTCATATACCTGACAAACGACGTACAAAATTGGATGAAATACTTGCGAGAGGATCCTAGATGATTACGTATGAGTGGAACAATTGTTTTCAGATGATTGATGATCGTTGTGATATACAGAGACTGATCACCGACTGTCTCAAGTGTTTGCCAAGACAACTGCAAAATGAGAAGGAATGTTTTGTTTTATTTTACTCGACTGATTCCAGTCGAGTAACTTACTTTAGTCATGACGATTAAGGCTGGTTCACAGGCAGTTTCTAAATCTTGAATAAGTATCTGAATTGACTGGGTAATGATACTATAGAAAATGAGAACGAGATTTCGAAGTGGTGTTAAGAATGGTCTTACACTTTAAAAACATTTCTTTCCGCTTCGAATGTTATTTTCTCTACTAGTGTTTTTGTGATCTTCTCCTTCATTTTATCTTCCAACTAAAACGACGAAAAACTGAAATGCAATCAAAATCATTATTCTGTTCTTACCTGTTGAATAGTTTCAACGCAATATTCTGCAGTACATAGAACACTACACGATCGGCAGATTTCCGATTCGTTCAATTTAGCTACCGCTTCGCCTTCTTTCAACATTGATGGAATGTTCGGCAGGTTTTGTATGAAGATCGTTGCTGTACCAACCAATGTAGATGCAGCTGTATTTGTTTTCGGTAAATTCGCTGTAAGAATTCGATTGGCATATTCACGCAGGTATTTTTGAAATGTTTGTTGAAGTAACATTAAAGGCTGACCGGTGCTTAATTTCGCACATTGCACAAGACAATTGCGAAAATAGACGAATAGTTCTCCACTGGTCGGTAAAACGTTGTTCGTATCTTCGCCGCCTTCGAACACAGGATAGCCATCTTTTTTGTGTTCGTCAACAAATTTTTGAATCTGATCAGACAAACTTCGATCTAATTCAGCGATATAGATATCGAGATGATCTTCGAAGCATTGCGAAATGATTCCTTGGAAGGGGGAAGATTTGGCTTTGGAACTACTTGATAAGTTCAAATCGTCGGCTTCGTTCGGACTTGTCAGTTTCACGTTCATATGGTTAGTAATTGGATTGTTAACATAGTCGAGTGTATTACCGGGAAAACGCTTCTCGACAATCGTCTCGAACCCGACTGTCTTCTCCAGAGCAAATCGTAATAATTTCACATCTATTTCATTCTTACGCTTAAGCATAATATTCGCCAAGTCACGTCTGAAAGTTAATAATAATTTTGGTATTTGAAAAGAAAAATGTCTTACCTAGTGATTTTACAGAATTCCACGGTTAACCGCTCGGCCATGTCCCAATGTGCTGGAAATATTCGTGAAAACTTTTCATCGTATTCAACAAGTGAACGTTTTAACCAAGCATATCGACGATCGATTTTATCTAGCCATGCTAACTGAAAGTTAAAGAAAAAGCACGTCGATTCAACGAAGAAAACCAATAGATATGATTACTTCTTGAGATTCTTGGTACAATATTGAGTATTCCGAAAGATGCGTCTTTAAAAACCAATTTATGACTTCTAATCTAGAAAATACATGAACGTAGGAAGAAGAGAAGAATGTCGCGAATGAGTAACCTTAGTTTAGGGTCAATGACGTCGATTATTTTACATACATCAGCGAAATGTTGATTTGGCGTAAAATTCTATGGAAAAGAAAACAAACGTCTTGAAGGAAATTCATCTATCACTCACTTTAGCATTGGGGCCATTGAAAGCATCTTCACATTCTTTTCGAACCTGAGCGTTTATTTGAGCAGTTAGTTCTTTAACACTACGAAATCAGATCGTTAGTCGAAAAAGTCAACGATGGAAGATAAAAATTACTTCGAAGATAGTTCTTGTATTTGTGAAATGCTCATGTAAGGTTGAAAATGTTCTAATACACTAATAACTGGATGCAGTAAATGAGCTATATCACCGTAGGACTTCTTTTTCACAGCACTTTCGATTTTGTCAATGCCTTCGATTAACATTTGAAGATTATTCAATGTTGTGATTGAGGTGGTTAAATTCTTCTTGGCGATATCAAGTTGTTTGATGTCTCGAGTGATTTCTTTAACCATTTCTTCGGATTTATCGGCTTTGTCTTTAATTTCACACATTTGCTGATATAATAATGCAATGGCATTTCGAGCATCATCTAATATTTTATGTTCATCCATACCAGTATCTGAATGACCACGTATAGTTAAGCGAATATCATTATCTAGGGTACGAATTTTCGATTTCACATTGCCAATGACTTCATCTATATTTGCTAAAGATTGCTCCGTAGGAAACAATTGATTGATATAATCAACGGGATTGAAATCAATCCGATCGATTTCATCTGTGCTTGGTAATATCTAATGAAAATATACTATTGATTATTTAGGGCAATACCAATATAATCTAACCTGATCAATGACTTGTTGGACGTCAGGTGGAAGTATAAGTGTGTCATATCGATCATCGTCAGCGTCAAATGCATCATCATCTGCGTCTACTCCACTCGTAGTAGTCGTCATCTAAAAATGACAACAAGGATTGACGAAGTTTATTTTTATATTCAGGTATATATGAAAAGGCAAAGACAAATATATGTATATGTCGTGCTACAACGATTTGACATTTTCGATTGAATATTTACAAGTTAAGAGAAAAAGAAAAGGTCCAATGACTATATTTACACACAATAATACATGCTAAAAGAGATTAGTAAGTTAGGCACTATGTTCGTACTTGTACAGGATACAAAAAAAAGCTATACAAATGAGAAACCGTTCTTTCTGTTCAATTTTACATGTGGGGTTGAAAAAGTTTGTCCATCCAATTCTTCATTGTACATAATTGATTCACCGGGAAATCGTAATGCGAATTACAAACATACTCTTTGTTGGATGTATGTTTTTTTGTTACGGGAATCTCATGACGTAGCTTCTGACGATCATGACTACGTTGAAATGTCCAACGCCATGGACGTCGGACAGATTTGCCACTGTCTTCGGAATTTATGCTATTCATACGAGCTTGTTCACGTTGTTCAGCACGTGATCGCATCCATGTTGCGTATGAGGTTTGAGCTTGATGAATAGATGAAGAGAAGTTTTCGACACTGCGGCGAATAGTTTTTTTAACTTTCTCAGCGGTTTCTGACTTAGCAAAGCCATTTAGTTTCTGTTTGGTTTCTTCGACATATTCATGGCGATTGTCGACAAAATCAGATATTGTCGTACTCATTTGTTCGAAAAAAACCGCGAGACTTTCCGACGTGTTTGTCGTGATCGATGTCGTTTGTTTGATAACATTACTAATCATGTTTTCCAAGGGTGATACAATCACTTTGGCCTGCTGAAGAAGCAAGAGAATGACTTAAAAGTACAATGTGTGCATATCGACTTACATCCGTGCTTTGCGAACATGTGATATTGATTTTTGCGTGTTGTTCTTCCATGATCTCTTGCCGTTTTTCCAATCCAATGACTTGCTTTTGTAATCGTTCATTTTCATTCGATAACTAAAAATGAAGTTGTTTGAGAGAGAAGAAAGAAATTCTTCTTTCGATTGATTTACTTGATGAATTGTATTGGTTAAATTCAGTTGTGTCATATGAATAATATGATAAAGTTCATTAATTTGTGAAATTAACGAGAATTTCTCTTGATGATGTTCAATCATCTTTTGTTTCAAAATTCCTTGAAACTTCTCTTCCAGCTAAACAATGCCCGTAATGAAAAATAATGAGAAAAAAGAAGCATTGCTCACTTGTTTCGCCAGTTTCTGCTCAAGATCTTCGATTGGAACATTCTTTATCTGATCCAAACGTTGATTTGTCTGTTGTAAATTCTTCGTTATTTTATCAAGCACATGCCGTTCTAATCAAACAAGCCAACAGATATGAATAGAGGGTCATCATCGTACTTACGCGATGTTGCAAATCGACATAGAACTATTGGTAAAGCTAAAAGTAATACTAGGAGACCATAGATGAGCAACGCATTTCTCTTCCGTGGATGTTGACTTGATGATCGTGAAGATCGACTTCCCTGCTCAATAGTTGGCACGTATTGGTCACCTGTGAATTTCATCAAAATAGATTTTAAAAGAAAAGGTGAGATAATAGTTAATTACCTGTTTCTTGCACATTTGCACCGGTGCGTCGACTAAACGAGGGAAATATCGTAGGAGAGTGTCCATCAAATCGAACTTACCGCAGATGACTTGTGAATGTGATTGTTTCCTGGCTAGAAACAGATTGAAAAAGAAATGCAGAGCATGGTTGAAGTTATCAAACTACCTTGAATCACATGCACTATGTGGTAATTCGTATTCATTAATAACCGGACTCGTTTCACCCTCGTTGACTTGTTTAATCGGAATTTCCGAAGATAAACCTTGTTCTTTGAGTTCACCTTCTACTAATGAATCATTTGTTTGACTAGTTAAAACCGGTTCTTCACTTTTGTCTTGTTCAATTCTACGTACCGAAAAAAAATGTACATGACAACTTCAGTAAAACCACTTACTCAATCGATGATACCGAGTCACTTCGCTCCGATGTTGACAAACTGCTATCGCTGCTACTCGTACTTGACGACGAACTGGAAATGGTGTGTTCATGATCAACAAGGTTCATAGCGCCATGCATAGACTTGAATATAAACAAAAAATATGGATAAACAAATGCTTCTCGACGAAGTTCAAAGACAACTTACATTCGTGTTTGGTGATGATTGACGCAAGAAAACCCAATCATCGTGTTCTCGATTGAATTCATCTTCATTTGATGCATACATGTTGACTGTTTTGACTAAAATATGATAGATCACGATGGGTTCGGCTTATATAAAATAACTCGTGCTTCCAGAGAATAATCAATGGAGTCAAGTGACTCTAGATGGCGACGGATGAAATCTGATTGGCCAGTTTAACTTACTTTGCTATGTAATGTACTACTGAATGAATATCCTTTGACAACGTATACAGACGTTTCGAAAAGAGACAGGTCGAAGATTTGCTTTTTATTGACAGTTGATTACATGTATTTTGTCGATTGGATATTTGTTAGACAGTAATGAAATGAAATTTCCCAGTGAATCATTTGTTTTTTAGCGAAAAAAAGTCACTTGATTTAGGTACTACTACTACTACCTCGAAACGTTGTCTTATCACATCTTTCCGGTTTGAAGGTGATAAAATATCGCCATAGGTTTTTAATAGATGATGTATAAACAAAATAAACATAAAAGATATGGAAAGTTTCTTATCTTCAATAATTATCTATGCTATGAAACAACGTGTCTTTTGCAACAGACGTAATTCGTTTTTCAGATGTCAGTGAGGCGTTTAGTTGGAAAAGTTGCATGTGTAACTGCATCTACCGATGGGTAAGCCTAGAGGAAAATATACGAATTCAAATATTTGATATGAAAATTTCAGAATTGGCTTCGCCATTGCTCGGCGATTAGCGCAAGAAGGTGCTCGTGTAGTGATTTCTAGTCGAAAACAAGACAATGTGAACAAGGCGATGGAAGCGTTCAAAAAGGAAAATTTCGATATATACGGAACAGTTTGTCATGTTAGTAAAAGTGAAGATCGGAAACGATTACTAGATGAAACTATCCAGAAATATGGCAAATTGGATATTCTAGTCTCGAATGCAGCGATCAGTCCTTCGTTTGGAAATATTCTAGACGTAAGTCGACATCGTCTTGTTCATTCGTCAAATATTTAGATTTCATTTAGACACCGGAATCTGCATGGGATAAAATATTCGATGTCAATGTAAAAGCTGCTTTTTTCCTGATTAAAGAAGCTATTCCATACCTTGAAAAGCAAAAGGGCAGTTCTATTGTAGTTGTATCTAGCATAGCTGGATACACTCCAATGGAATTGATTGGCGCATATTCCGTGTCGAAAACAGCTCTACTCGGCCTGACGAAAGCACTTGTCAATCCATGTCAAGAAAAAGGCATTCGAATCAATGGAATCGCTCCGGGAATTATTAAAACAAAGTTTAGTAAGGCGTTATGGGAAGGTGGAGAAGATACAGATACGAAAACAGCGTCGTTCGCTGGCTGCGCAATGGGCCGTGTTGGTACATCTGAGGAATGTGCAAGTGCAGTCGCATTTCTTGTTAGTAATGATGCTTCCTATGTAACTGGTGAAACGATTGTGGTGGCTGGTGGTATGCCCAGTCATCTTTGAATTCCAAGCTTGATTTGTGAAATTAGAAAAAAAAACTTTTTGAATAGATTTTTAGACGATTGAGACGTATTCATGTTTGCTTTTTGTGAAGTTCGTATTTTCTATCTGTCAGAAAAGTGTGATTGAGTGTAAAATGATCAGAATTGAAATGCATTCATTTTCCAGGAGCAAGGGGATATTCATACATCATATAACAATAATTCGTCAGTACATCAAATGACTCGAGAGGTAAGCCGACTGTCATTACAAGTAAATCCATTTAGCGCTTTGAGGAATCTCCTACGTAAAAAGCACCATCCACGATCTGTATTTCAGTAACTATGTAAGAACGCAAATGAATAGTGTGCATTTGTTCATGTAACAGCTTGTCGTACTTTGCATCTATTTATTTCGTATATTTAATCCATAGTGATTACCTCAATGGAATACTTCTCATGCGAGACTAAAAGAAAACATTTTATCATTTTATTCGCTGTTTCAAAAACATATTTACACATGCACAATATTTTTACTACATATTACAGCATAGAATATCTGTTTTAGTTTAAGGTATACGATTGTCACCATCGCCAATACTTTGTCTAATGTGTTTTTCACCAGGTACAAGAATGGCATTGTGTAAAATATGCGCGCGCCGTTTCGCGTCCATATTTATATATTTCTGCTGTCCGAACTCATCAATCATCGAATTGTTCCCGTCATCTTCATCTTCATCTGATGTATCTGAACACGGATGAATAACAATGGCTGGCAGATGATTTTGTTGGGGCAAAATTTCTAATGGTTCATTCGATTGCAATTTTGATAAGGCAAGAAACAGATCGAAGTTGATTTCTGGCAATTCTTCTCGTTTTGTAACCCAACCGATGGGTGGTGTTGTCGGAGGCGATTGCATATAGATCTGTTCTTGCTCAGGTGGTTTGAGATATTCAATCGATGATGACGGAGAATATTTGAATGAAATGGAAAGTTTCCTATGATAAAATTCTTTCCCGTTCATATGTGTGCAAACTTGAGATGCAATCATTGGATCGGAGAACATCAAATACGCTCGTTGAAAGTCAGTCGAATAAGAGATGATTACTTCAGGATCAAATTCATGGAAAATACATTCAAATTCGCACTGAATATTTTCATCCGTAAATGTCTGACTTATGAATCACTCTTATATTCATTTGTTTTCTCAATGCGTAAGTATTCCTACCTCTTTCGGCAATTCTTTTACTACTAGTTGACATGAACTTCCTTCGAAAACAAATTCAGGCTTGGAACTATTAATCAAGTCAAATGATTTGCGCTCAGATTCATCTGATGGATCATCTACGTAATTAATATAATAACTCTTCGGATTCACTGGAGTGTTATCATCGTGGCCGTTCGATGGTAACGGAGATAGCATGGCAACTTTGTTGATTAACACTGAAGGATTGGCTGATGTTTCTTCCGTGTAATATTATATAAGATAAATAAGAGATGAATCGAATTTCTTTGTCTTAGTAACTAAAGCAATCAGCGCTATTTATGGTTGACTGATAAAACTCTCTCAAACTTGTCAGCGATTTATGTATTGAAGAATGGATGAGCAAGTGATGATGTCCCTCCCAGATACTACGGACATAGCAGTGGAATTTCCGTGTAGTACAAGCGGCAACTATTCAATTCGAACCGAATAGTTATTCATGGAATACACTGAATCACGACTATTTTCTGGTTCTCTAATCGTATCGCTAATGTCAAAGTTCGCTGAATACACCAACACCAGACAATATGCGATACTATTCAGCCGAGGAAAACGAGTCACTGTCTGAGGACGAGAATCATCCTCAAAAATAGTCTTTAGTTCGTATCTGTCAAAAGAGATGTTCTTCAAGGATTAGAAAGTCTTTTTTTTGACAGTATTTCTATTTTTATGCATATTAAGAAAAGTCCAGTGAGAATAAAGGCTTTTTCACTTTTATTTAAAGCAAATACGACGAATTTCATCTCTTCAGACAGCACATATCTTACTTGTGGTATAGGTACTTTCATTTTAATGCAAAGCAGAGAAATTCTCAGGACGCTTTCTAAAATTTTCATTTCCACTGAGTTATTTGATCGATACTCAGAAAGAAAAGGGTGAGATATTGTTTTTTATCGATTTTTTTATTAGCTCTTGAACCAAAAACAGTCGCTCTATAACTGAAATGCGCATCGTATCTAGAGGCTTCTCGACAGGAAACGAATATTTTAATTAATCCGCTAGTTGATGTTCAATTGAAAGTCTGCATACGATTAAACTATTTCAGCATTGAAGATCAGGATTTTGAAACAAATTTCATCGATATAACTGTGTCTTTTCAACCGTTTTACATAATACGATTGGAAGCAAACCAGTCGTAGGCTTTTTTTACCTGGTAATGCGGTACTTCGTAAAAAATTGAGACGACATGTTTAGCGAAGCAAATAAATATTCACATCTACAGATTTCTACATTTATCAGATATTCTTTTCCATTCGAACTATAGGCCACGAATAGTTGTTCAGCAAATTCCATCTCTAACTATGGCTTACAACGTGTCCAACGAGCAAGATAATAATGGTGTTTACGCTTATGATCCACCACTTTCTAAGCTGATTAAGTTCTGGCTGTTGATCATTGGTGTAACAACGGCTACACCATGCTATCTCTTCCTAATCTACTATTTCTTAACCAAGAAATCTGTCCGAGAAGCTCTCTACAATCATGTGATTATTGCTAGTTTATTTGTTGATTTCATCATTCTTACCGTGGATCTTTCATGTCACATGGGATATCTAAGATTAGGATATCTTGTACCGTCATCGCCAGCTCTCTGTTTGATCTGGCAATTGATAGACTATGGATTCTGGTATGGAGATTTATTCTTGAAATCATGGGCAGCTGTTGAACGTCACATTCTGATCTTTCATACGAATCTCATCAGCACACCATGGAAACGTGTCTTTGTTCATTATTTACCACTGGTCTTCGTGACGTTTTACACTCCACTTACCTATGTCTACTTGATTTTCTTTTATCCTGCTGAACATACTTATATTTACGATATATTAATGTGTAGCGGTCCTTATTATTATTTAAACATTCCAACGTGGCTGATTTGGTATGAATCAATCTTTCATTATGTCGTTCCGATATTCGTTCTAACTATCTTCAGTAATGCTCTCTTCTTTCGGATTCTCCTTCAAAAAAGTCGTTTACGAGTTGCTCAAGGTTGGCGACAGTATCGCAAAATGACGATACAACTGATTTTTGTTACAATCACCTATCTATTCGACTTGCCTTACATCATCGTCACCATCGTACGATGGTCTGGATTTCCAAATTTCGGAACCGACTTGCAAGGACCTTACTTTTACTATGTGAATTACATTCCAATTGTGCTTTTTCCATTCGCACTTCTTTGCTCGAATCCTAAAATTTTAAGATCAAGTTTCTCCTTGCGAAGACGACAACATCGACAAGTGGGAGCGACAGCGCTAAACAAAACGATTTTGAACTAACGATTCAGCTAAAGAAAATAAATACAAAAACAGTCCTCGTTGTTTTTATCGATACATTTGTTGTTATACGAAGAGCATTTCGTCTATGTTACAAATCAAATATTATGTTGACAAATAAGTCAGTATAGATTACATTCTGACGAAAGAATAAGATTCTGACAGTGCTCTTGCAATGATTTTGAGCAACAGTACAAGTATTTTCACGTGTGAAGATTCTAATATAGAAAACGACAACTGTCATCAAGAATATACGTCGTCGTTGTCACATGCACATTAATAAATTGCCTGATAGGTCGTAAAATAGATAAACATATCATTTCCACGTGAAATTTCATCAAATATGACTTCCCAAAGCGCTTTATGTTTTCTTTTATTAGAATGGTCCTTAGCTACCGCAGAGAAGAAACCAATTAGAATAAATCATTCCTTGTCAACGTAGTAGATAGAGGGAAATTCGCCAAAATAAATAACAATAAACACAAAGTGTTGAAAGATTGTGTCTAGTAATTCTTTTCCATCTAATATCAATAGTTTCATCCTCATTCGACATCGAAATCTTTCGAGAACAATGTATTACCCACTAGCTTTTATTTCAACATTCATGATCATCTCGATCGTAGGTTCACCAACAGATTATAATCAATTTAATAGCCAATTAGCTGCACTATCCGAACAACTTGATCGAATCGAACTACACCTCAACAATAGTATCAGTCAGTTGTTGACAAAAATGGACGAAAGCCATCATGATATCGCACATTTGATCAAACAGGCGCATCCTTTCCCAGTAGATCGTAAGTAATTCGATCAAATTTATCATTTATCATAGTTTTTCACTTTTTCAGATGATGATCATTCGTCACCCAGTCGACCAGTAAGTGCTCTTTTAGTTATCGACGTTCAGTATGATTTTATCAATGGAACTCTCGCTCTTCGCGATTGCCCATCTAAACACAATGGTGAAGAAGTCATACCTGTTATAAACCAACTTCTCGATAAAGTTAACTTCGATGTGGTGGTTTACAGTCAAGATTGGCATCCAACGGATCATATATCTTTCTTCGATAATCTTCATCTTCGTTCAAAATTTTTAACTAAAGACTCTGTACCTCTGGATGATCTGAAAATGTACTCGACAGCGACATTCGCTCTTGAAGATCTTCCGCCAACGAAACAAACACTCTGGCCTCGGCATTGTGTTCAAAATACGTTTGGTGCTCAGTTCCATTCTGATTTGAAAGTGCTTGAAGAAGATAGCAAAGAGAACACTTCAGTGATTGTTATTCAAAAAGGAACAAAGCCTCACATTGATTCCTATTCAGCGTTCTGGGACAATGCGAAGTTAAGCGAAACCAAATTGAATCAACAACTAAAAGACAAACATGTCACTCAAGTCTTCGTTACTGGCCTCGCCACCGACTGGTGTGTGTATTTCACAGCTATGGATGCAATAGAAAATGGTTACAAAACATTTATTATTGAAGATGCAGCTCGTGGAGTCGATGAGAATACTATTAAAGAAAGACTCGAAGATTTCCGGCAAAAAAAAGGTCATGTTATTCAATCAAATCAAGTGAAAGACTATTTTCCATAGACATCGTCAAAAACAGAAAATATCATTGAACACTTCATATTTTGTTTTCTTCCATTTCTATCCATCAGTTCTAGTTCTGATGAACAGCTCGTCCGTAAGAAAGACGTTATATTTTTATTTTGTTCTTAATATCTCCCTGCAAAGTAAATCTCATCATAGTATACTATCTTCATACCGAGCTTCGTTCGAACAATTATGTCAATAAACTCTCATAGGACATAGGACCAAAGCGATGACTCGATCGATCGGTAATAAAGTTTGACAAGATGATGAGTCATCAGTGTGGATCAGAACGGAGAATGGCGTGATACTCTTAACAAAGAATGTGATTGCGTTGGAATGATTTGCATCGCCTGATGTTTATTTTCAGACTTCGAAACTCAGCAAACAATTGATACGGTTACTTTCAATCGACTTTGTCGTTAACCGAATAAAGGACAGAAAAACACAAACAACAACAACAACAAACTGTTCGTAATTATCAATACCATCTGTTCAACGTTCCGTCTTAATTAAATAGGCTGTACTGATTTTAATCATATGTGATCAACTCGAACAGAGTAATACGTTATTATCTCACTCATCGATGTATACGGCTAATCAGAAACTATAAAGCAATTGTCTCTATTGACGATAGAAAGGTAGGCGAAGACAGTCCTTTGCGAATAAATGAAGAAAAAGATTAATTAGGCTAAGAGGAGATAAACCTATCGTCGAATGATAACATGGACACAGCAATTGCTGTTCTTTCGTTTTTTCTTCTTCTTTTATATTTCGACAGCTCGTTGATTAGATGGAATCTATCTTCGAGATTATATCATCTGCCAAATGAAGACTAATTATGTGCTGAGAAGTATCTTCTTTTTTCTTCTGCTCTCTCTCATTCAGAATGTCGAATTTAAATGTACTTCATCCAATATACGTGCATATCGTTGAGTCGGACATTGCACAGCCTAATTATCTACCTTGAGCCCATGCGAATTGACAAGTATGTTTACAATCACATTCAATCTGTTTATTATCTTATTAATTTGATCGATATTTAAAGAATGTTTGGTGATTTCATTTTCAGTTGTCGTTGTTCTCGAGAGACCTGTTGCCAATAAATGAGAGCTAGACATAAAACAGTAGATTGCTGTCATCACTCGTTCGATGACAACGGTTGCTTTTTTCTTTTACTAGTTTGAGATAATGCGAGTGTATCTAAGAAAGGGAAAAAAGCTGAGAGACGGCAAGAGGGAGAGAGAAAAGCAAAAGAGACACATTAGCTTCGAATTCCCTATAAAAAGACAGTATCTATATAGTGAGATTTATTATTTCTTCTTTTCGCGATCAGACATTGATTTTCCACGTAGAAATCATGTACGAATGGTTATCAGAAAGGAATTTTCCAGTCACAAATGTAATGTTAATGTTATCACCAACATATATTGATGATTCGAAGAAGTGAAGAACGGATTTTAACATGTTTCATTTTGATAAATTCATACGATTGCTGATTGAATAATCAGAGTATCGATGAAATGAAATCGAGTTTAACTCGGCATCAATAAATAACTATGCAGGTAAGATAACAATTTCCCTCTTGTATTCACCTCTTTGTTACTATTTGAAAGTATGTCGATGAAGTGCGTCATGAAGCAACTGTATCTGTCTGACAGAAAATTTCAATTTCTGTGAAAAAGGTAGGCTAGATCGATTTTGGTTTCATCATTCTTATGTCTACAGCCTCTTGTGCATTGTTGTTGCATTGCATTCATGAATTTCGATTTATGCAATGGAAAGGACAGTGCAACAAGAAGATGGAGATCATCGGCGGAAATACAATTCATTATGTTCGAATCTGTACTCAATTTTACTATTTTAGACTTCGTCTTTCGCTTGGATTGATTACGAGTTGTTTATTATCTCATCTTCTTCCATGATAAATATATAATTGTCAAAACGTTTCTTTTGAAAATAAAGCTCTCGTAGAAAGTATTCACTGTCAAAAAAAAGGACAATGAAGATTACATTTCGAACGAAAACTTTTCGTTCGATCATAATTGTGATATCTAATTAAATCATTCAAAGAGTATTTATTAACATAACAAATATATTTATTGATTTTGCGGTCATTGACATATCTGTTGACTCTATTACTGTTATTGTGTACATATATATATATACATTGCAGGTTAAAGAATATAAGAAAACATTGATTAATAGAATATTATGAAAAGGTTTCATTTGAGATAGGTAAAGTACATGAATTCATTGACTTTTGTGTAAAATACCAAGAGATTTCTCTATCGTCACTATTAAAACCAAATCTATTTCGTTGCTTTTTAAACAACGAATCAAAGTTCGACAGTGACCAGGTGTTTGTTATCAAAGTCATTCGTTCGTCATTCTCGTGAGAAACTGATCGTCTGTTTATCAGTATAAAACCGTCGGTACAAATTTCTTTCTCATACGACATTCATTCTGTCATAGGTAAAGCAGTTTCTCAATCGTATGATTAATTTATCGTCCTTCGTCTAGAGAATTGTATGAAGCAATCATGAGTATCATCATTTTGATTTGTATTGATCATCAATTCAATTATATTATCTCAAAGTCCATCTTTAGTTGACAAAGATTTTACTCATCAAACTGCTTTCTTTTCAAAACTCAGCATATCCCGCCGGCATTGGGAATATTATTCCCAGCGATGGATCGGCCATCACGCGATCGTCTGATAAACGACGAAAGATCTTCTTCATCTGTGAACCCATTTTTTCTGCTTTTGCCATATTTCCATTGATTATCATTTTTTGGGAAGCCGGCTGGAATTTTATCATCGACTGGCTGGATACGTCGGTCGGTCAACATCGAGTTACCGTCCCCCTTCTCTACGTCTTCTCTCAATTAATCTTACTCGCTATTTATACTACTCAAGATCATCTCTACGGATTTTTAGCTGGACTCAAGAATGATTTCTTACGTGTAGTTCTCCTACAATTCCATTGTTTGATCTCAGCTTTGAGTTATATTATCCAGTGGGTGTCAATGTGGACGTTATGGGACTATTACACATCAGACGAATGGCTTCCCATGTTATTAATAAGCTTTGCCGCAATTTTAGCTATCATTATTTTAGTTGGGCACCCATGTGATCTTGTTTGCGCACCGTTTGTGATTAGTTATGATTCAGTTGAATACAACATTCGGATAGGAACACCATTCACGATCGGACAAGTATGTTGAGAAGAATTTTCTTTGCAAAATCATTGAAAATATTCGTTTCAGATGAATCGTTACGTTGCTCATCTATTGAACTATATTTTTTATGAATATTTAACCTCGATTCTATGCATATTAGCTTGGCGTGGATCATACAAATTTCTTGATATTCACTTATATCCAGAAAATGAGATTATATCCGGTATTTTCAGTCTTTTAAGTGGTTATTTGTTATATTTCACTCTTATGTACACACAAGTATTACAAAACAATACTGCCTATTCAACACCGTTTTTAGACATAAATTTCCCGTTGTTTCTGGAAAATCTTCGTCACATATGTTCATTTTTCTCGTGCGTGTTATTATGGAGAGGCTTTTGGATCGTTTTCGACGAATTCATTGTTGCTGTGTCGCTCATCAACGGCAATCGTTTTAAATTTTATATTATTGCAATGATTATCTCCTTTCTTATCTTAAGTTTCATGAAAACGGCATCGTCTATCCATGGGCCGATGTCTCACATCGATGATGAGTACGAACTGTTTCCTATCTATCGAAATTGCTTTCTTAGTAAATGGTTTGAAAAGAAGAATTCATCGTTGAATGAAATGAAGTCGAATTCACGTAAAACGACAACTAGTGATCTGTATACAATCACGATTTTTTAATCAAATAAATCATTTCCTTTTCTCTGGGAATAAACTCGCTTCTCTGATTTCATTTTTGTTTCGATAGATGTCGCCTTGTTCTCATTTTCTCCGATTGGTTAATTTCACTTAACAAATACAAAAGTAAAAATGGCGATGGCTGCATAATGCGATGATGGCCATCATCATTTTCTATTTTCTTCGGAGTTGTCATCTCATTTGAAGATTCTTTTGAGATGTTACGTCCTCGTCGTAGTGTTCGGAATGGTCCGACAGAAAAGAAACCGAGTGTTTCATCACCAGTGTCAAATCCCATCCCATCACCACCGTCTCCACCTGAAAGCTCCAACCAAGAAGAGCCTGAACAACCACTTCGTTTACTTGAACCACGAGAATGTGTTGGACGTTCCATACAAATTGGTTTGAATGAAGAAATTGAGTTAATTTTTAGAAATCCTCCATCGGCAGATCAACACTCACCTGTTCCACCTGAGCTAAAAACGCAAAAAACAGAGATTATCTCGAATGAAACCAATTCATCGGATGAACCGCCAAAGTTCCAACGAACAGAAACATTTATCAGATATATCGAACCAACACAAAATGAATTAGATGAAATGGTTGAATATGAAATGGATGAAATGGATTTGACTTGGTTAAAACAAGTCAATCAAGAACGTGGAAAGCGTAATTTGCGTCCGGTTATCGAAGAAGAATTCGAATTATTGATTGATCGACTAGAAAAAGAATCTCATTTTCAAGCATTGGTCAACGGTGATGATCTGGGACAATCTATCGATGAAGATGCTTTATGTGTCATATGCTTAGATGGAGAATGTTCAAATTGCAATGCCATTCTATTTTGTGATATGTGTAATATGGCTGTTCATCAAGAGTGTTATGGTGTACCTTATGTACCGGAAGGTAATCTATAAGTGTCTCTACAGAAAGAAAACCATTCTGACTTCATAGACTGAGAGAAAATGTTGTGAATTTATTGTTCTCGCGAAATATGAGCTGCAATTCTTCAGTACATGGTCTATCCTAGTTGCTACTCTCAAAGACAACTTGTTCTATCTGAAAAGTTCTCAAATCTGCTACACTCGTGTTTGCTTACATAGGGAAATCATTCATTTCTAGGTCAATGGTTATGCCGTCGTTGTTTTCTTTCACCCTCGAAGTCAGTTCAATGCGTTCTATGTCCGAATCGTTTCGGTGCTTTTAAACAAGTGGATGATGGCGAACGCTGGGCACATGTCGTCTGTGCTATATGGATACCTGAAGTTCACTTTGCCAATACTGTTTTCCTCGAACCTATATGCAATATCAATCAGATACCGACAGCACGTTGGCGATTCACATGTTACATCTGCAAACAAAAGAATGTCGGCGCATGTATCCAATGTGCAATTCGATCATGTTGTACATCGTTTCATGTGACATGTGCTCAGCAAGCTGGTCTCTACATGGAAATCGATGAGAATGACGAGAACGAATCGGTTGCTAATGAAGATGTATCAAATAGTGCATCGACGAATAAGTACAAGAAACAACCACCAAAAGGATCGACACGTTCACCACCACCGATTCGAAGACGTGCGTACTGTCATCATCATACTCCAATAGAAATGATCCGATCGAAAACAAAAGGACGAACTAAAAGAGGTACGAATACAAATAACTGATGTAATGAGTTAATAGCTGCATTGTTGTTCTTATTCAGATGAAAGTGAAGAGGAAGCACTAGAACGTATACAAAAAGAACGTATGAAAACGGCACGAAAGATTCTAGCTGAACGACGAAAATGTGACCGTTCTGTATCTGTACCCGTCGTACCAAAAGAAAAGTGAGTCGAACCGACTGATTGAGCTTTTAATAATTGTGATATTCTAGAATGGAGGCTGTATTGAGTAAAGTCACTTTTTCGGACCGTGATAACTTTTTCAAACGGATTCAAGCCTATTGGACGCTGAAACGTATGTCGAGAAGTGGTGTACCATTACTGAAACGCCTACAAAATCAACGATCAACAAAGAAAAAAGTAAAACATGATTATTTTCCAGTCAACGACATTCTCCCAGTTGTTGTTATAGTCCAATCAAGGTCAAGAGTACACTGATAAGCAATTATCTCAACAGATGGTTCAATGGCGTCGACTTCGACAAGATCTAGAGCGAACACGACTTCTCGTTGAATTAATTCGTAAACGTGAAAAATTGAAACGTGATTTAGTACGAATCGAATGATAATCTTCGAAAGAATTCACATAACGAATACTTTTATAGATTAAAATTGATCAACAAGTACTCGACTATCAGATACGTCCATTAAATGTCTTTCTTCATCATTTACTTGAACAATTAGAACATCTTGACGATAATCATTATTTCGCCAGTCCGGTTGACGAGACCGAAGTAAAACATTAATATTTATGTCGAGGTTATTTTTCGGCTCATTCGATCGTTTTCTTTTTCAGGTACCAACTTATTATAAATTCATCACGCATCCAATGGATTTTTCTACTATGAAGAAGAAAATCGATCGGGATGAATATTCCAATTTAGATCAATTCGAAAATGACTTCGGTCTAATCATAAAAAACTGTCATTTTTTCAATGAAGCAAAATGTAAGAAGAAAATTTGTTACGCGAGAAAAATTCTATCATTATCTCTTTCTAATGTCTAGCACCGTTCTATAGAGCAGCATCAAAACTACGTGATAAAGTAAGCGAAAGAGCAAACTACATCAGATATTTCATTTCTCTTTTATAAAAGGGTCTGAATGTATTGAAACAAGCGCGACGAGTTTATGAAACTACACATTATGATTCGGAAACTGGTCAACTCAAAGAAGAATCGGCTGCAGAAGGTAAGTTGGAAATACAAACATAGACATCAAAAGGAAGAGCTCGACTGTGCGTGTGTGTTTTAGATCTGAACAACACATTTGAAGACCGTCTGGAAGTTTTACTCGAACGATTGAAAGAATATCAAGCGATCGGTAAGACATTGTTTATTCTTCAGACATCAATGGCTCATTCTTTGTTGTAGAACCACGATCTAAACATGTTGCTAATTTGAAAAAACAAATTGCTCAAGTACGTCGAACAATAACAAAAAATCTTTCAAGTTCATCTGTAAATAATACAACTAACAATGATGAATCGATACCACTACGAACAATGAACGATGAATCAAGTAGATAAGAATCAGTAGATGATCTCTATCGTCTTCTTTCTTTTGTTCTGTATTAGTGGAGACGATTTCATCGTTGTCACCTAATGTTTCATCGTTGAATGTAACGAAAAATCAATCGGAACTAGTTGATATGCAATCAACGTTGCAGATGTAAGTTTTGTAATGAATAACACGAATATGATGTTGATTGAAGTTTGTTTAGTGAAAAGTCCAAACTAGTCGAATCCAAAAACGAATCAGATGATAATAGCACTGAATAGATATATCTATGTTCAATCGGAAAAGATTTCTATCGATTTAGCTCTTTTCAATCGTGACCATTAACATTAAAAAAACACATACTTTTCTTTTCTCTTTGTGCGCCACCATGTTTCTAATCTATACTTAATATTAATGTTATTTCGATGTTATAATGAACGCTTTTTTCTTTGTTTTATGTATATATTGTAGAGTGCTACTACAAGATGATTTCTTCATACTTTGGCGCGCATTTATTGATTCTAATCATGTCTTTAGATGAAAATGTCGGATTTTAAATGTTGTGGTCAACAAGATCATTTTACTCGGCATCGCACAAACATCGGCGGAACTCAGTTTTATCCGCTCGATGATATGAATCGTGTAAATGGAATGTCAGATGATTTTGTACCATTTGTTTACAACAGTAATCTACGTGATGGTTCGCAACGCTGTTATCGATGTGGTGAATTCGGTCATATCGCACGTGATTACTCTTCGATTAATGATATTCGTATCGTCATCGAACTAAATATCCTATAAATCATTTAAATTCATAGGTATGTGCTATAACTACGGTCAAAATAGACATATGCGCACAGAGTGTACAGCACCTGTGAACTCCAACAGTCATCCGTAAACAAATACTCAGTGCTATTGAGGTAGGTCGATAATCTAAACTTCAGCGTGAGTTTTGTTTTTTCAAATACATCATTGATTTCTTTTAAATGTTCACGGCTTGATCACCTTGCTAGATCGTGTCCAGGCAATACTCGAACAGGTGTGCGTAACATGGTTTGATTATTCGTATGAAAAATCATTTGTTTTTCGATAACATTTCAATAGATTTTTATTCTTTCAGTTGTACTCGTCTAGGCCATTTCGTACGCGAGTACAATTTTGCTTGCCCTATGAGATAATTTGCTGTTAGCACCTTAATCGATTCCGCTCTTACAGATGTCAGAAGTCGAATATGAAGTGCTATTCAGGTAGTTCACCGAGTCAGGTGACACGTGATTGTCAGAGTAATCGAGCGTTTTCATCGGTGCCTCGTCAATCATACCCTCCGATGACTCCACTACAATTATATCCTATGTGCATGCCATTGACGAATTAAAACCTAATAGAATGTGACATTTGCTCTTATTTTGACAATGTGAATGAATTCAGTTCGGATTTTTATTTGCTAATTTTTGTTATTCGATGCGTAAGGAAAGAAGGACAAAAGAGAATACTGGAAATGAAAAACCGATGCTTTGTTTGTATCTTCTTCTTTGTTTATTTCAAACGCATACATCAGGTTTTCATACTAATGGTAAAAATAAGATGATCACGTAATATGTAAAGTATTAATAGAACAACATCGTCAGATATCAGATTAGTCTGTTTTTTTACTGGGTAATCGTCATCAGCAGTAGACAAATATGAAATAGTACCTATCTATCAACGAAAATAGCGCAGTAATTCAAGATTTACACAGACGTCAGAATTAATTAATAGAAATATTTCATTTGCTTTTCAGAATAAGTAATGAATGATGTGTGCACAATAACACGTTACTATGGTAATCATGACGAAGATCTCGACAAACTTTGGCGTTTTATTGATCAAGCACAAATTTACTCGAGTCGACTTCTTATCGGTGTAAATATTGAAAAAGATCAGACAGATTGTATTAAAAAATATTCTCAACAATCAAATATTCCTATTGATTTTATACCAATTCAGCCGTGGATTGGTATCTCAACACCATTAAACATCCTTCTCAATCACATACCAATCGATCACCAATATGTACTCATTCAATCCGCTGAAATTCAGTGTACATCACGACACATCGCTTGCTTACGATCTCATATGACAGATAATGACGATATTCTCTGCGTTGGTGCTGCATTGGATGGTCATCAGACATCTGATGAGAAATATCTCTCTCTTCGTGGTGATACAAGTCCGTGGAATACATTAGCAATCTGGAACTTGAAGAAACTACGTCGGACGGGTTTTCCCTTATGTGCTGATCTTGTTAATCCATCAGGCATGGAAGATGCTATTACCATCGCTCTGCAACAGAAGTTGTTCGGTGGAATGGCAAAAAATCGTGCTCTACTCATACGTTTCGATGAGAATGTACCTTGGTCTACTCAGTTCAATTATGATGAGAATCGTCGGTTAAAACATCAAGTAAAAATGAGTTCGAAAAATAGCCGAACCAAACAATTACTACAGATGCTTGACATTGAAGAGAACCAAGTTGGCGTGGAATGTCTCAATGATAAGTGCTAACAGTGAGTGAAGGAAGCTTTATTTCAAATATATAAAGAATGCTTAATACTAGCAGACATTTTCGATCGAATACCTGTTATGAATACAATTAAATGAAGTTTATTAAACATGACTCGTCGAAAAGGACGATTTCTCTTCAGATAAATAGTCTTCCATCGATGACATTCTCGACATAGTCTGATTCTCATCATTGTTCGCGAATCGTTGTTGATAATCGAGAGATGTTGTTATACATGCACGACAAAGATCGAACACTAATGGAGAAAAGTTTTCATAGCAGTCAGTACAAAACGGAATGAGATCTATGTTTTTCAGAATGAAATCAGTTAGATTAGCTGGTAGAACAGACATGCGTCTCCAGCGCTGATTTGCTTGTTTAACACGTTGTCGTACTAATTCATTTCGATGTCGAGAGAAATTAGGTCGGCTTGCTTTGATCATCACATCATGTTTCGAGCAATGTTTGTTGGTGATATCCATGTCTCGAAAAGTAATTGTCGACGGTTTGATTTCGTTGAACGTTTGTTGTTGATATTGTGATGATAGACAACAGAATCGGTTGAAGAACGAACGAAGTGAATTAAGATATCGGCGAGATTTCGGTTGTTCGTTTCGTATTTGTGTACATGTCGAGCATGAACAATAATACGATGTTATTATTCTGGACATTCATTCTCAAATGAAGAGACGTTTGTCTTTCGCGTCTTTTTCTTATCGTTTTCCTGTGACATTGAAAACGTAAATGAGAAAAAGTTCTTTCCTTGAATAATCAATTCAATCAAGGTAATTTATCGGATTACTATAGATCGATGTTTTCTTTTTGTTGATGAAGATCTTCAAAGGTTAGTAGAATGAGAGGCGTGGAGACACTTTTCATTGAGCGAATACTTCAATATCGCTGGTTCAATGTTATTTTCTAATAAACAATATTGTAATTTTTTTTCAGATGACTCATTTCACACTGATCAATTCATTATCTTACACATGTTTTGCTTCGATTACACTTTATCTTTCAATGTACATTCATCAACAAGTACCGGAACCGTACATGGATGAATACTTTCATTTTCATCAAGCAGCAAATTATTGTTCAGGAAACTACAGACATGTAAGTGCAGAAAAACATAGAGATACGAATGATGCACTCCGTTATACTGTTTATTCTAGTGGGATCCAAGTATCACAACACCACCTGGTTTATATTTTCTGACACATATTTTAGAAATAACTTTAGATAACTTGCAGATACTTCATCAATCATTCGGGCAATGTTCCTTAGGCTTAGCTCGATTTACCAATGTTATTTTCATATTAATATTACCATTTATATTCGTGAAGTATCTCCAGAAGCTAAAAGAAATGGATCAACAGGTAAGTTGAACAAGTAAATGGGAGTGACATGGTTGACAAAGTCGAAGGAATAGATACGAAAACTGAAAGAAAAAATTTTCCTTTTGTATTTTATTTCTTCGCTCAGACTTTTATGACATCTTCTCTTTGAAAATGAATTTTTGATGACACTCGAAAATGCCTGTTATCAAAGTATTGTTCTCAATGACAAGATCTTTCTTTTGTTAGTTATTTTCAAGTAATTGAATTCTATTTTAGACTTCCATCCTCTCTTCAATATGTATAACCTGTCACCCGTTAATATATTTTTTTACGTTTCTTTATTACACCGATGTTGGTTCGCTTTTCTTCGCCATGCTTTCATTGACAACTCATGTTTATCATTATCATTTCTCATCAGCACTATTTTCTCTGGTTGCACTTACATTTCGTCAAACGAACATCATTGTCGTTGCCTACGAAATCGGTTTAACTATTATCGAAGAATTCCGATTGCATTCGAAGCAAAGTCATATTTTGCATGTTTATACATTACGTTCGAGTGATAAAATTGAAATGAAAGAATACTTTCTCGTTCTATGGAAATATGCTCGAATGGAAATTAAATTCATTTTCCATCTTTTACCATCAATTGCCAGAAAATGCCAGTACCACGTATGCGTTATTTTATTATTCATCTTCTACTTTATTAAAAATAACTACTCTGTAACACTCGGTCACCAGGAGCATCATCAAATGGTCCTGCATTTAGCCCAAATGCATTACTATGCCATCTACACTGCATTTTTTGTCAGTGCACATTTGGTAAGTTCGTCGATAAAAGCAAAATCACACGTGAAGAATTTCATTGGCATGTGAATGTTATAAACGGGAAGCGGTGCGTGTATACTTGCACTCATAGGTCTCTTTTGTGAAATAGTATACAGAATGTTATCGTGTCAGCACTTCGTTCTTCGTCTTTAATCAAATTGCTTAATGTTCGTCCGAAGAAAAGTACTTTGAGATAAGCTTTGATAAAGGCGTGATTTTGTACTTAGTTATTCGTGAGAAATTTTCAATATCAATCAAATTGTTCTATTTAAATGAAGAGGGTAACGACGGATAACATAGCAGTCATCTCTTAAAGAGCATTGAACGTGTGGCTCTTTTCGTGATTAAACTACACTAACGTTCTTTTTTTCTCTTTTAGGTGACTGTCACGAATTTTTGTCGCCTATGGCGTTTCATTCGCACACATCCGCTAGTTTTTCTTGTGTTGTTAGTGTTAATTAACCTCAGTATTAAATATTTTACGTATGAACATTTATTTCTTCTCTCTGATAATCGACATTACACGTTTTATATATGGTCGCGGTTATTCAAACGTTATAGCCAATTTCGTTATATAATAACGCCGGTCTATGCCGTATCAATTGTTTTACTCTACTTTCAAATTTACGATCGATCATTATTAAATATTCTCCTGTTACTCATTTCGATCATTTTGTTGACAATATTTCAAAAGTTGTTGGAGTTTCGATATTTCATATTACCATTCATTCTCTTACGCTTGGCAATCAATGATAAGAAATCATCGAAATTATACTTTGAACTTTGCCAAGCAATTGTTTTTAATGTTCTCACGATTTATATCTTCTGCCATCGAACGTTCGTCTGGTCGACTCATCCGAATGAAATACAACGGTTTATGTATTAATCGCTAAGTAACTTTGAAGTTATTTTCGTTTGTTGTCAAACGTTAGATTGTGATTAAGAGGAAAAGAATACGCAAATTGTTAACCGAAATGTTTTTATTTACTTGTCTGATAACTCATTTGGTCGAAAAGTCAATATTGAAGTAGACTGGACATGATCAGAGAAGGAAAAAAAACTAGGTTGACAGAAAAAAAAGAAGATGATTCGTACCAGTAAGTTCAGATGGTCAAGTAAGCCTTTTGAGTTCAGTGTTCTTCAACTTATATTCTTTTTCTATTTGCATTCGTACGTGTGCATTTACCTATGCGCTTATTAACGAAGTGGAGGAGCGATACTTGATCATATCTTTCTTATTTCAATGAAAATGCACTTTTTGTTTTATAATTAAGACACATTTTCTGCATCAATGTATCCTGTTCGAACGAAAATATCGGTGTGAGTCTTTTCTATTAATGAACTGTAATAGTTCGTCATGACACGAAGCACGGTTTTCTTCTCTGCGCAGGCAGAATATTGAGTAAATTGCTTTGTGACTTCTATTATCGCAATCTTCAATATATAGACTAGTCAGGAACATTACAGAGAAAAAGAAATCGTTAGTGGCCGAAATGAGTGCATTGAGAACGCAAAAAAAACGAGATAGAGAATGAAAAGAGAAAAAAGAGAAAAAAAGCATAAGCGACCTTGTGCTATAAATAATGCTACACAACTCGTCAGGATTTCTTTCATTCTTCCTCTGAAGAGTATTTTGCTTTCCTGTGCTTTTCTTCAAAGCTGCGTGTTCGTGTATATAAAAACGGGGCGATGTCGAGATATTTTTCTATATGTTTATTTTGTATTAATGCTATATATATATAGTTTTCGAATTGCATGTCAGTGTACATATGAACGTAATAGATTTCATTGTATAGAACGCCTCTTGATTACAGGAAGATAAAATACGTATAGATAGATATAAATAAAAGTATTTTACGAAAAATTTTTCTCACCTTGGTCTGTTTTTAGTTAGATAAGTAAAGAACTGAAATTTTAGTCGAGGAAAGCGATATGAGAATTAAGTTCGATAATTCTTCTGTTCTTCCTCTTCTGAGCATAAGAATAGAATGTAAGTAGGCGTTCGTTTGCAACTGCTAAGAGGTGAAAAGGTATGGTTTTAATTGGATATTGCTAATTCATCAGCATGCAGATGGATCTCTTGTGAATTCCATCTATATCATATTCATTCGAGATCACGTTCACATTAATGAAATCAAATTTTATTCGAGACATTCTCTGAGACAATGGGTAAACAAGACGTTTGTTATTACCCAGTAAAAGACTAGGAAAGAGAATCATTCTGTAAACTGAAACTATGAATTATCTAGCCCACCAATCAAGTGTATACAAACGAAATGTACTCAAACACGTTATATATATATATATAGACAAACAATAGTATCTATCACTCTGACCCTTCTCGCACTGCCTTGTTTTCTCTATTTTTCTACATAGGTACAATCACATTCCCATACAAGAGAAAAAAAAGATGCTTTCTTTCTTTCTTTTTGATGAGTGAAAGAAAGAAAAGGTTGATATTTTGTTTTTTTCTTCTTTTAGATAAATTGAATATGAACAAAATATCTTAATATTCAAAACGAAGAATCGCAACTACGTTAGCAGATGATGAACAGTAGTAGTAGTGATACGCATCCGTCAATGATTGAAATCGACGATGACGATGAAAAATCGAAAAATAGTAGTAGTAATAGTGATCAATACGAGGATTTGAATGCAGCGAACTCGCAAAATCGAGCGCATGTATCTCGGTCGAGCATCACCAGCAGCAGTAGTGCAAGTCTATCGAACGGTGGAACCAAACGTCAAAAGGATATTTCACCGTGTTATGTCTGCGGAGCAAAAGCACATGGTTACAATTTTGATCAAAGTAACGATTTAATTGACAAACATATTCGACCGGCTGACTAATGGAAATTGATGTCGTTTTAGTTACTTGTGAATCATGTAAAGCATTCTTTCGACGAAATGCGCTGAAAGCTATGGTAAATATTCTCGGCAATAACATACTTGAAATTTTCTTTGTTTTGCCGTTGTTAAGGATAAATTTCGTTGTCGAAATAATAATAATTGTGTGATAACATCAACAACGCGCAAACGATGTAAACGATGTCGATTAACAAAATGCTTTACAGTCGGTATGTATTGTTTAATAATGAGAATGAACCGGAGCTTTCTTTTTCGCTTCGATCATCTTGAAAATATTTTATGAGTTTATGTTATTTAACTCAAGGCATGCGAAAAGACTGGATTCTCACCGATGAAGAAAAACGCTTGAAAAGACGAAAGATTGAACGAAATCGTTTGATCAAACAACAGGCACACATGACTATCCAACAACAAGCGAATCGTGATATAAATCATACAAATTTTCAATCGAATCTCCTTTCGACTGAAGTATAGTTGAAAAGAAAGAGAAGCTCAACGAATAATTCAACATATTTCTTTTTAGCAATCATCGTCATCGAGTTCGTCGCATCCAGTGTCGAGTAAACATGGCGAACCATGCCCTCTTTCCTTGCCAATGATGCACATGCACCGCCCGTTCGATCAGCAACTGTACGAACGTCAACAATGCCTCTTAGCAAACTTAGCAAATGGTTATCAAATGATATGTCAGCAATATCCGCAACCAAACAAATTCGCTTACCGTAATGCATTAATAGCGCAAACAACCAATACGGAATCAAAATTACTGCTAGTGAAAGATCTAACGCGTGAATTAACGCAGATGACGACATCACGTTTGTTATATTACTTCTCCTTGATACCGGAATTTCAATTATTGACAGAGATTGAAAAGAAATCGATTCTGATTAAAAACATGTTAGCAGTATTTATGTTCCATGGAGCATTGACATACAATGCCGATACGGATACGTTCGTTGATCGAACAACAGGTTTGATGAATGTACCTATATGAGTGTATCGTATATTCTGTCGTATTTTAGCGGATCAACCGTATGATGCCAAATACATATTGTTTGTCTATGGGCCACGCGTCTATAAACATTTTATTGCGTTAGCAACCAAATTAACTTCCGTTACTTATCAATCGCCGTATGATAAAGAAGCAGACGAACGTGCGCACACGTTGTTCTTATTACTGATGATTGTACTCTTATTTTCGGATGGATTCGAGGCAGGCTTTAATATAGCTTCATATGAACAAGGACAGCAAAAGGCAATGGAACACGATTCGCATAAAATGACGAGTGATTCACCAGCATCTTCACCTTCGTCATCATTGGCATCGACAACTTCTTCATCATCAATATCGAAATTGAATGAAAAACTGAATCGAATTCAACAATCGTACGTCGAACTAGCATGTCGCTATTTACATGACGCTTTCGGGTTGAAAGTTGGACGACGAATGTTTCAAAATCTCGTACCTTTACTTTTCGGTAAATCACACAAAATAAAACATTCCGAAGATTGAAGTGTTTGCTTTTTTTTTCTATTAATAGATCTACAAAAACTTTGTTCGACATTGGCGAATGTAAATTTATGTGAATTAGTCGAAGATGATGATCGATCGTCTTCGTCGAGAGCGACGACAGTCCCAAGTATTGAACCCGTGACTTCAGAACATTCTACTACACAAATACCTACAACCCATTTTAATTCAACCATGATTAGTGAAACATCGCATTTGAATGAATTACAGAAGGAAAACCGAGCACCGCCACTATCGCCTATAGTTCACAGTACATCCACAAGTACCTCAGTTCGATCACCGTTGGCAGGTAACAGCTTATCCGGGTCGCCAGCATCATCATCGACTTCATCGACCGTTCTTTCAAATACTATGCCAACAAACGAAAACTACTAAGAATATAAGATAACTATCAGTACAGATTCTTTTGCTTCCTTTCTTAACCATATGATCAACTCAATCATATGTACGCTTCGGCTTCGATTCTTCATTGTAGCATTCACATACGTAGTCTGGTACCTTTCAATCAGTCATGACATATCAAATCATGTTTAAAAAATGATTAGAATGTCTTCGTTTTTTTTTGTAACTCTGTTTGTCTCATTCTCTTTGATACCTATCTACTACATAAACATTTATGAGTATATATAACTCTTTACTTGTATGAGACATTCCTCATTTCATTTCTATGTTTTCACATATATTCTGTTTTTTCGTTTTATATTTCTTCTTGTAACTGATCGTTGTTTGTCTTCGGTGTTTTCCCATTTCTTCCTTCTCTCTTCAACGTAGTCTGTGTTATTGTTGACATCAAGTTTACATATTCTATAGATTTTGTACTTCGTGTGCAGGCGTGCACCTCTTTTCCTCTCTCTTTTGTTCTTAGTTTTCCATTGAATTGTTCGTTTTCCCCCTGGCTTGTTTTCAATTGTTAATAGTTTTGATATACGTTTTCCCGCGCATTTCAATTGCACGGATGTATGTGATGTTAAGGATGAAAACAAGATGAAGAAAGTCAAAACAAAAGATCAACTGTACATGAACAAACATAACGAATATTGAATAATGTCTCTAACGCAATTCTGTTTTAAATCAGTTCCAAGTACACTGACTTAGAGAGGAAAGTCCTCGGGATTCTTAGTTTTCTTCCATTGTCCTATCATCGGATTGTAGAATAAATAGAATTCATCTTCGTGAGGAATATGTTTGGCATCTTCGTATTTTAGATCGAATGGAAGTTCATTATAGTGACCGAAGAAGTGTAGTTGAATGCTGACTGGCTGAGTCTTATCTTTCGACAATTCAAATAGGAACGGTTCACGAATGGTTTGCTTCATCTCCTTTCCATCACTTTTGATTTCAACAGCTTTGAAGAGACTAAATGGTATATTAGGCTTGTCAGGATCACGCCCTTCAATTAAAACCTCATAATTGTGCCCATCTGAACTTGTTTCACGTGTAACTCGTACACGTCGTCGAACAATCCACTGCGGAATAGGTATTTCAAGTCGTTCCATTAGGCCTTGCATAATAGTGTCACTGAATGCGTGTATGTTGACTGTCGCTAACGAGTATAGCGGCGTTCGTTGAAGATTGCCAATCACTAATTTTTGGCTACGTTTGCCCACTCGACGTGGAACATCTGCAGCAGGTGTGACTGTTAAACTGGAACCTGAGAGAAAAAGCAAAACAAATAGTTAACTATTCAGTCCGTGTTACACGCCAAAGCGGAATTACCGAGGACGAGACAAAGATCGGCCTTTTCTGCATGTGTAAATGCTTTTGTAATTTCTTCTTCAGGTAAATTTTCACCAAAGTTAATGATCGAATCTTTTAAATATCCACGACAATCAGGTTTATCGCACCGACGTCCAGTCAAATGATCAAGACGCCCAGCAGCAGCATCATAATCGCGCAGATATTTAGCATCGCATTTTGAACATATTTCTAAGTTCATATTTCCATGTAATTCCGCTAAATACTTTGGATTCATGCCACTGCGTAAATGTAAACCATCACAGTTTTGGGATACTAAGCATTTCAATATTCCACGACGTTGTAACTCCACCAATGCCCTAGAGAAAACGTAAACTTGTCAATAGTAGAGAGAAGATGGTTCAAGATATACATATGTGTAGGTGATGGAATAGCTTTGTGCATGTCGCGAACGACAACAGCTTTCTTTGATCGTGATGCTTGATTACTAATAGAAAGAGAAAAACAAGTTACGATATTGTAAAATTAACTTTCTTGAATAAGTACTCTCGTAATTCCCATGCACCTGGTCCAGTTGGTAGAACGGTGTCCATTGCACTACGGAAGTCTGGTATACCAGTCGAGGTTGACACCCCAGCTCCTGTTCAACAGATACGACTGCGTCTATATTCGATATAATTGATTAAAAACATACCAGTAAATACGATGAAATGTTTACTATCTTTGATCCATTGAGCCAATTTGTCTAACTTGTCGTCCAATGTTTGTTGATCATCAAAATATTCTTTTTTCATTTCACTATCCGCTAATCCGTGAGCCATCGTGTTACAATCAGACTATTCTTTTGGGTGCTTTCTGAAGGCGGTATAACTGACGAACGCTGCAATATATACGTATGTATGTGTGTCACTTTCACTTGCGTAAGTTGTATGCAATCACATAAATAATCATGCGAACAATTAATTCTGTCACTTTGATGAGTATTTATGACGTCTACTGTGACAAATTATCCACATGTACGAAGGAAAACAGCGCTGACTTACTGAGCAATATCTCTGTGGCATAGAATTGAACAAAGTAAATCATTGATGATCCTTTAAACTAGTATATGACTCATTTTTACATGTCGCTTGACACAACTATCGGTGTATGAGTCAACAGAGAAGAGAAACTGTTGGAAGCTGTCATGTTATATGATTTATAGCATTTGCGGCAGTTTACTTCCTTTCAGATATCTACGACGTCTGTTTCTGTGATTGACCTAAATCTTCCATTGGAAATTCAGGAGAGATGTGCACTTTATATTTCAATTATTCGTTCTCCAAACCATCGTGATAAAGAATGCAGACTTTAACAAGTACGTAGGATAGATAGTAAGATGCGTCTCGACCAAATCATTTTCTGTATGAGTGCACAATTGATTAATTTCGTTACTCATTGTCGTATAAATTTTACATCATTCAAGTTCGTTGAAACAGGTGATGAAAGAATATTATATGAAGAAAGAATCTGTTTCTCGATCTCATTGACAAAATTGAATCAGCATATAAACAATTCCAATCATGTATCCTTCGATTATGTATGCATGATGTTCGTCATAACTAATTCTATATCATCTGCGCAGAGAATTTTCCGATCCTGTCATATTTGTTAATGTAATCCCTTGTCTCTTCTTTTTTCTCTCTTTTTTTCTTTCTTTTCTCTTTTTGTTCTTTATCTTTCACGAGTTCCTCTCTCTCGCTTTCTCCTGTGTGTGTACTAACTTCTAATATTACTATCGCCATCGTTACAAGCTCTACGAGCACACAATCTAACATGTAAGGAAGTATGCTAGGAAAAAAAAGAAAAGAACACTACTATTCTTTCGAGATGATGAGTTCACAGGGATAGATGTGACACACAACACATACGGTTTTTCTCGGGAAAAAAAAGAACTAAAATAGATATGTTAGATTAGTATTTTTCATCAGAAAAAACCGCTCTGATCGCGATTTGTAACTTGACCAAGTATAATTTATATAGAAAAAACTTGCATGAGTTGTCTATTTGCTATGAGTCTATCACAAATTTCGGTGTAATCATGGAGATTGAATGAGACAAAAGAAGATTAAGATCAAAGGTCATTATTTTATATGTTCTCGACGAGATTGTTAAGTACGATCGCCATCAGTACACAGTGCTCGAGAGAAGTTCATATGTGTCTATTGACATTTCAATAGTGAGAGGTTGTGTTTAGCGAGAAAACACTGATATTTTCAGTAAAATCATTGGAAGGGATAAGGGAACGAGACAACGACAGTTCAAGCTTATTAAAGTGTCTCAATTTGCTTTTATTGTAGAGAGAAAAACAGAACGAAAAAGAAAGCATGCTCATCGATAATTCATAATTTAGCCGACAAAATCAACTCACATGTTTTGTGCTATTTCTTTTCTCCTCGGCGCTTATTTTGCCTCCAATTCTTTGCTTCTCTTCATTTTAAATGTAAAATATTTCTAAATCATTACAAGAAAGATTTTTCTTTGTCTTCTAGATCATAAACTATTATCTCGATCATTCATCGATCTATGATATCCCGTCGTTACTTACGCCGTAGTTTTATCATCATTATTGTTTTACCCATTGTTCTTCTATTTTCATTAGCAATTTATCAAAATCGTCATGCCATCTTCTCAGAAAGTTCCCACAAACACGCGCATTCACATCTTGAAAAGCATAGACATGATAATATTCCCAATGACGATCTCAGATACGATTTTCGTTCAAAACCATCTACAACAGCAGCTCCGATACAATTGAATTTAAGTGTCAATGATGAACAATCCATCAGAAAACTTTCTCAAACAGTACACAATGCTGATAATAACAATAATCAACCTTTACAAAGCTTTCAATCAAATCAAATACTGACACTACCTGTTATTAACACGAAGGGTCTCCATCGTTTCGTACATTTAGATTTGAAAGGTGCTGCACCAAAACTATCTTATTTTCAAAAGCTCTTTCCATATCTACGAAAGCTTGGTGCTGATGGTTTACTTATTGAATATGAAGATATGTTTCCATTTACTGATCGATTGAGGGCCGTACGACATGGTCTGGCATATTCAAAAGCGGATATCGAACAATTATTACATTTAGCCGAACAGAATCATCTTCAAGTAATGCCATTGCTTCAAGTTTATGGACATTTGGAATATGTACTTAAATTGAAAGAATTTATGCATCTACGAGAGGATGCTCGTTATCCGCAAGTAATTTCGCCTTGTCTCGAAGAAAGCTATAAACTACTTTTCGGTAACTGTCAATAATTTCATATTACAACAAAGACCGAAAAAGTTTGATTTGTATAGAAATGATTGATCAAATGTTAGTTTCACATCCGTCGATTTCATATCTGCACATGGGATGTGATGAAGTTTACTATCGTCTCGTTCATCCGCAATGTGTCAACTTACAAATTCGTGATGATGCTGATTTATTCATCAGGTAAGATTTATTCAAATTTCTTACGAAAGAAATGTAGTCTACAGAAAAATACAAACGGAATCACACATTCTTTCGCTTTCTCGTTACCCAAAAACCTTCTCATCTGCGTAGCAAACATACAAAAAACCATCTGTATCTTTATTTTCATTATATAATGATTCCATCGTAGCGCTTAATACTGGTTGTTTACCATATAATCCGATATAGAAAAAAAGGGCATGCTCAGCACGTAAACGTAAACGCCGTCGAATATTATACGCAAATTGACCAAACGAGAGCTCCGATGGAACGAGAAACTTCTCATTATCAAGACGTGCCAACGATAATTCACTGCAGGAAGAGGATGAGGATGAAAATGATCGAAACAACGATGTTGATAAACTTGACGATGAATAGGACGACGACGATGAGGGTGATGATGAAGATAGTAAGGGTTGGACAATAACAGGTATACGATCGGGATAACGTCTTCGAATACGTTCCGATTCGAATCGACGTTGTTCAAGCGAATGTTCATGTTTATATTGCCAGTTCATTGTGTATGATCAGAATGATTGTAAGCACGTTAGTCGTTTTTTTGTGTGTATGTCGTATATTGGTAGTAGTAGTACCACTACCGCTCTTTTTGACAGGTTGAAGAGGGCAAAGGGCGTGTTCACAGTTATGTAATGAGAAATAAGAAGAGGTTAGCAGCATCTAATTGTTAATACATATTTAATGATCGGATCCAAACCACAGCAGCAATAATGACAAACGAACGAAGAGAAATAACGTTGAAAGAAAGAAAAACGAAAGAACACGAACGTGTCGTTGTGTATGCATATACTCCACATATGCATGCATGCCTTCGTTTCTCCTCCTTCTCCTCCTTCTACCTTTTATTTGATTTATTATGATAATTTTTTTCAATTGATCACAGTATAACGAAAAGAACAACAGAGGAGGTGATGACATTCCTCTTTAGTTTTCGAAATGTTAAATAACTACAAATAAAAAGGTTAAATCTTCAATAAAAATGAAAAAGACTTGATTTAACCTTAGATATTCAGCCGTGATTTTTTTCCGTCGGATCTTATTTTAATTTATTCTTAGACATGTCACTCGCATTGCTAAATATATCAAATCAAAACGGCCGAATCTTAAACTTTTCATCTGGCATGATATGATTTCACAACTTCTCAATTCAGGTTTAACGAATGTAAACAGAGACATTTCGATTTGCCTTTCAAGTACTACTATTCATTTTATATTCTCTTTGATTGGCAGATTACAGAATTAATCGAACTTGTGATACCAATGGTATGGACATATGTTGATGATGTTAAACCATGGTTTGATGATTCTGTTTGGATGAGGTAAGATCGAATTCTTGTTCAACTGTGTCAATGAACATAACGACTTCTTTGAAATTGAATCGAGTAGAAAGAGACAATATGACAGGATTATACCGAGATACTTCATGTTAATACACTCTGATAAACTCTATATTCTATAGCATACGTAATGGTAATACGAAGAATTCTTGAGATAACAATTATACTCTTTTGCAGTCTGTCTGTCCTCTGAGACATTCGACTTTTTCGTTCAACAATCATTATTCATATCAAGGTTTTATATCAGTAGATAAACACTCCACTCACCATTAACACATTCGTCTTCGTCGTCATCATCATAAGTACTATTCACGCAAACAACTTATCCAAGAATACTTCTTACCTCATCCGTTTTCTTCTTCTTCTTCCTCTTCTCATCATACAAAGATATCGAATCTATTCATACTTTCATCTCTTTAGGTTCGCGATGTTTCCTGAAGTATGGGTCGCAAGTTCTTTCAAAGGCTCGTCCGGTGAAACAGCCACGATGAATTATATCGGTCATCACCAACGAAATCAACAAACATGGCTCGAAACCATGTATATTGCTGCACAAAGATATAAAGTCAACTTCACTGGCATCGCAATCACGGGCTGGTCTCGATACGATCACATGCTTCCATTATGTGAATTTCTCCCTTCGGCAATACCTTCACTTGTCTATACTTTACAAACTGTTGTTCATGGTCACATTACTCAACAATTGAATGAAAGCATATCACAGACAGTGTTAGGATGTACGCAGATGCCATTATGGGAGCGATCATCATTTCCCACATTTGTTTCTTGTTCATTTCCAGGTAAATCAAATATCCATGCTCGTCCTTGATCTAATTTGTCTTCTAGGTCATGAAATGTATGAAATGATGTATAAATACGACACTGTCATGCGGGATTACGATGAAACAATGTCATTTGTTCGATTATACGTTACTGATATTCATCTTCGACAGAATTATATACATTATAAACGTGCAGAAGAATGTTTAGAACGTTTGATGCCTCTTGAAGCATCAATGATACATTTTCTTGATGCATTTCAAAATGCATGTTCATTGTTTTTCACTGCGGACATTGGCCCTGAATGGCTACAAACGTACTTTATGCGTCCATTCAAAGAAGTACAACAACGACTCAATTTTGTCGAACGATCATTAAAAAGTCAGTCATGGTGGTCTCAGCGTCCATTGTCAAAAAATATCTCGAGAATCACCGTCAAGAAACGTAATATGACAATGAGTAGTATATTAAGAAATGTCCAAAGATAATTTTGTCGAGCACCGAATGATTCTAAACCTAGTCATATAATTTTGCAGAAAAAACTAATGACGTGATGTATATGCATTGTTCATTCCACGTGTGAATTTTTGCTATTTTTTGTGTGTATTTTCAATAACTGATTCTATTTCTTTTATTCTGAACGAAAATAAACAGATAATAGTCAGTAAATCATTGTCTGAATACCGTTCGACAGAAAAACGAGCTAGACACATTTTATATGATATCGAATGTACTCTGTATTTGTGAAACAATATGATAGGAATACGGGATTACTGATGTATACAGTAAATATCAAATTGAGGTTTTTTTCATTTATTAATATCGTCTATAATGCCTTAAAAACAATTCTGATACATTTTGCCCTGTTGATCCGTCCATTTTGTGCGCGAATGCTTGATTTGTTCACGTAAATCATTCTTTTCTTTCCGCAAATGTTCAACATCACCATGTAAATCATCGATTGAGTGACTTTCCTTTCCCTTCTCTAATTACTCGACGTCTACAGTAGATCCAATATTTAACATCGTCGTTGCCATAGATTCTCTATACTCGTAATCAATTTGCGGATTTTCAACTGTATCCTAAAAGAATAATGTAAACACAACTCACAGAAATATAAGTAATCGCACTAAAATCGATGGAACAATGTTTTTCAATGATTGTTCGATACATTCTTCAGTAATTCTTCTTGCAAAATCATTTTTAAAGGGATCACACGAAAAGTCAAATATTTGTCCTTCGTTTAGATCCATTACATTGGGATTTTTTATCAATATAGAAATTCAATCATTAATATAGTTGAGTTTACCTGAGTATATGATCTTTATCCATATGATCACATAATATGCAATTGCAGGGTCTCCGATTAGGGAGGGAGTGGGGGATCCAGCCCCTCTCAAAATCAAAATTGTTTCTGGCAATTTTTTCGGATGCTTTTGACATTTTCTCAACTTCTCATTTTAGTATAAATCTATAAAATTCAATTGTCTTTTTGTAAAATAATGTTGACTAAGTAACTTAATCAATATTAAACATTACCTTAATTTAAGTTAATTTTTTATTAAACGAGGTGCTTATAAGATACGACTTTTGTTCACCGTTTCTGCCAGAAAGTTACATACTGCCATCGACGTACCCATTTGTAGCTCGTCTTTTTTTTGTAAAAAAAGCTTAAATTAGATACTGTCATTTGAAGTAAGAGTCTGTCGCTACTACTAATACATTGCCAGAAAGACTTTCCGGCAAGATTTAGCCCCTCCCACTTTCAAAAGTAATCGGGAACCCTGCAAAGAGAGGCTTCACCTCGATCACAGTCCAATAGAACATAGCATGTTTGTCCAGTAGCGAGAGCACTGGGCTCGATTTCATCGGATTCCAAAGAATACTGACATCGAGATCCGAACCATGGTGGTGTACAGTTATAGAATAGTTGGTGAAATGTATAGTTTTGATCGCGAGTATTGACGAAATCTGCTATCGGCATGAGACCAACATCAGTCGTCGATCGAAAATAATATTTAGTTTTTGTAATAAATCCTGTATGTGTTGTATAGTAATATAAACAATCATATTGTGATCGAGAACTGACATAGAAATCGGAATTGCATTCAACTGTAAAACACAGTACAAGTGTCAACCATGTCTGACTCACCATTTCTTTTTTAGAAAATGATCCGTTTTCTTAGGACGCTCGAAGCATAGCCTTATAATAATTAAGCACAATGAACACGTAGAGTTAATTTTAACAGCGTTGACTCTGGTTATCTTTCTCAGTCTTCATATTAAATCATCTAAATAGCATCAATCTTCCACAAGGACGTCAGATTGTAAAGAATACTCTTCTGAATTTATAAGTTGGTAAACTAACCACACTTTCCCTCTAAGTGGTGAAAGATTCAAGCAATAAGAAATTTTGTACATAATATTTTTGTTCTTTACCGTAACAAAATGAAGCATAATGTCTCCTTTTTTCTCATCGGAAGTTACAGGAATCAATAAAACACAAACCTTCGAAATTTGCATCACTGAAGAAATTCATTCCTTGGAAATTTCTGTCGTCTGTGGCATACTTTCTACTTTATTCAATAATTTCATATTCCCAGCGATGAAATGTCATTACTGGTCCATATTTTCTAAATGGTCACGTTCCACTGAATGGAAATATCCCAAGTCTCAATAATCAAATACATTACGTAAGTGTATATTATTTCATACATTAAACAAAATGAACTTGATACTGTCATTGATAGAGATCATCGAGACCAGTCTCAGTCCCGATGGGACCGGAACCGGGACCGGGACTAAAAAATCGTGGTCCCGATGATCCCTAGTCATTGAACAGTTTATTATAGTAAAGTATAGCGCTTCTTTGAGTCCTTTCAGTGGAGCGTAGCATTATCCGAGTTCTTTCTTAGAAATCGAGCTTTTATGTCATTTTCACGAGATAAGTATTTAGTACAAAAAATATGGTGATATTAATAACGAATATTCGTAGTTGGAAAATATTTGTGCCTAAGCAAAACAAATTTAAAAACGCATTCTGTTCTTTCAATTACTGACAACGACGAACGGGGCCGCTGCAATGAATGCCATTCACGAAACCACGTTGATGATTTCGTAAAATAAGTTTATACCAGCGCAGACTGCTCTTCGGTGCGTTTTTACTGGGCTTTCTTAACACGTAACATTCACCTGAGTAGTCACGGTCCCCATGGACAACACTCAACAGAGCGCAATTGTATGACGGACAATCGTAAACACGAGCCCAACGCTGGCACGAAATGATAGCAGATGTATTCTATAGAACAGAAAAGAGATATTGAACGTTAGGGTTCGATAGAGATCCTTACATGACCACAAGTGTACATAACGAATAGTAAAACCAGAGATAACAGTATAACGAATTTCTTGATCATTTGCTTGTCCAACTTTGACTTTTCTTTGTTTAGTAACGACCAGTTTCAGAGAGGCGAATTTATACAAGCTGAAATCTACGTCGTCTATATGAATCCACCAATACTTCCAATACTGTTCTGAAAGCACAAACTTGTTAAATCAACTCTCCTGCAGTGGTATAAAAAAGTGAAAGGACTTTTCTAACACTCGCCGCACTTACCGAAAGAAAAGAAGACAAATTATATTTTTATGCAAGAACAGACGCTGTTTTCGAGATACTATTGGGTCACTTCTGTCAACTTCCAATCACTACAACACTATATATTGCCATCTGATCGACTGTGAAAAAACGCAGTAAAGTTTACATAGTTCTATTCATACTTTTCTTTCCTTTAGAAAAAAAACCAACAACAGTAAGTTGTGAAATTTCGAAACAGAAATTTCGTACGTACTTCTCGATCGATAAAAAAATATTGCCATTCGAAACTGTCGCTAAACTGCTAACATATGTATTCTCATTAACTCTAAACGAGTTTTCAATTTTGGTACGAGTTGAACTAAGCTGACTACCTTTGCTAGATCATCTGATGATTGAATAGAATTCTTTGTTGCGTTCTTTTTCTTCGTACTAAAGTGAAAATTCTCATTGTGCTTCCATCTCGATCAATTGAAAACATCAATCAAAGTGCACTTTAAAACAAGTGAGAATCTTCCCTGGTTCGATGCGTTCAGTTCCCTGTTCGTACCCTGATAAATCACCTCCAATCTTTAACACACCACATAATCCACTCATCTCTACCCATTAGTTGGACATGCACCCAAAGATCTGGCTAAATACACCATATTTCTTGTTCATTTTCGTAATTCACCAAATTTTGATTATTGTGGGTCGATTCACATCATCATTATGTCTCATTCTGAGACTTGTTTTCTCCATCGGACTGCACACAACATCGATTCGTATGCTGTCATCAAAACAGTTAGAAATGAATGAAGCGGTTGTTGGAAGGTAACACAATGGATTGATCGAGAGATTTGACCATCATAGCTAGAGTGAGTTTATGAGTTACATATTGTCAACAACCCTTTTCCTTTCTAATTAGAAGTGTGTTGTCTAGATTTTGTGTTCTGACACATTTCAGATAGGCTTGCTAAAAAAACCAGACAACAAGAGCCATGAGAATTTTTCCATGTATCTCGGTTCGACGTATTTCTTTCTTGACCGAGATTTCATACTTTGATTGGTTCGAACTCCTCATTGTGTATACCCCCAAGGTAATATTTTCAGAATCCGGATCCGCCCGGAACCCGAACGATCCTATGTCTTTTCCCGCATCTTCTTGCAGGTTCCATGCGGGCTTGCAAAGTATCCCGCAGGAAAAACACACGGAAAGTGGAAGCAGTATTCCTGCAGGAATTCCACGGAAATAGAACCTTTGAAATCTCGGAATTTCCGCCACAGGGAAAATACACCAGATCCGCCAGGAAGTTAAAGGCAATATGATAAGATCCTTCAGGAAACGGCTGAAAATGTCATCATGAACGAACGGAATCTATTTACTTTCCAAAATCAAATACATCCTAATCTCTAAATTTATTTAACTACTACTCGAAATCGAGCAAAAAGCATCCTACGATGATTTTTTTCAGATTTCAGTAGTTATTAGGAAAAATTCTAAAAGCATCCTACGATGATTTTTTTCAGATTTCAGTAGTTATTAGGAAAAATTCTAAAAGCATCCTACGATGACTTTTTTCAGATTTCAGTAGTTATTAGGAAAAATCCTAAAAGCATCCTACGATGATTTTTTTCAGATTTCAGTAGTTATTAGGAAAAATCCTAAAAGCATCCTACGATGATTTTTTTCAGATTTCAGTAGTTATTAGGAAAAATTCTAAAAGCATCCTACGATGATTTTTTTCAGATTTCAGTAATCATTAGGAAAAATCCTAAAAGCATCCTACGATGATTTTTTTCAGATTTCAGTAATCATTAGGAAAAATCCTAAAAGCATCCTACGATGATTTTTTTCAGATTTCAGTAGTTATTAGGAAAAATCCTAAAAGTACCCTGGCTATACTCGTCGTTGACGAGTGGAAATGCGATTTAAATGTCTTTAGGATCATCTACGTGAAGAGTACTAGAACAATCAGATCGGCCGGCAGACATGTGATGGTATATCGGAGTAAAGTACTTGATCTAGACAACTTGGAAATCGATTAAGGTAAAAATAATCAACTGAAATCGGCTGAATCCTGTTGTAATATCTAGTTGAACTCATTATTTTTTATGGAAGACAGGTACTGTTGAAAATTAAACAATGTCTTGAAGAGAATTAATTTTTTATCAGTTTTTTAACAGGATTTAATCAATCAAAAGGTTGATCGAATCATGTCATCTAAGTTGATTTTTCATTAGCTTTCTCATGTGAAATCTGATTTTCACGCCTGTTTTACGTTGGCGGGTGGATGGCAATTGGAAGAATGATTGAAAAGATATACGTCAGTAAGTTGTGACATTGCGACTTGGTACTCATTGTAGATAGATAATACCGGTATGCAGGATGATATTGGATCTAATAACGTAATCTTTGCACAATAGTTGCGGTTAAGTTAAACTCAATATTGCATTTATGCACCCCACGTATCTACTCCACCAAACACCTCATGGGAACTCGGAATTAATAAAAAAAAGCATCGATAATAAACACGATACATCACCTATAGCGCTATGATAGTTATTTATTAGATTACTACTTTATTCTACGTTACCAACGTAGATGGGTATTTGAGCAGGTGATTTAAAATACATGCGTACATGTAAGATTTTGAAAAAGTGTACTATCCATTTGACAACTTTTTGAATAATAACCGATTCACAGTATAACCAAAATCGGAACATTTTTTTTCATACGATACTGCATTTTTACAATTGAGAAGCGGCTTTGAAATATTTTTCAATAGTATTATAAAAAAATTCGCATAATTAGCGTTGGGAATCATTGAATCTTAAATAAAGAATCACTTACAAAAGTAAAAAATTCAGAACAGTTGCATCAGTCTGCCGAGTAATTAGATGCAAACAAATATTGTCATCTCAATCAATGGTAGGCTTCTATCACCTCTCTATTGATTACGTATCATAAAGTTGTAAAATTTCTGTGCATTTAAATACTGATTAGTGGGAAAATCGTATTAAACGATTTAGAATCTGAGAATACGGGAAAGTAGCGGTTCATATGCTCGTAACCGTAACGGAAATTGTGGTTTACGGTTCGTATCCCGTCGCTCGTAAAAGACCAACGAATTCTTCACCAGGAACCGGATCGGATCCTACGACCGTATCCGAAAATATGATCCGTGTCAAGGAATCAATTGGAAGAGTATTGGAAGCGGATGGCCGGATACGAAGTCAGATTCCCATTGCAGGAAATCATGGGAAAGTCATTGATCCCGCCGGTTCTTTCGTACAGCTTTGACATGGGGATATACGCTAGAGAAGACAGAGAAAACCCTTGGTTTGGTTGAATACGAGCAGCATATGATTTCACATCGCTTATGTATGTGGCTGAAAGAAAAAAAAAACAATTTAAAAGGAGAAAATTCGCTGTACTTGCCGGAGAGCGGAAATAGATAGATACGGCTAACGTGACGACCGTCAGCGACGTATCACTTTTGATCAATGACGTAGTGTGAAAATTTACAACTCAAGGGCGTCAATATAATCTTGAGCTATGTAGAAAGTGCTTTTGTTGAACTTTCTACTCTTGATCGGTACGAAACGAGGGAACGAAAAACTAAGCAGTGATTTCCTATCATCTTGAAATCATAAGCTGTTCTTGAAGTTTAAGTTCCAGTTAATGCAATCGCTTACGAATAATTCCATCAGGCATCTGTCTGCTGGTCGCTTGACACAGTTGACATATACGCCGCATTTCTTACTAATACCAACACATATAGTTCAACAATCGAAATGTAAATCTCATTTTAATGCTGAAGATTTTATCTCAATTCTTTCTTTTCATCAATAATATTTCTTGAAGAGAAAACATCATCGTAAGTAAACTTCATGTAATACTTTTATTTTGATTTTAAAAAAATCTCATGCTAGATTATAGAAAAGAAAAATATAATTGTAATGCGCATTGACAGCAATTTAAGCCACTTGCATAACATAACTAGCAATACCACACACGTTTTGTCCTCGTAACACACGAATGTATCCTTGCTCGCCCCAAGTAGTACCTATGAGTAAACGCGGATTATAGATCGGCTTCATTCCGCTGAATACATACCCCAGCTATTTTTACATATCCAATATAAATCTCCTGAAGGTGTTTTTCCATATCCGACAAGTTGCAACTATTGATAAATCAAAGGTCAAAGGATAAATGAACGACTCTCTTTTGAAAATACAAACTATGTGATCTACAGTTGTTTGTGAACATGATGAATCCTTATAGATACCTAAAATCGAATAAAGGAGTATGAAAGAAAATGGCTATTGAATAAATATTCGTAAACTACCAGATGCGTAGAACTGAAAAGATGTCCGACTAGCATCAATTCCAACGAATAAGGTCGAATTTTGAATCCATGTCACCATAGTATCTTCACTTTGGGTCTTGAGTCGCATAACTTTGTTGAACTAGACAGTACAATAGATCAACGATCAATACGATATCAAACTGAATCGTTAAGTATGTATTACATGAGTGAATGGTGCACATTTCTTAGGTAGACATTGCTGAGTGACCGATGGATAATCAACTTCGCGGCAGATCCCACCGAGTTTAGTTATACATTCGAAAACGTTGACTTGTGGATCACAACAGTCATCGACACGTGCAACACTACCTGCTACAAGATTTTTCGTTTGAATAGCATACCAACTTTCGATAACTTCTAAAAATGGTGATTATTTTCTTTCGACAAATTCGACTTTGAATGTCGTGAATATCCTGACCTACAGCAACGACTGGCTCAACTCGACCTTCTATCCCTTGATCTTTGACTTGTGAAACAACACCTTTAGTGCGCCAATCAAGCGAATCTGGAACGTCGAACATCTCAAGTGAACTTTGCCTATTGTCTGGATTGAGTTCCATGAAATATTTCGTGGGTGTGACTAATTCCTAAAACAGGAACGAATTGAATAGATTAATGTTCATAACACTTAGATTTCCCATACTTGAATACGTTGATCAGTCAAATGGTTGATAGCAAGTTTGAATGTTGCATTCGGATGATTATGTTCATAATCACGGATTCGATTTACATTTTCAAAGAAAATCAGTTTACGTTTTGCCTCTTCTGCTGCCGATTTATACTGTTTATTGTAAGTGCGCTTAAATTTTAGCCAATCAATTGATGAACTACATGCAGCAAACCCGCAGAAAACAAGAATAAGGATTAACTAAAACATTTATCGAATTTTTCGATCTTTCACCATAGGCAAACATTGTTGTCCGCTTACTTTTGTGTGCATCTTTGTCATTCTTACTATTAATCTATACTACATGTGACATATATATATACCTTTAAAAAAATAAATACGCGATAAGAGAATAGAGTGGCTAGATTATAGTCAATGATACTGCAGAATGTAATTGCATTGTTTCACTGATAGTAGCTCTTTTTCAGTTGGAAAATGATAAAGATGAAATCATATTAAAGTAGAGATATGTGAGAAGTCATCGTAGCTCGAGTATTTATATTAAATTGATGGTAAATTTTATGTTACACTTAATGTTAGAAAAGAGATTAAATCGAAGTTATTCGTGTCGATTTATCTTGATCGAATTCCAGTTCTTCGTCGGTTCTGATGTGTGCCAAATTTGTCCCACAGATCTTAGGCTGTACCATGTTTCGAGTTCGTCGCTGCTTTCACCACTATTGTTACACCGGCAAATTCTTTAAATTTCTGTTTTCGTGATGTCTCCAATACTTGAACAAACAAAACAAAATAACAGATGTCAAAAATTGTCCTTATTTTTATTTACCTCGTTCAGTCAGATCAATATTGACCGATGCATTAGCATTTTCTACACGGTGTTCATTTGTTTCTTTCGAAGGATCAAAATTTTTTCTGGTTTCTGCTTGATCAGAATCCTGAGATCTGTCAATGGTTTTGTTTTTCGATGAATTGTTCTTCACTGAAAACCGATTTCTCTTCAGCATTGTAGCAGCAGCTTTCTTCGAGCCAGTTGAAGATGATGACATTCTTTATACTCTGGACTTTGTATTCTGAATGATTGTGAAAGCTGTTTTCTAGAAGATAATTTGTTCAGAAACAAATGACGCACATATTTCACGTACATTTTGTCTTAATATTATAATTAATCAATTCTAAGAAGATTACTCGAACAAAAATACTTAATGATGTCGTTCGAACGAAATAAGGAGAAAACTCATGTTTGGTTGGGTATTAATTCAATTAGAAGACGATAATACTTATATCATAATACATCAAAATGAATATTGTTCGAACTAGCATGATAATCAATTAGTTACATAATTACTTCGCACGATTGTTTTTGCAGTTGTCTTCAAGAGAATAGTGTGAATCGACTGTGTTTTGATCAATATGAATTGAAAGATTTCTTTTTCTATTGATAGAATTAATCGAAAATCCCTCTTGCCGTCTTCCGTCTTTTTCAATATATTGACAAAACAACAAAAAGTAATCAGATATATCTATATGTACGTAATTGATTTTTATGCTCATTCGAACAATATTTCCTTCATTACTTGCCAACAGTTTAACCGTTCGAGCTGAAAGTCTCATCGGAAATAGACATCAGCTTACATAGTTTCAAGACATCGTTTTTAGTTACAAACACCATTGTGCAAGAAATTTCACACCATCTAATCGTCTGCTACACGGTTGTTAATTGATAATACACATGTAAGTACGAATTGTAGTTTTCAACAGATCATCGTTAAGCAATCGTAATGATCTGTCGAGCAGATATATAATTGCGCATTATCGAAATACGAAATATTTGAATGTGTAATGATAAGTTTAGAAAGAAAGCGAGAGTAGAATGTTATGAGGAAGTTCAATCTAGACAACACCGGAAAGTAAAACGGAGAAATTAGCATCTGAATGGTTTTACGTGACTGATTAAAATCTTTAATAACATATTTACACGTATATATTTGACATTGAATTTCATTTCAAAGTCGGCAATACTATTTTCTCAGTAAAATAGATTTGAGTATAATTTTTATAATGAGTAACTTTTTGAAATCTAGACTCAAAAGAATAATAGTGATGGCCTTCATCGTGAAATGTTTATGTGACAGGCGTATTCCTAATTGATATAACCGGAAACAGAGATCGCGACATAGAAATTATAGGGGAAAAAAAGAGTGGCATGTTAAAAGAGAAACCTTGATCACTGGCGGGATAATTTCTTGTTCGACTGCCAAGTGTTTAGGACAGAAACGGCAAGCAATGTAATCTATGCATGAAAAATAAAGTGTTAAAATAGATTTTATTATCGTTAAGTCAATAAAGTGTTTTTTATCTATCGAGTGTTGTTTTCAACACATTCATTGAAACGAATGCGATGTTTCTGACAAGTGTTCGGTTCACAGCATGGTAAAATTCCCCATTTGCATAAAATACAGATGCGCCCGTTCCGATCTTTATAATATGTCATATTCATATGATCACGTCGCAGTAATGTTTGAACTTGATTGACTGCATCATCATCTTGACCATTAAGAATTTTACTACGTAAAAATAGATTCGACCGTTCTCGAGGTAATTCAAAGTCCATCTGTTCATCGCTTGATTGACGAATAGTATCCGAATTTTCTTCAAAAGCACAACATGATGCTATTAGTGCAAAGAAGGCGAAGGCACCAACTGTAGCGAGTTTGAAACGAACAGTAGTGACCATTTTTTAATGAATAAAAGCCCGAAAAAATACATGCCACTAAATACACGTCGATTTACTATTCTTCCATTCCATAATTATACATTCAGATTGCTTATTCATCTACATGGTCCTCTGTACATGTTTTTTTCATTCGCGAATCTCACTTCACATTTAACAAGTACTAGCGATCGTTCGAGCAAGAGGAAATCTTGTGATTATTCATGGCCTTCTGTTTTCAAGAAGCTATTGAAATTTATAATAAAGAAAGACAGAGAGAGAGAGAGAGAGAGAGAAAATAACAACACTGCACGCACGGTATATATATATGTGCCTATAATCACATTAGATTCATTAGTATCTTAAACAAAGAAGAGACATCGTCACTATGGACAATGGTTATATTGTTTTGAAGCATGTTTCAATGTACTATGAATTTAACTAGACAAGGACGTTCGCGCTTCTTCAGCACACGCCTATATTAATTTGCTAGTAATTCATTGTTCAGGATAACGCATGAAGGATTAGAAAATATGTGTAAGCATTATTCGTGAAACAACGGAAACTTCCGTAGATGATGTGATGGTCACTCTATACTCGTCTTTAATCATAGTGTGATAAAGATCTAAGTTAATTTTTCTTTTAGCAGGTAGAAATACGAGAAGAAAACGGAAACGTATCTTTCATTATCGTTTTTTTCTGCCTTTCTCTTTCTCACCATCTCCTGCCTGCTCTCAATCACCGTTTGAATTAAAATGAAAGTTGACCGTTCCGTTCATCGTATGATCGATAAGTCATCGTATTTTTTCGATTAAATAGGTATCAAACAGATTGAAATCTGTATTAACACATGATGATGAGTTTTTCAATGAGAGAGAGAGAGAAACAAAGAATAGATATTCAGTGTTTTTTTTTTGAATGACAGACCTTCTTCAATTCGATTAATGAGGAGAAAAAAAAGAACAAGAAAGGACTCATGCCGAGCTAAGAAATTCAAGAACTGATCACCATTTGGTTCAATCATAAACACACGCGTCCACTCATTTATATTTGTCGTTCTTCTATTTACGATGCGTGATGAAAATACTTGCTTGAGAGAGTATGACAACAACACACTGGTCATTCATTCATTAAGATCGAATTACATTTACACATATAGATGTACTTATATCAATCCTCGTGCCCTAACTTCGATAGAATGAAGATTGAGGCGAGTTCTTATTGAGCTTTCGAAGCCAAACGGAAAGAAAATCTGTCATTATTGATTTATAAGAAAGTAACATTCTCTTGAAAAATGTTAGTTTGATGAACGGAAATGGGTTAGTGTAAAAGCCTTGACGGAATGTGTAATGTTTGATTTCATCGACTTGTCGCCGGCATTATCGATGATGACGCCGGCACTTCTTATATATTTTGACCAATTGAGACAATTGGGTTGACAGCATATATACAGATGGTTGCTGCTTGTTGTCGTCGTCTTTTTTGAAAAATCAAACACGATAGCGCTAGCGCTTCTGTCTCGTCTTGACTAAGTAATTATATTTGAACGATGATGGACATAAGCGAATGTGAGTGCTAAAATCAAAATAGGAAGTCGATTTTCTCGCTTGACTAAAGTGTTCAAGAGCATGTTCGTGCACCATTTTCCCTCTTTATTGTCGTTGTCGTTGTCGTCGTCGTCGTCGTCGTCGTCGCCTTCCTTCTTTTGTAAATAGACAGACAATGTCCACTATTACTATTTTTTCCTACTTTAATGCCAACATGGTCCGACTAATGGATTACAAATAAGAACGAAAGAAAATGTCACTCATATCGTACTGTTGCCATCATGAATAAACCCACTGGCATTCTCAATCTGTCTATGTCATTGGAAATTGTTCTTTTTTTTTCATAACGAGAAGCGAAGAATGGTGAGAACAACGTACGAGTTGTTAACTGTCTTTCCTAACAAGTTAATCAAGAAAACAGATTCGAAACATGGTACAGCCTAAGATCTGTGGGGCAAATTTGGCACACATCCGAACCGACNATTAAAACGACGGGCAACAGTGATACAGGTTCATCGTACAATGATTCTTGTTATGGATCATCAGAAATGGATGTATGTCATCATCATCATCATCATCAGTCAACAGGAAATAAATTAGTCAAACAAGACGCATCTCTCACACCGCCAACAGCGGAAACGACGGGCAAAATTCTCTTGTCATCTAATGAAAATTATATCATTCTATGTAAAGATAGTTGCACGAACAGTGATGAGACAAATCCATCAACTTCAATCTCCTCCTCTTCATCGTCATCTCCAACTGCCAATAATAATAGTCTAATAACAACTTGTCAACCAAATCGACGGCCAGGAACAACACAACAATATCGTACGCAATTAAAATCATCTCTCGACCAATCAAACAAGAATCGAGAATTCTTTCAGAACGACGATGAATATCGTAAAGTAATTGGTTCAACAACATCGTTCAATTGTCGAAATATTACACCCATGAACGAATATTATCTTTAGTAACATATGCCATACACATGTTTCTTTTTGATTCTGCGCCGGTGATTGAAATAAGCCGAATGTCTATAGACCTTTGATGATGATGATGATCTGTATCCTGCTGTTTTCTACTATAAAGTGCCATTTTTCTAGCATAAGAATAAATTAAGTTTTTCTTTTTTCTCTTTTGGTTTTTTTTATCTATGTCTCTTGATGATAATCTTTATTTGTTTGTCGATATGTATTTGTATGTGCGTCAGATACAATCGAGCTTTGATGTTTTCCTTTTCTTGATATTTGTTGTACATTTGTTTTTCTATCATTTATTGTTGAAATGATGATTGAAAAGAAAAGAAAACGAAGACATAAAGAATGTAGTTTTTTCATTAAAATTAACAAATGTCACTATCGATTCTTCTCCTGATTTAACAAAATAGAGAAAAAAAAAGGTCTGATTTCCGTTATTTTAAGGTATCAATGTGATTTAATTACGTCACAAGATAGAGTTCTATGTACGTATGCTGTTTAAGTTAAATCAATATGATTTCTATGTAAGCACGTTCGTTCCCCTAGGGAATAGAAATATGAGTACACAGGCATATAAGAAGTCTGTTAAATGACCATAAACAACTTTTATTCGCTCTCTTTCACATACACACATTCCTTTCCTCTTAATGACCTGTCCAAAGGACATTCCAAGGTTATTACCTACACATATGAAAAACTCTCTATGGAGTAGATTGCCTATATTTTATTGGCACATTGCTAATTTGATCGTTCGCTAGAAAAGATCATTGCTCAATACTCATCAATCATTAACGTGCATGTGTCACCATTATTCCTAACGTACACAATGATGTGTGTGATTTTGCCCTTTCCATTTGGCAGATATAGCTACTTTCAGTGTCATTGTAGCAATGAATTATCTTGAAAAGGTCGACGATTTATTTATCAATCGATTTCGTTTTCTTCGATACCGGCATATATCTAATCTTCTTTGTTAAACTTTATTTGACAGGTTAGATAGTCGTATTAAAGTCTCATCCGTTTTATTCTTTCAAGCTATGCATAATCAAGTCAGCTATAGACAGATCATTCGCAATAACAAGTTATGCAAAATATGTGTAGATGAATGTAATGTTCGATTGAGATGTGTGGCGACTCATATATCATTCGAGACATATACTGTCTGCTATCATCAATGGACAAATAGGGTGTCTAGTTAACACCACCTCAAGCGACTACTATAACCAATAATTACACTCGATATACAGAGATGTATATGATGGACATAGTATTGAAGTGTCTAAATATAAGTGTGAAAAAGTGATGGTCTTGGCAGCAACATCATCCACTTGAAAGTCATCACATTCTTACTGACAGACTCTTTGCTTTCGTGAACTAATGCCCGATGGTTATTTATAGAATGAAGAAAAACGTGAAAAGCGGCTTTCTTTTTCTCATTATCAATACTGCCTTACGGTGCGTATGTATATGTCTACCTGATGCCTTTTCATAAATCCCTCGCTCTCCTTCATTTCATCCATATATATATATCTATATGATGTATAATCTTATCAATTAATCAATTATTTGGATTAAAATTTCTTGTTATTGTCATCTAATCTCTGATTAGATTAGAATTGGATCAGTAATCTTTCGGCAGTGACTTCCAACTAAGATAAAAAGAAAACTGATGAAGTTATATACCATGAAAGAGAAACGAGTGATCATGATGTAAGGAAGCACTCTCATATTTTCTTTTTACATAATGAACAAATGCTGGCATTTATGTACAATTTAATTGAACTCTCGGTTCACACACTCTCTCTCTTTCTTTGTCATCCACAGCATTAGAATCATGTTACTGACTTTTCCATTTACTTAACAAACCAATGGAAATGAAGAAAAGAAAATGTTAGTCCTGAGGACATCTAAAATTCTCCGCATTTTTTAATTAAAAGAAAGAACGATTCGGATGTGGTCAGCACGTTTAAAAGTGCTATCTGTTCTTCATTGTCAACGGAAATGTTTACATCGCCTCATGATTAAATGAAAAAAGATCTCCTTACGATTTGATTGTAAATGACTTGCGTGATGGACTTTTACGCAACAGAAGGAAGCGCTATCCTTTATGTCGACGAACGCATTTGATGAGTTAAAAGAGTCACTATATGTATGTACGTATGTGCATATATATGAACGTCTGCAACCACGCCCAGTTTAATCATACATAGTTATTAAATAGATGATTTATGAAAACGAATCGATTCATCATATCACACACATAGAGCGAATTCATTGTTAGTTATTCTATATGTCAATCAGAATTTGAAGAGCTTCGTAGTGGTCACTTGTAGAATTGACATTAATCTCTGCTTTCGTAGCACTTCGTGCCAACAAATTCATTGATACGTTGTCTCTCAATGTGATTTCTTTTAATTCGTCGACATTCATTAGAATCGATGGATTCTTACCACATTTCTCAACATGATGACGTGTATGCACACCGAGCGAAGATAAGATATTGAACTCGTGCTCAAATGACATTTACAAAAGCTAATTAGAAGCACCATACGATACTACTGTAATACAACTAATTGTACGTAGTGTCCAACGGTCAGTAAGCATTAAGAAAAACATACAACACACCAGTTGTTCGAACCACAAGAGATGCCGATCAAATGATCTGTACGCGTGCAATGATAATAATGATACAGTAGAGAGATTCTAGCCGGTGAACTTTTGTATCATGTTTTGTTCACGCACGCATGCACCTATCATTCTTCGGCATTCGTTAGAGAAAAAAAAAGAATCGATAACATCAATCAATGCGTAGCAATTAGCTACGATCATCATCATCAATTCACATGGACGTGTTATTCCTAATTGTACACGTGTTCGAACATTCATTTCAATACTAGCAGAATTCAAATGTCTCTAAATCAGAATGTTCATTTGATAGGCTATTGTTTTATTTTGGATTACCATCGATCACACGCACAGATAATTAACATCATAGAAAAAGAATGTGAAATATACAGATTTCGAAAAGTGTCTTCTTTATTTTGCACGAGGTTTTTTAGCAACAGGTTTTGCTGCGCGTTTCTTTGCTATTTTGATCATTGCATCATCTTCAAGATCATCTGTTTCACCATCGACTCGGTCGTTGTCATCACCATCATCACCTTCATCATCGTCATCATCGTCATCGTCAAGGTTTCCTTTTGCTTTTTTCAGTTTTTTCATATCAATCACAGCATATGGCGTTCGATGAACTGTTTTATTGTAGGCACGAGTCAGCGAAGATTTTGTTTGTGTATCAAGTTGATCATAGGGATTTCGACCTGATTTGCCCCATGTGTTCAATTCCATGATTGTTTGAAAATCGTCTCGATTCAGATAGTATTCGTCGAGCAAGGCAATGCATTGTTCCACACCTTGCTGTTGTAGTTTTTGTAGAGGTTGAATGAATATTCGAGCTAAATATGGTAAATAATCGAGATTGAATTGTTGCTTGTTTGCTGATGCAATCTTCAGACAAATATGCTTTTCAATTTCATTTAACAATCGCTCGTTTTTATTCGTACGCGACCGTTGACCAAAGTAGGATGAAAAATTTACCATACCACGAAGATGACCACGAACATATGAACAAGGTGCAACTGTCGAGAAAATTCCCTAAAATTAGTACGAAATCAGATGATTTGCTATGCATAGAAGATCGACCGCACCTGATAGGGCAGTAATGACCAACTTTCGTTTCTTCCGTAAATCATTTGAGAGCATACATCACCGACACACATGTTCTCAGCCGCTTTGGATAATAAAGTGAGATGCTCAAGATCAGTTGCTTTGCGTTTTTGTGCATCAGAATTTGATAGTGTTGGAAGACATTGTAGATAGTTCTCTTGAATTAACAGTGGCATTAGTTGGTAATCATAGAAGAAGATTTCTAATTTATCCGATAAAGATTTTTGACGTAACTCATCGGAGAATGATAATCGACATAATTCGAATGGATTATTATTTACGGCTTTGTCGATCATGGAAGCGGCTTTAGAGTTCGTTTCGCCTTCGATAGCCCAAAGATTCAATGAATGAAGTGTTTGACGAATGTCTTGATTGCATGATTTGATGATCTCATCTAAAGTTTCTTGTTTGATCTGATGAATATTCTCTCGATGAAGAACGGTTAACATCGCACCACGAATTTGTTGCACTGTTGGCCGATAAAATCGTAAATCGTAACAGTAATTAGCTAATGAACGTATCTTTTTATGTTGTCGATCGTTACAAATGCAAATGATTGGTATACGAGATCGTTTAATCAATAGAATAAGTTCTTGGATACCTCCACGATCTTCATTACCTGCTACACCATCGACCTCGTCCATGATCAGAACACAATTTGACATGGTTGATTTAGTTGCGAATGAAGCGACACTATGTGAATCACTGGACAGAGTAGCCACTAACTTTTTCGAACGTTGATCCGATGCATTCTTTTCAATATATTCGAAATTAAGCTGTTCACAGACAAGTTGAGCTGCAGTAGTTTTACCTATCGAAATATAAAATACATCGTCCGCGTGTCAATCGTTGTCGAATACTTACCAATGCCAGGTGGACCGCTAAGTAAAGCAGCTTTGAACAGTGCTGGATCTTCATTACGATTGAATCCAGTCGATGGTTTTGCTTTGATTTTTTCATCACTGCGTCCATGGTGTTTGTACCAATCACGTAGCCAGACTGTTAATTTCTGAACGCAAGACTTTTCACTCTGTTGCCCAATGAGATTTTTAATTGTACGAGGTTTGTATTTGTCAGCCCCTGAAAGAGTTCACCTGGAAAAATAGATCATTTTCTCATCGATGCAGAACTTACACATTAGTGTCGATTCATCAACTGCTAGTTTTGGTGTCGTTGGTGAATCAGTTGTTGGTGTCGGTGGGGTTGTAAGACTAGTTTTAGCTTTCTCCACCTCAGTACTAGTGCTTAGGATAGTTGGTTTGGATTTCACAGGTGACGGAGGCGGTTGCGGCTGTGACGTTGGAGTGACTTGCTTTTTTGGTGTAACATCATCGCCTGGTCGGGTTGCGATCAGTTCAAGAAGATCATCTTCAGATATAATTTTTACTTTTAGTTCTCGAGCTTTTTCTTGTTTCGATTCTCCACCATCACGACCAACAAGAAGATGAGTTGTTTTACTACTGATGGATCCTGTCATACGACCACCATACTTTTCTATCAAACTTTTGCATTCGTCACGTCCTAATGATTCGAGTACACCTGAAATAGACAGAAAAGATCAATTTCGTAGAAATCTTGTTCGCTAATGAATCTCACCCGACACAACAAAAGTCAAGTTCTTCAAGCAGTTTGGTGCGCCATCAGGAATTGGCTTCGAACCAGGAGCATCCGGTCCACCACGGTTCATAAATGTCTTGTAATTTTCTACACGGCGTTTCTTTTCGAGTGGATCGACTTCCTTTGTTTTCATCTTTTTATTTGGTGTTGTACTATCAGATTTGGCCACTGGCAGATTCTCATCGACTGCCTTGGCTTTGATTTTAGTCGGTTTCGATTCAGCTTTCGGAATGAAAGCATCATCGTCTTCATCATCATTATCTTCAAGATCAACATGTTCGCGAACTCGCTATTAGAATAAAGACAATAGAGTGAACGGTATTTCTTCATATCCATCATACTTTATTGTTAGGCAATGGTGATGGAGCCGAATTCTTCTTGAAGAAACTTCGAATATCAGCCATTTTGCAATCGGTACAAATGAATGAATGATTCGGTCTACTGTTGAGAAAAAGACTTTGTGAACAGAAAGACAAATCTGAATGACCAATCCAGGAGATACATATTTATTGTTATAATCATGTCAAGTGCATTCTATTCAAGTCACAAACGAAACAATTTGTTCGATCTCATCTGATCTCTCACCAACTACTCTATTCAGAAGAAATAAACCAAGGCTAACCTAAAATACCCACTTTGAATAGTTTTTCAGTTTCAGTAAAAACTAACAAGCCCAACTGATGGCGTCATCTGGCAAATTTTATTTTACTACTGCCGATACTTTATATGGATGAGTCACTCGCTCTAGTATAATCGAATAAAATACCTCATAATACGATTAAAGAAAGGGAACAAAATGGCAACTGGTGGATCGTATATTTCGTGCGATTTCGAGATTTTTGGTACTGTTCAAGGCGTCTTCTTTCGTAAATACACTCAACAGCAAGCAACAAAGTTGAATCTCGTCGGCTGGGTGAAAAATGCTGCCAGTGGAACTGTTCAAGGACATATGGAAGGTCGAAAGGAAAATGTAGACCAAATGAAAGCTTGGCTTCGAACAACAGGAAGTCCAAAATCTAAGATAACGAAGGCGGACTTTTCTAATGAAAAGACTATCTCTGAATTATCAGCCAAATCATTCAATGTTAATAAATAAACTCAAAGAATCTCAATTATTTTTCAACTTCCGTCCAAGCCGTTCCTGAACTCTTGCATTTTTCTTCCATAGAATCGAGATCAAAATACTATTTGTACGACCGAGAAACAGATAACCTTTGCTGATATGTTTACAACTTTAAATTGTAAAGATATATATTCTTCTCGATGATTAGATCTGATAAGATTTCTGTCATGCTTATCTAAACTAAACATATTGATTTAACATCTTTGTTGATAGTATTTTTTTTCATTTCAGACTAATTTTGATAGCATGCCTTCATCTTTTTCAAAAACCAAATTGCCCTATGCTGCCGCAGGTGCTGGTGCTCTCGTCGCTACGTATGCAGGCGTGCGTGCATACAAATCACGTCTTCAAGATAAATACGATGATGGCATCGACTTGAACAATCAGTCAGTTGAGATCGATCCTGTCGAACACATTCGACGTTGTACATACTACAAAGACATCGACATCTATTCATATTATAAAACAATTTACTCTAATGTGCAAACGTTAGGTGACATTCTTTACAGTGGATACTCTTCTTCAAAGAATGGACCATGTGTAACAAATGTTGATCTGTCGAACAAAACCTCCTCATTGCAGTGGCTATCTTATTCGATGGTATTGGAAAAAACTCGGTATATTGGCTCACATCTATGGACTGATGTTCAATTAGTTCCTACACAATCCAAAGTTGCTATTATATCTTTGAATCGTTCGGAATATTCATTTGTTGAACATGCTTGCTACATGTACGGATTCATCATCGTTGCTTTATATACGAGTTACGATGCAACAACAGTTCTGTCTATATTGGATCGAACTGATGCTGAAGTTCTTGTCGTGGATGATATACAACGTATCGAACCGTATAAAAGTCAACTATTACAAAATTCACGTATCAAGGAGATTCTAGTCATGGACGACGTAGCGAATAATGAACATGAAAAAATTAAAACTATTCCAAGAGTTTTAAAATCTATGCAACAAGCAGATGTTCGTCCATTGCCTAGATTTGAACCAGATCTGATTGCCACACTTATCCTCACTAGCGGAACAACAGGTATGAAATCGTATGATTGTGCGAAATTGATTGAAAATATTTGGCTTTTGTAGGCGAACCGAAACTTGCCATGTTGACACACACAAATATCTTAGCTACTGTCAAAGGTGTTCTCGATCGACGACAACGCGGAAATCTTAATCCCACATCTAATCATCGACATTGTTCATTTTTACCATTAGCACATCTATACGAACGTATCGTGTTAATAATTAATTTTATCCAAGGATCGCAAGTTGCTTATTGTCCAATACCGGAAAGGCTTTTTGAATATTATGCCATTATTAAACCGACAGGTTCTTCAACAGTGCCGAGAATATTGAATAAAGTCTATGACACAATTATGACGGAAGTAAATAAGAGTAAAGTCAAGCGATTTCTCATTAATCAAGCCTTGCATAATGACAAACCATCGTTATTTTCACGCTTGATCTTCCGTAAAGTGCGGAATCTGTTCGGTGGTGAACTAACAGTCATGGTCACTGGCTCAGCACCTATTACACATGATGTCTTACATTTCTTCCGCATAGCACTCGATATACCGATCATTGAAGCCTATGGACAAACAGAATCCACTGCATCGGCAACAACAACGCATGCCATAGATCGATCATGTGGAATGGTTGGTTCGCCTGTTGCAGTTGTTGACATTAAACTAATTGACGTGCCTGGTACGAACTATCGCAGTGAAAATAATCAAGGAGAAGTGTGCATCCGAGGGCCGTGTGTCTTCAAAGGTAAACTACCTATCTACCGTAACTTACTATTCATGCTTTTGTTCAGGTTACTACGGAGATGAGAAGAAAACCCGTGAAACTATCGATGAGGACGGCTGGCTTCACACGGGGGATGTCGGTGAATGGACACCCACTGGTGCGCTACGTATTATCGACCGAACAAAACACATTTTTAAACTGAATCAAGGTGAATACATTGCTCCTGAACGTCTTGAAGATGTTTATGTTCGTTCGCGATGGGTTTCTCAAATATTCGTCGATGGTATATCGACCGAATCTACTATTGTCGGTATAGTCATTCCCGATGAAGAATACGTTCGACAAAACTATTCGAATAAGAGCTCCATTGAAGACTTATGCAGAGATGACAAATTGAAAGAAATCATCTTCAATGATCTAAAACGCTTGGCCAAAGAGTATAAATTTAAGTATTACGAAACACTTAGTAATATTCATCTTCATCCCGAAGCATTTTCTCAAGAAAATGGTTTGATCACATCTACGTTGAAAACGCGTCGAACAGCAGTTCGACAGTACTTTCGCAACACAATTCAATCACTTTACGATCTGGGAGATCAAACGGCAAAAACAATTCTGCCTGAGTTGCAGTCAAAATTATAGATCAATGACTTGTTTTGCGCAATTTCATACTGTGATTCGTCCGAATTGAGAACAAATATTTTTATTTTCAAGAATAAAAACTAAAAATTGTCATTGTATTCTTTCTCGGGCTGAGCGGATTGCGATGGGAGATTGAGTTTTTGAATAGCGATGACTCGTATGCCATCCTTGGGTGCCACAACCATCACCTCTTTTTGTTTTGTGCGAAGACGAAGCGACACTAAATTATCCGTTGGACAAATATCACGAATCGCTGAGCGAGCCATTTCAGCAAACGCAAGTAATTTTGGAGTGATGATAAATGTCACATTGTTATCCAATGACGTATAATGAAGTTGTCCTTCTTCATTAGTTAGAATGATGCCTTCAACGCCACGATAAGTCGATAATCTTTTCAAAATGGCCTCATCGGCAGGCAACAAACCTACAGGATATCAGAACAAAATTAGAAATGACTGAGTTGAATCGAGAGAATCTTTACCGGCTGAATTGTCCATCGCTATAGGAAAAGTTCGTTCGAGTTTTGTTTTAAAATATATTGATGTCGTTGACAAGTAAAATATTGACAAAGCACAAGAAAGGAATGAAAGATAAAAGTCTCTATGAATGTGAGAGGAATCTATGTGCGTGCTATTCAAATACAGAACAACACAAAACAGACGTTCGTATACGAGTATATCTCAGAGAAAAGAAGAAAAAAAAGTGACGGAGACCCTTTTATCTTCACATGCACAAGCACTCGTTTACGTTCGATATATCCGACGGATTTTTTTCTTTAATAAAAATGATTAGAATTTCAAGTAGATGAAATCTATTGCTGAACTATTTTGACATGCACAACGGAAAGGAAAATTGAATATTTTTCCGATTGTTGTTATTGTTATTATTATGAAAGACGATTAGCAGAAGAGAAAAAAGTCGTCTTCGTCGAGAGAGAGAGAGAAAGTAATTTTTCCTTTCTCAGCATATCTTCATTTTCATTCTCTTCCATCTTTTACTTGACGTTCATAATGACGGCTAATATTTTGCAGATAAGTGCGTGTCCTTTGAACGGCAAGAATGTGTTGCTATTAGGAATACAACTGATCGATTTCTTTGCAGATATTTGTTAAAAATCAAAGATTCGCTATTTGATATGATCAGTTTCAAACAATGCCAAAGTTCTCTTGTCACGTCCTTGAAAGACTACAAATATCGAATATTAATCTTGCGTAAAACATCTATCAGACAGAATTGTTGATATGTATAAATAAACTTTCTGCTTGACGGAATCGTAACATTGTAGATAGTTGTAATGAACATAGAGTAATCATCATGAAAATGATTTCTCTATCAATAACCTCTATTCAAAACGAAAGTTTATAGATGTCGGTAACTATATTCCTACGATTCTTTATAGTGGTAGACTGTTGTCTTATCCAACCGATGATATAGCAATCTATTGATTGGCTCTTTTTTTTATTAACTAAATTTCGATAAGACAGTTAGTTAAATCTTTGGAAAAACTGAACAATGACATCGGAAGCGACGATTCCCAATGGTCTCGATCATCAAGTTGACTCTTGTCTGACGACAAATGATATAAATTGGGCATGTGACGACCAAGAAAATCAATCGACAACGAAATTGGATAACGATAAGGAATTGATATTAAAACTTGACAATCTTCTCCTCGATGATCAAAACGATCCGGAGATCTATTTTCATTCGTACAAGTCCGAAAACGAAATGTCATCTATTATGACACTGATCAGCGGAACACTATCGGAACCTTATTCCATCTATACCTATCGTTATTTCATACATAACTGGCCTGATCTGTGTTTTCTCTGTTCCAATCGACAAACCAACGAATTGATCGGTGCGATTGTCTCCAAATTAGATTTACACAAGAAAGTTCTACGTCGTGGTTATATTGCGATGTTAGCTATTAATAAAGAATATCGACGAAAGAAGATCGCCTCGAAACTCGTTCTCATGAGTATACGAGAGATGATACGACGTGGCTGTGATGAAATCGTTCTCGAAGCGGAAGTGAACAATGATGCAGCATTGAATCTGTATGAAAATTTAGGATTCTTGCGTGAAAAACGTTTATATCGTTACTACTTAAATGGTGTTGATGCTTATAGATTGAAGCTTTGGTTGAAATAAACAAACAGACCAGAAGAAAAATGTTTTTTTTTGTCAGATGTTCGGTTTACTCGACGACTACGACACCTAAATCTTCATCATTGATATCAACCAATGGAAAAAAAACAACCAAGATCCATTTACTGTGTTTAGAACTGTAAACATCGTCTGCTCTGTTATTATTATTACTGTTTTCTAATATAACTTCCAATCTAATTTATTTGTCTTTTGTTTTAATGAATTCACAGTTGACTTATACTTCTTTGTAACTCAGATTTTCTATCGTTTTAGAATAATAATCCATCCGAATCAAACTTATCATTCCAATTGATCGATTCAGGTAAACGTGCCTCTTCATTTTTCATAATAGTCTGTTTTCTCTCCCTGGAAATCTTTATCAACATTCTCGAAATATGGACATTCCGATTAATAAATGTTGACATATCTGCATTTTGATAGACGAACTGTTTTAAGGCGATATCGTAATAGAACAGATGGAGATTCTTTCTAATTGAGTATCTTGTTTTCTTAAGAAAACGTTTCCTTGAATAGAAAACCATTAGATTCTCATTTAATAATAGTCATTTTATTATATCAAAACAGAAAACATGAAACTATACAAGTACACTAAGTGAACAAAGTTGACACTGTTCAGGATTAGTCATTGTTGTCATGTTAGTCGATGTGGATGTTGGCGGTGAGTTTGTATCGATATGGAGTGGTCGGCAAGTCCGGTAATTGTTTGCCAGCATCTGTGAATTGTAGTCATCGTGTAAGATTTCTTGATAGATATGATAGTTCGGTGCGGGAGTAAAATTCGAACTTGCGTCAGTGGACGAGGAACCACTGCTATGATAATGTGTTGGACATGTACACTGAGTAGAAAGACTTGCTTGATAACTGATCGGTCGAGAGTGTTGCTGATGCCGATGGTGAACAGGTGGGTGAGGTAGTGTCAATTGTCCTGTGGGGGATAACCAGGGAGCCATATTTGTTGGAGTTGGACGCACCAGAAGTGTTTCGCTTTTTGAATCATTGTTTTGATGATATTTTGAGGAATTCTTCTGACAAAATAACAGCTGTGGACAACGTGTGATGATTAGAATTGCGAAGATGAGTAGAGCGAAGACAAATATGATGCCGAATAATGAACCGATTAGGATACTTTTTGTTGGTTCGATCGTATACCAAGTCTGCTTGGAATCATTGATCAATGAAGACTTGATCGCTTGATTCGGTAGATCAATTAGTGGAAATTGTATTTGTTTGCAAAACTTTTCATAGTCACTTTTTCGCAAGAGAAATAAACAGATTTCACCGTGTTGGATGTAATCGATCGTATAGTTCCGTTGTAGAACATCGAGCAGTTCGCTCATTTTGTAGATGGGCGAATTCGAACTAATCTTAAATCCATATAATTCATGGTTTTTATAATAAGTTCGACGAAAATCTTCATTTGAATTCTCGCCATTCAACAATGGATACAATTCCCATTGAATAATTAACTGCGATCGATCGAGTGTTGGTCGGACGATCAAGTTCGATATTCGAATTCTTTCGATAATTAATTCTTCTGTTACAGTTCCTGTGCTCGTAGACGATTGTTGCTGTTGTTGTTGTTGATCGTGCGTATCTTCGATTAATTCTTCAACTCTAAAACAAACAATACTTTAATTAATCGTCCTAAATAGAAAATTCTTTTCTACTCAATGATAATTACATAGCTGTTAATGGCACTTAACTCAAGGAAAGATAAGCGAACTCATGAAACATTTGCTCGAGAAGGTCAATCGATCGCTAAGGATGCATAGATCTTTGCTAACTGAACTTACAAATTGTTCGTTGTTATTTTCACTGTTGTGCTGCTCGTAGTTTCGGGTGAGGATTTAATCATGGTTGCACACTGAGGTAAAGTCATGTAGCTACATGGTAATTGTTCATTGGGTAGATCGACAAGATTAATATGTTGTCGGTCCGGTGGTGATTGACATTGACCGGTGACTTTGAGTTTCGTACGAAATAGATCGTGAGTACTTTGTCCTAAATGACAATCACAATGTAAAGGATTTTGGTCGAGTTCTAGTGTTTGTAAGGTTTGATAATAGTTTAGAATTGCTTGATCAATGATACATATTTGATTACGCCGAAGGGATAAACTTTGTAACGTTTCATTGAGATTGATTAAATACGGAATGGCTGTTAAACTATTATTTGACAGATCTATTCGAAGAACGGATCAATATTGACTTCAATGAAAAGAAGGCGCTCTTACCGAGTATTTGCAAACGTGTATTTCGAAATGCGTGGCTATCAATCACTTGAATCTGATTATCGCGTAGATGAAGCCGTTCAAGAATTGGTAAATTAGCGAATGTTTTCTTTTCGATCTGATGACTGAGAAAATTTGCATCTAAATTCAATTGTTTCAATTTCGGTGCATTTAATCCTTCGATCAACGACAAATGGTTTCGATCGAGTTCGAGGATTTCCAACGAGGGAAATATACTGCTCATCGTTGATGACCATTGAGTTATACGATTCGACGAAAGATACAGCTTCTCTAAGTGTCCAAGTCGCGTTAAAATGGATAAATTGATATAATTCAAACGATTGTGTTTTAACGATAAAATTTTCAAATTCAATGGCAGATATAATTGATTGATTGTTTCCAAACGATTGTAATCAAAGTAGAATTCACGTAGGTAATACAAATGAATGAGAAATGTCAGGTGTTTCTCGGTGACTAATTCATTGTTTCGAAGATTCAAGATTTCCAATTGTGAGGAGATGAGTTCGAATATATGTTCATCGATTGTTTCGATCCCTAAGTACAAAAAAAAGAGCAAACTCGTTATTCTGTTGTTATTTTTATCTCCTAAGTGGTATTTATTGTCGAAAGTCGATCATTTATATGGAAATGTCAAAGAAAGACTCGTAAATAGACTATTCCTATTGATTTTAGTGGATTATATTTACCATTATATGACAAGTCAAGTTCGATTAAAGAATTTGATGGATGAAATGTTGTTGCTGATAATGAACGATGAATATTCAAGTGGCGAATTTTGTTTTTACTCAAGTTCAATGTTTTCAATTTTTTCAACGATAAAACCAATGGAATATTGAAATATTCGAAGCGATTTTCCGATAAATCCAATCGTTCTAGGTTCGGAAAGAGATTCACAAATGTTTCGATATCATCGATTTGATTTATTGAGCATGATTGTAAGGACAATTGTGTTAATTTTCTCGATGTTAAGATAGGTTTATTCGTCGTCAGATTAAACGAATTTGACAAGTCAAATGAACGTAAAAGTAAACGTTTTAAATTGGGTAGTTCAGATAGAATTTGGACAAATGTATCAGTTGTCAATTGCGAAGAAAAGATTGTCGTAGAAAAGATGAATTCTTCGAGATAATTTGATAAATCACTAAAAGCGTTGCTTTCGATTGATTGAATCGGATTGGATTGAAATTCAAGTTTACGTAATTTCAAACCATTAAAAGCATTTTTATGTACAATTGATATACGATTACCGGATAGGACAAGTTCATCGAAGATGATATTGCCTTGAGGAAAGAAAAGAAAAGAAATATCGAACGAGTAGTTACATTCGATTTACTCACTGTTATTAAATCGAGGAATATCTGTTAATTGTTTGCGAGCGCAATAGATATAGACACGGCCATTTTCCGTGATTGCACATCGGCACTTCGATTGGATGTCGAATGGAATTGGACAAGTTAAAATCGGAATAATGAAAATAAATAAGAAGTAATAAATACGTCGAATAAACATGATTATCTACAAAATGACATATATCAACTGTAATGAACGACAGGATCGAGAGAATGAAAGAGAAAAGCTTCTGATTGTTCAAGGATCTTTCTTTCTCTTTTTCTCTTGTATTGTATATCTCCACTGATGTTTATTACAGTGTACTTAATGTTGTCATATCCTGTTCATCNTCTATTGTTTTATGAACTTACTTTTTCTCAAGAGTTTACGAGACTTAATGAATGCATCAATAAGGATGGTTGGATTCGTCGTCAAAGAAAAGAACGATAAGTGTGCATCGAGTGTACACACGTCAAATCGAATGCCGTTCATTCATCGTTTGTTTCTTCAATCTGATCGATGAATAGAGAAGTGCATATACAACTGATTAGATGCATTCGCATTCAGCTTGTTTTACATCTCCATATATCATTAAATTTGAATATATCAAAATAGAGAAAAACGGTGACGCTTTTTACTTTAGACAAGTCTCACCATGCCCAAACGGAAATCGACTATGCCAACTGTTGATAAACGTGAAAAGAAAGTCAGTGAATCCGATCATAATCAGACAAGCGAAAAAGACGATAATGCCGAAGAGAAACAAAAGGATGAATTAGCGAACAAAGTAGCCAAAACTAAAACAAATACGACCGTTATCGATTATTTTAGTATTAAACCTCTGATAAAAGCGATTGATCATGTACGAACGGGCATTTGTACGAGTGTCGAGGATTTTCATTTCAACAAGACACGCGTGCGGCCAATGAACAATGTCAATCACATTCCGAAAGATTCGCAAACGATACTCTATTGGATGTCCCGTGACCAGCGTGTTCAAGATAATTGGGCAATGCTCTACGCTCAACGTCTAGCGCTTAAACAACATCTTCCATTACACGTTGCTTTTTGTTTAGTACCAACATTTCTAGCAGCGCCCTTACGTGCTTATCGTTTTATGTTGAAAGGTTTACGAGAAGTCGAACAAGAATGTCAACAATTGAATATCATATTTCATCTATTGACTGGACAAGCCGAAAAGGTTTTACCGAAATTTGTTGAAAAGTATCAAGTCGGTACGATTATTACTGATTTTTCACCTCTACGTGTGCCACGACAATGGGTAGAAAATGTAGCGAAAAAAATCACCACTATTCCTATCGTTCAAGTAAGAAACGTTGACTGTGATTTCGAAATTTCGAAATTCTCTTTCTTCGAAGGTTGATGCACACAACGTTGTTCCATGTTGGTATGCTTCAACTAAACTCGAGTATGGCGCACGTACGATACGAAATAAACTTCATAAAAATATGGACGAATTCTTTACTGAGTATCCACCTGTGATTAAGCACCCGCACACTTCACCTGCACATCATCAAGTTAAGCCAACAGACTGGCAAGCAGCTGATGATAGCTTACAAGTTGATCGAACTGTTGACGAAGTCGCTTGGGCTGTGCCTGGTTACACCGGTGGAATCGAACAATTAGAGTCGTTCGTCAATGAACGAGTTTGCAATTTTGCTCTCGGACGCAATGATCCAAACAAAGGTGCAATATCGAATCTCTCGCCCTGGATACACTATGGACAAATAAGTCCTCAGCGTGCATTACTTGTCATTGCAAAATTGCGTCCAAAATTCAAAGAAGCTTGTGATTCATTCATTGAAGAAGCATTCGTACGACGAGAATTGGGTGATAACTACTGTTACTATCAAGAGAATTGTAACCAACGTCTTAACAAGAGCGAAATGCCGTTGCCTAATCCGTATGTTTTTAGACGATAATATCAATGGCGCATGGGACTGGGCGAAGAAAACCCTCAACGATCATCGCAACGATAAACGCACTCACGTCTACAGTCGTGACGATCTAGAATATGCTCGAACTTACGATAAACTATGGAATGCGTCTCAAATCCAAATGATCAAAGAAGGTAAAATGCACGGATTCGTTCGAATGTATTGGGCGAAGAAGATTCTCGAATGGACTAACTCGCCCGAAGAAGCAATCGAAATTGCTATATATTTAAATGATAAATATAATCTCGATGGGCGTGATCCAAATGGTTATGTTGGCGTTATGTGGAGCATGTAAGTATAGATTTGAAAGGATCTTTTCTACAAAACTCATTTCGTCGCTGTCTAGTTGTGGAATTCACGATCAAGGATGGAGAGAAAGACCAGTTTTTGGTAAAATTCGTTACATGAATTATGATGGATGCAAGCGAAAATTCGATGTTGCAAAATATGAAAACAAATATTCAAGTTTATAGATCTTATTGAGAACAAAACCTATTAATCAAGCATATGATTCTTCTAGTCATTTCTTTTTATATCATCGACAACTGTATATGTATATATATATATTTCTTATTCATGCCTATTAAAGATAGAAGGATAACACTGTCTTCTCTTTGTATTATCTTACGTAATTGAGCGTGCGTATGTTCGTCTAACCCTTCCGATATCCGACCCGATAAACTGGAAAAGATTACCCATTGACGAGTAACTGCCTGTTTGTCTGTCTATCTGTCTATGTTACGCTATGTTACAGCCAATATATCATCGAAAAGCGATTAGCACATCGAGTGATTGTTTATAATTACTTTTGCCATTTAAGGAAAACATGCCAAGTGTAGTCTTCTAATGAATGATGACTTTGTTTTCTTTCTCTCATTCTTCGATTGAATGTTCGACGTAGCAGAAAATGTGTATTCTATGATAGGGAGGGGTGATAAAGTTATTCAGATAAAACACCGATTAAAAATGAATATTTCATTCTTGCTTAGCTGCACTTGACGAGCATATTTCATGTGATGAACAAGTATGAGATACATCGAATAAGCTCATTAATGATCTTTGACATTCTCGTATCGATGTTCGAAGCTCATTTATAACTACACAATCATCCAGCTATTGTTTGCATACAGTAAAAACTGAATTAATTGTCATCAGGGTCTTTCGCTTTTTCTTTTTTTGAGAAATGAGCAGAAGCAAAAAAAACGATGAATGATTGCTTTCAATCTCTTCCGAGTTAAATTGATGCTTGCGATCTACTTAGTTGAATGTTTTCCCCTAAGGGATCTTTTAGAACGAACTAAACGGAAGAACAACATACATATGTAATGCGAATTCGACGAACAAAACTGAAACTATATTCATACATACATACGTTTTCCCACAGCCTTTTTTTCTTCTCTTTCCTTCTTCTAATGACTAGTCACACTTTTAAATTTAACCTTCAGACACATAAAAACAAGCAGAAACGGATCGTAACATGTAATCAATAGGACATTGAGCGGATGATCATGTAAGATTAATAAAAAGAAAATCTGTGATTAGGTAGACATTTGCATGTAGATTTACGAAAGACCGAATTGACAATAAAAAAAAAGAAATGATCATGTGTAACATACCTTAATTGTACGTGTGTATGCCGCAATTTGAAAAGATAATTGAATTGAACTACTACAGTAGTCGATCGATGCTTGTTACTACTAGTTGTGAATTATAGTCTATTCTATTTCTCCTCTTCTCTCCATTGACTATTGCTCAGTGATTAAATGAGAGAGAGAGAGAGAGAGAGAGAGAGAGAAAGAGAAAAAGAAAGAGAAAAGAGTTCTAAACAATACATTCCTCTCTCTCCCTCTTTCTTCTTATCCACTAAGAAAAGAACATACACGTGCCAGTTAATGATTAACAATAATACAGCTGAATTTTTTTGACGAGTTACAATTGTGAAAACAATGAAATAAAATTATGTCTTGACAGAAGATTACTTCGATAAGTGTTCATTTACTTTCCAACTATCTCTCTGCAGGAAAGACAATGTACACATTACATTGACAGATATTCGATTTCTTCATTTCCATAGACAAACAACTTACTTGCTATTGTTATTCCTCTTGTTGTTGTTAGGTTAAATTTCAAAGGTCTATTCAAGCGTTAAACAACTTTCGAGTTGATCAGTGTTTACATGTGCACTGATAAGTTCAAGATAACCTTCACAATTGATCAAAAACTAGAAAAGAGAATTTTTATCAATTAAACTTTCTACATCGTTGAATGTGTTTTTGTTTGTCTTACATCATATCAATTGCTGTCGATGTACTTATCTTCAAGGACAAGTCTATTCTTTTCTAGATCATCATGTCTCTAGATAATCATGAAGAGTTACAGAAATTCATTGATTTGAGCGAACACTATCGTACCTATCTTGATGAACATGACAACTCTCGGCCTGATGGCCGATCGTTTTCTCAGATGCGTCCTGTTCAAATACTTGATAACTTTCTGCAACATTCCTATGGTTCATCGATGATACGTTTCGGAAATACGACTGTGATATGTTCGATAACTGGTCAATTGACGAAACCATCGTTGAAATCGTTACGATCCGGCTTTATTCAAACAGTTGTTTTGTTACCGCGGACACAGGCGTGGTCAACGTATGGTCGCCGGCAACAAATCATCAACGAAAATTTAACATTAAGTCAAAACCTGCTAGACATTATCTATAAATCGAAGTTAATTAACTTAGAAGATCTATGTATCGAAGAAGGTAAACAATTTGTTTTCTTAAGTGAGAAGAGTAGAAGTTGAAAATTTAGGTAAATGGGTTTGGTGTTTGCAAATCGATTTTCAATGTTTAAACAACGATGGTAACCTGTTTGATAGCTGTTTATTTGCTCTCAATGTTGCTTTACGCCATACATCGTTTCCGACGGTGAAAGTCGATCCCGATACGCAAAAGCCTCTCGTTTATACCAAAGATTTACAAAACCTTGAATACAACAAAGAACAACAGCCCTTATGTTGTACCATTGCCGTCTACGACAGCGCTCAAGAATACCAGTATCTAATTGATCCAACTTTAGAAGAGGAAACGATTGCTAAAAGTCTATTACATTACGTTCTGTTGAAAAATGATCAAATATGTCTCATACACAAAACAAGTGGCGCACCGTTTTCACCAGAAAAATTTCATCATTGTTACTCACTTGCTCGTGATTATATTCTCCAACTGCGTAGCAAACTTAATCAACAAAACTGATCGGCATCGAATGATTGAACACTTTTCTTTCCCTTTTCTGTTTTCTTTGTTTCTAACTAGAAGAACTTTGCGTGATTATGCATCAGACCGATACGGTGACACATGTTCGCATTCGAACACCTCTCACTGTATATATATGTCTCGACAATTGTCATCGCCTTCGATTTATTCATTAATGAGAAGACAACTTGCTTTCTTTCTTTCTTTCTGTCTCTCTCTGGGGAAGACGAGGCAGATGTGTTAGAAGAAAAGTAATCGTTTGATGAGGATTTCATAGCCAAGCCAAGCTTTTCTTGTTATTATTCATGCTTTGTTACCATGAAAATAATTTTTTAGATCGATGCTACCATTTCTCTGTGCGGTGTTTGTCGTTGTAATTATACTACTACTCGCCAGATTACGCAAACCTAATGCATCAACACAACGATGTGCGTATGTGATTGTCCTTGGCGATCTTGGTCGAAGTCCACGTATGTGTAATCATGCGATTCAATTCTCCAAACATCGATTCAATGTTAAATTGATTGGTTATGCGGGTAAATATTTTTTATTGAAAAACTAAGTCTTCTTAGGACATGCATTGGCTATCTTTTAGAATCGGAACTTAGTCGCCATATTACTAGTAATCAAAATATCGAGATATGTCCTCTCAAACCATTTCTTCAAATCGAAGGTCAATTTGGGTGTTCTTCTGAAAAAAATCAAACTGAGTTTTCTTAACGTTTTAGGTTTACCAGCAGTAGCAGTATACGCTTTTAAAATCCTCTGGCAATTCGGTACCCTTCTTGTGCGTCTATGTCAATTGCCAAAACCTGATGTTATCTGTGTTCAAGTAAATTCTTTACCTTTCTGTTTCACCTATCAATTTATTGATTGTACAGAATCCACCATCGATTCCAGCGATGTTCACCGCGTTGATAATTGCGAAAGTTCGAGGTGCACGGTTAATTGTCGACTGGCATAATTATGGATATTCGATGTTAGCACTAAAACATGGTGCAAAACATTGGATTGTTCAACTTTGTCAACGTTATGAGTTCTTTCTTGGACAATTAGCGAATATCAACCTGTGTGTGTCAGAAACCTTTGCGCAGAATCTCAGTGTACACATGATCAAGTAAATTGTCGTAGTTAGTAATTGATTTGGAATGGATTGTTTTGCTTTTTAGAGCATCGGTTTTATACGACAAACCAACAAACCAGTTCCACGTTCTTACTAACGAAGAAAAGCATCAAATTCTTATTAAAATGTTTACCAAATACAAATATACACAATTTCAAGGAGAGTACGTTTAAATATGAAAAAAATCTTTTGAATTTTCATTGTGAAAAATAGATCAGAGGAGTCATCGCGATTTATTCACGAAGATAAACAGAACAATATTGTTTTTGCACCTGATCGACCAGCTATTGTTGTTAGCAGCACAAGTTGGAGCGAAGATGAAAAATTCGAATTACTATTCGATGCTTTGAAAAGTAGTTTTCAAGTAAAGGAAAATTGGAATGAATTCGCGCTATCATTTAGGATATGGTTCACATGAAAAAACAAAATTGCCATCGATTGTTTGTATTGTTACTGGTAACGATCCCATTTGCATATAAATATTGATGGAAATATATGAATGAATTCTTTCAGGGAAAGGTCCGTTAAAAGAACAATTCGTCGATAAACTCGAACGTGAACGTGCTCAATATCCACACGTGGAGTTTTGTTTTCCTTGGCTTGACGCTGATGATTATCCACGATTGTTAGGTATGCTAGGCAGATATTTCATGCTCAACTAATCTTTATTCAATTCAGGCTGTGCGGACATTGGTATCAGTCTTCATCAATCATCGAGCGGATTCGATTTGCCAATGAAAGTTGTCGATATGTTTGCTGTAGGTGTTCCAGTTTGTGCAGTTCACTACGATTGGTATGTTTTCAACAAGAGCTCTTATTGTAATCAAATCAACTTCTTTTGAATAGCATTGGTGAATTGGTCAAACGTGATCAAAATGGAGTGATTTTTGAAGATGCTGACGATCTTTGTGAACGATTAGAAGTTAGTAAATTGAAATTAATCAGAAATATTATTATTCTGTACTGTCTGTTCGTTTAGAGTCTACTGCACGGTTTTCCAGATAATTGTCCGAAGCTGAACAGTTTGAAAACTAATTTGATAGCTACATTACCGAATGAGAATTGGTCAAAGGAATGGGATTCCGTCTTGAAACCATTACTCAACTTATAGAACATTGTCCATCGTCCGTTTTTCTTTCCCTTGATATTTTTTGTTAACATTTTCTCTTCCACTGTTTCGTTTTACCTGCTTGGTTCGATAGTAGAACATATGAAAACAAAACCGATGATATGTGAACAGTTGAAACGTTTTTGCTATTGCTTGAAATGGCGATATGAAAAGAAATAAACTTATTTAATCATTTAAAAATATATTTTATCATGGCATAATAAGAAGATAATCGAATTCCGGAATTAGACTTTAGTTCTTCTGCCGACAAATCTCTGTTAGACGGTGGTTTTGTTTTCCGAGAATTATAGAAATAAGTTATTCCACCGTGCATAAAACCTTTTCGGTAAGTCAATGTTTGTGTTGCGCGTGAAAGTCTTTTTTTTGCCATGTCATCCTGTAGATGGCATTATTTTTCAAGACAAATGCTTGTTGTCATGCACTTTTATATAATCTTATTGCAAAAAAGGTAGAGTTCAGGTAACAACGTCAATAATGAAGTTGTCTATCGAATGTATGACAGTTCAATAGATTAGCCGATAAAAGTAGGAAGACAAATTTCTATTTTCGTAGAATCTGCATCGCATCGATGAATTCTTAAACAGATTTTCTCCCAAAAAGCATCGTGTTTTTTTCTCTATTCTATTGATATTCCTCCGTTTGGCGGCGTTTTAATTGATTAATGGAGAAGTATAAGATATTAAAGCAGCTTGGTGATGGAACGTACGGAAGTGTATTACTTGCCCATGTAAACGAATCACCACAAGATAAAGTGGCGATCAAACGGTGAGATTGATTTTTCTTGTTGGATTTCATTCGACTTTCGATGTCTTGATTTGTAATTTAGAATGAAAAAGAAATATTGTAAGTCGATTCATGCACTAGATTGAGTGGAAAGAGAATGTGATTGTTTGTTTAGATTCTTGGCAGGAATGTATGGATTTGAGAGAAATTAAAGTAGGAGGAAAAGGAAGGCTTTTGGTCAGCGGCATAGATGAAGTGTTGTTTTAGGCTTTGCAAAAGATTCGCCATCCAAATGTGATTAAATTAAAAGAAGTTATTCGAGAGGAAAACAATCTCTATATGATTTTTGAGGTAATTTGCTTGAAGAGGTTTATTCACGATTGCAGATGAGCTTGATTTAGTATATGAATGAAAATCTTTACGAATTAATGAAAAAACGGTAAAAGAACTCGATTGATTTCATAGTGATCATTTTTGTTTTGAATTCATGTATTTATAGTGATCGACTATTTCCTGAAACTAATGTTCGAAATATCATATTTCAAATTTTGCAAGGCTTATCCTATATGCATAAATTGGGTAAGACAATCGACGATGTCTAGTTTATATAGGGATTTTTTCTAGGCTTCTTTCATCGTGACTTAAAACCAGAAAATATCTTGTGCAAAGGTGTCGAATTGATTAAAATAGCTGACTTTGGCCTCGCACGCGAACTTCGTTCAAGACCACCGTATACCGATTAGTAAACATCTACTTCGAAATTTCAAATCGATTATAATAATCGAACACTTTAGTGTATCCACACGATGGTATCGTGCACCTGAAGTCCTTCTTCGCTCGACTTCCTACACCTCTCCAATTGATATATGGGCAGGTTAGAACCCGTCTTCGTCTCTTGGTATTTCAATCTTCAATGTATGTACTCGTTCTAGTCGGATGCATCGCAGCAGAAATATACACACTGAGACCATTGTTTCCAGGCAGTAGTGAAATCGATCAAATGTTCAAGATTTGCGCTATCATGGGCACACCGACACGAGTTCGTTGGAGACTATGTAGAATCTTGAGGATGTTCGCAAAATTTCTAGGACGAATGGACGGAAGGATACATGTTAGGAACGAAGTTATCATTCCGTTGGCCACAATGTGCTCGAACAGACCTGAAAAAGATTATCCATAGTTCGAATAATGACGGGATCGACTTAATTAATGCAACATTAAACTGGGATCCTAAACGACGGCCAACTGCTATACAAGTACAGTAGACCTTTCTTATAGAAAAGTTGAAAGTCTTTCGAGTATTTTTTAGTGTCTCAAACATCCATATTTCAAAGTAACTCAAGATCTAATAAGCGGAGCGCCCACAGCAAGTTCATATGGATTTACCGACCGCGATTCGCCATCGGCAAGCTCAGCTAGAACTTCTGATTCAAAGGATATTTTTACAGACAAATGGAATACAGATGGAGTAAGAGAAAATCCATTTTAAAAAATCCGTTTTCCTTATTTATTCATACAGTCTAAATATTCACGTTCATCTTTAGAATAAAACTCCAGCAACTGTTGATGATATGCGAGATTTGGATGTATTACTAAAAGAAATTGAACAATCAGAAAAGTCGAATATCAAAGAGAATCACTTTAAAAAACCAGCTATACCAGTTCCTAACTTGTCACAAACGAAACACGATGCACCATCCTCCGATAGTCGACAAGGATATCAACCTAAACCACACTTTTCCTATGGATCTCAACCACATCGAGCCCCACCTTTTAAACCACCGAAGGTCTCAATAGAACAATCGTTTGATTTCGATGATATCTTAAAAGGTCATTCCATTCAACCACAACAGGCGTCGAAAGCTTTACGCCCAATTGTGCCTGCGAAGAATTCCGCATCATCAGCAAGAAGAGACAGTTTGACAGAGTGGTTAAACGACGATCGATTAACAACTAAAACTCACACGAATCAACCATCTAATATGTTTTCGAGTAAACCAGCAGCTCGGTCAGATCTTGATGATTTATTTTCCGATACCCATACTCGAGATCAAAGCGCATCGAAGGCGCCACTAACAATAACGAAAACATCAGCGAAGCAATATTATTTGGGGAATTCAAGGTATAAGCCAGGTAAACACTCCTCAACCTTTCTGATGAAGTAAAATACTTACTCGCGATATTGTCGAAGGTATTAATGCCAAACAACCGTCGCGTAATGATGGCTTCAATTGGCTTTTGGATCCATCAGATAATAGTAATTCTGCGTGTATGCCCTATTTCTTCTAGAATAAGTTTCACCTATGTACATATTCTCTTTAGCTCGTGGTCCTAAATTGTCATCCTATGCGCCGACGTTTGGCGATCAGAGAAAACGTATGTTTTCCAAATTGCTTTGTGTTTTCACATTGTATTCATCTGTACCAATTCCTTTAGCGCCAGCCCAACAGACTCCTTCATTTTTTGGTGATCTCTCACGGTAAGCTTTCTCCCATGTTCCTATTCTTCTTCATATTCGTCTGTCTTCTAGTTTCAATTAACGACCATATTTGATTGGTTTTTCTTTTCTCATACCGAAACTCAAACTTACCTATTTTCTTTTTTCATTTTCTTACATATACAAAAGTTGATTTATTTTCACATCGTTACTCGTCTTCTCATGTTTGACATACATATATTTATTGATGCATGTACTAAGCAAACGCTGTGGCTCTTTTCAAACAATACTCTGTATGCAAAATTAATAGAACATTTGTTTCATTAACAAGCGAGATCAGTATTCAATAATCTCATATTTTTCTAGAAATATGTATTATTTTTCTTCTTCTTTTCGTGTATTGTTTTACTGTGCTCGTAACAGCAGGTGACAATTTAGAAAAACTGACGAGTAAATGTTTTGCTTGTTCGATAACGAATAATTCATGTTTTTCTTTCTCATGTTTAATAAATAATCGTCTTGACATCAACGGAACTTTGATTCAATCATGTTGAGCGAATGACCGATTTTAGTAGAAATATTATTCTAATAGAATAAAAACAAAAACAAAACAAACATCACATTAGAAGAGTTCATTCGAAGAACACAGTCGGCGGATCTGTATTCATCGGGTGTCGATAAATCAATGCTGCTTGAGAATATGGTACAGTTGATTGTTGAAGATCGAACGGTGTTAACGATTGTTGACGTATTCGGGTTGATCGTGTGGTGATCGGACCTCTGGTGATTGAATTTTGTACACGTCCTCGCGTTGATGCTATTGTTTTATTTTGTTGATTTGTCGGAAATGCGTTAAGACTAACAGTATTGCGATGAATTGTGTTTCGAACTACCGGCGGTGGTGGTAACGGTTGTGTTGGCCGATTGCGACCGATAACTAGAGGATCAAGAATTGAACTTGACGGTGCGATATAGTGCAATGATGGAGATGATGTTGACTGTTGCTGTTGTTGCTGAAGACGACTAGGAGAGGACAATGGTTGTTGAAGAACAAGACGAGCTGTTGGTAAAGATACTGCTTCAATTGGTGATAATTTTTGTGCCACGCGTAAATTTGAGTTCATTGAAGGTTGTGATGTACGTTTGTATTGAATATTAGAATACCGTCGATTATCATAATTTAATTTAACACGCGACGCGGCCTGCTGATTCGATGTCGCTCCTGACGTCCGATTCAACTGATTGTTCGATGCAGTTCGACTTACCGTCATGGTTGATGGAGGCGCACTGGATGTAGCTGGTGCCGTAGAATTTGATCTAAAGAAAAACATCAATCAGTTAGAGAAATACCTAAATAGAAGGCGAACTTACTGCTGCTGTTGTGAATTTGTCGATAATGTACTTGTACTGTTTGTTGTTCGATATGTTTGTGTCACTCTCTGTAAGTATTGTTGTTGTTTACCACGGTTAACTGTATTGGATGAAACTTGTGACACAAGTGTACGAGTGTTGCCCATTCGATTGCGCTGTTGTCGTATCTGATGTTTGAAATAATCACGTAATGTTTGTAAGTTCTTGAATGTCGAATGAGTAACACGCGTAAATGGATTTCGTCCAGGAAGAATATCAATCGCAGCCAGAGCACATGCTTTTCCAACATCACGGTAATGTTCAATAGTAAATTTTGGTGGCAGCGAACAAGGAGTTGGCGGTGATATTCGCCCGCCGTGTGCTTCATTCTCGGCGGGTGCTATTGCATTGCATGATTTACCTACGGCATAGGAACATTCGAGTGTATACGAATGAAGTATACCAAAATGTTTATTCAAAGCGACACGGCCACTGCCTTCTTTCGATAGACCTTCCCGTCTATCCTTCATGTACATGTTTTTTATTGTAAAATTACAATTATCATAATCGAAATGCGGAGAATTTAATGAGATTAATTTTGCATAGAGAATGTTATTCGTATGCTGATCGTCGTCAGGTAAATGATTTCCATAGATGAAACATCCTGAGAACAAAGAAAAGAAGAGTGCGAGTGTTATGAAAATGAGTTCGTTTACCTTTTTTGGATGCATGACCGTGTAAATCCATGTAATAAGCAACACCACTTTCATACGGTGAGATTTTGAGAAAGTCAGGATTCGCTAAATGCGGAGATTTCGGTTCTTGAGCACCATTGTCATTCGGATCAGCTGAGCACATATCATCATCGTCATCTGAACCTTCGTTTCCTTGAAAATAGAAACCAATTCTAAAAGATACCCTCGATCATCTTTCTGAATATCTACCCCTTATTTGATTTCGAAGATTTCCTTCATCCATATCATCGTCATTAGTGACAGCGTATAGATCTTGCTGAAGCTCTAAATTTTCATTCACATAATGAAATGCATACGGTGACGAACGTTGAATCTCATCATCATCAATATCTGAAGGAACAACCGGAGCTAAGCCATTCTCTGCCCGTTCCAGGAAGAATGGTCGATTATCTTCCTGTATTGGTCGGTCATCCAAAGATAACTCATTGAATGCATGATAGTTCAATGTCGTTTTCGTTTCCTGTTGAAAATGCATTTGTCTCGCTGTTGATTGATCCTATCGAAGAATCAAACCAAAACTCTGAGCGAAACAAAGTCAAGCAAGTAGTTACATGAATCTGACTGTTATTGATCAGTTGTTCAATACTTTGTGTATCTGAATTTGGTTGATCTGGAACTATGAAATCTTTGAAGATGTTTTGAACAGTTAAAATCGGTTGTGGTGATATGCAATTATTAATATGATGGTAGGCGATTAAACTTTTCGCAGCGTATATCGACGGATGTCTGTCGAAATCGGGATCGAGGTACATACGATTAAGATTTACACCGAATTGATCTGTGCGATAATGACCAAGTTGAACACCGTCGGGATTTAGAATAGGCACTAGTTTAAAAATAAACAGATCACGGAGTATCCGAGCACGAGGATCATCAGGTTTGAGAATAAAATCAAGAAAACCAAGAAATACGTAGGCGGCAGGCGTTTCACCGGGATGAACGCGACTTGAAAGGAAAAAGACACGTTTATTCCGAAATTGATGTGGTCGCTTGGTAGTATTGGGACAATCCGGAAACAATTTTCTATCAAAATGATGCTCGCGTTCTTTTGTTATACCTTTGTACGATGTTATCGTCAGTAAATCGAGTTTATTTTTATCACAAGAGTAACACAATGTTTCTCGATGATAGTAAATATCTGAACCATTGATAGGCATTGATGGCCGCTCTAAATAATGATTAGCTAATTTCGAATTGTATAAATTATCGTAGGTGTTCAACAATGTTTGCATATCGTCATACGAATGAGGAAAACAGAACGCAAAATAGGTTATTGAATTTTTCGCATCGACCATCCGATGTATGAATGACAATTTGAAATCTTCATTGAGCACTTCCCAACATGGACGAATGTAGATACGTGCCCATTTTTCATGGCCAGGTACCGTTCGAAACACTGGTAACATTCCCATTTCGAACAGGCGTGCTTGTCGATTTAAGTTCATGATATTGAATCGAATACACTTTCCATGGCCACCTTTCACTCCGAAATAGAACCAGGAACGATTTCCATTGACTTTCGTTGTTCCTTCACAATCGCGTCGTGTCCAAACATTAAACTCGATATCATGCTTCGGTAATGGATGACTTATTGTATTTACAACGGCTTCTGTTGCTTGATTGTTATTGTTTGAATCAGTTTCCGTAGGATTGGTTGGGATCGGAGGCGCTGTGATGGACGAAGTAACACGTTCATATCGGAGCATATTACCAGAATCGAAGTTGGCGAATAACTGAATCCCCGATGATGATGATGAAGTAGTAACATCATTTGAAATCATTTTTCAATCTTGATGATTGATGAAAACAATTGAAACGAAACTGTTCAAGGTATGCATTTCATCATAGTATTCTCGATCTATGGAAACGGCCTTGGCTAGCACCTATTTGGCATGTACATTCTGCTAGTTTTTGTATGTTTTCCGATGAAACTTAAATAGAAAAATTGCAAGATATCAATTTTCCGGATATGAATAAATCGTGTAGATGTCGCTAGTGACACACGATCCAAATGTGTTCTATTTATTGATCGAAAGCAACCAACCACAATGGAATACGCCTAGATAATTGTCATGTGATGATGCCATGTTTGACAGAAATATAAACGAATCTGTGTGTTATAGATAAATCTCATTTAGTGCATTAGTATAGAAAAAGACAACGATAATCTTCGAATCTCTTGTATGGCTTATTGTTTCTCGATTGAGTTCAACGATAATTTCGCTCTCAACAACTTCCAATCGTTTGAAAAGTATTCTTCACCATTAAAACGTTCTTATTATTAAACAAAAAGTATGAAACTACTTGAAAATTCCAAACTCGAAGCAATTAGCTCAACACTTTCCATTGCAACACCCGTGTGTGACATCACAACTCGGTAAGTTCATCAAAGCATTTCTTGTTTCAGAAATCAATATAAATATATTCTAGTGCGGAAAGTTATTCATGTAAAATGGCCGGTGATCCCAAGAAACTCTACAAACAACTACGAAATGAACCAGGAACGTCACCACATGATCTGGAAGTTCTCGGTCCGTCGCAAACAAAATCACATTCGTATAATTCAAGTTTTCTAACAACGCCACCCCCACAAGATGTTCATGCCAACCCAATTGCTCGTTCAATCTCGAGCGATGACGAATCTCCATTAGCCAAAACAATACCACGGAAGACACTGATCTATTTGATATCAACATTGAATGCGACATTTCAACCTGATTATGAATTCAGTTCATGTACAAGTCAAGATTTTAGCCGAGAGACAAACTTCGAAGTAAATTGCTTCCATTAACACTCGCTTTCGTCTATGAGTTGTTGTTTCAGTTAGTGAAGACTGAAGTGGATTCTCGATTCCTTTCCAGTATTGGTGATTACTATCGATCATTATCTTCACAACTCTGGTCGATCATCGACGACGAAATCAATATCAAGGAAAGTGAAATCTTCAGGTAGGAAATCATTTGAATGTGCAGTAATGAAAAGACGAAGAAGTATGCGGTCTTGATTAGTTATCGCCCAGATGGCACATCGGATCCATTCTCTGAAAGTGGAATAATCTGGTCATTGAATTTCTTCTTCTACAATCGAAAACTTCGTCGGATTCTCTTTCTGACCTGCCGAGCAGATTGTAAAACATCAACAAATGATGATAATGACAATGAACATGAAGGCTTAGATCAAAACAATTATTTGACATTTGAAGGGTAAGAATTGAATTTCTATTTCATCATAATTTTATTTGTCTGCTTATTTTCTAGTGTCATGGATTGATCTGAAGATCGATTGATTATATCATCCGGTTCTGCACTAACCCATTTACGAACCTGTGATGTTCAATTTCATTTTAGAAGTTCTTTCCGATGCATTCGCTTTGACAAAACCTTTCTTTTGATCATTTCAACCGATAATCAACATGCATCGACTCCCAACTTTTCTTCTCAATATTGTACATTAGCTTGTTGTTACATTTTTTCTTGTCATAGTGACATACAAAGTTGTACATAGTCATCGGAACATCGAACAAAAAGTGATGTGCTCGAACGAAAGTTCATTGTATGTCTTTGTAGATAGCGTATGAATAAATAGAAGTCAGAAAACGAAGATCAATATTTCGATAGAGAATCATCGAGACAATCAGTTTATTTCAATAAGACTTTGATTCTGATTTAACATACGAAAATAATAGTGAAATCACAAGAGAAGAAAAGTAAAGTAAAATTCCTAGATTGAAAATAAAATCATCGAAGGAAAATTTCATTGTCTTTGCCATTTGGTTTATGACGAGTCAATACGTAGTAAAACTTGATAAAGTATTTTGGGAAAAAAGCGTTGTAAGTATATGACTATCGCTGCCGAACGACCTACATAGATTTCATGCTTACGAGCAGCCACTCCATGTAGTATATTATTTGCGCATACAATCGGGTCGGTGCCTTTTTCCGTTTGTGGATCCATCTTTCTATGCAATCGACCGGATCCTTCGAAAGCGTTGATTGAAACATCTGTCTTGACAAAGCCCGGACACACCATTGTGACATCGATATGGTCACGCGTATGTTCCAATCGAAGAGAATCGAAAAATCCATGCAAAGCGTGTTTAGAAGCCGCATATGATGAACGTAATGGTGTGCCGACATAGCCCGTTGCCGATGTTACCACAACATAATGTCCTGATTGACGTTCCATAAAATGCTAAACAAAAGAGAATTTGTTTTTGAAACTTTTCTTCCACTTGTTTTTTTTTTCTCCATACCGGTAGAACTGCTTTACTTAAGGTAACTGTACCTAAGTAATTAATGTTCATTAATCGTGAGTCAACTTGATATATTGTGTCTTTGATCAAACTTCGTTGAGATATACCAGCATTGTTGATTAAAACATCAATTCGCTTGAACCGATCGAGAACAAGATCAACTTTACTTTGAAAACCATGGGTGTGGGATTCGAGATCGAGTGGTAAAACAAGACAATGATCAGAATCAAGGTTGAGTTCCTTCGCTAATGAATGCAATTCTTCTTCACGTCTTGCTGATATAATCAAACGAGTGGTTGGCGAAAGACGAACTAATTCTTTCGCTAACTCCCGACCAATACCTGACGATGCACCTGAAATGAACGTGTTGATTAGAATTAAATCGATCTGACATATTTATACTAACCAGTGATCCACACAACTTTATGCTGGAAGTATTTCTCGATGTTGTCATGTAAAGGGTATACAAAGTAGGCAATGATGGCAACAATACCAAAATAGAGAACGATTTGGAAAAGAATATTAAAGAACTCAATCATAATTCTAAAAATATCGAAGAAAATTACTCAACGTTGCCATTCTTCACAAGGAATAAACAAATGATGATTTGCTACACACAGTATTCAGTACGTATTTGAGTTTGAAAAATTCCGACCAACCGTTTTAAAAATAGAACTATTAATGCAAACGAGAACATCTCACTTAACCACACAAATCTGTCGTACGTTTTGTACGATCAACATTGTAAAAGGAGAACAGGTATACACGCCCTCTTTCGTATTCATTTTTAAAACAGAAATGAGGTCGCTACCGTATTCTTCAGTGTCATGAGTTAGTTATTTTAAAAAGTGAAATCCTTTGTCTATTCCAAGAGAAAGGCACAAAAAAAGGAAGAATGAAAATGCTTAAAAAGAAGTTATTGTTTGATTGAATAGTTATTATGTGTAATTGATGAACTTGACACTTGTGGACTAATTGAAAGACGAGGAACGAGCTGTTGACTAGATTGAACAGGTAGTGTTGTTATAGTCACACGAGGAACTTTTGTAGTTTTTGATTGTTGTCCATGAGAGGCTGGTTGAGGTGGCGATAATAAACCATGTCTTGTTGTATTTACGTATTGATTATTAATGTTCGAAGGACGGGCAGCTGATGATCGGCGATTTTGACCAGTAGAACGTTGTTGTGAGTGAGATGAACGTCTGGGATCCGTTTGTTGAACGATCTCTGATAGACGTTCGGTTTCATTGTCGATTTCTTGGTTTCGTTTTAAAAATGAACAACGAGACCATTTACATACGACAACAATGAGAATAACCATTGCAACAGATATAACACCAACGCATATTCCGACCAAATCACGTGAGAGGGTTGTTGAAGATGTATCTTCCGATTCCAAAATATCGAATTCAGTCACTAGGAGAAGTAAATCATAGCTTTGATCAACACGAATCATCAACTGTGGACATACTTATTTGCTTTTGACGTTGTTTTTCTTCGAAACTTAAAGAAAAACTTCTTTGTCGAGAATGAATCGAAAGAACGAGAAAACACTAAGCGTCTAGAACTTCTAGACTAATCTTTTCTTTTCGTTATTATATGTTTACGAATACCGGCTAGGCGTGGTTGAGCACGTACGTATTTATCTTTTTCTTCTGTTATTACGCATCGACATGAAATTAACTGATAGACAACGAACAATAGAAGAATGTTCACTCGATGATTCATTAGTTCTTTGTTATAACAAACGCTGAAATTATGTTTGCAACTGAAAAGAAAAGCCGTTTAATGAGTTCCAACGACGACATTGATTTTTTCTTTTAGCAAAATGAATAATCTGAATTCAGCCTTTCATTAATTGCTATCCCTCGACCGAACAGAAAGAACTTTTTCATTGTTATACAAATGCCGTCGTTCAAAGATGTTCAAGTAAATAGAAATGCCGATAAATATATTTGGATACATTCGACCATAAGGTTTTACTAGATAAATACAATAACAACTACGATGAATTCATGTTCTTTCTTTTACATACATGACTATAAGAAGAAAAATTTGAAAGAAGATATTTTTCGAGAAAAGAAGAAAAAGGAGAAGAGGCGTATGATCATCAAAGATATCGACTAGGCCAAGACATGCATGTTACTCAGTTTGACTCATTTTTACACGAGCATATTGCATAAGAAACAAAATTGGAGTTTGACATGAAGAAGAATTATAATAAAATCTATGAAATATACATATAAACGGAGAAAATGTGTCAAAATATAACCAATTCATAAGAACGGCTTCTTATATACAGATATTATCAATCACTAGGCGAGTCGCTGTTATTACCAGATGATGAAGGTCCATTTACTGGCGAGCCTTCATCATCGCCACTGAGACCAGTCAAACCGTCGTCTGATTTCTGGGCGGAAGTTGGAGGTTCGAACTGTGCATATTGTCTGGCGGAATTTTTCTGTTTGACTTTATCTTGTTTTCTCCAGAGAACGATTTCCTAAAGTGAAAGAATAGGAATCGAAGAGGTGAAATCGAAGTTCTACTTGTTGCTTGAAATAACGTCGTTCTTCTTCGTCGACAAGAACTAAATTGAGAAAATATCGAACGGAGAACTTTCTCTGAATATCTTTCATCGTCGGTGTTAAATCGTATCCGCCCAAGAAAAGACGAATTGGAATACTTTCACCTAAGAGAAAAACCATTCATTCAGTTTTCGTTGAAATAAGCCCGTAATTGACTTACCGCGAACAGGTGCACCATCCATTATCTCATATTTGGCTACGGTTTCGGTTTCAGCATAGATATTCGGGCCATTTCCGGTTGTTTCCTTCTTCAGAATTGCAATTTCCATGTGTTTGATTTTGATACGGACAAGTAGAAAATAAATTTTTCCCACAATTACATCTTTCAGATGATACCTACACAGACAAACAATTCAATTACGGATGAGCTCAAATGACAAAATCAACTTACTTGGATTTGTTATACTCGAATTCAATATGTAAACAGTCTTCAATTCCCACTTCCATTTTAATACTATTATTTACTTCCGGAAATTGAGATAATTGCTGAACGCATATATCACGTTCGGCTACTGTGTTAGTAAAGCGACGTATGATCGTTAAACGAAGAAAATATCTAAACGAAGCAATCAAATATTCGATGTGCATACTGGATATGCCTTTACCTTAATTTCACGTTGATACCAATGTAAGACTCATACGGTTTTTCCACATTCGGAAAATGAAAATCTTCGAGGAAAAATAGAAAACATTTCCTTCTTGATTGAACGAAAACAAAATGAACAGTACCTATAGATGTGTTTTCGGTTAATTCACCAGGAAAAGCAAGTAATTTTGATAGATTGATAAATTCGTGTATCGTACTTCGATCGTTCAGCATTTCTAAGAAAAAAGGAATTTGATATGTATTCCGTTAATTCTCTAAGACGGGGTCATATGCTTCTCGTTTGAATAGAAAATCTTCCTTTTCTTAGTTACATTCAAAACATCTACGCACCAATCTGTCCGACAAACTCCAAACGAATGCCTTGATGTTCAACTTTGTTGTTTTTCTTCAGTTTAATCTGCACCTAAAGATAGATACTCGTTAGATCAGCTAAAACTGAAGACAAAGTTTATATACCATTCCTCCAACATCTTCACCATCGTAGTAAATATACTGTAAAGCTCGTTTACTATTATCATCGAGTTTAACTTCAATTTGCTTTCGTTGACCTTGCGGATCCAACAGAAAATCGACATCAACTTTTGATCCCAAACCTAACAGATCCATATGTATATGACTAAATATAATCTAGAAATCAAATCGAAAAAAAAAGAGAAAAAGAATGAATATGTTTCGATAGATAAAGTTCTTTTCTTCTTTGTTTTGCTTAAACTACGAGAAAAAGGAGAGAAGAAAAAAGAGACAAGTGATTGAAAAAGTTTATTGGTAAGGTGCCGCTTGTGCGGAATCGTAAGCACAGTGATCTTTATTTCGGACTTGTGCTAGATATTCTTCATAAGTTATCGACGGACCATGTTTACTTTCGTCATAATATTTCTTTTGAATGAACTTTCGACCACTATAGCCACAACTGTGTACGATAGGTTTGTCCTAAATTATTTGTACAAAAAGAATTCAAATTGAATAAAGACTCCTCTTTCGTGTGTGGATCTTACTAGGTTAATGTACACTTTTGGATGACCTAGAGGACCGCCACTGTCTGACCATACGCCGCGTGCTCTACACACAACGACCGGATCATCGCGAACATAATCGATGGCAAATCTGGTGTTTACCTTAAAAAAAAAACAAGTGTCATGAGTAGATTTTCAAGCGGTTGAACAAACCAGTTTTCCTTTATTAACAAAACGAATATTTCGATAATCATCCTCGTCGAAAGCTTGACCAGTGTGTGTTTGTGTATTTGGTGAGCGTAGATCTCGATTAATGGGAACTGTTACTCGTTTTTGGTCCACATCTTCTTTTCGATCGTATGTTTTGACATATTTTTCATTGGATGATTGGCTTGTTGTTGAAGCACCGGATGTAGCCGCGGTCTTCCAAACTGACATGCAACGGCGTGAGCCGTATCGTAGAAATAATAGAGACATCTAAAATAGTCTTAATCAATTATCGTCGTATCTTTCTTCTTGTTTGTGTTTATGAATGATGATGAGGATGGTGATGACGGCAGACGGCACCAATGGGATCGTTTCTGATTGGTTCGTCTTTCGATCAATAGAAATAGCGGCAGAAACAGCTATCGATCTTGTCAGACATCTAGCCTTTCAGAAGAAAGTATGAGATAACTCATCGTTTGTCAGACTCTTCTTTACTTATAGACGATCGAAAAAATAAATAGTCCTTTTTATAATTTTTTGAACAATGTACAATTTTGTTCTTGAATGGTGTACATGCTGAGTAAAAGGACATTTTCAAATGATGATTTATTCATCATTATTTGTAATCGATTCGGAGACGCTCAATAAACAAAGATTGCTCGTGTGTGCGTTGCTTATGATATTTTTCAAAAGCATGATTTATCTTTAGTGAAATTCTATAAATAACCTCTAAAAAGTCATCAGAGATTTCGTCGTTAAACAAATGACCTGATAGAAAATACCCGCGCAAGTTTCCTCGAGAAGACTTCTAAAAAAACAAAGAATGATTCCATTTCCATAGATACTTATGACAAAAGTTGTTTTAAGAGAGAAAAGAAGGCGAGAATTAGTAATCATAGTGAGAAAAAACGTTTATTCTAGCATGACTAATGACACAAGTGTATTTCATCATGTCTGTTTTCCTAGTTGATATAAAATATTTTCATTTGTATGAATGATGCTGAACTTCAAACGAGATGTTTATTGGATACACGACTGAAAGCAATACTTTAGTGAATACATAAACATAGAGCGAATTGACGAGTCTTCAAGAGGCTGACATGTTTTTGTTGTTTGACGAGGACGAGAGGACCTCATTTCTACGATCATTAGAAAGAACAACAAAATTCCGAGAACGACTATTGAACTCTATTCTGTCTCTCTTTTGTGTTCATCGATAAAGTCAATTGTTTCTATTGATTTTGACAATAGATCAACTTTCGACCGTTGCAAAGAGTGATCTACAGTAGACATGTTTGTTTTCAGATGAGTTCGATCATCTTATCTTGATTTTCTCTTTTTTTTCTCTACAAAAAGAAAGAAAAGAAACGGAAATCAACAGTTGCCTTTCAGTGTCAATTACGGTATGGGTGCTTGCAACCATTATACAAAAATAGATACACAAAAACAAAAGACATGAAGGGAAGAAGAAAAAAAAAAGACAAAAGAAGAAATTAAAAAACGAATATTTCTTTTCTCGTTTACATAATTAAACATTTTTTGGTTGTCGTTCGATTGGGTGATGTATCGGATGTTGCCATCCGTTTCGGATCCACAGCCAAATCTTTCTTGATATTATTTGTTGACGTACTCGATGTTGACATAACTGATGTACGACTGGATTTCGTTCCGGGAGAAACGGGCGTTGTCGGACGGGTTAAAACGATATCAGTTACATTCGGACTACTTCCACTATTGATAAGGGTCGATGCCGATCGTTTGCCTCCGTGCAACGATGGAGATGATGGGATTGGAGTATTACTATTATCGTCGATTAAATGTCCGTCTTGATCAACATTGAAATTGAACTGTCTTTTCTTATCTAGTTTCAAAAGTTCTTGGAATGCTTCGCGAATGTTTGCATTGTTTTTCGCGGATGTCTCTATCCATGCACATGACCAATGCGAGGCCAATTGTTTACCGAGATTCTCGGTCACTTCACGACATGCTGTTTCGTCGGATTTACAGCCCATGAGAAGAATGGGCGTTTCATTCTGCTGATCAGCTTTAATCTCTCGAATTTGAGTATAGATCGGTTTCAAATCTTCCAATGTTTGTTTACTCGTTACCGAATAAACCAAAATAAACGCATGTCCTTTTTGTATACTTAATCTTTGCATGGCTGGAAATTGATGTGCGCCAGTGCTAATAAAAAAACAGGCAAATTAGCATGAGTAGAAAAGAAAAATGTTTTATTAGATTTTACGTGTCGGTTATTTGCAACGTTGTTATTTGCTTATTACAAGATACTACTTGTCGGTAGGTATCTTCCACAGTCGGAATATAATTTTCACGGAACTGTCCATTGACAAATCGAAGGACACAATTGGTTTTACCTGGAATAGTTCATGGGAAAAAAGAATGTCAATCTTTTGTTGGCTCAACGAGAGTTATCTTTTGTACATACCAACACCAGCACTGCCAAAGACAACGATTCGATAGTCTGTACTCTGATCGGGCATAGCCCGAAAGGGTGTAGACGAATCTTTATTTGGCTAGAAAAAACATCAAAGAAATTATGTCGGCTGAACTTCGAAGAGAAACAAATAATAGATGATCATTTGAAATATGTCTCTCAGCTGTCAAGTGTCTTTCCTTAGAGAGATTCATCAACAGAGAAAGAAAGAGAATGAACGAGTCGAAGGAACAGCACAGCAAAGGCAAAGCCATTGAATGCTTTCGAATTTATTTCGAATTTTCCCTTAGTTCTTCACACTTATAAACATCCTTATCCTTTACTCCTCACACGTCATCAACAAGCAACCCGTCACTTTTGTCGTCGTTCTCAAGAGAACATAACAAATGCATACTCATTCTCTCTTTGATTCCAACAACATATAACTAGAAAACATACTAGTACTCTCACGCTGTTAATTAATCTCTGACATTTTCTTCTTCGGTTACTACGTTGTTTTCCTCTTCTATTTTCTATTTTGTCTATATACATATATACCAGGTGATATGGATCCTTATTTGTTCTATTAAGTTAATAAAGGCAAAGTAAAATGCAACTGAGAGAAAATGGTCGAGTTTCAAACATTATATAACACGGCGGTTTTTCTTCTATTCACAGAAGAACAAAGAATGTTTTTCTTGTTAATTCTAATGCCTATGATTTCAAATTTAGGAAATAATATAATGAATATGCATATGATTTAATCATGAAATTAATATATGCACGACTAGTATTTTGCTTTCTTTTTATGCTTTTTTTAATTATTATTGAACTATCTTCTAAGACGAAGGAAAACGTGTAGATTAAATATCATGCATAAATTAGCCGAATCAAGATCGACATGACACATGTTGACAAGAGAGGATTAAATCAAGAATTTCTTGATGAACTTTTGATAGTCGAGTTATTTGATATTGCTATTTTATTAAACATTTATAAACAAAGGCAAATATAATGATATCTGGTACATGTCAATAGAATGTTGCCAATAAGCATTCAGATTCCAGGAACAAAAAAAGGAAAATTGTTTGTCTTACCTTATCAAGTGCCATTGCGTTGTGGTTCAACAGGCAAAACAAAACAATCAGAATTGTTTCAATACTGTGATTATATGACGAATGATAATAGAAAGTACACCCTCACTTTTGCATACACGCACAGACATGTTCACACGCACATCAACGTGCAATGGATGCTTGTCTGAAATTCTCCTATCATCGTTCTTGTTCTTGCTAGTTTTCTCTCTACTTCCTCTTCTCTTTCTCGGTTTTTAGTTGAGTAATAATCACTCAGCAGCAGCAGCAGCATTGGTAGGCAAAGAGAAACGAGAGAAGAGAATAGGAAATGCTACAACGACAAAGAGAGAAGAAGAGACAGCACTATACTTTTTCCCGTAGGAGAACTGACAAAAAAATGCAGAAACATTTTGCTAAAAAAACCTCACTTCCAATTCCGAAGGAAGCGAACAAACGAGCGAGCGAGCGAGCGAGCGAACGAGCAAATGGGACAGTGTGTCTATGAGCGATTTAGGTAATAAGAATAAATGAATGTTAGAAGTTTTATCGACTCGACATATAAAATGCAGATAGACCATACGATCGAGTAAAGAGTCAACACCTTCTTTCTTTCCTTCTTCTCTCCTTTTCTTCCTAGCCGGTTTTCACTTCGTTTAATACTAGTGTTTCTGTTTCTTTCTGCGAGAAAAATGATATGTCATGCATGTAACTAGTTTCTTAGATTCCCTGTTTAAGATTATTAGTATTCATTGCTAGATAGACTTCGACAAGTCGGTAATGCATACAGAACTTGATTCAATTAGATCAATAGAATGTTGATTTGTGTAGTTCTGTTTCTCTCACGTATGACTATGGAAAAGAATTCGTTTGGAGAATTAGTAATGACGTGCTCGTTGTGTCCGATCAAACCGCTCTTCTCGTGCCATAAAAGTGGCCGAAATTTCGAATAACAAATGCCACATCAACTCGATGACGGCAGGCAGTTGATGCATAAAATGAAAAACACACATAATACAGAAGGATCTGATTGCAAAAAGCATATCCATGAATTGTTCATTAGAAAATCTACACATTTCAATACTTGAAGACAAGCGAATGAAAAGCGTTCGATTGCCGAACAACAAGGAGGAGAAAAACGTGAACAAGAAAAAAAAACAAATCTTACTTTTTGAACAAGTTCTTTATTCATTAAATTTAAGAGCTCGCCGTAACGCACGCAATACGCCGAATCTCTCTCTTTTTTTTTAATATATACTCAACTGCTACACGCTTTATTCAAAGGAAAATCTGTCACTTTAAAAAGAGCCCTACAGGTGATACGTTTGCTTATGCTTGGAAAACTTTCTCTTCGCGTTAAATTCTATTATCATATACGAAATTGATAGAGCAGAACAAATGTCGTCAGCAAAGAAAAGACTTTTTCTTATTTCTACTTGCAGGACATTTACCTTGATGCACTAATAGAAGAAGCGCACATACATTTCACTTACCTAAACTAATTTGCGTTGTTGAATTCTTCAAAAAACTGGCCAGTAGCGATCTTCGCCTTGTTCAAGTGTCAACTACGTCTTGTTGATATGGAACTACGCTCGTGTGTATACTCTTGATCAGATCAATAGCAAAAAAGAATAATGTGTGTGTATCGCACTTCTTACATGCGACTTCCGTTCACTGAAGTCTAGTGAGAGAAACACACCTAGTCTCTATTAATGCTTTATTCATGAATATAATTGTTTTGCTTTGTTTTTGTGTCAGTTACCGTTAGTCTAACTTTCCACGGAATTGTTACTCACATATGTAACTGGTTTTTGTTAATATTCTGATCGAATTAATCTTGTGACAAAAACAAAAAGAAAGAGCGATTCTCAGGAGAATACTATGTATTAATATACAAGAAATCTAAATAATGAATTGTTTACAGCGAAAACAATTTGTTTGATCGAAGAAAAATGCGGAGTAAAATATCGATTTTCTGCGAGATTGTCGTACAATGGAATAGAAAAATACGGATTCGCTGTTAATCAACCATGGCAGAGATCTGAATTTCAATCCGATTTATCGATTTTCATTAATTAAATTTTCATGTTGAGAATACTCAAATCTTCTGATTATTTCCGTTCGTCTCGAACATTTATATCGTAGACAACACCTATCGATCCAGGGATAAAGGAAAAGCTCGAAAAACATCCACACCTCGGCAGTCGCAGGTCGTTGAATTCTTTGATTATTTAAAGATGCCGTCGACATTTTTTCTTCTTCTGGTATAGTGTGTCTCTGATAGTTCATTAAGTTACTTCCATTTCATTCTAGTCAAATGTACCCCTAACCTTTACACTTAGTTAAGATATTCTCAACATAGCTGATTGATTGATTCTTCCTGTACTAGTCGGTACGGGTTCAGAATTGAAATCAGCAAATCAATATGAACATGTACGTGCTATTCGAAGTCATTAACTACCAATTGGGGTTCATCTCGAATACAAACATCGATTTCTTTCACACTAAAGTCGGCTGGTCGAATAAATATGATACACTTTGTCTTGGTGTACAGTTTTAGTACTGTATGTGTATGCATCGAGCTGAGATCGGCACTATCTCGAATAAATATCGACAATCACTTGAGTGTATCGAAGAAAAACACGATCATATGATGTTTTTACCGTCATAGCGTGCAAGGTAATTATATGTAAATATAATTAATCTAAACTCAATGAATATGTCATGAAATCGCACTCTTCAAACAGACTATCGCAGATTGAAAGTGGGTTTCAGGTGTTTTTCCTCATGTCAGCTGTTTGCGGAAAAGTCAGACTGAAACTGGAATAGAATAGAATCGAATCGAAAAGGAATGACGCAATGCTTTTCAATGTCGGATACCATCTGCTTTCCTTATCTGCGTCAAACATGCACATTTAAGTAGTTAGATCTTTTTCAAGAAATCAAGAGAAATATTTTCATTGGTTTCATCACACAAAAGAATATTTTCTTGTTCATAATCAATTAATAGTAAGAGAACTGGCACTGAAATATATTCAGTCGATGAACTTCACACGCCTTCTTTCCAACATCCGATCTTTCCAATAGATTTCTTAGAATTTCACGAATCGGATCCTCTAACTTCGATCATTCGCTCTTCGAGCTTTTTCTTTTCTTTTCTAATTAGTTGTCAAACCACTTCAGTCCTAAACGCATGCACTTATCAATCGTGTGGTTAAGTACTACTTTGTCCTCTCTCTTAGTTAATAATCCTCCTCCTCGTCCTCTGACACACTATTCTCTCTAGAATCTCAACATGCAAAACGTAATAAAAAAAAAACTTTCACTCGAGCGAATAGGTTATCTTCATTTTGTTCATTCAAGTAGAATGATCAAGACAACGAATGTTCATTAGAAAAATCGATCTGTTCACGCTAGCGATGGGAGAAAATTCAATTAGATAGAATAGAAGCTCTAATGTTGCTTAGCATTAAACAACCATAACTTACGCCAGGTGAAAATATCATTGCTTTCGATTGACTACGATTCGAACGTCCACATGCACCAGCCATGATTGTATCAAGAAAGAAAATACTGAAACTGAATCGATTTATATTCAGTTTTTTTCATTCGAAGTTATTCATCTACTTACATATGTATTTCTATTGAATTGATTCAAAAAATGATTATTCTTGTCACCATTAATCCGTTGATTCAATGAATAGTTACTTTCTTTTCAAGCTTTGAAAGTGTGTATCGCTATCCGATCGATCACTCAGTAGCACTTTCTGCATATTCAATGTGATGAGGTCAACTATTGGAATCGAATTCACCCAGTTTTCAAATGACGAGTCTTTTTTTATGAAGAAGACAAAGATGATGATGACGATGCTGTCGTTGTTGTCGTCTTTTTTCATTAAATCAATGTATGCTTGCGTGTGTGTTCCCTATTTTTTCTCATTGCTCTTTCACTAGAATTGTGTCCGTCATGAGACAATTTCATGGCAGCAATAGCACAACATGAACACTCCGTTTCTCTTTTTCATATCACAACAGTCTTAGCTCTTTCTTCTTCTTCTTCGTCTCTATTTCTTCTCTCCTTTATCACCATGCATTTGCTTTTCGTGAATCTTATTAATGACGAAAGATCTTTGTTAGTATAGATTGAATAGGAAACCACACAAGAGAATTATATACATGTCGAAAAGAAGAAAAGCAAGATAAATGTAATATGGGACACATAATGACAATTCTCCAAGCATCAGACATTTCTACACCTGACGATATATTTTTTTTCTCTTTTCTGAAAAGCAGTTAGAAAACGAGCGAAGACGTGTGAGAAAAGATTTTGTAAGAGGGCTTATGCTTTATCGTTCTAGAGCAAGAGAGAAACTTTCTTACCGAACACAGACCTCTCTCTCTCTCGATCACAACTTTATTTCTTCAAACGTGAGAACAATGATTAATAAGAAAGAAAAACAAGGTTTACATATCTAATTATGTCATTTGAAGATATCGATATTCTCGCCATACAATGTATAACGGAAATGCTAAACATGGTGTAATAAAAAGTACAATCATAAATATGATCAAACCAATAATGAGTTTGATTCTCGATGGAAGTAATTCGTAAGCGATTCGATGAAATAAATATTCATTGATGATAATAAATAACGCTAAACTAAGTAATAATGAGATGTAATCAATTGACCAGATCAATGTGACAGGATGGATCTGATCTGTCACATAACTCTGTTTAATTGATTCTAATGAACCGTGCATGATAAAGCTAACGAGTGAAATGAAGAAGAGCGGGGCAGAAAGTATAAATAGGCTTATTTGGCAATGAATAATTAAGCGGTGACTATTTATAATCCAGCAGCGTTGCATGGTGCTTGATAACAAACGAAACGGAAACGAAATCAGTGCAAAACCAACCGGAGAGATCAGAAGGATAATTGATAAAATCGACTCCGCCGATTTACTCGATGGAAGAAAGTAGATTAGATATGTCGGTACGATAATCATGCAAATGATATAAACCAATGCAAGGCAAAGGATATCGATAGGTACAGGTGATTTATCTGAATTAGTTTTCAGTTTGTAGAAGTAAATATACGATGGAATGAATAGAATAGGAAAAGCCACGCCGATGCCGAAAATGATGCATATCGTTTGAATGATCATTTGGCCCAGTAGACTGGAAACATTCGTACGTGACGATTCGACAATAATATGCAAAAATACGCTTGCATATGTTAATAAAAGTGAGGTCATCACATATTTATCCCATCGTGTTTCCATCGCATTTGTTGTTATCAAACGTAGAAAGCACAGGGCAGTTGACTGGTCATCGGTTTTGCATTGTTTTAGTAGCGAAGAATTGATATCTCCTTTGATTGATACAATGATGAAACCGGATAGGCATAATAACCCGAATAGTATTGCACAGCTTGCGATGAAATATTTGAAAAACAAGCTGGGAAAATTTGGCGGAGTCGACGGTGTGTCCAAATCAAGGCGAAGCATTTTTGTTTTACAAAAATCTGCTCGTGTTGACTTCATGAAACTTTCTGCAAGATAAGAGATACTCTTTTTCTTTATCTTTTTGTCCCTGCAGAAGTCATTCATGTGGCTGATGTTGATTTAATCGATGACATATTGTTTACTCACGTCGTCATCACGAAAAGGAAATCTCATATAAATATTTATGAGAACATTCTGTGTAATTGATTTGATTACCCTCTGGCATGGAAACTCAATCGATTGATAGACAGTTTGAAGATGATACGATCGAAGTTACGTAAGAATTGTTGGATTTTATTAAACTATTAAAAACTAAGAAGAAAAAGACAAAATATTCACTACAATTAAAAGGAAATTCGGGAACACACACAATATCGCACAAAGAAAACGTTTAAAATACGGACTGCAGGAATAGCAACAACAACAAATATTAATCTAAAAAATGAACTTCATTACTGCCACTCTTCTCTATTCATCATTGCACTAGAGGTTGATCTGGAATTGGGCTGGCTAAAGACAACTGAATATTAGCATCACGTAATAGTTTGGCAAATGCAGATCTCGGATTGGCAGCTAAGCGTTTCGGTTCATCGTATTCTTGTATATAACCGTTGGATAAAACTAAAATCCTGCAAAAGGGCAAAATTGAGACAATGATGGTTTTGTATTTGAGAATCGTAATGGACAGACATACTTGTTACTATCTAAAATTGTGTGAAGTCGATGAGCAATTGTCAGTACGGTTGCATCTTTAAATGCTGAACGGATTGTCATTTGAATTAATCGATCTGTTTCCATATCAATTGCTAGAAAGGAAACAGGCATGAAGTCCATTTAATGAAAGGAAGATACTTACCAGCCGTAGCTTCATCGAGTACAAAGATTTTACTTTTTCTTAACAGCGCGCGTGCCATACATAACAATTGCCGTTCACCGGCACTAGATAGTTCGACATTTATGTCACTATACTGAATCTAGGAAAAGATTACCTTAGATTTTCGCCACCTTCAGTTAATTGATGTAATAAACCATTTTCCATCGCAGCGATTCGTGGTTTCATATGTACTAATTCTAATGCCGACCAAATTTCTGTATCACTGTGAGTACCAGATGGATCTACATTGAATCTGACGGTTCCAGCAAAGATGACGGCGTCCTAAAGAATTCTTGTTCTTTAGCACAACAATTAACATCTCATCGATAGAGATCTTACCTGGGGAATAATTGTAATCTTAGATCGAATATCGTGTAAGCCAATTTGACGAATATCGACATTGTCAACGATAATTTCGCCAGTAGTGGGTTCGATTATACGGAAAAGTGCAATACACAAACTGCTCTTTCCACTGCCTGTTCGTCCGATGATACCAACCTGAATATAACAGAGAAACATTCGATTGATCGAGTTTCATTCATTCTTTCTCTCCTACTTTTTCTCCTGGTTGAACGTTAATCGTGATATCTTTGAGTACTAATTCAAGATTATCTCGGTATTTTGTCGACAAATTATTGATTCTACAATGAAATCATGTGAATCTCAGAGCTCTTTGCACCACTGCTATCATACTGAATCTCTCCACGTGTTGGCCAATTAGGTGGCGGCTTCTTTTCGGAAATTTCCCATGGAGCTTCTAGTGACAATTGTGTGTATTCATCAATACGTTCTACACTAACTATATTCGTTTCCACGTCACTCGCCATTCGAACAAGCCAGTTGAGTGTTTGAGTTATTTGCATTGAATAAGTTATTGCTAGACCAACAATACCAGCGGTGAGTCGACCACGCATTAAAACAGCAAAAATAGCTGCGGACAGTGCTAATGTGTTCGCAATAGATTCGAGACGTATCGCCAGCCACCTACATATGATATTTATAGAAAACGACAAACATTTTGAAAAGACTCTCACCGGTTGGAAACACAACTAGCAAAGTAACATGATTGATTTCGATCGAGTAATTGGTCAGATTGATCGATGAAACGTTTTTGGACATGGTAGGCTCGAATTGAACTTAACCCTTGAACTGTTTCTCCAAAATGTGAATAAACTGGACTACGTGTGGTCGAATCAAGTCGCCGAAGTTGTCTAGACGAGGCGATATAGACACGCTAGAAGAAAAACGACAAGTTTTCATCACTAAACAGTTAGTGGAGAGATAATACCTGGATAAAAGCAAAAACGAAAGCAAGCGGTATTAGAGCGAATATTGCAAACCATGATCCATAGAGCAGAATAATTATTGTGACTGAAACGCCTGATAGTGTTAAAAATGAGGATGATAATGATGATGGCAAGGTTGAATCAATCGAATCTACATCTTTGGCAAAGCGATTAATAATTCTTCCAATTGGTGTTGTATCGAAAAATGCCATGGGTGTTCGGAGAACACCGAATAATAGTGACGAATGTAATGTTCGACTAGCAATGTAAGCAGCAAGATAGATAAATAATTGCAGTAGAAATGAGACAAATCCTAAGAAAATCAAACCGAGCATAATCAAGATCAGCAAGCAAAATCGTTCATGCTATAGTTTTGTTCTCTGTTAACCTCAAGAAAGATAAATGGAAGAAATATGAGAATCATGATGATGATCATTTCAGGTAGATAATGAGCGATAAGAAGAACACAAATGGAAAATGCCAGTAAAGCATTGAATGTTGAGCGTAGTGTAAAGATGATTTCATTATCAATCGTATCGAAATCATTGGAGCAACGATTTAGGATTCGACCATACGGTGTGTGTTCAAAGAAAGACAAAGGTACACGTAAGAGATTACGAAGAAATTTCTTAAATAATTTACGTGAAGCAAGTATACTTGTCTCGAACATGACATAGGCGCTTAGAAACTCGAGTACAGCTACAAAATTGGGTTGTTGTTTATTTGGTTTTCGATGACGAAGGAAATATTGTGATCTTGATTCAATGAGAATAGAGTTGGATGTATATTCTTACCTTGACTGCATCCTAGCGCAGAATAAATTGCTAAGCCATGGATTTTATTTCTAGATGAAGCTGCTGTATTATTGGCGTCTTGCTTCGCTTGATCAGTCCATTTAGATAACCAAATATTTGTACTCAATGCTGCACCTGCCAAGCAGCAGAAGAGCAGGCATATAAGACAAATCATTGGTATAGTACAAGCACGAATATAGATAAGAAACACATTGAATTTCACCTAGAACGATCATTCCCTTAGTATGTTTTCGACAACTAAATAAAAACTTACTGAACCAGTTTCCATGCCTTCCTTTTGAATAAGTTTCTCTTTATTTTCTTTCATTTCACCTTTGGTAATTTCTGTTGTTGCTGGTTTACTCGTTTCGTGTTGTCTATCATCTTGTGCAGCTTTGAGGACATCTTCAAGCGTATCCGACAAAGGTGTGGTCGGTGTTTTCGGTTCTAGACAGAAAAAGAAAAGAACCAATATTCACGTGCCAGGCTCAATCCAAAATTCGATGTGGAGCCTCGAAGGTTTGGCCAAGACGTATACAATCGTACTAATCCTGACAAACACAAAGGGCAAGTCCACTCGCTCGGATGTGCCCTATCTCGATGACAGTGACGCACGTTTCACATCACTCTGTTTGATCAGTCAAGAAGAAGTCTAACTACGACAGCAACTTGACCGATTACTGATCATTCATGGATAGCTATTTGAAATGATTAGAATTGATATGACGAAATTACTTGTGCAAAGGAGAACATTTTAGAAACGTCTTTGGGTTCAACGTTCAAATCTAACTGTCAGCAGTTATTTCTTATCGATCTAGTTCATACCTGTATCACTCGTTCTGGATTCTTGTCGTTCTGTTGCAATTGTTTGTACAAGCTCACGTAGAGTTTTACTCTTGTTCATTAGTTCATTATATGAACCTTGATCAATGATTTCACCGCGTGAGACAACAGCAATTGCGTCACATTTATGTAAATGCGATACACCATGTGTCACTAAAAGACGTGTCTAGTGTGGACGAAAAAGCAAACCATGTGATTTGAATTCATAATCAAGTTCTTCTCCTTTACTTTCTCTTTCAATAGACCCTTTGGTCCAATTGCCTGCTTGAATATATGACCACCAACATGTGCATCGACTGCTGAGAGCGGATCATCAAATAGGTAAATATCTGCTTCACTGTATAATGCTCTCGCTATTGAAATACGTTGTCTTTGCCCACCAGAAAGATTGATACCCTATTCGAACAGTAAATCTTTCATCTTTTTCATTCATTCTTCTTACTTTTTCTCCAATTTCTGTTTCATCACCTTGTGGTAATATATCTAAAACGAGCGACTTTATCCATACATTCATCTTGTCGAAATGATTCCTACCGAAATCAGCTTTCAATGCACATGCGTCAATCACTTGCTGATATAAACTTTCGTTATAATCTCTTCCGAATAGAATATTCTGTTTGAGTGTTGCATTCAAAATCCATGCTGTTTGCGGGACATAAGCAATTGTTCCATTGATATGAACCTCGCCGTCAACTTTATTCATTTCGCCAAGCAATGCAGCTAAAATGCTACTCTTGCCTGAGCCAACCGTGCCAACAAATGCAGTCAGTGAGCCTTGACGGACTTTTAAATTAACGCTGAAAAAGAAGGTAGGATAATTTCCCGATAATTTTCATTCGTTTCACACACTTTTTCAAGACTAGTGGATCATCGTTTGAATTTGACCATTGAAACGAGCCATTGACAATGGTAAGAATATTTCCTTCAGTGTCGATTGTCGATTTACTTATTATGTATTCATCAATTTCATCGCTATTCAAAAATTTTTGTATTCGCTTGTTCGACACATTCGCCTAACACACACAATACATTCTAGTTATCCGAATAGACAAAAAAACTTACTTCAATCACACTGTTAATTATACTTGGAAATACGATCAGAGGAAAGCGAAGTAAGTTAAATAACGCTAGTGAAACGAATGCTTTCTCAGCCGTTAAAATATTGTTTTCTGATGACAAAACATATGTAGCAAATGTTGTAATGCATACCTGAAAGAGAACAGGCATTACATTTCTTTCAATGTACCACCTTTTACCAGAATGGGCACAAAAGTCCATAAGACGCTTGAGATTGTATTGATAATTGCTTTCTTTCGTATGCATCGCAATTCTTCCTCTCGAATGGCAGTCAATCGGTGAATAAATACCATTTCCCAGGCATACAATTTTATAACTTTAATTCCATTCAGAACTTCATTCATGACTTTAATTCGTTGATCTTTCAGTTTCATTTGTTCTGTCTGAAATAATTAGACAAGCATCGATATTTGCTGTTTCGTATGTTCGAACGGGATCGTTACCGTGAGTTGCTTCTGAATTCTTTGTATAAAGATATTCAATGGAATTAGGAGAAGTAATAATATGACACCAGGAATAATCGCTAATTGCATTTGTTGGTAGAGCAACACAAGTGCAAGACATATTTGAAAGGGGCCTGTGAAGAAAACAGTTTTCGAGTTTATCCATCGATACTCAACATACCAGACCAAATAACGTGTATATAAGAACTCATGTCACCAAAGCGTGAGGCGTCAATAGACATCTAAATGATAGTATAGGGAAAAGTGTGAAGTCAAAAGGGAAACGTATTTACTAAATTGACAATTTCGCCAGTCGTTGTGCCCTGTTTTGCTGAGTTGGATAGTTTTAAACTCTAGAAATGGGAATGAGCCAATAAAGTATAACTCAGAACGGCATCTGAATTGCTTACTTTGCGATATACGAGTCCGGTAATTGCCGAACGAAAACGAAGGCCAACAAGATACTGTCGCTGAAAATAAGCTTGTAAAAATAATGTTTGACCAAAGACGGCTGCGCCGAGCAGAATCGCATAGAATATTCCTAACCATGTTGGTGCGGATGAATCATTCAAAAAATTTAGAATTCGCCTAAAAGCAAACGAAATGCATTGGTTTTTTCTCTCAAGTGCAAATCGAATCTAAGCTCACTTAAGTAACATTGGCCCACTGAATTGTAGAATATCATGAACAACTTTTAACAGACCACCAATAATCAGTTTGCCTTTGTATGCCCTAAAAAGCGCACGCCAGAAAATGATTTTTCTCGGTGCTGATGTTGATTTGCTTTTAATATCCACTAGCGGCTTTACAAGAACAAAACACATGCTATAGAAACGAAAACATTGGAAGTCCTTTACTTACGACGTTGTTCAACTACATGGAAGCAAAACGAGAATAAAACTCATCATAGATCGAACGAGAACTTACTAAATCTTGATGTTCATCATCCGTTTTACCCGCCTTCGGAACGTAATATTTATTGAATGGTCGACTCATTTCATAACCAATCTTTTTTGCTTGGCCACTTACACTAAACAAGAATCATTCGGTTTGAATATATCAACAAACCTGTCGAACGACAAACCCATCTAGGCAAGCTTGCACTCGATGAACAATATTAACAGCTCTTTCGGACACTTGCAACTGCCAACAATCCTCTTCGGTTAATGGTTTTCGATATCCTCGAAGAATCAACGGTGTCACCCATGAATAGAACAAACGAGATGGAAAGCTTGCATACAGTTCCGGTGAAATTTCCTACGAAATTGACAAGATTACAAAATGAAACAGTGAATTAGACAGCGTTACTGATTCGTTAGGTGCTAATTTCGGAAAATTATATCTTTCCGCAAAGCAATTGATAATAAATGAAGTGAATGCGAATATAAAATGCAACCAAACACGAATAATTTCTCTCAATCGTGGGACGGATTGTTGCTAGGGAAAAAAACTTCGCTGAAATTTTTCTTTCAATGACCCAATTGATTTTACTTGTTTATATTCAACCGAATAATCAATCACATCAGGAATAATAGCCAACCATACGCTTAACCAAAAGCTGAAGAGTAAACCCGAACAGAACATACCCTTTTGACGATCATAGTTCGTCAACCAGATGATGATCAATAAAGTTATGATGTATAATATAGGACTTATTAAACTAGCGTAACTTTTTTCCTGATGTGACGGTAAGATGTAGATAACAATCCGACCGATTTGGACGAGAAGGAATAGAACCGCAAATACCTGTGAGAAAAATTTTATTGGAAAAGTTGTGTGACTCTCTTTTTAAATATCTCTCGTGCTAGGAATTCAATCGATGACAGATATATTTACCATTTTCGCGATGAATAGCGCAGAAATGGATAGGGGTTGCGGATGAATCTTTCTTCTTAACAACATCCATAACCAGAACGGTAAAACCAACCAAAAGATAACTAGTGGACACCATTGTAGAGCAGTATCACGAAAACATTCAGTTAAATAAGGATACGATGCTTGGGTTACGTTTTTGTCCTATGTAATAGCAATGTTCGTTTCGAAGAAAACAAAACAATGAAATACACACCCAAAATGGAGTCGTACAGACTCGGAACATTCTTTCTAGAACAGAGTAATGAAATGTATTTAGTGATTTTCTGAAATAGGATGATAACTTCTTTTCAGGTCAGCTGAAACATGAACTAATAGTTCTTTGTTCATAGGATTAATCGATGAAGCGAGAAAATTCATGTGCTTTCGAACATTCCCTCACTTTACTTGATCATACAGTAAACACAAACGAGAAACAGCAAAATTCTGATGACAACTGTGAAATAGTTTCGTGTTCTTTATAAATCAAGGCGAAGATCGCCTCATGAGTACAAATACAGTTGGCTTTTCTTTTCAAGATTTACAAGTATCAAAACAGAAAATATTTCAACTGTCAAAAGAGAAAAAGAAAATAAAACTAGAGAATTTGACTTTCGACTAAAAGTATTTAACCCTTGCATAAGCGTTCCAATGCGTCAGTAGTATTCCAGTGCATTGCCGATAGTTCTGCACGAGCTTTTTCCTTAAAAAGAAACATTAACGATTAGTTTCGTTGAAATAAAGATTCTCACCACAGAAAAACCCATTTCAACGAGATTTTTCACCGCTGCATCGCATTCAGGTTCAGCATTTGGTCCTACAAGAGAGGTGACTTGCCTTGAAGCGTCAAGTATTAGACAATATTTTACCATTCGCATACACATTTGCCCAATGTCGAGCCGTTTTTTCAAATAAGCTACGATCTTTTTTATATTGATTAGCTACGACTAAAACAGAACATAACAAAATCTAGAAGATTACATTCGATTTGCTTATCTTACCTGCATCTTGTGGATCATCGGGTTCAGGTGTTGCTAATAATGCTTGTAAACTCAGCAGTACTGTTCGGATAGTCATAGCTGCAGCCCTGAATTAAAAACACTCTTATAGACTCAATTCAATTTGGCCATTCTTACCATTGATCTTTCAAAATATCCAAGCAAATCGCACCTGTGACTGAACTTACATTTGGATGCCAGATCTTCGTTGTAAATCGAACTTTCGGTGGATTAAACGGATACGTATCTAAAGATAAGAAACGAGGATACGAAAAAGAACAACAAATTAAACGATCAGATTTGATTACCAACGACGATAATGTCAACATGAAATCGAGCGCCCGCATATGGTGTATCGGGTGGTCCTAATATCGAACCTTGTAAGAAGATCTCTCTCTTGCCCGACTGCGATCCCGCATTCGACATGTTCTTTGTCAAATCACCTTCGGGCATTTTTAAATCAATGCCATTCTAAAACAAATTTCATAGAAATAATAACAATAACAAAAGCAACAGTCATCTTACAGTTTCATTAGTCATGACTTCCTTGAATTCTTTCATAATACGATTCATTGCGATATTCATGGTCGATTGAATAAGTTTCTGTTTTTTTTTATCAAATGATATATATCTGCAAAATATTCACTGGCATTATAAATTGTTTTTCGAAAAGAAAAATTTGTCATTAGTTACGTAAAACGAAAACACGGAAACTTTCGTTGCCTAAGACTTTATTTCGATTTTTGCTTTTTTTCTCTAAACACAAAAAAAAAGAAGTCAAACTGAATACACACACATACACGCACACACGAGCATACTGAAAAACAAACACAATGAAAACCAAAAACAAAGGATTCTACATGTTTTTTTCTTTTCGCTAAAAAAATAACTGCTGAACGAAAAAAAATCATACGCGCAAGATTAGAATATAATATGATGAACACGATTCCACCAAATACTGCTGCATAGACGCAAGCGACTGTTGTTTGACCATCGTGAAAACCAAAAAATACACGCACACGTATATGTATATATATTATGACTTGAAAAACGCGGACGGGGTGTTTAGATATCACACACACACACACACACAGAGACATAAGCAAACAAATGAGACTTGCTCAATCAAAAAGAAGCGTCCATGTTTGAGTTTTTATTCAATGGTTTGTTGTTGTCGTCATCGTCGTCATTCCATAAGAAATGATAGTCCACCGATTAGCACCAGAACAAGCATTACAAATGTTAGAGAGGATTTTCTACGTTAGACATAAATACGAGCTTCTTCCTGAGGCCAGTCGAAAATCGAACATCCTGAGCGGCACATATATGAAGATAGAGCAAGCAGAAAACCGGATGGGTGTAATACAAACAATCACACGGTGAACGAAAGAAAGAAGAGATAGACTATATGAGATTTAACATCAGCACAAACGAAGGCAAAACTGAAGAACGAAAGAGATGGCAGGAAAAAAACAACAGATTCGTTGGTGGCCCTTTTTATTGCTACAAAAAAAGAAAAGAGAATCGAAACGTAAACTAGAAATTGAAATGAGTCTGCGTGTGTTTATGTATGTGGAAGAAAGAAAGAAAAGAACCACAAAACCTAGTGAAAGACTCGCGCTAAGCTGAAAACGAAAATCTAGATCTAGTGTGAAATAGTAGAACATCACCGTGCGCACTACCTACATTGCACACCCACACACGCACACATAGAATATGAAAAACGAACGAATGATACATGGTTTCCATCGTTATGAAGATTTTGCATTCGTTAATTGCAAGAGAATCACACCTTTGTTAGGCTCTGAATACCTGAAACGAGGTTCACTGATGATTTTCTCTTTCTGCTAGGAAACTATTTGACTTTTTACTTGTAATTTCGTTGTTGTATATACGTTAGAAGAACTGAACGTATTTTTCCATAACCAATACCACCATAGATCGAATTTTTACCATAATCAGTAATGATTTCAATTGATTTCGGTGTTGTTCGTGAAGCTTTACTATACAATTCACGTTCGATTTGTTTAAATAGATCCAACGCTTCATCGGAATGTAAACCATGAAGATCAAGTTGATGAGTTTGATAGAATTGCTTTAAACGCCATTGAGATAAACGTTCGCATGCTGTTCGATTCGCTTCCTTCATTAATTGAGTTTCCTCACTAGCACGATGAATATAGTACGAAGCGACACCGGACATGCCATGATGATAAGCCTGCTGAGCTTTCGCATAGAACTCTTTACGACGTTGACCATGTTTAAGTGCGTCCCATCGAAGAATCTCATACGATTCATTGACTGGTTCAGCAAGTTGTTCATTCGTCGATATCGAGCGACACGTCGGCATAGTCTGTGAAGGTTGTGGGACATCAGTAAGGAATGCTTGATCACCTAGCATTGTTGACATACACATACATGTTATATCGTAGTTGAACTCATTTTCACGAAGAAGATCGTGGAGAAGATCAGTGTCGAATGACGGAAAGAGGCGTACAAGTTCTTTTAATTTGTATTCCGTGGCATAGTCGAGTTGTCGCTTCTAGAACAGAAATGAACGGAGGTTGATGAGCCTCATTGATAAATAGTTGAATACCTGTTTTGATTTTTCAGCATTTGCTGTCTGCTGCAGTTGTTGTTCGTTCATAATTTGTTTTAAAGATGCAATATGACTCGTCTGGACTTCTGTTGATATTTGATCATTTGAATTGATCTTCGTCGCTTTCTTTTTCTTTTCAATTGTGGACTGTTTGATCTCATCGGATTGGTTCAAGAATCTTTGTAACGCTTGATAAATATGCCGAGACAACTCATCATCACATAGGAGTGATATATTATTAGCATCTGATGTGAAAAGAGATTTATTAGGTAGTTCTCCATAAAGGTGTTCTAATGAGTGAATGATTGACCAAGGAAGATGCAGCCGATTTGGTTCGGTGGGTCGAATATTTGTGTCGTCGATCGGTAGATCATCTAATATTTCAGTATCGTTGATATCTTGGAGTAAATCATTGAGAGATTCCGGATCGAACGATGGATCGTGCGATTTAATTTGTTCGTCCCATTGATGTAAAATATTTAAGCACAAATCATGTAATGTGGGAGCCTGGATTAGACTGAATTGATTCTGCTGGAGATATTCGTCGATGTGCGAACATGTCCATTGTAGATTTTCATGGCAAAGTTCATAGAATTGTTGAATACTTTCTCGAGACAAACGATTCGAATAGATTTCGATTAATTTCTCTAATTGGCTAGTATTCATATCAACTTGAACACTACAGTCACTATAACCAGCCAGTGGAGACATCGATGGAGTCATCAAGACTGGCATCGATGATGGTAAACGACTGATTAGAATCACACCAGACGAATCTGATCGAATGTCACCGGACGAGCATTGTATACTAGCATGTTTTCTTGACATAGACGGTTCATGAGAATTACTTTGAAGAATATTTATCAACTGCGTATTATCAGATGTCGTCAGCTGAGTTTGTTTATAAGAAGTCGTTGATGAATGATCCCTAAAAGAAGTATAGAGCAATAAAATGAATGACTATGTATGAAGAATGAAAACATTGTTAGAAAGCGAGTTTTGAATATATTCACCTCATCGTTAATCTATACATTTTCTTTTATGTGCTCTCCATTGATCATAGGAATACTTTTTCTATGTCGTCGACAAACGAATTTAGTAATAGATAAATACAGGCAAGGCGAGTATATGTACTAAAGTTGGACTGGGAGGCCAGGGTATGGAAGAATATGCCCAGCAGAAAAGAAAAAGAAAAGAACGGGAAGAAATCACTTGTAGTTATTCACGTATTCTTTGTTTTTCGTATAATTTCGTGCAAGCTCGTTTCTTTACCTCATTAGGCCATTTTGTGGATCGATCCAATCGTGTTCATCGATTACCACACAATCGAGGCAATCATCGGGAAGAAACACTTGAAAATTCTGTTGTTGAAAGAAACAGTCTCGGTCAACAGCCATTTGATTGTTGTTGTTATTGTTGTTTGTGTTTAGTACCAGTTCATTCGGTGAAGGTTTACTCTTATTTTTTCGTCGCTTCTTAGCTAGAAGACTTGATTGGGTTGACAGTGGCGGAGTTAGATTCATTGCATCTAAGCACCGCCCAAATGCTGCAGATGCTCCCGTTGGTAAACGCAAAAGATGTTCAGTGTTATACGAATGATCCTGATTTGTTGTCGATGAAAAGCGCGTTAACGGCCGATGAAAACGTGAATGTGGTGTTGAAGGCGTCGACGGCAGTGATGTTGTTGTGGGTGACGATGATAGCAATGATAGATCATGAAAAGATACAGATAATGGTGTTGATGTCGGCGACGTTGTTCCTGTTGTGACTGTCGTTGTGGGTAGTGTTAACGAAGATGATAGTAATGTTGTTTGATAAAAGTTCGATGTTAAAAACAAAATCATGTCATTAATACAGAGTCGCACATCGTCAAGTATGAGTGAATCATCGATAATATCATAGAATTTCTTCGATGTTGACGCCGAGTCTAGAACTTCCGCATCTTTCCGTTGATTGTTCTGTTCCGATAAAGGTACATTGGTTTGTTTCATTGTGGATGCCAATTGATCGAGAATGTTTTGAACAGTGACACTATGTTCAAAACGTGTCAACATATCGCGAATACGTTTCAAAGGCACATTATGACGATTTCGCCTAATAAAACATCGATTGAAACACTGGAAAAGATCTTAGTGAGAAACTTACTTGAATAGTTCACGCGCTTTGTATCGCCAAGGTGTTTGTGGTTCGACAAGAAGGATACTGTAACCAGCTTCTTTACCCTACAAAATCTCTCATCGAAAAGCAATCTTTCAACGCTCGATAAATTACCATGGCAACATATGGTTTCATTTCCCATGTCTGAGTATTCGTATTATCGATAATAATTGGTGTTACTTGACGTTTCAACGCATCCGATGCTAAAGGCACAATGCGAATTCGTGAACTTCCTCGATCAGAAAATCAAACAAACCTTGTCGACGATTGTATCGATGTGCATCATCGAGTTTATTCAAATCATATACATATTTATTTAAATTTCTATCTGTAAAATAATCATCAGTAGAAAGTATGACACCACTATAGCCATGGTTCAGCGATCTGGAAAAGAGAACGTTAATAGAAAATGCATCTCCAGTGAATATCTTACTTCGCCAATGTTGATTTTCCAGATCCTAAATAGAAATAGATGAGTTTGGAAAAATTCAGACGGAGTTTTCTAGTTACCAGGACATCCGCGCATGATGATCAATAGTTGTTCATGATTATCCAATCGATTATGTATATCATCGACGATAATTTGATTGTAATCATTAGGTACATTATTATCCAGGATGATAACAAGATCTTGATTATCTTTTTCGTCGTAATCATCTTCGGATGTAAATGTTCCGGTTGTATTATCGCCCGTCGATGTTAAGGATAGGGATGGTGAGACCGATTTATGTATTTGTTCGTCAATGAGAAACTTTTCTGTTGAACTATCGTTCAAATTACGGTCGAATCTTTTCGTCTTTTTCGATTTAACTTCAATCCAATCATCTGCGATTGTTGGCTGCTGTTGTTGCTGCTGCTGCTTTGACAGAGTATTTGCATCAGTGGGAAGAAGATTACGTGTTGATATTCGATTGTTATTATGATAAGGTTGACGCCGACGCGAATTTGTGTTCGAAGATGGTGAAGAATTGACTAGCGAGCGTTGCTGCTGCTGCTGTTTATTTGCTCGTTCTCTTGGTGGTAATTGGTTATGAGTATGATTGATTGATGGTCGTTGAGGAGCTTGTTGATTATTTGTTGGAGTTTTATTCGCTTTTTGATTATCAGATGTTTGAGAAATAATTGTAGAATAGGTCACTGGTGCTACTTTGATTGGTGATGATAATGGTTTATGGTTATTAATACTATAATTATTATCATCTTCTTGACTAGATGATGAATTAGTTGACGACTCAGACTTTGGATTAGATGGATTAGCTGCATTTGAGTTATCTGTTGCTATTATTCGAGTATCATTCGGCTGATTAGTGTTAGATGGTGTAACTTCAGATGAAATGTCATCGTTTTGCTCCGAACCAATATCACTACCAGAGTCTTTTGGACAAACGGATTGAGTATTAGTCGCTGTGCTATTCAATGGTGGAAAGTTAATCTCATCATCAACAAGGATTTGTTGATCTGATGATGAGTCATGACCATTCTGTGTTGGAACCCATTCAGCAGCATCGGGATTTAAAAACGAATTTGCCGGTTGAGATACAGTCGCTGAATTGAACAGATATGCAGGTGGGATTTCATTCATTGCATAGTGTGCAAATGAAGGATGACCATGTGCAGGTAATGCATTAGGTAGCGATGGCCAAATGATCGGTGTGGGCGGTAAGCCCATCATTTGTTGTTGAAAGGCATACAGTTCGAGTTCATCTGGTGTTCGTATGTTATAGGCAATATGGCCTGCTTGATGGACGGTTGGTGGATATGGATATAAAACACCGGGAGGTGTGGCCATTAAAGGCGGTGGCGGGTGAGCCGCATAATAATTACTAAGACCACGTGGTAATATGCTGCGATGACGACGACCATTTGTATGTGTTGCTGTTGCTGTTGCTGTTGTTACTGTCGGCGCTGATGTTTGCGAATTCGTTGACGTCACCTGCGAATTTGATTCGATTTCTGTAGCTGATGTTTGTCGTAGACGTGGTGGTAAATTTTGTGACGGAACCGTTGTTGCACCGCCATTTTGAGTTTCTCGCGATGAAGGCGATGGCGATTTCGATGTTGTTGACGGAGTTCGAAGAAACATCAACGGCGCTGGTTTCTCAAATGATGGTAGCGAATAATAATAGTACGGTACTGTTTCATATGGATGAGCATTTGTATAATATGACGATCGATGATATGGCATTGATGTATATTTGACTTTTGAATGAAAAGTTTTCTTTGGTCGGTTCTCATCTTCATCATTACTGACTGTTAGTTCATTTGTCTCCTTGTGGACTTCTCCATCCACAGTTACTATTGGCGGACTAGTATTCAATAAAGTATCATCGTGATTACTTCCACGATCTTCATTAGCATCCACTGTTTCTGATATTGAATTATCACTAAATAATCGCGTCAAATATTCAAACAATGTTTACGTTCGCCTCAACTGATATCACACTTACCCTTGGTTATTTTCATCATTTTCTTTTGGATCATGATTGATCGATCTGAAATGTGATAGCAACAAGAAACTAGAGAGAACGGATTGCGCTCGATTTGACATACCGCTGTATAAGAGTAGTTTCTGCTATAGGAGTGTCACTCTGCAGTGAAGATTGTGCGTTATCCGTTGTACATTGCTTTGAATCAATGTTAACATCATTCTCTTGTTTGTTTTCACTTAAACTCGTCATTGACAGAAAGATTGTTTTTCAGTAACGAAAAGAACACGAGCACAATCGTCCAAGAAATGATTTGAAAGTAAAAGAACGTCGACTATTGTACGTCAAAAGATGAAAATCAGAATAAACTGGCGAAGAATTTGTCTAAGTTAACTTGAATAATCAATTAAATACTTATCAGAATCGAGCAATCAATCCTACACATAATAATTCATTAAATAACACGACAAGCTTTATATAAATAGATCATAGAAATAATCGATGATGACGATAATCAAAGGATGTTGAATATATCATTTGTCTAGAAGAAAATTAAATAGAATAGCATCTTGTTTACAAATGAAAAAGTCAAGAATCTGTGAGAGACTGTTTTCTTGTCTGTTTATCATTTGTTTTTCTAATCTACATTAATACATAAAGACATTGACAACAATAATAAAATAAGGGTTGTGTTATTTTTCTTTTCACAAGTAATAGAAAAATCGTTTATCACTATGTACAGTTAACAGATAGGCAATTACATACAAGTTGAAACAAAAGACCAGGTTTTATATCAAGCATCGATTGATCATAGATCTACGTCAAGTAGGAAAAAGACGTCACTCACGAAGAGAATCATCACATTGAGTCTGAGACCGCAATTTGAATTCATACAAATTAATGGTGAGACTCGGTTTACTTTGGAGGAAATAGTTGACGAATGAGCTCGGTGGAATCCATTGATGAGGGCGAACTGATATCCACACTGCGTGGATTTTCCAAGACTATTCGTCGAAAAGAAAAACTCAAGCATAGGCGCGAGTAGGAAAAGAAAGGCGTCATACGCGTACTGCTTGGATTGTTATGCAACCGAACTGATTTCATTCTAAATGTCAACGTTTTTTTTCTTCATCGCGATAGTTTTTCATGAGAATAATTACTTGGTTTTGTTCCGCGTTACAATCACCTCGAGTTCATCATTCCATGGGTTAACAAATGGTTCGAAGACGGTTTGTAACGTGATATATAAATTATTTTTCGTACGAAAACGATAATTGCCACTCGTAATTATCTGACGATCTCGACACACTAAGTTAATTGAAAATAATCTCCATATCAAATCTGTTCTTTGAGTATGTTAGTTCGTTACCTCGATTCCAGATATCTGCTACTTTGTTTCGATCATCTTCATGAATCAAACTACTGAAGTTCATTCCCAATAAATCTTGCGTTGTGTAACCCAACAGCGGGTAACATCTAAACATTCGAAAAAAAAATTTGATTAAAACACGAAGCAATAATAATCACTCACACCTAATGACTCACATTCGATCGTATAGATAAAGAAGAACGCAGATTAGAAAAAAATAACCTTGAATAGAGGTTCGTCTCAAAGTTTACCTAATTAATCATAACTATACGCCCCACGTTTCAGTATCGATTAGATTTGCTCGAAAAGTATACGTATGGTGGTAACCTATTCGTTGATTAGTTATGTTTTTTTTCCTACTATGAGACATTATTCAACAAGTGAAAACATTAAATAAACAAACGAACCGTGGAAGAAAATGAAATTTTGTTACGCGCAGGCGCCGCGCCGATTTCATTTGAGAAAAAGGTTTTTTCGCGAATCGTAATGTATCCATCAATCTATTCAATGGAATTAAATTATGTCCAACGACTTCGGGGTGTGTGTTTTTTTTTCGTCTTCTTCATTGAGAAAAAGAAAGAAAAGTGTTTCGGTGTGTTGTTTTTTCTTCGCGTGTATAATCAATTTCGAATTGACACCTAATCCACGAAAATTTGACAAAATACGAGCTCGCTCTAACGAAGAAAGGACGGAAAATGGCCCATCCATAGCGTACGTGCTGTTAACCATTTCGATCAAGTGTTACTTTTTTGTGTTGAAAGGGTAAAAATTCAGACGATCGAGGTGATATTTGTTTAGATGGAACAGTAAGAGTCGTTTTCATATGAATCTATAGAACAGGTATATTTCGCTCGCCAACGATATGAATAAATCATTCAAGGAAAATGAAATAGATTCCTAAGGGTTAAAAACACTTGACATCGAACGAGTTACTTCTCTTTTTGAAATCTATAGAAGAACGAATGAGAAAGCAAAGTGAAATTATCAATTCAGATTGTGATTTGTTTACTGCATTCGTTTTTTTCGCTTTCGTTCGTTGCCAGTAATGGAAAAGTTCTGTTTAACTACTCTCAAATCAAGGCCAACTTACATTTGATCGAAATAAGTAAATTGCCCATCGGGATTTAATTTGCATGAAAACATTCGATCGATTACGTGGACATTGTCCGACGAATTCGGAGAAGACTGGTCCAGAGTGTTCGAAACATGTGCCATCGTTAGAAGACATGAGACAGGTGCATTTCCAATGGCATGAAAAACGTCGGAAGGTGTCAGAAGATTTGCATTCGAATGCTGACGATCTGGTCGTGTTTTGCTCTCGGTTTGATTCTCATTGGTTGGAGAAAATTGTTTGATATAACCAACAAAATCGATTGTGATATAGTTATCTAATAAAAATGAAGTAAAGGGCAGCTCCGAGGTAGAAAAAAAGTTTACTTGTGGATTGTGTGGATGCTTTGCGATTTGTTCGTTTCAATTTCGAAACGATTCGACATGAAAACGAACGTCGATTGCCGATTTCGAGACAGTTCTGTTTGGTTGTAATCAATCGAACAGCTATGAGGAAAAACATTTTGTGCGAATCAAATGAGAGACAACTTTTTCGCACTTTTCGAGTCATTCAATGATTCACCGGTGCTTGTCGAGGTTGCCTTTTTCTCATTTAATAATTGTTGCTTGATGAGTTCAAGATCATTCGGATAGACTAAATCAAATATCGTTTGAGAACATAGTTCCGTCTTGAAAAGAGTAAGAATATCAGAAAACGAAATGTCTAATACTGCAACATACCGATTTATAGCCGAGTATCGATTCCGTGGACGATGATGCATAACAAATGCGACCTTTTTGACACTCGATAATTAGAAAGAACGATGTACCAACTTGATCGATAGTTGCTAATGTTAATTGAAGTAGTTCGTCGTCATTCAAATAAACTTGTTTACCGAATCCAGCAGACAAAACTTTCGACGTAGTACCTGTAGGTATATCGGTGGACTTTGTACTTTTCTTACACAATTTCTTTACCTTTCAAATATTTAATGGTTTCAACAGCAACTTTCAGAACGGTTAGTTTGTCGAGTTTCTTCGCGGCATCAATGGGTAACAACTGAGCGATTTCATCGATATAACGATTCATTTTTTCACGACGACGTCGTTCGATTTCGCTGTGACTAATTCTAAAATCAATCTAATGATGCTCAAAGTGGACTATCGGAGCGATTTTACCTTCGTTGTTTACTCTTTTTCGTATTTGGCGGTGATAGAGAAGCATCGTCATCCTCCGTATCTTCTTCCTCGGTACAAATTTCACTGCGTGGTTGAGCTTCGAGACTGGAAGAAATAAAGTAATAAACAACTACAGTCGTATCTATGAACAACATCTTACTCAGTCGCCATTTGCTCAGGAGGCATAGCAATCGTACTTAATTGAATTGAAATATCAGAAATGAATCAATTTTATAGTACACCTTTTGTATAATGGGTGTGTCTTGTCAATGTTATTCGATCAGATGATAGTGTTGCTTGCTGGCTGATGCAATGTGTATGAGTAGTGTTAAAATAATGACGATGTTGTTTACATAATCGTTGCCGACAAATACCAGAGGGCAAATACGAGAAAAAAAGAACGTTTCAGTCCCCTTAATTCATTGAAATCAAACAAAAAGCAATGAAAAAGAAAGAAACGTGAAGCAATGAAATTAGCATACAAATCAGTCGTTCGCTTGTATCGATGTTCGAATATGTTTATAGCTGATGTGATATTTCGATCTTTAAATCAATCGATATGTTCGACGGAGAATCAATTGGATGATTGTTGCTCGAATAGATACAAATTGATGATACTGTTTGCAGATGAATCAACAATCTGAAAAGGTCATTCAACAATTTCAAATGAACTTTCAATCTTCGTTCTAGATGCATTCGACTGATTATTTTTCGTTCAATCAGTTGATTATCTCATTGTCGATCGTTTTTCTCCTAACTCTTCCTCTCTCTCTCTCCAACTTTTCTGATGTACCGAGATGCGGTGTAAATGGTTGGATATACGTAAGCAAAAGTACAAGCAGCCATCTTGAGCAGTACACCAATACTCGTCGACGATAACAAAACATATGGAATATAATTTGGAAAACATTCATCGAACAAATTAGCAATTTTCAATACAAGAGAAATACTGTTCGAACTTATTTTTATTTGCCGAACATATTTTCCACTTTCATGCCTATATGCGACATCTGTTGACAGCATTATCCTTAGTTTGCTCCATGACATAACAGTAATCGACGGGTTGTTAGCCGATTCTGTTATTTGTTTCCGTGTGTTTGCCGGATATAGAGTACTAATCATAGAAGCGAAGAAAAACTAAGCGTAAATGAGTCAATGAAAGGCTTCTCATTTGCAGTATGGGGTTTAAATGAAGACAACAAGAAGAAATAGTAGACGACAGGGTTTGGTAAACGATGCGATGGTAATGTTAAAATAGCATTCGCTTCGTTTTGATCGGTGAAAGAACGAGAAATAACTTCGCATCTACATTGACATGTCAAATTGTTACAAAACATTCAATTTTGTCGATGACACTGTTGACAAAACGAATCTTTGAGTAAATTAATAGACTTTTTCTTTATGCACAAGAAAAACATTATTATTGATAACCAGATATGCAGCGTGGAGGTCATATATCACGAATAGAGGAATGCATGCTGAGTTAGACTGAGTTGCACTAGAAATCACATGCTTGTTTTGTACACATGTTTTCCGGCAGAAATTACCATCGGTGTTGATTTGTTTGATGAACTTTGAAGAATTGCAAATCAGTTGATCTATTCGTATCAGAGAAAAATATTTGTCTGTCCTTGAAACAATGAATTCAACTCGACAGGAGCAAAACTGCCATTTACATTCGTATACACTCCTACGTATATCTTGATGATCGTAAATCTTGAGGGTGCTCACAAAAATGGGATCTATTTCGAAGAGAGTTTATTGTTATTGCGTCACCAGGCTGAAATCGAACATAGTAACTGAAACTCTTGGTATAAACACTCCTCCGATAGGTAAGAAGTAAGATAAAAGTGTATCACGACTCTTTTTTTTTTGTTATTTTCTGACGTACATCATAACGATATCAGATTAAGTTTGTTGTAGCAACTAGTCAAATTTTGTTATATCTCTGCTGTATATGAATGTCGCGGTCTTTCTATTTTATTACTCATTTCGATCTCGAACACGAGAGTAAAACATAACGGTACATAATCATTATCCTTCTTCGAAAAAAAATGGCACAAATAACTCCGCAAGCAACGGCATACGTCACTATTCAACAGCCGTTAGCGAGTGGCAATCCCTTTAAAAGAGAAGGAGGTGATTGGCATGCGGAATTGTGTGGTTGCTGTGATGATACGAAAGAGTGTAAGACATCCGTTTTGTTTAGAATCGAATTTATCGGGGGAATGTTTGATAGGTTGTATGGCATATTTCTGCTGGTGCTGTTTTCTTGGTTCACTTGCGGATTCAATCAATGAATCCAAATGGTCATGTCTATGCGTTCCAGGTGCATTAGGAATGTACCGTACAAAAGTTCGAACTACATTGAATATTAAGGTAAATGTTTCTTGAGGAAAATTTAATTTCTAAAGAAAAGTGTGCCGTTTTTAGGGTAGTGTTTGTAGCGATTATTGTGTTACTTCATGCTGTGGCTTCTGCGCTGCTGTTCAAATGCGTAACGAGTTGAAATATCACGGAATTTCTTAAACTGACTTACATGCAATTTTTTGATGGAATATCTATTTTTGAAAGAAAGAATTTTCAAATACATTTTTCATCTGTTATACTAAAAATAATACACATTCCTACGACTTGTTGATATCGTATCAGTCTTCCACGTACTCAGATTACAAGTCGTTTGTAATTTGCACTTAACTAACATATTTATCTGAGGCTTCATAAATCTCGTCTATCAGTATTTACTTTAAAGTGCCATATCATCGTTATTTCGAGATAAGAAGAATATCTGTTTGAATAGAAATATAGGTGATCTGATCGAATTATGCTTCATACTGCCATCTATCAAAGATAACATCGAGATCTAATCGGTTGTGAGAAAAAATAAAATTTTGAGATTATTTATCGGGATGAATTCGGTGGAAATTGGATAAAAGACGTTCGAAATCAATCTTCTTCCTGTGTGGAGTATTTCCAAATTTCACCACTTCGTTTCATTCCCACATTTTTGAAAATTTTATAAGCCAACAACAACAAGCGCAATATTCTCTAGTTTTTACCCTGAAATCGATCATGAGTCATCAAGAACAGGAATTGGCGGAAGTAAATCCTGCTCGTGAAAATGAAAGTCACGATGTCACTGAAAATGAAAAACCCTCGGCGGAAGAAAACCGACCGACTGTCGACAAACAGGAACCCATTCGTCGAATGAAACTACCTCAAGATATTCGTTATGCAACTGAACAAAGTGATCGAGACAAACTCTCAGAAAAATACGCACACTATCAAGTCTCCGATGTCAATACTTGCAATATGCGATTTGTCATCGACTATCGACAAAAGAAAAACCTTCTCGGTGGACGACACGATGGTAAGAACGTACAAGTCATTTTGTTCGCGTAATCTGTTCATTCGCTTCGTAGATGAAGATTCAAATTTACATTCGATTGGAAAAACATTCAATTTACATATATTAGTAAATACTGAGCGTTGACTCATACGAACATTTCGCTTGTTTTTCTGTAGCCCGCATATCAAAGTCCTCCAAAACATGCATTTAAAGTATTTGGTACTGAAGCAAACGTACGAAAATGTCTTATTGATCTGTTGAACCGTATATTCAAACAACCTTCACGATCGACAACGCAAAATAATTCGGAAGATCATCAACGTTCAACACCTACTGTCAGCAATGAAGAAACTACGAAAGGTGATGTCACTTGTAGTGTTCTTCATTACAAGTCCGTTTTTCTATTTGTAGACGATCAAAACTCTTCGTCAGATCCCACATCAATATTTGTGACGACGATTAATCCGGATTCATCCGTTACTGAGGAGAAAAAGCCGATCATATCATCAACATCAGATTTCAACGAAGTCAAAGAGGATAATCAGGAACAAGAGCAATACAAATTCGTACCATTGGAGCGTAAACCTGAATACACATTTACAATGTTAATTACAGGTCAAGGACAAGAAGTATTAAAGAGTAAGACGTTGTCGATCGAACTATTTTCTATCACTCGATTTTGCTTTTAGAAAATTGGAACTTTTTTGCTGGATCATTACAACAACGACTCAACGTCACTGTGATGAACGTGAGTGAAGATTAGAAGGCGAAGTATTGAGTTCAACATGTGGATATTTTTAGCCCTTTAAATTGTATAAATTTGGTGATAATCAATGGCAAAATGAACTTGCTATCACGGGTGAATTGTTTGAGAACATAATCGATGCTGCATTACAACTGACTGCTTTTATCAACGATGTTCTCGGTGTACCCAATCAACCATATAAAAGTAAATCGCATTTTCCGATGAATACCAAATAATCCATGTCTATAATAGATGACGAAGAGTATTTGACTAATGAATCCAATAATTATCAACGTTCGAAAATGAATAATAATAATAACAGTAATAACGATTATCATCACTCACAACGTCGTCATGATTATAATAATAATAACAACAACAATAACAGTAATTATCGTCAATCAGCACCGCAACAATATCAAGGACAATCTTCGACGTTTAATAACAACCATCACGAACGAACGTTTTTCAATCGTGGACGAAACAATAGTGTGTATGAACAAGTGATTCTCATTCGAGGCAATTGTGTTGCACGTATCGTTGGTATGTAGCAAGAAAATCACACTTGTCGGTATACAAATTCGTCTACACTTTTAGGTACACGCGGTTCTAATCTACGACGCATTCAAACCAAATGTCATCTACGTGATATTATTGTTGCACGTCATCCAAACGAAAATGGCTATGTCGATTGTACATTAACTGCCTATCAAACACAAAATCTCACTTTTGCTATTGACACCATACGTGGTTTCCTACGAAACGAAGACGATCAAGCTATACAAATTCTCGAATCTCGTTACATCGATCTTCCATTACAATCATCATCTTATCAAAATTCGCTTCAACATGACCAACCACAACTCTCAGCACCCAATCAAAACAGAGAAAGTTCTCAGCAATATTCTTTCAATAATAATAGTCGTCCACAACAACCAACAATGACGTTTCCAGCTTCTTTCGAATCAAATTCCACTAATAGAGAACCCGGTAAATATATTCAACATTTCATATGTCAACAGGATTTGAAAAAGTCAATATCTATTTAGGTTTTATGACAAGACCTTTACATTATGGTAATGGTACTCAGTTACCTCAACCCTCTTACAATTTTCGTAATACTCCTTCGTTCGATTTTACTCATCAACCGACATCAGCTGCTCGTAAAACGGATAAACGTCCAGGTGAAATCAATGATTGTACTACCAACCAATCTACAGGTCAAACACGAACATCTAGCGATTGTCAAACTCAAAATAATCTTGATTCGTCATCGTCGAATTCTTCGTCGGTTTCTCCACGACACCAGTCAAAACGTACGTGTCCGGAAACAAAAGAAATTGATTGCACTACTGACGAAGGATTTTGGGTTCAAAAGCAATACTACCATGCGTTGGATGATGCATCGAAAGAATTATTCGATTCTTTACTCGATAAATTAGAAAAAATCCGTATTGCTAATGAAGAAAATGCAGCAAGAAAACAACAACGTCTAGTCGGACGAACCCGTGCTAATAAATCACGAGCTTATCTAAGTTCCATGACACATGCAAATGGGGAGAAGGATTTCATCAAACAAGAGGAGAAGGTAGATCATCCATTTCGATCTTCAACCTGTACTATCTTCACTGTTATTGTTTAGAATGAAGAATTAACACATAGCAATGAACAAAAGGAAGAGAAAGATGTATCCCAACCAACACCTGAAGTCAATAGTGATTCCAACTAACGCATATTTATATGAACGTCAGATATGAACTCAATGAATTTTCTTTGTCTTAATCTTTCTCCTTTTCATTTCAATGGCAAAATCTGTCTCTGTATGTGATTTTTCGCCTCTGAACATCTAATCTAGACTGATGGTTATTAAACGAGACGTACTTTAGTATTCCTGATAAATACGTCTTGTGATTAGAAGGTGTTTTATGTATTCTTGAAAATTTAGTAGAACTTTCGCAGTTTATTATGTTCATTTTTTGTCGGATGAAAGAAGAGAGGATCGAAATAGAAAAGAAAGATCTGTAAACAAAAGCCTTTTCACAGTGGGAATTTTTGTTCACGGGAAGGGAAAAGCTGGGTATTTTTCGTCCAATCGAAAACTTTAACGACTGAATATGACTATTCTAGATATATATTGCATATTGAAATTTGAATATGACAGACCATCGATGTAAGTGCACATATTTTCTGTGTAGAAAACGTTGACGTTTCACATTTGTTAGTTGCATCTCGAACTTTTACGAATTCAAATTCAACGTATAATTCTATGAGTAATAATCGTTCAGAACGAAATCATTCTCGTACACTGGTCGATGAAGATTGGGATGCGGAAATCGAAGACGCGAATACAAAGCCAAGGTTAACGAATTTTATTGTTGTTTGTCTTTAATTTGGTTAGATTTTAGTTTACCAAGATTCGATCGAATTGAAAATCAGTCCGTTCGAGATTTTCAAGATCAGACCCGTTCGTTTAGCAATTTCGATCGCAACAACGGAGGTTATGCACATGGAGGAAACTCCCGGGATTATTTAATTGATAGTAATGACGTACCGCGATTGATTGGAAAAGGCGGAGCCACTATTAAGCAACTTCAACGAGATAATAATGCACAAATTAAAGTTTCTAACGATCGACAAAGTCAATGGGTAGATCTGGTGATATCAGGCGCGAATGATCAAGTTATTAATAATACTTTTAATCAAATAAAACAATTTCGAGTGTCGATCAAAGACAAAAGTGAGCCATTTCCAAGCAAGCCAACTTTTTCGTCAGGTATTCTCAGAATCTTCTGGATCATTTCTATAGAATTTGTTTATCAGGATTTACCACAAATAACACGTTCTCTCAAAGTTCCAACGGATTTTCGTCGTCAACATCTCGACTGAATGATTACAGTACCTTAAGTTCTCGCGGACGAGGATTTACAAGTGTGTTGATTCGAACCAACTTTTTCATAGACTAATCAAAACGTTTTCCTGCTAGATTCATCAAATACATACGATAATTCTTCGTCTCGTTCGAATTTCAATAAAAGATCGAATCGTCGTTTCGACCCAGCTGGAAATGAAGATGATGATGAATACAACAACATGTTTGGTTCTGACGAGGAAACGTTGGACAATCGAGAAAAGCCGAATTTTACCTCTGCCTTTCCATCGACAACTTCATTATGGAATACAAATACTTTCGATCCAAGCAAACGTGTCGATTGGGCAAAGATGCGTCAGACGGATACGGTAAACGACATGACAAAGTGGAAAGATTTTCCACCAGTTATCAAAGATTTCTATCACGAATTGCCTGACATTGCACAAATGCTTCCCGAAGATGTTGAAGCCTTGCGTGCCGAGAAGAACAACATTGTCGTGTCATGGTTTGATACGTCAGCGAAAGACGAATATGAGAAGAAAAACAATTGTAAATTAGCCATACCAAATCCAATCTATGAGTTTGCACACGCATTTCACAATTATCCAGAAATAATGAACGAAATTGCCAAGCAAGGTTTTACTGAACCGTCACCAATTCAATGCCAAGCATGGCCAGTCGCATTGCAAGGACAAGACTTTATTGGAATTGCACAAGTGAGGATTCGAATCGAAAAACTGCACGGTCGATGCGTCAGATTATGATTTTTAGACTGGTACGGGAAAAACATTGGCTTTCCTTCTACCTGCATTGATTCATATCGATAATCAACCTCCGTAAGTCATAGCAGATTGTGAATGATTCCTGTGGAAATTGGCACGCATGTCTTTGTCATCATGTAGAGCAAAGATTAAGTACCAAGGTCCGAAAGCACTGATTCTCTCGCCCACACGTGAATTAGCGATTCAAATTCATCAGGAAGTACAAAAGTATAGCTATCGTGGTATTCGTAGGTGAGTTTATATTGCTTGATCTTATGGCATGATCAATTTCGTCTCGTCTAGTGCTGTGATATACGGCGGTAGTAGCCGAAAAAATCAAATCCATCAGTGTGAAACAGGTAATCCATTTTTTTCGAAGAAGATCATCATATACGTCCGTTTAGGTGTCGAAATCATTATTGCTACCCCTGGCCGCCTCAATGATCTTGTAATGAGTAATGTCATCGATCTTCGATCTGTTACTTTTCTGGTATATTTCTCAGTCTCGAAGTTCTATTTTCTTTCAGCATTCCGTTCTAGGTTCTGGATGAAGCTGATCGAATGGTAAAAGATAATTAAGAAGAGGCTGTCGTTTTAATTACGAGAGAAGCACTTTTCTAGTTAGATATGGGTTTTGAACCACAGATTGTCAAGATTCTTTTGGACATTCGGCCAGATCGTCAAACTATCATGACTAGGTTTGATTTCCGAGAAAAATATAAATAACAAATTCACCTATGACGTTACAGTGCAACTTGGCCCGAAGAAGTACGACGCATCGCTGCACGTTATATGCGCAATCCTATTCAAATTTACATTGGTACTCTTGATCTAGCTGTATGGTTTTTCGAGTCGACATGAATTACTTCATGAAAGTTCTGTTTTTCGTCGCTATAGGCTGTACATAGTGTTCGACAGGATATTGAAATTGTAAAAGAAGAAGAAAAATTTGATATGGTAAAGAGTATGAAACCGGTAAGAGTTCCGCTATCCGTTTTTTGTTTTCAGTTATTGGATTTTATTGGTCGGATGGATGCTGAAGACAAGGCAATTGTCTTTGTTGATCGTAAATCATCGTAAGTTGTGTCTGATTATGATCAATATCGATCTCAATCCTGATGATTCGTGTTTTCAGCGCTGACGCTATTGCCAGTGAACTTATTCGAAAACATATATCTTGCCAATCAATTCATGGTGATCGGTAACGTATTTAAGGCAGTATTGTTATAGAAAAGAAAATTTTTGACTGATTTGATAGAGAACAAAGTGATCGTGAACAAGCACTAGAGGATCTCAAATTGGGCACTGTAAATATTCTCGTGGCGACGGACGTCGCTTCGCGTGGGTTGGATATTCAAGATATTACGTAAGTCAAGTGAAAAGACGAATGTAGTTATCACCTTGATGTTTAAGTGTTGTCTTTAATTACGATTTACCGAAATCAATGGAGGATTATGTACATCGTGTTGGACGAACTGGTCGTGCCGGTAGAACAGGTTGGCGCTTCATACTCACATTATAAAGAATGTTTTGGACAATCCAAGTTTTTCCTTATAGGCTATGCCATCTCATTGGTTACACGGGAAAACTGGGGTAGTGCTGGCCGGTTGATCAAGATTTTAGAAGAAGCCGGCCAAGTACCTAGTTCGATTCTGAAACAGCGCTAGAGAAAGTGAATTTTTGGTACGTGTTTAGAATGTTCCGGGAGAATTGCGGACAATGGCCGAACGTTTTAAAGCAGTACAAGACAAGAAACGTGAATTTGGCGGTGGTCGAAATCGTTACGGCAATGGTGGTGAGGGTCGGTTCTTTGGTCTTGGTTCGATCAATCCACGTGGAGGTTCTAATGCACGAGATCATCCAAAACTACCTGCGATGAACTCAGGTAAATCATTGCCTTCATTCTTGGCGATTTTCACTCTTCATTGTTTTTATTAGGATGGTCATTTGCTTCGTGAAAAATGTACGTTTTATTGATCTTTGCCTTTATGCAATTATGAACAATTGTCGTCGATTCATGTCTATTACTACTTTTTGTTCAAACGTCTTGAAACGGAACAGATCAGTGATCAAATCTACCTTCGTTTTACTGTTAGTCAGATTTGATTCGATATTGTTTTGAATACAGCTTTGATTTTGAATAAACTGAAAATGTCGTGAAAATCTTCATCTTCTTGACCATTGAAAAGCAATAAGAATATAACAGTAAAGATTAGCGACAGCTATAAATGCCATCGTCTACACAATGATTGTCAGCAGCCAATGGAATTTTTCGAACAAAATTAAATAAATAAAATTATATTAAAGCAGGCAAAGAATACGTATGAATTCAAATCAAACATAGGCTTAAAATCAATGAAATTAACTAGCAAAAGTTTGTAACTATGAGTGAAGCCTTGAATACGAATCCATGTATTAATTCTGAAGCTCATAAGGCACTTCAGTATCTTCATCGACGCTCAACAGAGGACGAAGATTATGACGACGATGAAGGAGATGAAGTTGAAATCGAAGTCGAAGGAATAACTGGATTTGAAGATGATGGTGAAGATGAAGAAATACAACGAATTGTTAAAACAAAAAGCGATAGTGCTCTCACCTCACAACACTTCGCTGATCAACTAAACCATCCCATATGTTCACCAAAGCCCACATTGTCATTAAATTCTCGTCCATTCTCTACTAGTGTTGGTCATGGTGCTCAATGTATACTTAGAGTAACCGTCTTTCTTCACTAACCATTTGCTTATTTAAATCTCCTTCGTTTAGACTCCTGTTGCTTCTCCCGTGAAACATGATGATCGTAAAGTTACTCAGAATACGGATATATACGTTACTCAAATGTACTATGGCGAACATTCTGCAACTAGTACGAGCACACACTCAAAACAATCGGCGGGTCCTATCCGAAAATCAAACGTGCATTCTCAGTCTTTCAACTCAGTAAATATATCATATCTTATCTTTGGATCTGATTTTGAACTTCGGCTTTGTTTTTCAAATAGAATCAGCCTTTTGATGAAAGAATTGACTTTTCTTTCAAAGTGCGTTCGACAAGAGTCATTTTTGTTAACAATGACGGTTACCGACGTGCTTGTGAATTATTCCGTTCTCGTAAAATTGTATATGAACCCACTCGCAACTACCCCGATATTTGGTCGTTTTGTTTAAATTCACGAACTCTACGATTCTATCGTTTATCTGACTATGAGCCAATCAAAGCTGATCTTTCACAAGAATTTCAAATCCCGCAAACACATCTATGCCCATACAGCCTATTAGCCGAAAAGGAACCATACTGGTTCCAATTTGAAAAACGACCAGACTTTGAAGACATGTTGTTTAATAATAACGTTGACGCCGAATTAGTCGATCCGACCCCAATTACAAACAACACAATACTGGGTAAAATCTTATTCTGTCGTGAGGTTCATCTGAATCTGTCTTACGGTGCACTGACATCAATGAACGATTATTATTATCATCCGGAATATAATTTTCAAAAGTCAAACGAATGGAAAGTAAGTGATGAGAGATATTTTCCATTCGATTTGTACACGATTGCTTTCTGTAGTTAACTTTTCGATTAAAAAAGTTCGAAATTGATCGATTAGAGGAGAAGAAAGTCATCGATGGCAATCGGTATACAAAAAAGTACAGAAGATCCGTCATACCAGCTGATTTAATCGATCGGACAGCAATCATTACCGTTAATCAACTAGGCTTTACTGTTTATATTTGTATCAAAGGAAATGTTCATGAATTCACTGGAGTATCTCATCCAAGTAGATGACTTTCTTGCTTATTTTCTTCTTTCACATGCTGTTTCTCTTCCACTTAGACAGTCATTGCCTGGAAACCGAACGTTCTTCATCGTTCAACGAAGATTGTCCGATATTTTCCACAGTATGTATACACGCGTTCGTAAAGAACAATCAATCGCATGCGAGCAATTATTATGAAAAATATCGTGCGCTTGGACAGGTGAAAGAATTGTTTAAATATTTCCTGGATTTTTTTTATGCCAACCAAATTTCGGTCTGTTTTGCATCCATTAAACATCATCGCGGATGTTTAACTAATCTCCCTCATTTGTCTGATCAACTTACTGATCCTATTCAACTTTATGCATTTTCAATGTTGAGAAACGTTGGTTACCGTACAGAACAGAAACTATATGATCTGCGAACTCTACAAACTTCATTACTTAACTTAGTTGGCAATGACAATGATAAATTTTATCGTTTATGCCTTTATTTATTCCGAAGAGCTACAGAATTCCATTTCTTGGATGTAAGTTACTCAGAGATGAATTCTTTCTTTCTTTTAATCAGATATGTTTCTATTGCAAGCTTGAATATGAATTGAAACAAGCAGATAATGAGTATCGAAAGCAATTAGAACAGTGTCAAGCGGTCAATGAGACCATGGCTACAATTCTATCGCCACCCAGAACAAAGTAAATCTTGCGTGGGAAAAAAAATAAACACAATGGATGCTTTGATTAGTTATGCATATGTACCGTCTATACGAATAACGCCAACGACAATTCAGATTCATCCGTTCAAACTTGTAAAACTTCATCGTGTCATTCGAGACATGAACTTCAAGGATCCAATGAGTTATGCTTTGGTTGAAATACGAGACGAAGCCAAGCGAGCACTATACGCACGAGATTTTCGTTCGTTACGAGACAGGTTCGGACGTATTTTAACCGAAGGCATCCGAGTGAATAAATCAAGATACCAGTATCTTCACCATTCTATGTCACAAATCAAAGAAAAGCAATTTTGGTTTTTGGACAAGCACTATTCCTTGGCTGATGTCTTAGTATGGATGGGAGATTTCAATAGCGAAAATGTTATTGCCAAACATGCTGCCCGAATAGCGCTGTGTTTTACGTCAACTGATCCATCAATTCGAGTAAGAGAAAATCTGTTGTATGAACTTCTCTTCTATTAGGAAAATCTGATATTTGCTTATAGATTCCTGCTGAGCTGGTCACGTACATTCCTGACATTGAAACACATGATAAGCAGTATTGTTTTACAGATGGAGTTGGCACTATATCACAAACACTGTGTAAAGAGGTTTGTTTGAAATGATCGAGTTTGATTAGACTACGAAAGGATAGAGTATTTTTAGGTACAAAAAGCTATGGGTCGACGCTTCATGCCTAGTGTTCTGCAAATTCGATATGGTGGCTGCAAAGGTTTGATGAAAAGTTCGGTATATTGCTCAAACGCAATATTTTCTCTATCTAGGGACGCTTTCTGTCGATCCTACTCTAGATGACAAGCGCTATCAGCTTGTTATCCGGGAATCGATGCGAAAATTTACTAGTGAACACGATCAACTGGAAATTTGCAAAGTCTCATCGCCGCGTATGCTATGGTTTTCGATTAAAATTAACCTATAAACACCTAATTATTGTTTTAGGTGCACTTCATCTTAACAGACAAAATATTCTTCTTCTATCAAGTCGGAACATATCCGATTCGTATTTTCTGGTTTTACAAAACGAAAATCATCTTTGGCTCGTCCAGGCTCTACTTTGCTCATCGATTGCATTTGAATTACTGAACGAGCGTGTTGACTCGTCGTATTTCAATTTTCGTGATATAGCCAATGCGATCAACCTGGTTGAAGAACCGTTTTTCCTTCAACTGATTATCACCTGTGGTCATGATTGCGTATCGAAATTTCAACAACGAGCGAAAATCAAAGTTGCAAAAGACAAAGCAAGAAACATGTTTGGTATAGTGGATGAGTATGGCGTTCTAGAATACGGACAAGTGTTTATACAATACAGTCATATCAATGATGAAAAATTAGAGTCATCCGATAAGCCAGCGGTTGTTCCGCCAAAAGTTTTAGATAATGTTCAAGTAGTGATAACGAAAAATCCATGTCATCATCCAGGAGACTTACGAACATTCACAGCGGTCGATCGAAGAGAATTAAGGCATCTTGTTGATGTTGTAGTCTTTCCACAGAAAGGTCGTCGACCGCATCCCAATGAAATATCAGGCAGTGATCTCGATGGTATGTTTGATCTTACGAGTGGAGATTAATATGGGCTCATTCGACTGTTTTCAGGTGATGAGTATGCAGTCATTTGGGATCCAGATTTGGTTCCGAAAACGGAAAATGATGTACCATATGATTATGATTCTCAGGAAAAGCCAAAAAAATTTGGCCAACATATCGAGCGAACAGATATTATTAACGTTGTTCTTGACATAGCTGCACAGAATTTAACCGGTGATATGTCGAATACACATTTGGCATTAGCAGATAAATTAGATCCACGTCATCCTAAAGTATCGAAATTAGCTGGATTGATTTCACAAGAACTTGATGCGCCAAAAACCGGCAAGCATCCAATAAGTAGCGAAGAATTAAATGCCATTCGAAATGAATTACTTCAAGGCCTTTTCCCCGATTTTATGATGAAAGAACGTTATAAATCGTATTCATCTGAGAAAACAATTGGTAAGGATGCAAATTCTGCACGAGGAAATAGCCGGACTTTATTTTCTCAGGTCAATTGTATCGCTCGGCTCGTCGTGCTATTATTCGTTGGTACAAAGCCACTCGGACACATTGTAGTCTGCGTCATTTACATTCCGCACAATTGGATGACGAACTGTATCACGAAAATCATCCTCCTATATCGAATGGACATTCATATCAAGATTCTTCTAGCAGTGAAGTATACTATGAACCATCATTGATTCCCGATCCTCTCATTCATCATCCGCTGTCTTACAAGGAGAAAAAGTTCGCTACGACTCTTTTTTCACAGTATCGTGAAGGCTTGCGTAACATCATAAGTGTATTTAATTACCAAGATGAAATCGATTTGTTTTGTCGATGTGAGCCACTCGATCAATTAGCATCAGGAAAACAAGATTTAAACATATCAGCTGCTCTTGAATTACAACGATTAATCGATACAACTCGCCGACATTTTTATCGTAGTTTCGATCAATTAGCCGACGATCCGAATTCTCAGCCGCCTCATTGCGGGCCATGCACGCGCGATCACTCGTGTGAAAAATGCAAAGAAGTCAAATTAGCCAGAGCAGCTGCTTGTTACAACGTTTGCTACACGACTGCTGCTCGGCAATCAACGAAAGCTCGCTCTCGCATATTAAGCTTTCCTTGGCTATTCAGTTCGTTTCTTATTGAACTGAGAAAAGAGAATAAAAAATCAAACAATTCTCCATCGAAGCATATCGTCATTGGCCGTGCCATGCGTAATGTTGCTAAACGATTATTGGAAGAAAACGATTTGAAATTGAAAGTCTATATTGCACCGTATGCCGAAGAAGGTCATCTTTTTCTTCGTACCATCAAATCAACTAGCAGAAAAACGATCAAACCACTCAACGTGGAGCCTGATATACAAACAAGTACCATGTGTTTAATCAAGATTTTATTTATCGAAATTATGAACCATTGGATACAACGACAGAAGATTTTCGGTGATCGTAAGTGCAAAATATAATTTATCAAATCTAGATGTTGCTTTTCGTCTGCAGCTTCATCGATATGTCGAGACAAAAAGCCGATGATTAGAGAAATTTGCTGGCATCAATTACTCCAATGCTTCATTCGAAAAGAAGATGATTTAGACCTCATCGATCCTTTCGAAGAACACAAAATTGTCTTTCAAACAAACCATCATCATATTCAAATGACCGAACGTTATACAAAGTTCATTCAAAATCAAACATCGATTCACTCATCAAAATTCGATACTGCTATGTATGAGTATTCCGTAACTCTGATACGCGTCTGTTTCCAACTTGCACGACAATGCCGATCGAATGAATATGCATATCTAAGCGATTATCTTGTCCTAGCTTTACAGTCGGTTGGAATCGAGAAAGATTTCAATGATATTATCTTTGATCTTGATAACTAGTCAAACACATTTTTCTTCAGATTTTCCTCTCTATGTGTGTGTATATAACACTCAAGACATGAGTATGATAAGTTTTCTCCGTCAGAATGTTCTAATGCGCTGATTTTGCTATATGTAACTCTATTTTTTTTTCGTTTTTTTTTAAATTGACTATCTATCTTGGACTTGTTATTAGTCGAGTTTAACACATCAAATACTTTCAGTTGAATTGATAGTGAAATGTAGTTAATTTGAATTGTTCCCGACGTTCTAGCAGCTAAATGTGTTGTTTTTTGTTTCTTTCATTACGTGTGTCGCTGTGTTATCTTGTCGAAAAAAAAATGTTCTGTCCGCTATTTGTTTTGTACTGTAACAGTTATGTATAGAGTAAACGAATAAAACAATTGAAGAAAATGTTGAATGAGAAGACATTGGGAAATACTTGATAAACGAATGAAGTATCAGACTTATATGTGAAAAAACTCCGCGATCCGAGAGTCAAAGAGAAATGATGATGAAGACCTTGATTTCTCTTGGCAGTTGCTTGATCATAGTATCACTCAAGTAGATTTCATTTGTTTAAGTACTTCTCACCCAAATTTATTTTCTGCAAGCGTAATTGGAATTGTAACACAATAAGAGAATCGTCAAAAACACAAATAACGAACTATTTTCCTTGTTGATATTATTCACACACACGAGGGAAGCTGATGTAAGTAGCAAAATATATTCGAAAGAGGTCTCTGTTTAAGATTAGAATATCGCAGCTGCTTATATTCTATCGGCCTACGAATTGAAATAATAAGTACACAGTACATGAATAGTTTGGTTAGTGAAAATGTAGCTGTGTTTCTTTCCGACTGGCACGATTCAATGGTAATCATCCGGCATTTATTAGAAAAGAAAATATATTTTAACATTTGCTTTTCTCGTTGATGTAAACACGTTGTTTGTAGTGTAAGTTTGAAGATTTAATTCTATATTCTTCAAACCGGCAACTAGACATGTCATTTCTTTTTCTACGATTCCTGCTTTCAGTTACTCGTAGTTGCAGTGGGCGTGTGTCGTTCATTGATGAAATGTGAAGTATTCTTCTAATGCTATGAAAAATATTTATAAAGGAATGACGCATTTCCATGCTTTGATTAAATTTAGTAGTACATGTAAGGTAATGTTCATAATATTGTGCCGGTGTATATACCTATCGTAATAGTTTATCAGATACCTCGACAATTTTCCTTGCGCAAGTATTCAGAGGACAGTTAAACAAGCTAACGAATATGACAACACGCCAAACGAGTGAAAATCTTTCAAGTAGTAGCGGAATATTTTTTTTGACTAAACGAACTACCGAATTTTTTCCCCAAAAAGAGACTCGTACTCACTGATAGTTTCAATTATCGTTTCTTTCTGCTATAGTCATTCTTGCCTGTTTTTCCTTATATATATGTTTCGAACCAATATAAGCACGTACTTTCAATAGTGATCAATCGACTGCAAACCTTCATAGCTGATTCTGTAAGAAGTTCGAGTTTTAATTGAGCACACCAACTTCTCTCATTAGTAGTTTGACCATGAAGAAGTACAGGTATTTCTCCTTACTCTTACCATGCATGAAATCAGTTTCGTTCTGCCGATAAAAACGAGCTTCCGCCTCACTCAAAATACGCATATTAAATAATTCTTTCTCCTATGTTTGATACTTCCCTATTTCAGTATAGATTGGTTGATCTGGAATCTTATTGCCAAGCCGTATTTATGAGTGATTAAACTACAAAATTTATGCAAACACGGCGTCTTATAATTCTTGCCCTTGCACTCGTTACAGTCTACCTTATATTTCATCATACCGATCTTAATGTCTTAATAATAAAGTATGATAGAATTAGTCCCTATAATAAAACCATAACATCGTTCAAAACAAACTGGATCATACTATCGAATCCTATTCAACTCCAGCAATATCTCACCGCTCCCCAACCAAATGTTTCTGTCATTCTTACCGGTAATCATCCAAGTGTCAACCCGCCTCCCAACAACCTCACCATCATTTTTCTCAACTCAAAACTTCTCGCCACACTCTCATTTCGAACAACAAACATCAACACCATTGCCTACCTTCTTGCTATCAAACATGGCGCTCGTGTCATCTATCAGCTCCATCCTGACACTCATCTATCGCATCTTCGACTGCGCCACTATCAATCGCAAGACATCCACCATGTTGCATTTCGTCGACAGCGATCACCGTTCGTCAACATTCTGCCGACGTTCACAGCGGACTTCAACTCTTCGCTGCCAGGTCTCCCACAACAAGAACTCATCAACATTACCCAAGACGGATGGTCCTCCATCAGAAAGCTGCTTCCCTACGGAGAGACCATCCGCCCACTCATTCAACAGCATATTCCGACACCACTTGCAACTGGTAGTACTGGCTCATCTTTTGTTGATCATCCAGCAGTGGCTGTCGAACCGATGACATTTGCACCGTTCACATCAACGAATGTGCTCTTCACTTATGATGCTTTCTGGGCATTGCCTCTACCAGAGACATACTCACATATCTGGCGAAGTTGGTGGGTGCAAAGATTGTTGTGGGATGTTGGCGGCCACTTGGTGTTTCATTCGTCTGCCGTGAGTCGGATGAACTCGGTGTTGCCAGTAAACTATGGGCAGACAGTGCAAGAAGATGAAAAGACAAGCAAACTAGTTCGATATCTGAGCGAATGGACATCATCAAAGGCAACACTAGTGGAACGAATACGGGATCTGATGGCGGACATGGTGAAACATAAGTTTTGCGAAGTAAGTGAACTGAAAGTGATGACGGACTGGATTATTGATTTGGACACAGTGCGTTACGCGTTTCCTTCAGTAATACAATCGAAAGTAAGAGATGAAGATGTTATTTTATTCGAGTACTCTCATTCTCAACCATTCAGAACTCGCAACAACCACGTCGTCGGCGAACAGCTGTTTGTTTAACAGGACTGATCGAATGTGTGGAAGAAGCATGGAGGAAAACGAGTGATGCAATTCGATTGCATCTCAATGGTGAAATAGACGTATTCATGTACTTGTCATCAACAGAGCCTCTTGTTGATCAACTACCAACGATTCCACTACGCACTCGAATGATTGAAGCACTTCGATACTCCAACTTCACAGTTAAGGTACTGTTTGAGAACATCCCAAAGCTCGATCCACAATTTCCACCGAACTGTACAACAGATGCAAGTGTGGACCAGCCTCCACACAAGGTACCTCGTTATTATCAACAGCTGTTTGGGTTGAGTAACTGTTTTAGTATGGTTCGTGACTATGAGAAGAAATACAATGTCAAGTATGATCTAATGGTACGGACGCGAGCTGACATAGAATTTCTAAAGATACCGTCCACATTTGAACGATCGTCACCCTTTGATATTAATGACACGTTAATTCTACCGCCTAATCGCTTCAGTTCGAAAGTGGACGACGGCTTTGCAATCGGTCCAATCGATTCCGTTGAAGTTTACATGAATCGATACTATTCGTTTCGACAATGTATAACACGTGATCTACATCCAGAACGTTATTTATATTTCTATCTAAATCATCGGAAAGTAAAAATGACTATTGATCATGGTACCGTCGTAGCACACATTCCTCATTCGCCGAAACATTGCCACTAATGATGCGTCGAAACAAGCACTATGTGAAAAACCGATTCGTCTCCTTGTGATGAAGTTTGTTGGCTGTTTATATGGCGATGGGTACTAACCTTTTCTTGTTGAGTAATTGTACATGCTTTTGCTGAAGATACGCTAAATGTCAATTGTTGATAAAGTAACTGTCCAATAACGCTTATGCAACGGTTCCAATGTCGAGCTTCTCTTTCGTTTTATTGTTAAGTATTTTCGGATAATAAAGTCACCGTCGCTTGATTATTTATGTAAAGAAGATGTAGAACCTAAGAGTTCAAAGATTATGTTTTATTTGTCATCTCGTCGAGAATCTGGTTTTTCTAATTGATTATATTAAGATAGGTAGTGTGCTAGGTATAGGAGGTTTCACGATGAACCGATCGCGAACACATAGAAACAATGAGCAAAATACTATCGAAGCTTCTACAAGTGTTTCGGAACAGGAGACTGAAGAAGTGACAAGGTAAGTTAAAAGATATTTTATATCTACGTAGGACGCACGCCAGGCAAGATTCAAGAAAAAATTTTTTTTCGCCGATACTTTCATAGGATCCGAAGCAGTTTGATGCGCTGAATCCGAATATGTACGATTTATTGAGGAAAAAAAGTCGTTTTGGAAATGATTTAAATGAAGATGGAACAGCAAAAGACTTTTTAAGGAACATAATCAGCATTTTGGATATTGGGAATTTATTTGAAGCAATCTCAGAAGATACCTAGGCATTTTGCTACGTTAATGGAAGAAGATCACTTCAGAATAAACTCAGTCGAGATGACCAATAATAAAAAAAACAGTTCGATAGGTATTTGAAACGATTGTGAGAAAGAACTTTATCATTATAAACATTTAATTGACTGAAAAAAAGAGAATAGGCGAAAAACGCTGTTAAAAATCAGACAACACATGTACGATAGGAAACGTCGAAAAATAACCAAAAAAATCTTGAGAATGAAAGTGAGTTAAGGAAAGGAAATACATGGAATATATCTCTAGCATCTATGAAGTCGAATGGTGAAAGAAAAAAATACCCATCTTCAGTAGAAAATGAGTTAATGTATTTTCAATGTGAAGGACTCAACTATTTCGTGCACTGACAGAAGCGAAATTTTTTAATGATAAAGATATGAACCGAACACTCAAAAATTAGTCTCCTAGAATCAGATTTTCATGTTAAATCAGGAGAAAAATATTCCAAAGCGATAGCAAAAAGTTTTGAAACCCTAACAACAAAATCCTAACAAAGACATGTTTTTTTTTGGAGCCACAGGTTTTTGCCGTATTTTTCGATTTTCACTATGAAGACGACTTTTTTTCTCAATAAATCATACATATTCGAGTTCAGTGCATCAAACTGCATCGGAGCAATATGAAAAAATCGGCGAAAGAAATTTTTCCTCGAATCATGCCTGCCGTACACCTTACATTGGTGAAGAAAAGAACATTTTAAACATGACTCGTCGCAACTATATAATCAACTTTGAAGAGCGAAAGAAATACACAAACATGGTTGCAATTGTTGCTATGAGAAAGTGTACTTTTTCATTTCACAACGTACACGCCAAGGTCATTATATTCTTCGTGTCGACTAACAGAATTGTCAATTCGACAGTCTGATAGCTGATTTGCATTTCGAATAATCTAAAATGCATGCACGTTCCAATAATTCCACACAGGATGATTCTGAAGGTTTGAAACACGACATCAATATCATGTTGATTGAAATCGTCGCGCTCATTATATCGAGCGACATCGCTATTTCCTAATATATCGCATTGTGTAAGTCTTTTCTTTCTGAAACTCTTTCACGCTTTCAGGCATCTACATGTCTCACGATGGTACGAGTCAATAATGCGTCTATATTTTGATATTTGATATCATGAAGTCACGTTAAAAACCCTAGACTAACGATCTACAGATACATCCAAAGATGAAAAATGAAAATTACGGTATTGCCCTACCTCAGCAGGAAGCCTTCTCTGACGAAGTATCGTTTTCGTGTGCTTAAAAGACAACGCACAGTGTGAAGGAAAAGTGTCCACGTTTTTTTTAGATACAATCATTCCTACAACAATTCAATAATTCAGCATCAATCTCTGGAATACTAGAGTTACCCTTTCAAAAAATCAGTACCCTAAGCACTGCTTCCATTTCTTTCGAGACATAAAATCGTGATATTACCGACCAAATGCTCCTGAAACAGCACTTGAACATATTCTATCATCGATTTCCTCATCAAGTCAGTGCGACATGTTTAGCCATTATCATCTTGTTCATCGCGCCTTCAATATACGTATACTTCGAATCTCCGAATCCAATTTTAAATAAATATTTTAAAAAAGGCGAGCCATGCGATATCCCGCCACTCACACATTGGCTCATACTATCGAATCCTATTCAACTCCAGCAATATCTCACCGCTCCCCAACCAAATGTTTCTGTCATTCTTACCGGTGATCATCCACGCGTCAACCCGCCTCCCAACAACCTCACCATCATTTTTCTCAACTCAAAACTTCTCGCCACACTCTCATTTCGAACAACAAACATCAACACCATTGCCTACCTTCTTGCTATCAAACATGGCGCTCGTGTCATCTATCAGCTCCATCCTGACACTCATCTATCGCATCTTCGACTGCGCCACTATCAATCGCAAGACATCCACCATGTTGCATTTCGTCGACAGCGATCACCGTTCGTCAACATTCTGCCGACGTTCACAGCGGACTTCAACTCTTCGCTGCCAGGTCTCCCACAACAAGAACTCATCAACATTACCCAAGACGGATGGTCCTCCATCAGAAAGCTGCTTCCCTACGGAGAGACCATCCGCCCACTCATTCAACAGCATATTCCGACACCACTTGCAACTGGTAGTACTGGCTCATCGTTTGTTGATCATCCAGCAGTGGCTGTCGAACCGATGACATTTGCACCGTTCACATCAACGAATGTGCTCTTCACTTATGATGCTTTCTGGGCATTGCCTCTACCAGAGACATACTCACATATCTGGCGAAGTTGGTGGGTGCAAAGATTGTTGTGGGATGTTGGCGGCCACTTGGTGTTTCATTCGTCTGCCGTGAGTCGGATGAACTCGGTGTTGCCAGTAAACTATGGGCAGACAGTGCAAGAAGATGAAAAGACAAGTAAACTAGTTCGATATCTGAGCGAATGGACATCATCAAAGGCAACACTAGTGGAACGAATACGGGATCTGATGGCGGACATGGTGAAACATAAATTTTGCGAAGTACGTGAGATGCGTATAATAGAAAATTGGGTTGAAGACTTAGCAAAAGTGAAATATGTTTATCCAACTATCAAAACAATCACACCATCAAAGGTAACAGATAAAAGTGACCATTTTCTTTGCTACTTTTACCTTCGTACCGTGTAGGACTCGCAACAACCACGTCGTCGGCGAACAGCTGTTTGTTTGACAGGACTGATCGAATGTGTGGAAGAAGCATGGAGGAAAACAAGTGATGCAATTCAATCGCATCTCAATGGTGAAATAGACGTGTTCATGTACTTGTCATCAACAGAACCTATTATTGCACAGTTACCAACAGTTCCACTACGTACTCGCTTGATCGAAGCACTTCGATACTCCAACTTCACAGTTAAGGTACTGTTTGAGAACATCCCAAAGCTGGATCCGCAGTTTCCACCGAAGTGTACGACAGATGCAAATGTGGACCAGCCTTCTTTCAAGGTACCTCGTTACTATCAACAGCTGTTTGGGCTGAGTAACTGTTTTAGTATGGTTCGTGACTATGAGAAGAAATACAATGTCAAGTATGATCTAATGGTACGGACGCGAGCTGACATAGAATTTCTAAAGATACCGTCCACATTTGAACGATCGTCACCCTTTGATATTAATGACACGTTAATTCTACCGCCTAATCGCTTCAGTTCGAAAGTGGACGACGGCTTTGCAATCGGTCCAATCGATTCCGTTGAAGTTTACATGAATCGATACTATTCGTTTCGACAATGTATAACACGCGATCTACATCCAGAACGTTATTTATATTTCTATCTAAATCATCGGAAAGTAAAAATGACGATTGATCATGGTACCGTCGTAGCACACATTCCTCATTCGCCGAATCGTTGCCACTGAATGAATATATTCAGAAACTGTATATAAAAGAAAGAATTACATCGCTATTACTCTTCTCAATGTGTAACTTTGAGATATAAGGGAAAACTGAAAAGCTGTTTGTCATTTTATGAAATTATGATCGATGAAATTTTCTAGTGTTCAATGAACTTTGCTCATATCACGTTTTGTTGTGTGATGAAGATTAAAAAATACCTATAGAGGTGGAATCACTGATGTAATCGTTACAGACGTATTCAAACAATATTTCTTTTTTATCTTGACTTTAATCACGGTTACACGATATCTTAATAACTTTATTTTCCACACCCTCGCATGTCTAGAAATAGAAGTGGACAGAGTAGGAAGAGAAAAGATTCAGTTATATTGTAGCGAGGATATATTCTTTTGTGATTTGAGTTTCATCATGCATAGGAAGACAGCTAAAATGTCATCAGTCTATAATACTCACACAACTGGCGTAATTTCTTACAACAAAGTGATGATGATCGTGATATTGATACATTCATCCATATAGAATGGATTTTTCTCTCAATATTTAGCACTTTTACTATCGATAAGTAATGTCTGTTTGAATTTCATCTTCAGAATACTTGTGTCTTTTGTCATAATAGAAAAGGACATCAGACTGTATTTTCTGTTCTCACATGAACCAATACGAAAGCTACATGTGATGCTTTATTGAGATCTTCAATATTTGCTTTATTTCATCTCTCGGTTGAAACTCTCATTACAGCAATAATAAATCATAGTTTAATAAAAGAAGAAAACTTCCTTTTTCCAAACGTTGCTTTGTTGTTAACAAACTTAAACAGAGCGGCCAAGTCTCGGCGAAGCTCGTCGTTCTGGCATCGAAGAATCGACGTCATTTTGATAATCATCTACGGCATCGTCATCACCATTGTAGTATCGGCCGGCATTATTTAAGCGTGAATGTGCGCGTCGACCAAGTCGAGGTGAAGCACGGCCAAGTCGAGGCGAAGCGCGGCCAAGACGCGGGGATGCTCGTACAACTAAATCTGAATCATCAGCAAAGAAAATATTTGGATAGTAATTATCGACCACTTGATGTTCTGGTAGTTGATCAACATCAATTGATTTCGAATGAACACAAGTAGAGCAAACTAAATGAAACAAATGATTCCTGTCGAAAACAAACAAGAAATCTGTTTACTAATCAGCATAAGTGCTGCAAAGAGCAAGAACCAATTTGATTTTAGAATACTAGAAGCACGTTGGGTAAAACCTGAAGATAGAAATTGAAGTCAGTTGAAGAAGAAATTGAATAATGAGAGTATACCAAATAATGACAACATGACGATGAGTGTAAGGATTCTGAACTGTATCTCGTAAGGAAGTAATAATATAACAGACTTTTTCTCTTCTTATATTGTCTCTCTTTCTCACTCTCCCATATTTGTTCGGTCTCTTTGCTCGAATCAATAATATCGGGGGATGAGACGATTGTTTTCACTATTGGCTCAAATACTCATTGTTTTTTTTTGTCAAATGTTAGTTTTTCGTTCAAGACAATGTCGACTAAAACCAATATTCCAACTTATTTGCTTGTCTTCGTTTGTTTATAATAAAAACCTCATAAAAGAAAACAAGACAAATTACCCTTTGTCACTCATCTTGACACTCCGTGAGCATCCGATTTCGTAGTCTTTTGTCCTTCTTTTTATTAGAAATCAAATGTTGGTGATATTCAACTTCGCCTTCAACATTGAAGAACTGACAGGATCACCCGTACATAGTTTTGAACTAATGTCCTCCGGAATACTAAAAAATTCCAAAGTAAACTGCTCTTCCGAAACATGTATTCTTATGAATCTGAAATTCTTTGATGAATAAATATTGTTTCTCTTCTACGTGAAATAAAACTGTTTTTGAAAACAAAGTCAATAAAGTTCCAAGGAAAATACTAATTAATTTTCACCGAACATCTGTGAATAAGTTCAGAAAAAAGATTATTCTACGTCGTAAGTTGTAAACAGCACGTTGTAGACCATGACAAACTCATTCTAGACAAAACTTGTGCATATAGTAAAAGATGAGAAGGAAAGCATGTGCGTGCGCGACCTCTACTATTATATTGCTGCAGTTTCATATGTCAATCGACAAGCCATATGGAAGAACTCGGAGAGATTTTATTTTTGAAAGATGATTCACTGTCAACAATGAACAAAAGTAAGAAGTCAAGTTTATTTCATTTCGTCTGCATTTTTGCAATAATGACGAAACGAATGTCCTTCAAAAAAGTGAATATCAGTTATGTCATTAATGATCGTTGGACGTAAAAACGATGATCAAATCGGTGAATTTCATCATTTCTATGAAACTGACGAAAGAACAGTCGTATGTATGTATATTTGATTATGGAATACCTTCTTTGTCGACTAACTTGACACTTAATTGTAATCATGGCGTCAGCAGTATCGAAACGAAATAACAAAAAGAATGGTCCCATCGCAGCGCCATTCGGTCTACAAATTCCATCAGCATTGCGAGATCCAACAGATGTATCATTTTCGGAAATAGAGCTAATGCGTATGTCGAATGACGATCAAGCACGTGATTTTGCACTTGGACATATTCACGATCATGAGCAGTTCGCTGCATTATGGAATTCGACCAGACTTCGGCCAAATACACGACGTTGGATGCGTAAAGTTGTTCAAATACAAACCATCAATGCTATTTACAACCAGTAAAAGAGACTTTTTTCCTATTCGGAATGAAATAGGTCTACCTGTTCATTTCTCTAGCTTCTATCGACTTCCTAATGGTACAAAAATACACCTAGATAAGCAAAGAATGGCGCAAGCAGCTCGAATCACCAGACGATACAGGAATGATCATATATACAACATAGACTCTCAACTTCAATTTTCATCGACGATATTCGTTGTCAATGGCGACTGTCTTGATGTAGCTCTTTGTTTTAAAACTCGATTTCCTCATTCAAATCCTGTTGTATTGAATATGGCATCGAAAAACAAACCGGGTGGTGGTTGGAAAAACGGTTTGTTACTCACAGATTATCGTATTTGCAATTTTCGATCATATTTAGGTGCCGGTGCTCAAGAAGAGAATCTTCATCGCCGTACTAACTTGTGTCAATGTCTTGAAGACCCTTATCATGAATTCGACAGTGTTCGAAGTGAAAATTATTATGTTCCTGAAGTACATAGAAAACTTCGTTCATACGTAAATATACAATTTGATTTGGTTGTAGTTCGGTGGAATGTATTCTCCTGGCGTGAGTGTTTTTCGTGGTTCCGAAACGAATGGATACCCGTTCTTTCCCGATGGACCAAAATATCTCTCGTTTATCTCGTGTGCTGCTTACTCTGATCCGCCGACTGAAACCGATTCAGATGGAAAATTGAAATTGTGTGGAAAGAACATCATTGAAAATACAAAGAAGAAGATGAGCGCGATCTGTAGCATGGCACTTGAAAATAGACACGATATTCTAGTTTTGTCCGCAATGGGATGGTAAGAGATCATAGATATCCATTTATCTGACTATATGTCGATTTATTTAGTGGTGTATTTAAGAATCCTCCAAATCATATGGGTAAATCGCTTGTTTGTTGTTTATCTATTACCATATGAATTCATTTCTTCGCTCTAGCCCAACTATTTCAAGAAGTAATCTCGAGAGATTACCACACATCATTCAAGTACATTGTCTTTGCCATCATTGACGATCACAATTCGCACAAAAGTCACAATGCAGACGGCAATGTTCAACCATTTGCCGATGTTTTTAAAGTGCCTGCTTTATCTCTTGATGAACTTCAACAGACGCTTTCGCAATTGAACGACTAAATCAAATATGTTGATTTTTTTAATCTTGTCTTTTTTCAGATAAATCTCAGATGTCATCAGCGTTCGTTGAACTTTTACGTAAAGCGAATCTTGATTTTATTGTCACACAAAAACCATTGAAACTTGGCTCGCATACTGATGATATTCTCTTCGCTTCCTTGATCGACCCGAAGAGCAAGACACTACAAGTAAATGAAAGAAAAGAGATAGAAAATAAAACATCTGTGTGAAGCTAGCACTATCAAACTAAGGATTTTCTGAAAACGAATTCCCATCGATAAAAGCAAGTGATTCTGCATCGAATACACTCGGTTTTATCGACGAGAATTCGTTTTCAGAAAATTCTTAGTTTGCTGGTGCTAGCTTCACACTGATAAATAAAACTACGCATGTCTTTAGTTAGTTGCATGTTCACATAATTCCGAGTCAGCTACGCTGTGGTCGACATCATTAGACGAACGTACCTTTCAACTAAATACTCGTCTTTTGGATCTAGTCGAACTGGGTGAAACTATGAACTTTCTCGCCGGACATTTAACTCAATCCGACTTTACATTGAGTAAATCGGATAACAAACCACAACTGGCTGTCACATTTGTCCATTCAAAGACGAAACAATCGATCACGCTTCAATTGGATGAATGTCTTGATGAACAAAATAAAGCACCATTTCTAACTCGAATTCTTTTTCATGTTCACAAACGTAATGAACAATTGTCAAATGAAGTCAAAACACTACAAGCACAAATCAGAGACGTCTCGACAAAACGAACGTCAGAAAGTAGCAAACTATCCGATTCCACTCGCGAAAAAACAAGCGCAATGAAATCGAAAGATCGTACACAAATGAGTTTGATTAATCCAAGTACAAAGCGACGCAAAGCTGCAACCGGTGTCAGCTATGGCGATGACGACAGTGACTGACAGTGTTTTCTGTTTTCAGAAGTTGTTTTACTTTAATAATAATAAATACGTCCACGACACTGCGTTATGGACGTCTGGACACACCTTAACATCACTTAGATTCAGACTTCAAAAGTCCATCGATGCATTCGAAGGTTGATGCAAGTCATGGAAACTAAAATTGCAACCAACAAAAACAGAGCTGGTTCACTTCAACTTACATCCAAGGAAGAAGTACAAAAATCTAGTGATAGTTAAAGTTGAAAACACATTAATCAAACCACTGGATTCGACTCGATACTTGGATGTCATCATAGACAGAAGATTAAAATGGCGAACACATATCGAAGCTAAGATTGTTCTTTGGATCGGTCTCCTCCAATATCTATTGAGATCAGCACAAGATCCAAACAACGAGACGATGATAAATGTTTTCAAGTCAATTGTACGCACAGTCATCACATACGGTTATCCTTTCCTTCTCACAGCCGATCAAAAAATATGGGACTGCTTACAAATCATGCAGAATAAAGTAATCAGAGTTGCACTAGGTGTACCCATATACACGTCGGTCAAAAATATCCACCAGATCAGCAATGTCCCAAAGATCACGGATTATGCAGTAGTACTACTTAAACAAGCAATTTAAACAGCGACAAACAATAACGACACCACACTTAAAAATCATCTGGTACACATACTAGAAAAGACTTAAAAGAAATCACAAAAGTCGTATAATTTAGAAACGTCGATAAACTCGATCATTCTTGTGTCGGCCAAATCTGTACAAAAATCGTTATATCGTCGAATAACGTACGAAACGTTTGGGGTATATGCAACGACATATACAATGTAAAACGAATTCAATTCAGCTGACTATCCTATCGATCTTTTCCCTCATTCTGTCTTATTTTCATATGTAATATGGAATCGATTCAACGTAACTAACGATTCTTTCGCGCTAGCTAATTCTGTTGTCTTTTCCATATGCAATGTATATCTGATTCCTTCGTTACTACCCGAATCGTTTCTCTTTCCCATATACAATATGGGATCGAGTGAATGTCTTGACCGATTGTTTCACCACTAACCAAATCGTTCACTCGTTCGCTTATATTCAATGCGAGAACGAATCAATCTATCGGTCGATTAAATCGAAATTGTCCAAAGCACTATGTTCTTTCCGTTCTCTCCTTTCCTCTAACTTCTTTTGTGACACACCACAAACGCACACCACTACCGTATACAAACAGACATTTTTCTCCATGTTTACTTTTCTCAGTTCTTCTGCTAGGACAAAAGACATAAGTGATAGGCCCTTCTTTTTCTCTTGTTTCCAGCTTTCGTGTGACAACTACACGTTGGTTTTTTTCGTCCATGTAGTGTTGTTACACGAATAAAGCTTTGTTACCAAAAAAAAAAGATTGCTTATTTGACTTTCATTATAGATAAACGAAATATGAGTAAACCATCTGGACCAGATACTAAACAAATCCAGTACGATCGTCAACTGCGTCTGTGGGGCGATCATGGACAAAAGGCACTAGAATCTGGTCGAGTGTGTTTAATCGGTGCTAATGCGTTGGGCACTGAAATACTTAAAGCACTTGTCCTACCTGGTCTGGGCTCATTCACAATCATCGACCATCAATTAGTAACATTAGCTGATTGCGGTTCAAATTTTTTCGTTCATCCAACAATGGTTGATCAACCACGCGCTCGTGTGACGTGCGACTTGTTGAGACAACTGAATCCTGATGTTCACGGAACATTCGTGGACAAACCAACAATCGATGATCTATTAAAACAGAATACCTTCGACTTTTCTCAATTTAATGTTGTGATTACGGCTAATGTTCCACACCATACATTAACTATGCTTGCTAACCATTTGTGGACGCTGAAAATACCTTTACTTGCTGCACGTACATATGGGTAAATGAAAAGACTAAAACGAGGACTATGATCTGATTGGTATTTTTCATTTATTTAGTTTTATTGGCACTATCCGTCTGCAAGCAGTTGAACATTTTATTATTGAAGCACATCCTGATGATACCATACCTGATCTTCGCCTCGATCGTCCTTTGAAATCTTTTCTCGAACATTGTAATTCGATCGATTTCGACAATTTATCGCGCGAAGAACATCTACATCTTCCATCGTTGATAATTCTCTACAAAGCAATCAAACAATGGCAAAAACAAACCAACCGTACTGATCTGCCTCGAAATCGAAAAGACAAAGATGAATTCAAAGAAGTACTCGAACAATTATCCCACCATGTAGCATATGATGTGCATGATAAGAATAGAATCCTTGAGAACTTCGAAGAAGCCAAACGAACTATCCCATCTCGATTAGTTCAAACAACAATTCCGTCAAATATCACGGAATTATTTCAAGATCGTTCATGCTTAGAACTGTCGAGTCAATCGCATATTTTCTGGTTTATTATCAGTGCTATAAAATTATTTACTGAAAACGAAGGTCAAGGTTTATTACCTGTCCGTGGCGAAGTTCCGGACATGATAACGAATACGAATTCCTATGTGAAACTAGTTCAAATCTATCAAGAACAAGCGAAAAAGGATGCGGAACTGATATATAACTACTTAGCAGATTTATTGAAAGAACACAATCGATTTTCCAATGAACAAGCTCTTTTACACGATTTAGTTCATATCTATTGTAAGAACGCGTCGTTTCTGCGTGTTCTACGAACATCCGCTCTGAAAAATGAGGATGAATTATTACAGAAATACATCGCACAAAATCCCATCGACACGTCATCAGATGAACCTGAGCCGGACATTTGCTGGTAAGATGAAGACAGATTTGTTTCGAACGAAGTTCGCCTTTTTTTCTCTAGGTATATTGGCTTACGTCTGTGCGATGCATTTTACGAGAAATTCAGTCGTTATCCCGGCGAATTTCCTCTGTCTATAAATGAAATGGATACCGATCAACGACAACTAGAAATTGATTTAAATGATTTGAAACAAATCGGCAAGCAGACTGTTCATTTAGATAAACAACAGGGTTCCATCCGAGAAAACATTCTCGAAGAATTAACACGTTACGGCGCGTCAGAGCTTCATTCCATATCGGCATTTATCGGTGGTTGTTGCGCACAAGAAGCAATCAAGTTGATTACCCATCAATATGTCCCACTCGATTGTGTTTTAGTGTACAATGGCATTCGAGAAGCAACGAGTGTACTCAAATTTTAACATCACCGTAGAAACGAATAGACTCCTATGAAAAATCGACATGAATGCTCATTTTTTTTCGACTCATTAATAACTTTGAACTTGTTTAGTCAAGAGAAGTGTGATGATTTTTTTTATCTAGACTTTTATTCAATAAAAATGTCAAAGGATATGACCTATGAAATATCGTCGATCGGCAGAAGTGCACTTCTTACAGAGAAACAAGTCGAGATTATGTATGAGTATCTGGCCTAATTTATTTCACTTCCCAATTGTTTTGTCATATATGACGCCTCCTTTTGTATAATCCAACTTGGTTTGAGATAAATCTAATATTTATTAACGTACTTCGTTTTATTCAAGCAAGAGAACATGCTGCTTACTATTTATTTTTTTCTTCCTCCATCGAATGTTCGAGACTGCATCTTTTCCTTTCATTTATTTCTCGCCATTTCAGACAATCCTTCATCCTTTTTCTTTTTACTCTATACCACCATAAGAGACAGATCCCTCACGATGTATGCACGTTTGTCACAATGTGACTTAAGTTTTTATTGTTTTTCTTTGTTATTATAGAGCTTGTAGTTCATCACACGAATTAATGTCGTCATCAACAATTTACTCACTTCATTATTTCAATGGTCGTGGTCGTGCTGAAACAATTCGATTGATTTTCGCCCAAGCTGGGGAAAAATTCGAAGATCTTCGTCATTCACCTGATGAATGGGCAAAACTAAAGAGTCAAATGCCGTTGGGTCAATTACCCGTCTTAGGTATGTAACTGTTCGTTATTTTTCAAGTCTGGTTTCCAATTTCTTCATAGAAATCAATGGTGAAAAGTATCCTCAATCAGGATCGCTTGCCCGTTATGTCGCTCGACAATTCAAACTTGCTGGAAAAGACGATCTCGAATCATTCAAATGCGATATTGTTGTTGATACCATACAAGAGATCAATGAAGCCTATTACGAAAGATGGTTTCATATCAAAGATGAGAAACGAAGAGACGAAGAACAAGCGAAATTCAAAACTGATTTGTTACCAAAAAAATTAGCTGGCCTCGAAACGCTGATGAAGACATATGGAAATGGAACATGGGCTGTTGGTAGTCATGTGACATGGGCGGATTTATTGGTATACGATTCAATACAAAATATTCTTCGAATTGATGCCAAGGTTTTGGATGAACATGAAGTCTTGAAGAAAAATCGTGAAGCGGTTGAGAAATTACCGAAAATTGCGGAGTATTTGGCTAATCGAAAAGAAACACCATTTTAAAAGACGTTCTAGTACGTCAATGACATTGATCTCAAATCTTTTTAGCTTAATAAACTAAGTTTTACACTCTATGATATCTAATAAACTTTCTTACTACCACATATTACCTTACAACATGGAGTTTTGAATACTCAATGAAACCGTTCTAATGTCTGCCATTTGCAGATAAGATAAATCTGTGTAGTTGATAATATCTGCTCACTCGAAAGATAACAAAAAATGGTTATAAAAGGAATTACGTTTTCTTTTAATAATAATAAACAACAATGAGTGTTAAATCGTGTGTAGTCACAGTAGTTCTATATTATTTGTTTACGTTCGACAAAGTGTATTTGTTAACTACATCAGAAGGAATCAACACAGATCCGTTTGTTATCGATGTCTCATGGAACTCACATGATTATGATTTGCATACGATCCCGACTCTCCAAGTGGTCTCCAATCCACTACTAGCTCGACAATTTTCTCCGATTTATAAAAAAATCTTTGCAAATCTGAAACAGCTCAATGCTGATTATGCTCGGTATGCAGTTTGGTTCCCTTATCCGAAACTAGCTGTTGCTGAATTAGATCCACCGTCTGGTCTTGCTCAATGTGGAAATGTCGGACAAGATTTTTTCATTAATCTGTCATGCGAACGAAACGGAGGTGTCATAAGTAAAATCGATTTCGCATCGTATGGTACTTCGACGGGAGCTTGCGGTCAAATGAAGCAAGGCCAATGTCACGCAGCAAATAGCACAACTGTGGTTGAACGAATGTGCCTCGGAAAACCGAAATGTTCAGTACCAGCGTTCGTAGATCTATTCGGCGACCCTTGTAAGTTTCATCCCAAATTATACTCTCGTATGTAAAGTATTATTTATGAAGGTTACGGAACGGTAAAGCGACTACTCATTCAAGTTCAGTGTGATCCACCACAAAATAATACCTACTATAACTTTACTTATCTGGATACAATGCTCGAGGATTTTCTCGATGCTACAGATGGCCACTCACGAATTATCTCCTTTTGCACGCAACCAACTTGGCTTTTCAAACAAGACACACCTCACATTTATCCCGATAATGCATCACTAGTCGATTGGGAATATCCTGTTGGTACAGAATTAGTTGATGATACCATGCAAGCATTAGGCGACTATTACGGACGTCTTCTTGCTTGGTATACTCGAGGGGGCTTTATTGATGAATACGGCCGAAAACATACATCAAACTATTATTACAATTGGGATTATACCGAAATTTTCAATGAAGTCGAAGCAGAACATCATATGACAGTGGAGTATTACACGCGCGCATATGATGCAGTTGTTCAAGGTATTCGTCGGCATACGAATAACTATGCAATGAAATATGTTGGATTAGCGTTAGCATGTAAGTGTTCATGTTTTTGTATAGAAATTTCATTGGAGCCAGTTTTTATAGTTCATCAATTTGATTGGTTTCGATATTTTCTCAATCAATCAAATCATGCACCGGATATTCCATTAGACATGATTTCATATCATTTCTATGCTAGTGGAAATTCTCGAACGAATCCATTAGATTGGGAGCCATTTTTCAGTCAGCTTGACACATTTACGCTGCAAGTCGAACAAATTGAAGAAATCCGCAAGATCCTATCGCCAAATACAAGAACAACGATCGACGAACTAGGCGTCATTCTTACTGACGACAACACGCCAGGAGCACCACAGTTTCCTCCGATCTATTGGAATGCAGCAGCAGCTCTCTATGCATATGCATGGGCTAAAATATCACGACTTCGCATTGACGTCGTTGGGCATAGTCAACTTGTCGGTTCGTTCTTTTTTCACCTTTGCTTATTTTCGGCTTATTGCTTATCGTATCACGTACATAGGTTACCCCGAACTTCCCGATCTACAACTTCAGCCACAATTCCCAAGTGTTGCTCTACTCAATTGGACAACGGGTGAAGGTTCGGCTAAGTATTGGACATCAAAATTACTCATCGATACAGTTGATATTGACAATGATCAAGCTGTAATTACACGAACAACAGATACGAGTGGTCAGAATATATTTTGTCAAGCATTTGTCGGCATCAACGGTCGTCGGTGGGTATTGATTATTAATAAACGTTATGCCAATGTCGATGTTTTTCTACCCGGAGCGACCGGTGGACGTATGCAAATAGTTAATGAAGCGTCAGGCTTTGGACCAGCTACTGAAGTGACCTTAACATTGAGTACTGTTACACTGAGTCCGTTCTCTGTTGCTATTGTGCATATGCCAACTGCAAGTGCAAATTAAATCTAACCTGACGTGATGTGATGTTATCTTCTTCCATCATCAATAAATTAGTCATTTGAAGGCTATACTCTTCAAATTATTTGAATCTTTTCTCATCTAACACTCCATATGTTCAAAGTTAACTCTCGAAGAAATAATTATCTCCTTTTCTATTATATAAAACAGATGTAAGAATTTTCCTATCAGTTGAAACTCATCAAGATCTGATGAAATAAACCGCTAAAAGCATTCGAATGATGTTTAATCAAGCTTACAGTATCATCGACATTCGAATTCTTTTATTTCGTTTTCTACTCGCTCATGATGATGAAATATATATTATCAACAATATCTTCTCCTTCAGGCTAAACAATGTGCACTGGTGCACGTTCCATTTGATGATGAGACATTCCTCCATATATGACTCGTTTTTATTCTTCGCACATTATCTACATAGATATCTTATGAAAAGGTGCGTGCACGCGCATCTTCCGCATGATGGACAGTTGGAGGATACAAACGTATACATATCTACATATACACTCATATACATGTATATTCAAAATCAGACGCCCGAACGTAATACGAACATTGTCATTCTCTCGTATCGATTCAATAGGGCTATAGAAATGAAGAAGAGGAAAAAAGGTAAAAGATATTATCATTTTCTCATCTGTTCGCACATAACGACTTTTTCTCGTTATCAAATCTGTCCCAAGCCATGCACTATTGGAGAAATGAAAGTTTTTTTTCTCCACCAATCCAGATAGCTAGCCAATGAGTGATTAGTAGCAAACAATATGTATGAAACAAAACAAAACAAAACAAAAATCTACAGTATTGGTCATACAATCAGAGATAAATATCTCGCATTGAAATGAACTCTATCACCAAATCGGTGACTTCGTTTGTTTAATCAAATGATGATCATTGTTTGCACGTACGAAAGGAACACTAATTTGTATTTACGAAACAGTATCGAGAAGGATTCGTGACTTGTCACTTGAGTAGATATGATATCGTTCGAGAGAGAAAATGTGGAATTAGTATTTTTCTTCCTTTTTTTTTATTTCAAAGAATGTATACGTTCAGCTCAGCAAGCGTGTTGATTTGTTGTCACCAATCGAATCTTTATTCTCGTTATCAAATAAGAACGAAATGAGAAGAGAGGAAGAAGAAAAGAAAAAATCAAGCAAAGAAGAGAACAGACAGAGACAGAGACAGAGAGAGAGAAGAAGAAGAAGAAAAAGGAAAAAATAGTATTACAATCTATCAGGTATATACACGTTGATTCGTTAAAACTTTTCTTTCGTGTATATACGTATGCGTGTGCGTCTTTCGTTTTTGTGTATGTGTTTCTAATACTATTGAAAATCTCGAATGAACATCATTTGGAAGGTTGATGATGATTTTCTCCCGTTGGCATCGAAATAATTATACTAACTTGATCGTTAAGTAGACCATTTCAAGTGGCCAACACTAGTGATAGTTAGTTGCTGTTGATGTATGTATATGTATTGTAGTAAAGTGGCCCTTTTTAGTGAATAATCCATCTCTGAGTTGCATTTATTTGCTCTGTTTCTCTATGCTTGATTATTCATTCAAAGCAGAAGAAAAAATCGGTGAAACAACTCTATTCATTGGATTTATATATATATACACTCGTACTTTTTATATTTGTAGATTCTTATTCTTTTTTGTTTGCTACTTCGTCGTATTAAAGTAAGTAAGGTTTTTCCCTTTTGCTTTCTATTTATCTTTGTACAAAGAAATTAGAATCGATAAGAGGATGACTTTCTGAAATCTAGAATCGCCTACTCCAGCTGACAACTCTATTAACTTTCTCTTTAGAAAGTATCTTGTCTGTCTCTGCCTATCGCTGAGCTTATCATCAGGGAGTCACTCGAAGACTATCATTGATTCGAGTTAATTACTATCGAAAGACACGAGCAGATTTAGTGTCCCATTTGACTGCATTTACATGAGATAATACAAAAAAAAATGAAGACAATGAAAAGAAAAAGAAGAAGAGAGAGAGGAAAAGGAAAACGTTGCTTATTTGACAATTCTATATACATTGAAGAAGAGGGAATTTTTCTGATCTTCTTTATACATCATTGAATTGAATGAAATGCCCCATTTGATGTATCGAATTATTCTAGAAGGTATTTTGCAATAGTGAAAGTTTTGCCCAAAGAACTAGTGCTGACAATTTGTCGTTTAGGTCATAGCGGTGTTAATCAATTAGGTGGAGTTTTTGTCAACGGACGGCCATTACCAGAAACTATTCGACATCGAATCGTTGAACTGGCTCGACAAGGCGCAAGACCGTGCGAAATTTCACGGAAGTTACAAGGTCAGTTTCATTTGATTGTGAACAACCAACTTCTATTCGATTTCGATTCATAGTATCAAACGGTTGTGTATCTAAAATCCTGGGTCGATTCTACGAAACCGGCTCGGTTAAACCGAGAGCAATTGGTGGCTCGAAGCCACGCGTAGCTACACCAGGTAAACTGATCAGCTTTCTCTCGAACAAATGAAAGATCTTCCGTTGTTTTTCTCCTTCAATTAGATGTTGTAGCTAAAATTGCAGAAATCAAAGCTGAAAATCCGTCGATATTTGCTTGGGAAATTCGCGAACGTCTTCTAAATGACGGTGTCTGCACACAAGACAATCTCCCGAGTGTAACTTATTTTCTTCTCTTTTCTCTTGCTTATCATTGGCTATTCATTTAGGTGTCTTCGATTAATCGAGTTCTACGCAATCTATCTTCCTCATCATCTCTAAAATCAACCACTGATTATCATCAATATCAAACAGGAGAATTACATTATGACGGTTCATCGTGTAATCTATTGAATCCACCACCGATCTGGACCGTTCTGGGAGGTACCAATCCTGCGGCGAATGTATCTCACACATGGCATCATCATCATCATCACCATCCTCATCAACAACCAATGACAACAGCATCAACTACTACTACTACCACCACAAACGGGCAGAATCTAAATCTAAAAAGTAAAACTCTTTTCTGGGCAAAATGAGAGTTGTGAATGATATGCGTTGATTTAGATGGACATAATTCCATGACAATAAAATATGAACCATCGAATGATGATGAGGAGAGCATAAATAATGATGAAGAAGATGAACATAGTACAAGTAGTGATCCAGATTCGAAATTATCGTCACGACAAAAGACTCAACGGAATCGAACAGCTTTTACTCAAGAACAAATTGCTGCACTGGAAAAAGGTTAGTTTTCTTTCCATAAAAAAGAGAGAGAGAGCTTATGAGAGGAAAACAAACATTTTTTATTTTCTGTAGAATTCGAACACACACATTATCCGGATGTCTACGTTCGTGAACGTTTAGCTAAGCATATTAGTCTACAAGAGAATCGTATTCAGGTAAGAATCGTCTATCCTCACCATTTAAATTGAACTAACGTTCGTACTTACGAAAAAAGGTTTGGTTTTCTAATCGACGAGCTAAGTGGCGGCGTGAAGAGAAAGCACGGAATCAAAGGCGTACACATACAGCTTGCGAATCGTCAACAGGAACAACGCCGGCGAGTAGTACATCACGAATTCCTACTGTTTCCCCTCCTCCTACATCTCTATCACAACCAACTGGAGCATCAACGCTGTCATCATTGCCGCATCCAACAACATCTCCATCGTCCATGCCAGCTCCCCTTCCAGGTTATATCATTGAATCTGATACTTCACAGCCACCTCCGATCGGATGTTATTTTTCAAATGGTACAAACGACAATCGACAAACAATGATGAACAAAGGTTTTTCACCTTACTCAGTCAATCCATCGCATAATTACTCATGTACATCATCTGGATATCCCTATCCGTTATCATCGGGTAAGAAACTTCGTAGTTCATTGAAAATTAACGCTGGTGATTCGACTTTAGTCAACTGCTATGATGATGTTTCGTTTCCACCATCGACATATACGCGACCGCCATCTTATCACTCGCATCACAATCCCGATTATCCGACATTTTCATCTAATGTCATGTGTCAATCATGTACGTATAGAAACAAATCACAATGAAATCAACAAAATATTTGCTTGATTGTTTAGCAAATTTTTTACATCCAACAATGCCCTTACAATCGAATCATCTCTCATCAACATCGAGTTCAACTGGAAGCAATACATTTTGGGATCGATTTTAAGCACAATGATTCTTTTCTCTGTCTTTGTTGTAGATATCAAGACCAAAAGTTCACTGCCTACTTCTTCTTTTTTCTGTCTTCGTGTTTTCTCTCTACTTCGTTCTCATTTTCCTTTTTTCTTCTTCTTCTTCTTCTCTTGTGTTTGTGATAATCGTCTCATTTTGAATAGAAGTTCGTATATCCTATTCTCTGCACTTCAATTGACGAACATTTGACAGTCACCACTAAAATCAGATCAGCAACGCTCGGTTGAACTGCTCATTCACTCACTCAATGTATCAATGACTCTCTATGACTGAGCAGCTAGACAGACAGACAATATTGTATGTTAGTAATCAAGTTTGATCGGTAGTTGTCGAACGACAAGGATGAAAGATTGATTCACATTTAAAACAAAGATGATTATTGCTCTTTTCTTTTTCACTTCTCTCAAGCTGATCATTCGGCATACCGTCTTAATGTTTTCTTTTGCTATTTTGTTTAACATTAAATTGTCGTTTTAATAATTATTGTCGATCACAATTGAACCAAAAAAGATAAAACAATGATCAGTCACATATGACGAACGGATTGTCAACAATTAGAAGAAAAGGAAGTACACGAATCAATGAATTTCATCTTCTTTGTGATTATATCGGAAAACAGCGATACAGGTGAAAAATAATTGTTTCGTCTAACTTCTCACGCCATGTCTCACAAAAATCAATACTTAGAATGTCTGTTGTGAATGAATTTGATTTCTAAGGTCTTTCGTATTTCTTTATTGTCACGATTCATTCAAATAAACTAAAAAAAAAGAAACGCAGCTCGAACAAGAGAAAGAAAACAAAGAACAAAATGAAATATCTGAAAGAAGTTACTTCTATTATAGTACAACAGAAGACAAAATGAATGAATGAAGATAAGAACTATACAGTACTGTTATGACACAACAGCCATTCGCCTTTTTAAAAAAGAAAAGAAACAAGAAGAAAGATAAAGCAGGAAACGTTCGAAGTGATTATCACGTTTCGGATTCAGTCAACATTGTATGGTCACCAAAGCGATGATGTTGAAAAAAGTTAGTTGTGCTATTCTGGCGCATAAGTACCGTCGGAATCAAATGGTCATGATGTAAACGATCGTAGGGTATCGAAGGTGGAAGAGGTTGTGGTGGTACGCTGATTTCCGATGTTGTCATTGATTCAGGTGGTTTTGGCCAAGTATGTTCAGAGCCATCGTCTTGTGGCGATGGTTCCATCATCACTCGAAAGCCGAGAACGTCATTTGATTGTGCTGATAAGCTCTCGAAACCAATTGGTAGCATTGTTGGCTTCTGCGATCGACATGGAACAGGTGGTGGTGGGGCTTTTTTCAATTGATTTTCTTCGATTGCACCATAGATTTTTTGACTAGCGAAACGAAGAGCGATTGTATCGGGATCGAGACCCATGGTAACAGATTGATGTTGGAATGATGATTTGTCTTTTATGGAGATACTTGATGACCGAATATCGTTAAAATGAATTTGAGGGATAGTGGGTGGCAGTGGCGGAGGTTCTATAGGTGGTTGAACACGTCTCAATGTGCCAGCATGAGAACGAGGTAATGTTCGATCTTTCGGTTGTGGCGAATCGGCAAAGCAATCGTTTTTAATACCACGACACGAAGAATCGTTGTGAACATTCATAGTCGAGGCGAGATGTCTTATAGATCGAATTGGCATTGTATTCGAAGAGTTTTTTATGATATCATCTGTATTAGTCGTTGACGATGATGATGAAAGAGCAGGTGAAACAGGAAGAATATAGATGCCATGAACTTTTTTTCGGAAATCCACAGGTGCACGAGAGCGTGGCGTTTGATTTGAAGGAATTTCATGATGATGATGGTCAATGTCATCCGAACCAGTTACTGCAAGGTGTTGTCGTGCTAGTGAATGTGTCGGAGTAAAATGCGATCGAGAATGTTGACGAACAAGTGGTCCGATTGATATATCTGGACGATGATCGCTGAAATCGTCGTGAAACGTCTTCGCTGGGAGTTTTTCTTTTTCATCTGACGGATGACGAGACAAAGTATTTGATAATTGGTGTCGTTGACGTTGAATGGTATTAGCGGCACTTGTCAAACAAGGTGATCTTGGCGACACCAACGCTAATTTTTCTGTTTCTAATTAGGAAAAACACAAAGACATGAATATTTTTTTTTGAAAAGTGAAAACTGTCAATCTAGTTCATCCTTTTTTTTCTTTGTTCCTTGATATCATTATACATGAATCATGCGATTGTCCACTCTAATTAATTGATCTTGCTCGAACAATCGTACAGACAGCTTTGTTCCCTTTTTCTCTTCGTCTCGTTTCTTTATTCTATTCACTCATACTTAGCCTCGTCACAACAACTACTCATAAATGTAATTCAATGCCATTGTATATATTCATTCAATCGTTTGTATTCTCGGTCATATATGCATGAATACCATTTCAATAGGCATATATCATCATTGTCGGTCTAATTTCAATTTTGAATTTTATTAAAACATGCCAATGTATGCACGTATTGCACATACACACAAAAACACTTTGCTGGACGTGTAGATATGAGAGAGAGACATGAAAGGCTGTTTTATTTATTCAGTTGAATGAAACGAACAGGAAAAGAAAGAGTCAAGGTGAAATACGATCGATATACTTCATCTCTCTTCCTTTCGCTCTTTCTTCACTACGAGAACTGTTTGTATAGAGATTCACTTTATTTCCTATTCTTTTTCTTTAATATGACGTAATTTTCTATGATAATGAAATATGTGTGAAGTATGTTGAAGACTTACCGTGATGAGATGCACATAAGGTATGAAAACAATAACGTATAGATGCAACAAGTGCCGATAGACACAAGCAGCCGATCACAATTACACCGATATAGAATGGAATTGTATAGTGTAATTCCGTGCTAGCAAATGCATCCGTGTCTGTAAAAAGAAAGAATAATTACTCGAGAAAAAAAAGAAAACATGTTCGTTTTACTTACTGTCGTCTTGATCACCCGAGAGATTTTCATCGTCATAATTTCGTCCGAGTGACGCCGTGTAGTTTTTCCACACTAGATTTAAATACTGTTCCATCTGACGATAAATAGATCATCAATCAATCTGAAAATGAACATATGTATTCTACTTGGTACCTGTTGGATAATGCAGACATATACAGTCAAAGAGAGTAATGTCTAGACGATATATGCTGATAGCGATATATAACTTGCATAGCTTACTGTACTAGTGCACTGACATGTCAAGTAAATGCAAAGAGAATGAATAAAAGAGAATTCAAACAATATGCATGATTATTCGATTCGGACATGTATGTGCGTATGGAACAATATGACCGATCTGATTCTGTTCTTTACCTTAGGTGCGTGATGTAATTACTCTTGGTCGATATTGAGTAATCAGAAGACGACAAAGGCATTGAATATTGTTTTTTCAAAAAAATAATTCTGATGATGGATTGAAGAGGAAAAGAAAACACTGCGCATGTGAAAAGATAAGAAGTGTGTGTTAGTGAAAAAACTTGCTGGGTTATTGATTTATCAAACAAAAGAATGAGTGATCATTCGACCATCCTTTTGACCTGTTCGTTTTCTTATCAATATCTCGAAGGATAAACGAAGGAGACAATCGCGAAAGAGAAGAGGACATGCATCTCTTCTCCTGAAGAAGTATGTGCAAATAAATCATGATCATATCTAGCAGGGTAAACTAAAGCAATATTTATCGGGATAAAAAGAAGAGAGAAAGAAATCCTTCATAAATTCATCAAAAGATCTTTTACTTACAGCTACTAGATATGTATATTCTTTCAAAGTTATTACATACATCTATACCCTTTACCTATGAAGAAAAAAGAGCGAGAGGATATATATAAGAAGATCGATCCATCCAAATATATACGTATGTATATAGTGACGAGCATATATTTATACACATTCTACGCATAGTCCGCTTATGTAATACAATCAAGCAAAGCACATACATATGTCAAAGAAAAAAAACTGAGAAGAAGAAGAGAGAACAATCTATGAAAAAAAGGAAGGGATGAAAGAAAAACAAAGCGTGAATGAATGAACTCGGAATAGATGTTGAATATTGTTACAAGTAGCTTGTGCATTGGCAGAAATATCAAGTATCATTCTAGTATTGTCATACGTAATATTCTTCAACCCCGCTGAGTTGTGTATAAAGAAAGAGAGAAAGGAGAAGGTTGGTAATAGAATAGTGTTCTGATCGTCTATTCTATTATCAAAAAAAGAGAAGGAAAGAAAAGCCTTGTTCCTGCACTAGCTTTCATCCGCCTCTAATACATACATATGTACATGATGTGTTCGACGTGCGTATTTTCTTCTGAACGAACTCGTGTACTTACCTCGTTGGTCATCTATGCTGCAATAAATCATCATGGATGGAGTAATCCTATTCCATTATAAGACGAACGAGAGAAAGGCAAACAGCGAGGAAAAATGTATATAGTATGCACAGACTATGTACGATTATTGTTCGTTGTTGTGATGGTGAAGAAATAAAAGAACAAATTGCTCTTCTGAGGCTGTCTATATGGCATATATATATATATATATATATGCATATAGAATAAAGAATAAGCTCTCGTGAAGAAGTGGGAAGAGAGAGAGAGAGAGACATTCGTTCATTTTGTAATTTGGAAGCAGAAGACTAACGGCAGTATGTGCGTGTCTGTACGGATGAACACGAGAGAAAAAGAAGGTTGCTTTGTATCAGTCAAGTGCTTCGTTAAACGTCGATCGTCTCTTTACTCATATCTACTGTACACATACAGAAAAAATATAAATGTATGTGTCGACCTCGTTTCATCTTTCCTCTCGCACTCTCTTTCTCTCTGTTTCTCCTGTTCAATTGCCGTATATGCACACCCATTGTCGTCGTATTTTCGCGACAAGTGAACTGCATCTCTCTCGTATGTCGAAAATATGCGTATTTCGAAGTGAAAGAAAGAAAGAAAAAGCAATTAACCAACTTTTCATCGTTGTTGTTGCTGTTGCCGTCTTATCTGTCCGATTCGTATCGCATACATATACACTCATGAAATGGTCAATCAATTGGAGCTTATGTACTTGGCTTGTTTTTGACCCAGATTAGATATGAAGTGATTTATGAAAAAGCTTTTTTCCACATATCAAACGCGCCACAACACAAGAGATTTCCACAAAATTTGAAAATGCACACAAATATAGCAGCGACATAAGTAAAAATCAGAACATAGAACGCAAACCAGTAAAGACCTGGATGACAGTAATTGTCTATTTCGTCAGGTACATCGGTTCGAACACGATATCGAGCGCCAAATACCCAGAAATTACCAAGAAAAAACCAAATAAAAAGAAAAAGAGCGATGGCACCTTGCATGCCACGTGCAAATGCAATAATGCCTATGATACATTTATGAGTTGCTTTTCTTGCAACCGTCGATGATCGATAGAATGTACAAGTTGACGATAGAAGAAGAAATAGTACCATAGCCAATCCACCAGCACCAGACACAATCATGTATAATGGAATTTTATTATTTACACGGCAATCATTGATATAAAGAATACCTAGAACGAGCTTGGCGATTGGTAGGGCGAGAGCAAAACAAAGATAAATAAGTACAGCGACGGTACCAAAACCACCAGAACATAAAGTTGTACATAGACCAGGAGTCTTTTCTCTGATGTATCTCTTCGGTCGAAAACGTCGGAGGATACGTTTAGGCGTCGATCGTGGCAAAGGAGTAGACGGAGCTTGATATTGAGCTGGCAATGAAGGAGAAGGAAGCGGCGGCGAAGTGATTTGATATACAGGTCCTTCGGAAGGGCGTAATCTACGAGGCGGATTTAGATACGAAGAGAATTCTTCGGTAGATAGCGACGGATCATCGTCTGTCGGTGTCCACCATATGAGATCATCCGTTGGATCATATACGGATGAGCCTGGCAACGATAGCGTTGGTCTCGGAATACGAAATGTTGGTTGGTTCCAATCGGTATCATTGGCATTTTCGAGATCACGAACTTCTAGTTGATAGAAGCCTAGAGATGATGGTCGTCTTCTCGTTGATGTTGGTGAATTATCTGATGAGAACGATGATGTAAAACTTGCCGGAATAGGTGATAGAGGTCGCCGACTAGAAAACATGCCTTACTCTCCTATCATCTACCACGACTGTTCGAAAGAAGAAAGAAGCGTTAACTTTCTTTTTTTATATTTCAAAGTTATATTGCGTAGTAGTATTTGCCCGCATATATAAAAGGAAGAGCAAATAATGAAAAGATGACATAAATTAGCAAGATAGAAGAATCATTGTTGACTAGCGAACAAGAAGAAGAAGAGTTTAACATTGTTGAGATGATTAATGATCATGCTATATTATATCATCGAATGTTCAAATACGATTCGCCTACACATTGTATGACCAGTAACTAGTCAATGCTTTGAATTGAAATGAAATTTATTCATTTCTCATTTTCTTGCATCTGAATATGTTTGATAATCGGTAAGTAATCGACGCCAAACTATCGTATCCCAAAGGTTCGTTTTCTGACAAGTATCAACTACTAATACAAATTTACTTTTGTTGTTTTTCAAAACAGCAAAGGCGAACATAGTCAAGTATTATTCAGCGGCAAAAGCAAACCAAAGCTATGTTTTTAAATATGTTTGAAAATTAAAAAAAGAAAGAACCGTAGAAGAATTCAAAAATAACATGCAACGTAGAAAAAAAAGGAAACAAAACATCATAACAAGTTCGAGTTTTTTTTTCTTCATCTATACATTGTGTTATAATTATTGTTACCATCTACGTTTTCTTCTATTTCTCTGATCGTTCATAATCTTTTAGACAAACAATGATGACACAGGAACCACTGCCAGCAATATATCCAAGACCTTATACTTCAAATCATCGACTTAGTGTAGGTGTTCCTCAGTTTTCAAATGTATTCGCTGAACCAATAAAACATGACAAGTTACCTCGTCAAACGTACGATCGGACGAAGCGCATCCGATTTCTTCCACCATTTCTCGCTCTCATACTCCGCTCAACTTATTTTCTTGTCGCGCTGTGTATCGTTCTCGTCATTCCTATTCTTCAATTAGTATTCGGAATAGTTTATCTTGATCAATGTCCAATCAATGTTTACATTCCAATCTACTTGATCGTCACAGGTGCGTGTGGTATCGCAGCAATCGGTTTAACCATGGTTATTGTAAGGAAAGTCTTCTTCTTAAATAGAAAACGCTCGTATTTCTTCAAATCCAGGTAATCGCATTTGTATGCTGTATTAAGCAAGATTCAATTGCTGGCTCGTGTATTAGCGGATGTGTGATTGGTGCTGTAGTATTTTTTATATTTATAATGAGTTTCTTCCTGTTCGGTTGGTTTATTGCGGTAAGGAGAAAAAAAAACTAATACTCCGTCTTATCCAACAAAAGCATATTTATTTTTGGTTTCTATTCAAAGGGGAATGTGTGGGTGTTTGGAGCGAAGACAACGGTCAACTTTGAGAAAGAAAACTCACCTTATTACTGTCACAAAACTCTATATGAATTTGCTTTCTGGATCATAATTGTTACCTATATTTTAATGGTTGTTAGTTGCTGCGTATCGTGTTGTCGTGCTTGTTTTCAATCACTAACGACATTAAAAGCCTAGATTGCTTATTTGCATATAATATGAACAAAGGAAAAAAAGCCATTTATGTTCATTTTACACTTATATATCGCAGCATCTCATTCTTCGTCGTGTAAATTCGATGTTTAAAATAAAGATTTTGTTTGTTATCTGTCAAAAAGATGTTTTAATTGATGTGTGTGAATAGTAATTATCATTCGATCACTTCGCTCTTACTCATTTTTTCTTAATATGTGTAATGGCGATTGAAATTACTTTGAATATTTATCGTTTTATTTGATGTTCAACATCTGCTGATAATTATCTTCTTAGTAGAAATAATTTGACAGGTTATTTAAAGTTATGATTGAACTAAGCATAGAAGGTCAACGTGGACAAAATATTCGATCTGAAAGAAGATATTGAATAATGAACAATAAAGTTAATCATCCGACTCGTAGGCAATACGATAGATCAACGGTGATTTTTCTTGCAATGAAATACATATTTGTCGTACTGAAAATAATTTGATAAAGTTTTCTATGGATTGAAACAGGTTCGTGTACAGTCATATTATCATCAGTACATGAATCACTGATTACACGTAGATTAATCTAGGGACAAAGCGCTATTAAATCGTTAGGGTTACCAGGTTCTATTACTGAATCTCGTTCGCTAACTAACAATGCATTCCGAGATGAGATGCACATCATAAAATATCGCTTGATTAAGACATGTTCGTTATCGCGATTATTCTCATATTTTCATACGAGCGAAACTCGATTCAACAAGAGGAATGAATTAATCGAGTTTCTAATTATAGATATCCAATAGCTAAGCTTTGGACTCTATTGAATTTATTATATTTATGTATACAAATTGTGAATCGTTTGTCAGCACGATTTCTCTTACATTGCTTCATGATTGTATATATTGTCGGTAAATGAATAGCGATCGACTAGCAGATGATTCATATTTGTACGACCGATTCTTTAGCGTCCAAATAAGCGAGAAAAAATGTCGAGTAGTATAAATGTGTGTGAAAGAACGAGAGAGAAAAAAAAACATACACACAGAGCGAGTAAGGCATAGAGGAAGAAAAAAACCGACATAAAAATCAAGAAAAACAAGCTTAACATTCGCATTATCCAGTCATCAAGCGTTATCTTTTACTTTTCCATCACACATCAATGAATCCAACGTTAATTGAGGGAACTAGTGAAACAGCTCCATTACGAGCTGGAGCACGTACAACATATTACTTACCAGTTGAAACAGCTAGTAAAACATTTGGCACAACTTATTTTCTTATGTAAATGGCTCGTAATTTGAAAACCTTCGATTGAATACTTTGATTTTTTTTCGTCATAGCTCAACTCTACTCGCATCGATTATCCCAATAATTGAACTTGCTATTGGCTTAAGCTATAAAGGACAATGTCCTATCGATCAACGCATTCCAACATACATGATCGTAGCTGGCATCTGTGGTCTTGCACTTGTTGGTCTTTCTGTTCTCCTAGCCTTGTAAATTCAATATTCAACAAAACTTCTTCCTTAAACTAATAGTTCTTATCTCTTTTTGCTCTTGTAGAACGTTCATGTGCTTCATATCGGATTCAACCGCATTGACCATATTCGCTAGCTGTGGCATATGTCTAAATATCTTTGTAACAGTGCTCATATCAGTATTTGTTTTCATCTGGTTTATCCTGGGATGCGTCTGGGTATTCAGTGTTCATAGCACAGTCCAATTTAATGATATAAACAAGCCAAATTATTGTCAACCGGTTTTGTACAAATGGACATTCGCTTTATTAATCATAACTATCGTTTGGGCATTTCTTCAATGCTGTTTATCATGCTTTCGACAATGCTGTACTGGACGAAGCACTTAAACGAAACCCATGAGCAATGGTTTTTCTTCTCTTCTACAACATTTTTCATGTGAAACTTCATACTGAAACTCTATTTTATATCAGAAGAAATAACAGTTCGCTATGTCAAAAAATTATATCGATAGAGAAATAGAACAGGATTGTGCACTCTATGCAAATTCAATCGTTATCGACTCAATGACGAGTGGATCTTGTAGTGTAGTCATGTCATAAACAAAATTCATTTAGGCAGGTTACAGAGAAAAGGTAAAAGACCGACGATTGGTTATGGTTCGACCATTTTGTTTAAACACGAGTCTCATTCTTTTTCCTTGCTTTTTAACATTGACTGTCACGACTCACTTCACTATGACATAAAATAGGAGAAAATGAAATTTTTTTTTGTCATCATGTCGTCGAATGATTCTTTTTTTTTTAAAAATCTATTATCGTCGTGTTTGATTCGATCAACACACGTATTTATTTGGAGGAATTGGAGTAAGCTACAAAGTTTTCTCGTTCGTATAGTTAAACGCTACATAATCGAGTCATCGTTGGGTTATATTTCGACTGTAATTAATTTAAATACAAAGAGTGATTATAACGAGTGTGAGACGTTTTTTATCTTGTATTTATACCGATCGTTTTCTATTCAAACATTGAAGTCTATGGTTAGGCGAAGGTACAAGTAACTTACGTTGCCTTTGGAAGTGAGTCTCACTTGGCAAACATGCTTATCATAGCAGGAAGAGTATCGACATGCATATGGAAACAACGATTCTTTTCAAATACATGTGACGACGCTTGATAAGAAAAGAGAAGGACGCCGTTTTCTATTTGCGTATGCTTTCGTTTTACAAAGAACCGATTTGATATCGAAGCGAATTCCTACGAATATTTTTCTTGCCCCTCTATTCACTACTAAGAATATTGCACATGTCTCTATTCACTTTTCTCTGCGTACGTGTGAGCGCAAAAGTTTGCTCTTGATAACGACGCGTATCGCTATGCATGAATGAATATTTGTTCTTCTTTCAAGAGAAAATGATAGTTAAATGCTGTTTTGTTTGGTCTTAGACTAATATCTTCTTTATATACTAGTCATCTGTAAAAACGTATCGATATAGAACAATAGATCATTCGTTTTATTTATAGGCAAGCTACCAGATGGCACATAAAGTAAGACCGAAATACGATAATATCTACGACTGCGACTCGCGGATGTTTGCAACTCATTTTAGGATAATAAGACCATCGTTGACATGTCCGGTCGTGAGAGTCCATCGTCAAGCATAAGAAACTCAGTAACAAGTAAACTTTTTTCGTTGAATAGCATCTTGTTTTGTACTATTCATCTAGTACCGATACCATCGCATGCTATCTCGGTATCAACAACACATCCTCCTTCACATGCTTTTATGAAACAAGTTAGTTTAGCTGCATTAACGTTACAAAATGCCATGAGTATCCTGCTACTACGTTATGTCCGCACACTTCCTGGTGAACGGTTTATCAAATCGACAGCAGTGGTGAATTCTGAGATTCAAAAGACAATTTTTAGTATTTTGTTAGTTATCAATGAAGAACGAAACGTTACGAAAGCTTTCAAGTTAATTTATGATAAAATTGTGTGTCAACCTTACGATACGTTCAAAACCGGACTGCCGGCTCTGATGTATACCCTGCAAAACAACCTATTATTCATTGCTATCTCGAATTTGGATGCTGCTACATTTCAGGTATTGAATTGAAACATCCTAGCGATTATTTATGATCGGATATATAACATTTTCAAAATAGACTTCGCATGAGAAATATCAACCATTATTGAAGAGAATGATCTTCAAAAGTATTGTTTTAGGTTACATATCAATTAAAAATATTCACCACGGCTATTCTCATGGTTTTTATACTTCGTCGGCAATTGAATCTTGTTCAATGGTTTGCATTATTTCTTCTTTTCGTCGGTATTTCTCTCGTTCAACTTGAAAACATGACCACCTCAACACCTAAACAAGATGTTAACGCCGTCTATGGTTTTCTCGCTGTAATAGTTGCATGTAGGTGTTGCCTTTTGAAGAACTGCAATGGATACTGATTGCTTTCATCTAGGTATACTGAGCGGTTTAGCTGGTGTATACTTCGAAAAGATTCTCAAAGGAAGTGATGTTTCGGTGTGGATCCGTAACATTCAATTAGGTGTATTTGGTGTGTTTTTCGGTGTCTTAACAACATACTTGACCGAAGGTGCAGAAATCAAAGCCAAAGGTTTCTTTTTCGGTTATACGCCGATTGTTTGGATGGCGACATTGGTACATTCAGTTGGTGGTTTAATCGTTGCATTAGTCGTTAAATATGCCGACAATATTCTCAAAGGCTTTGCTACATCGATGGCAATTATTATATCGTGTATTGTCAGCATGATGTTCTTTGACTTCCAGCTAACATTATTGTTCACAATGGGCTCGACGTTGGTTATCTTTTCCATATTTCTTTATTCCAAACCGGAATTAATCTTTTCTGTGCCACTTTTGAACATATTTTTCACCGAAAAATCGATTTTATTATAAGATGATCCAAAGAAGAACTTGCCGCTGCTATTCTACCCACGTGATGGACAATGTTCTTCTTCGTTTCTACTTCGTTGTTCTCTGTGTATCTCAGATGTGCCGAAAAGTTTGCAAAAATATTCACCTCATCAAAACCAAACAGAATTATACTATTAACGCATTCCGTTTTCTTCTTTATTTGCTTCTCATTTTGTCGCACCGTTGGCTGTTTTTTGTATTTAACGCACGTTTTATTTATACTCTTTTAAATTATTTTAAAACGAGGTCCTTCTATGAGACACGATTATTTACATCAAAGTATCGAAATAAAAATCAGCATTAAAACAATTCAAATAGGATTGATCCATTTGTCGACAAAAATCTGATCAGCGAATTCAATTTTTCTTTATTATGAATTCGTAAAATTGAGGTTCTGTTTAGAAAACTTTTTCCTCATTCGTACCCGATTCTCCTTGTCTTTGGCAAACATCAATCGTCGCTTTTTCAGTGGAACTAAATACATCCATATTAGTGTACCAATTTGATAAATAAAAAACACTAAAGTAAACACCACGAGAGCATATCGATCAATGGTAACGATCTGCGGCGCGTTCAAAACTGTGTTATATGTACTTCCTAATGTGTAGTAATTCATATACCCAATAACGCCATGGTCTACTTAGTTGATGGAAGAAAATGCATGTGAATATGAAGTATGCACTTACAGATATTCAAAAGACACAAGGAAAATATACTTCCGATTGCATATATATCAACAGCTGTTAAGTAAGAAATTGTTCTAGAAAAGACTAATTGGTTGATTTTTCTATCTGAAAGAGAATGTATATTTTTTACGGTAGTGCTTTATTGCAGAGCCAACGAAATGTGATGGACGTTAATAATAAGGTACAGGCGATTTGTATCCGACCATGAATACTATGACGAAAGACAGATGAATATTAAGAATTAGCTATTAGTTGATTACTTTGATAGAGGAATGGGAAAGGTCGTGAAACTGGCTGATGTTATAAGAAAAATAAGAAAATAGGCATTCCAAATAAAGTAACCATATTTGCTAGAAATATTAAATGAAAATATTCGGATTGCTAATCATACAAACAAACCGTGCTGCGTAACAGGAGCATATTACAACTGGGTGATTATGTACGTCATCCAAGTATTCATCAATTTGATGTGTCACTTCAATATCCACATATTCGAATAGATACCATTCTTGTTCATCAGTAAACACGCGTCGGTTTACGCCAGATGGTTTTCTCAAATCACGTATAAAAGTCACTTCTTTATCCGTACGTGACGAGGTAATTGATAATGATAATTCTTGTACGTCAACTGGAAAATGATGTAACTCCATACGCTCCCACAATGTACCTTTTAATCGGTGATGTTCAGTAACGGTCGCAAAGCCTTGCTTATTATGATGAACACTGTATGTTACATCATCCTGCAATTCACCAATACCATTCATAAGTTCTAGTTCAGGTGTCCAACGAATCGAAGGATCAAACGGTCGCGATTGTAAACCTTTGAATGACGGCTCTTCCCAAGACGCTTCAAGAAGAAATTCGCCATAGTAACGTTCATTTAACGTATCAATGTCACCGACGCGCACAAATATACAGCAGATGCTAACCTAAACATGAAAAAAAAGCATGATATCAGCTCTGAGAATGAACATGTTGACTGACTTCTACTGCGTCTCGATGAATTTTTCTAAGGATTAAATTTTGAAATGAATTTGGCGAGACTAAATTCTGCATAGCTTTGGATGTGTCTGAAATATCGTCAACAGACGAATTTCTTCTAGATTTTTTCGGAGAGTTAAGCATTGATGAGTTATTTTGATTAGTATCACGGTGAATTTGTTGAGGATCTGATTGTTGCAGACGTTGCCGTGTGGTGAATCGAACTGAGGATGTTGAAGGCGGACGCTCAGTTGTCGTCGATAGGACCAAACCTATGCGATTAGCCTGCATCTGTTGATTCGAAAATTCAAAGATTTCGTCGTTCGCTGGAAGCGATTTTTGATGAGAAACAATATGCAAAAAAAATTAATCAAGTAAGACAAAAATTTGAATCGTCCGAAGGAAATACTTTCTACTCCTTTGACGTATGTCACTCCATAAAATTCTTACTTTTATATTTTTTTCTCTTGCCATGTCATCTGCTGTTAGGAAAATCATCTTCAGAAGAAAAAAAGCTCCCCAACAGTACTTCGCTCATTCTCTTTTCAACTTCATCTATCATTAGTTTTGTTTTTCAGAAATTTCTACAAGTTCAGTTTTTCATCAACACCTACTACATATATATATATATTTTATCGTCAATATATATATAAATGAAAAAGAATAGAGATAGATAATAATCAGTTTCTTTTGTCAATAGTTTATATTTACACATGAATATGTGTTTGAATTGCATGATATTCACCAGATTGAACTAAACGTAGATAGACTTGGTAATAATTACAGTCAACGATTGATCCTCGAAGGAAACCTTTTTGCTGGTATGTGAACGGCGTGTGCTGCTGACACTGTTGAATTGAACCGATGGATTAGAACTCAACAATCCGTGATTAATGCTGAAAGATGTTCGAGTTTGGCTATCTCCACTGCAATTACTACTATGATCATCACAACCTGAGTCAAATGAGTTCGACTTAGGTGTTTTGCCATTCAGATTTGTATCTGCCGGAAGAGCTTTCGATAGCAATAAACTCTCATCACTTAATATCGACGATTTAAAATGTTCGTCGGATGTGAAGCTGGTGTTTATGTCATTACGCTTTGTGTTGTCATTGACGATTAATGGCATCGTACGTGATTTGGGACGTTTTTTCTTTGAAGATGGAATATCGTTTGACGATAATGAAGTTGGATGTGATGTTGATGATGACGATCGAATTGATGATTTTAGAAGAAGTTCCAAAGGCTCCTAGGAGAAAACAACACGTAAAACTTGATATGCTCGTTTTTATCCGGACTTACTAAACTGACAGGTTTGAACGATTTCACAGAGCTTTGACGCTTATTCGAATGATTCAATTTTATTGACGGATTTGTAACCGAAGAAGAGTCTGCCTTTGTACGTAATTTCGGAGTTTTAAGTTGCTGCGGCTGGTGATGAGCGGACGATTCGAGTAGGTGGCGTGTTCGAATACGTGATGCATGTTTGAGAATGTCTTTTTCGATTGTTTTCAAAGACGACGCTGGTAATGGGGTGAATGCAATCGGATCACGACTGGTCAACGAATTCGAATGTTGAGAATGTCGGTGTACTGTCGACGGAAAACGAGTGCCTAATCGATAATGGCTCACATCCGTATGGAATGACATTGCATTCGTTTTCAGTAATAAAGAACTCATATAAGCAAGATCAGGATCATTGCCAATTAGCTTTGCTAGGGTTAACTTGTCATCTGATGGATCGAAGTACTCAGTTGGTACGATTGATGACGAACAATAGACATGGTGATGATCGATTTCATTCGGTTGCATATGAGAAATAGTCGAGATTTCCGTGTGTTCAAAATCGGTTGTTGATGTTGGAGATAATACTCGTGTTTGTCGATTGATCAAGTGAGGAGCACTCAATCTATTCGGTGTTTTCGATCGTTGATAAGGAGTTCTTTCGATTTGATTGTTTTGATGTTTTACATTGGTTCCCGGATGTAAATTTATACGAATACCGTGATCAAAACAAGTTGCTTCTATGGCCTGCAGAGACGATAGATTAGAAGGAGCAATGCTATCATGACTTAGTGATGTGTCGTTATTCAGAGATGGTAATACGGGAAGCTTTTTGTTTATACGGTGTTTGGACAATTTCAGATCGGTTTCAGGAAGATCGATTCGGTTCCCGTTAACGACAACACCTGCAAATCCGAAATATTAAATTCGTTTTTTTTTCAGGGAATGTTTTACCTTGACTTTCAAAAGCAGGCCGCTCTTTTCTAAGCAGTTTTAAACGCATCGTACTCTACTCGTCGATCTCGGGGAATGAAGAGGAGAAGAGAAAGAAATTTATGGGTGAAACGAGAAATATTTTAATGATGCTTGACGTTCAAGAAAAATGCCAAAAAGAAACCGATCAAATCAAGTGGGCAATCAGGGATCAGTCAAATGGTAACAATAACAAACAAATGTCAGCAATAACGCTTTCTCTCGCCTTCTATTTCATGTATTTTTTCACTTCAATTTCGAGTGCATCGTTTTTCTTGCCTTGTCAATTTCCTCTTTCTTCAATAAACATTCGTACATCTATATCCAACATTGACTTTCCAAGTCTTCACCTACCTTTTTTCTCTACTGTGATCAATTGACCATGGTTGAATATTTTATTTATGTTAATTTAACTCCTTCTGCCTTATTTGTTCAGATAAAAGGGAAAGAACATGACGTAAAAGTTTCGCGAGAGAAATCAGATTCTCGCTTTCTTTTGTTGATATTCAATCGAAAATGACAGTGTCGAAAGGAAACCAGATAGATGAATGTGATCAAGACCTTGAAGGAATAATAACAATGGTCATATGCTGCACACGTTTTTCCTCTTTTAATAGTCAAGGTAACTGTAACAAATTTCAAAAGTTTTTTGAATCGTGCAATTTATTTATTCTCATAGATTTTCAAAAGGTATATAATGATTCTTCCAAATGTATCATAACTGTCGTGGAATGTCAATCGGAATGGAGCTTGATCGATCAGTGGCGTCGTCGGAAGGCGAAAGACGTTTAAAAGGTGTTAAGGATTCTAACCTAGAAGAAATTTTCGTGAATTGAAAGAAAACAAAATCGGAAAAAGGATATTTGTAATTTGCCATGGTCATCAGGATAAAACTCTGCCGTTGACGTAAATGTTCCATCTGCTTGTCGACATTCTACGGCGAAGCGTTTCGCTGCAAAACCGCCTTGAAACTTTATAGCAACGCTACTCAATGCGAATGGTGTTGTAGGGGTGATTTGTATCCATTGTGATGAACCCTGAAGATCAATCATAACGATAAATGCATAGATTTGAACATCTTACTGCCTCCGAATTCCAACAAGTTTCTTCACTACCATCAATTAAATTTTTCTTTCCATAGTTTTTATTATCTTTATTCAAAACCGAACTAACTCTATGCATACAGAGATATTCATTGACATGAGTTGAATGTATATCAAAACTACCTCAATTGAGTATCATTCAATTCGATTTCTTTTTCGGTTGTCATCTAAAAAGTATTGAGAGAAAACGAAAAGATTTTTTTTTTGAAGATAGTTCAACATTTATTGATCTAAACACACGCGAGTGTTAACAAAAATAACGGATATCGGGTTTTATTCTCCAATTGATGGCATTTGAACATTCTTCACTTGACGGAACTCTCCATCGACAGCAAATTTTGGATTATCAGGACCCAGAATTGTTGCTGCGTATGGTTTCTTATGAAGATATTTCTCTGTCACATTGATCAAATGTTGTTTTCCACAGGCGAATATTCGGTCACGATTCTTCTGTCTCATATCGTCATTAATACCATGCAAAAATTGTGTCATACCTTGACTACCGGGTGATTTCGGTTTATCAAGCTAAAATTCCAGAGTTCATATTCTTTGATTCAAGTCAGACAAATCTATTACTTGTTGAAATGTCGCTAATTTGGCTTCATCAACATCTTTATCTGTAAATTTACCGTTAACAAAATAGTCAACACATTGATCGAATCTCTTCAATGTTTCGACTGAATGAGGATCGCTAAAATATATTCCTCATAGATACTTTTTCACCCCGCGTGATTTTTTCCTACCGATACGAAAAGAATGAGAATAGATTTCCTCGAAGATTAGCACCGCCGCCATATGCACCACCAATTTCACGAACTTCGCGCAGTAAAAATTTATTAAACATCAATTTGGCTAACACCAACAACCTAAACCAGTGATTATGTACATCGTACGAGCAGCGTTTTCGAAAACTTACTTGGGATAGTCTTCATGAGTATAAGGCACACTCTGGTAACATTGACCAGCATAGAAGACATCGAATGGCATTTCAAAATGTGTTTTACTGGGAAGTTTGACTCGTCCTGTTTTGAAATCGTTCTTGAGAATGGCATTGGCATCTTCAAAGCGAATTTGTTGTGTTTTTGCTGATGAACCAGGTAGTCGATCGAGAAACGTTTCCAATCGTTCCATTCCATTCTTCAAGCCATTAGCTTCGCCATTCAACGCGCAACTGAACCAAGTCAAGTTTTCCGAAATGCAAACACTGATTAAATCTCCTACCGTAATGAATTTTTTGTCAGAATATGATCGGCAATTTGACTCAATTTCTTGGTAATATCATCAAAATTCTCCGAACGAGCAATTTCTTGCATTCGATTCACTTGTGTTAAGCCATGAAGACTCTCCGCCATTTGATCTACAGGCCCATATTGACTTGCTGAATGCATCATTGCAAATGTATGACCAGATTCATGCACACTATTAGCGTATGCAGATGCTTGACCTTTAATCAATGTTTCTAATCGATCATATTGATTCAATTGTTTACTAAAATCATTAGAATTCATATTTTTGAACGGAAAGAATATGTACCGGAAGTTTCATACTTAAAATAAAGAAGTATATCTTCCCAAAGATCGAACATTGCATTCAGATTTCGATCGAGACAATAGGATGATAGAATGACTCCCTAAGTGTGGCTAGGAGACGAGATTCTTAATTGCAAATTTTGTACTTACTTCTTCATAGTCTTCAATGCGAAAAGCACTTTCGTCTAAGTGCGTTGAGACATTAAGCCCACCAGTTTTCAAAGCAATTTGTTCCGATAATTCAAGATAATTAAATTTGTTTGAGCCAAGTCTAAATAACAGCAAACATCATATTTCATGTGAGTAAAGAACGGTTACAGTTGAATGACGCTCGTTGCGTATTTTCTCTTTTTCTCTTCTGACACATAGGTATATATACCTGTAAGAATCTCGTTCTCTTCTCCTTTCTTATTTATTTCCAATCATAACGAGAGAAAAACAAAAAGATCGCATGTTTGATCCACAGTTTCGTCTCTCGCCAGACCAATTGGGTAATAATGGTACATCCGATGATTCATTGTCCAATGGTCTCTGGTCACAAATGTCGTTTGATCATCTTCTTGAACATCACGATGCACCGTCAACGAAATCTCTAACAGTTAACGACACAACAAATAACGATTTCTGGTCGTCAGCACAATTCAATGATTTTTTTAATAATTATAATCAACAATATCAGCAGCAAAATCCACCTCTTGATATTTCATCATTACTATCATCATCACCACCTCAACAACAACAACAACAACAACAACAACAGCAGCAGCAGCAGCAGCAGCAACAGCAGCAGCTTCTGCATCAGCAAGTACCACCACTACAACAGCAAAACTTCGCATTACCTCCGTTAGTTGACAACCATATATTCGAACCACAAGCAGATTCTCAACCACTATTTTTCGGTGCATATCATCCCGAGAACAATCCAGTGTCAATGAGGCGAGACGCGCTTCGTCCTCATCAACAACATCAACAACCATTTATCAATCGCTCTCGACAAATTCCACAACTTCAGCGGCAACATCAGCATCAGCGAACTCCTCCCCTTCTTCAAATACCTAATGAAGATCACTATCAACAACCACAACAGCAGCATCAACCATCACATCACCATACAATTGGTCCATCACGTTTCAAACAAAACCAACTGCCTGCTTATGTTGCTTGTTTAAATCATGGCATTAACTATAATGGTGTATCCGGTCCACCCATTCTTCTCCCACCATCGTTTTAAAAAAGCACAAAAATCGTTTCAGTTTCTCGCTTTCTATCTCTTTCTCTCTCTCTCTCTCTGTTTATCGTTCTAATAAAACTCACTTTGTGAGAATATTAACAAATAATGGCAAATAAGGCTTCAATTCATTCGGTAGTTGAAATGTATTGAGTAAACACCGGAAATAAGTGATTCCATTTGTTGGCCGTTCGCATAGCTGAACATAGGTATTACCTATAGAAATAAACTAATCAATAAATCATCAATTTCATAGATATATCATATCTACCTATTTGCCCTTGAATAATTGGAATACGAATAACCTTCTTATCAATGTCAGCAATAGATAATGTTGGTAAAACATCCACATTTTGGACTGCCGATTGACGTTTTTGTAACTCTAAGCCTAAGAAACGATGAGAAAAGGCCGACTATCATGCTTATGCAGACATTGAGATGAAATCAAAACAACCTTTGTCATAGATCAATTGTTTGTTTTCACATTGAGACAGTAATTGTTGGCAAAGCTGAGATTCTCTTTGTTTTTTCTTTTCTGCATAGTCACTGTCGATATTCATTGTTGCTATTAATTTGTGATTATTTTTCTAATTAGAATATTAAAAGATAATAATCGAAAACGTTTCGTTTTCTCTTCCTACTAACTAGAAAATGTTTTTCGACGATATCTTGAAGTAATTTCGGATTGCTCTTCATTTCATCGTTAAATCTTTCGAGATACTTCGTTACTTGAAGACTATCGATCGGATCTGTGCCGTGAATCCACGAATAGATCAAACCCTAAATATGAAATGAGGAATTTTCACAGAGAAAAAACGAACTACTAACCAAAATAATTTTCAAGCCGAAGTTTTCATCTTGATGTTTAATACCAATTTCAAATTGATGAAGTAAAGCGTCAATTTGACTTTGTTCGAAACCTTGCCTTCAAATAGACAAGATTTTCTAACAATCATATATATTCTACGAATGGAAATTTACTTCGCTACTTCTTCGAATGTTTCTTCGATTAGTTTAATAACCCGATCGACATCGTCTTTAGCAATATCTTGTAATCCGACATGAAATGTTGTATTTAACGTATGACGTCCGAATCTAGTTCATTGATGAAAAAATATGAAATAACAAAGCAATGTCCGAAATTATCGCGAGATAACTGCTTTATCGGTGATTGGATCTGATAGATAGCAATAATTGTTAGTTTCTATTTATACGTTTCTGCTAATGACGCAGTTAATGTTTCGCATGTTATGATTCAACGTGAGTACGAGCTTCACGGACGGGCAAATTCTTCGCATACATACCCGGTGTCAGGCGAATAGTTTGTACCAATATTAGGAATGATCAATTTCTTATAGAAAGGCGATTTTTCCGAGTCCACAAGTAATGAACAGACGATGTTCAGGAGAAATGTTTCCCATGTATCGCGAATACTAAAGAATAGAACTAGTGACTGATAGGTTCATATATCGAATGTAAAGGTCCGTACCTTCCTAATAGATAACTAACACTGACAGTGGTTGTTTTGGTTGGATCGACCACGAATGATTGCGGCGAGCAAGTAATCTTTACCGAGCGTGGTTTATTCCAATGTGTTTCTTCCGTAAGAGATGAGGATTTTTCTTTTGTTTTCTGTTGTTTATATTTTTGTAAATGTTCATTGAGATATGCTAGCGTATCGGATAATGGAAATGATCCATAGGTGAAAAATCTAATTGCAGTAGAAGAATTTTTTCAACTTAATCGAATCTTTCTTTTCTTCGTACCTTCCATTGGATGGATGATAATGTGTTGCATGAAATTCTTTTAAATTATTCCACGTTAACGTCGGAATAGCTTCAGGATCACCACCGGATTCGTACTGATACGTCGATGTTGGCATTAGATTATTTTGTATTCGACGCGCATACACTTGATGACTGTCGCTCTTCAGAACATGTGCATATGTATATAGAAGATGAGGATCAAAGTAATTACTTACGAATACTCCTTTCATTTCATTGAATACAACACCTTTGATGACAATCGGTGACTTAGGATCATCGGGTTTTTCGTGTTCTAAACGCCAACCTTCTTGCCTTAATTGAATACATTGACAAAACTTATTCAAGTCAGTTTTCATGAAGGGCCCTTACATAAAATCGTATTCATCTAGCTTGGGATGTAAAACGGCATCGAGATAAACAGACATTAGATTAAAGTAGTCCTTTTGATTCTGGGTAGAAAATGCATACATTGTCCAATCACTGGCTATGTTTACACAGGTGAAAAAGGAACCATTTTAATTTATCAGAAAACAGTGTTCGATCGAAATACCTGTAAATGCATTCATGAATGTTGCCATACTTCGATTGGTCATTTTGAAAAATGGATCACGACATGGAAATTTCTCCGAACCGCAAAGTGCAGTATGTTCGAGAATGTGCGCAACACCCGTATCATCTTTCGGTGTTGTTTGAAAAGCCACACTAATGTATGCAGTAGAGAGATATCATATACACATGTGTTTCTATATCAAACCTCCAAACGTTATTCTTATGCTCACGATCAACATGCAAATGTTGACAACCAGTCAGCTTGTGTTGAAGTTTGATGGCTGTTAAACGAAATTCAGGTATTGGTGTAACCTAAAGAGAAGATTCAAGAGTATAGCCTATGTTCTACTTCCCACTACGGACTTCTTTAACAATGTAACCATGTATTTCCTGACCGACGGAAACCGATGATGACGGTAACCTTTGTGTAGCAGATAATTGTTGCAATTGACGATTTAGTGTAAATCGTGTTGGATTGATAATTCTAATAAAAGATGAAGTCAACAACATCAAACACACGTCGATTTCTCATACCGATGACATAAACGAAGAAGATTCATAGTTCTATCTAGAAGACAAACAAGACGATCATTACGTTGAGCTCATGATTCAACATCGATGTGACAATTTCTTTCCCTATACATATTGTGACTTTCGTCCCATGACATGGTATTGTTATCGGCTAAAAATTGATTCATTATGCTCCTAGTTGAGAAGTTTATTTATACACACGTATATATAATAACAATTATTCGGAAAAGAGAATGTTTTGTGAATAAGAGTATATCAACAGAGATATACACAGGCAAACGAGAGAAAAAAAACAGATTATTTGGTCAATCACTTATTACATTTTATAAATATAGAAGTAAAAAAAAAAACAAGAAAGAAATTGTATGGAATGTAATACATTGTGACATTCATTACGGGAGATGTTAAAGGAAAGGATAGTATATGCCGACTAGAATAAATAGCAATCATTATCATGTTACTCATGAAAGATTCAATCGAGTCAGTTCGAGAGAATCTTCGATGGAAACCAAAACTCGCCTTGCTTTTCTAAGATTTCGTATTCAATAAAGGTGATTTTGAACCAACAAGATAGAAACTGTTATTATTTGAACTAAAGCGAAGTACACCATGATATAAACCAAAGACTTCCTGTGGAAGAAGTCCAAAACATGGTAAAACGGGTAAGAGTGATGAGACATCCGCCACTGATTGTTGAGAATATACATGTTTGAATATGTGTGATCTATGAATAGATTTGATTCAAAAAGCAAGTACAATGAATTTTTGCTTAGCATACATATTTTGATTTTGTATTAGATTGTGCATGTAAGTATTGATTGAACTACATTTGTCCAATGATTTGAGCAAAGTTGCAGATGAAAGTGATGTCTTGATCGTCTCGTCGTATTTATTTTGACGAAGTGTATCAATATTCGACAGAGGTGGAAATGGATCCCTAAACGAACAAAGGAAATGAAATACTTTAGAGAATTTGTATTGCAATACTCACAAATTTGTTCTTCGTTTTTGATTGAACAGCGTTTCGGTAGATTTCTGTCGATCCGCTTCATTTTCATCGAATGGTCGTCGGAATACTCTCGATACATCAGGCATCAAGAACGAACTTGTCAGATCGGAAAAACTCCACTTTTCCCAAACTCTGAAAGGAAAGTCCACTGCGTCATACAAAACGAACATGATTACTAATACCGTTTCGAACAACATTGTTTGAATGAATCTTTAATAGATTTGTCGTAAAATGATCGTTTCATCAGATAACCTAAGCCATAGAAATCGTCGACACGATAGATTAATTCGATTGAACCATTGACGATATCAAACGCTAGAATTTGAAGACGAATTTTATGCTAAAGCAAGGATGATCTAGTCTTACAATTCGGATTCCACATTTGTATAGCATCGATGCTTTTGTCTTTTCGAAATACTTCACTTAATAATGCAAGTGTATAGAGAAAATCTGGTGAGAGAAGCAAATTTTCTTCAATCACAATTAGTTTGTCCTAAAATAAAACGCGAACAGTGACAATAAATTACTTCGAACAACATACGCTTTTTAGATATAAGTCCCATGTTCTCTTCATCGCTTTTTCATAAAACTCTAGAAGAGATTCATTCGTTCAAATATGTTCTTTCGGATTAAAATATTTTATTTACCCATGTAGTTCGTAGTAGACGGTAGTGTTAGGTTTTTGAATCCGAATAGCTGCACTAGTGCAGATAGTTCTGTCGATTTCTCATCGATGGCGACCTAAACCCATTGAAAAATATTTCTCTATATTGCCACACAGAACAACGTATTTGTTCATACAATAACATTTACGGCATTGACACCCGGTTGCATTAAAATCGTTTCCAAACACATTCGAAGCGCATTGCTTGAAGTGCCTTGCAAAGTACAAGCATTTCTAGATTTTACTGTCGAAACTTATTACATACAAAACCTACCTGCAATGACAAGAATCGGTGTTGAATATATTGGATTATCTTCTAACGTCCGATTCAGTAGCGGAACAGCTGATAAACTTTTGTCAACATTGGTTTCTTAAAGATAGCAAGCCGATTTCATGTTATGAAAAGAATATCCTATTCTTACCACTGCAGAAGTCTCCATAATCTTCGTAACGTGAGCAAAAGTCTCGGCGTAGATCATTACGATAAGGTATTGGATCAGGTCGAATCGGTTGTCCTCGTACTAAACAATACATTCGGTAACGAATCCAAGAGAAGTTCGTTATTACTAACATTTTTTCGGAACACATATCTTTTTGTCAATAGGCGGTGCATAAGCAAATCCGGTTCCCGCGTAGGATATCTAAACATATAAACATGTGAATGTTGTTCATTTTTCACGACAGGAACGAACTTCTTCGAAAGGACTGAAACCATTGATTCCTTTTTGGCCAATCAAAACCCAAACATCCCGATATTTCAAATTTTGTATGGTCGCACTTCCAAGGTCGAAGAATAAGTTTCTGCTGTGTTGACTCAGTCTAAATGATAACGAAATAGATCTCTTCAAACGTAGGACATCAGCCAACTTACTTCGAAGATGCTTCATCAAAAGTGACAACAATAATGATAGCATCGTCTTCCAGATTTTCAAGAAATATTTCTAAATTTGTGCTATCTAAATAGCAAACTTTGTTTACAATCAAGAATGTCTTTTGGCATGTATCTAACCGTCTTGCCATGTATCAAAATGTCCTATTCGAATGACTTCTTTATTGTGCGACACAACAGCGATATTTAAACCACGACCAGCATTGTTAATTCCCTTGGAAATCACATATTGTCCGTTCACGCAGATTTTCGGTTCATCATTATTATCTTTGCCCGTGTAGACATGAACAGAAAATTCATCGGATTTGCATACTTCTGTTAATCCACAATTTTCGATCGAAGTTCCGATTGTTATATTTCCCTGTTTATGTATCTCGACGTTCGGCAATACCATAGGCGTTATTTTGCCCACTTTTTAGCGAAAAAGATAATGAATTATCAAAATAAACAGCGCGATAAATAAACACTTACAAGGAAACGTTGCGCAACCAGCAATGCGCGCAGCTGCAGCGTATTCACGGCCGCCTTTCTTCACATGCTAGGCATAGAAAACAAATATGGGTGTTGCAGAAGTCAATCTGGAAAAGGAAGATATGTACCATTTCAATTGCTTTCCCGCGTGGTATTCCTTTTTGACCAAGCATGACAAACGAATCTCGATATTTTACTAATTTTATTGTTTGACTACCATATTTTTCTAAAAGCGCTATTGATGCTTCTCGCAACCTGAAAAAAAAACACCGATCGTATAATCAGGGACTAATGTCAATCTATTCTTACCCGGAGGTTATTTCGTCAAAACTAGCCATAATAACAATATCACCATCGGTTAAATTAAGCCGTAAAGCTCTCAAAAAGAATGTTTCTGAAACACAAAGTTACTCTCATTTCAAGTGAACATCGCTATTCTTACCTTCGAGATACGTATCAAATGTTTCTGTCAGTTTTACATCGAATGTTGTACTATTGATTACTACGATATTAAGACCACGACCGACTTTCGAATCTTTTAAGCTCTTGTCAAGTAATCTAAATACAATTCGAAGTTTAATACTTCATAATAACCGTCTCTATTTGACATACAACTTATTATTGAAACATATCGACGGATATTTACTTAATCCGTCTCCTGAAGTAACCTTGAATGCAAATGAATCGCTCGAACATTTTTCATTGATTTCACAGCCTAAACCAACGTCAATACTCTTAAAAGAAATCATTCCCAATACACGGTACTTACCAGGATCTACGGTTGTTGGCCGGCTAATTGCTTGCATTGAACTTTGTCGTGTTTCATTGGAACCCAGAGAGGGCTCTTGAGAATTTTTACTCCGAAGAGCACTTGATGCTAAACATAAATTCGTTCTCACGTGGTTCAGATTTTGGATATTCAAACGTACACTCTCGGGTCGAAAGAACATATGTATTAACAAAAATCGCAGTGATTGACACTAAAATAATGATAGCAAAGAAATTGCCAACACCGCCGAAGAATTTGTGCAGGAGCCGTTTGATTTTTCTCATTGATAATTAGTTCTAACGGACATTCAGATTCATGAAGAAATGACTTTTGTTCGAATAAATGAATCTGAAAAAGAAATGAATCATTTTATTACACATTCGCGGAGTATAATAAAACCTATCGCGCATCAGACATCGAATTGCTTTTAAAGGTTATATTACATTGAAACTTGAAACAGTGTATAGATACTTTACTCTTTACAAGTAAGTATCAAATTACACCGATCAGACGTATGAACGAAAGAAAATGTATTCGGATATGGAGAAGGGTTAATCGAAGAACAAGTTCAAAATGCTGTTTACATGGAATTTGGTTCGAGAGGAAAATTATTTTGTATAATTATGATAATAGTGCTCTAATTCATTGAATAATGTTTGATGAAAACTGTGCATGCCATGTTCCACTGTTGGTACATAACGTCCTGTATCATATGCGTTCGATTGCAGACCGAGTTGAACGTTTTCACATAAATAAATATCTTCTTTTTGAACACGACGAGAATCATTTCGCTCGTTTTCTTCTAACTGTTGAGTTGTTGTTTGAGGATCGTAATAATAATCCATATGAACAATGCAGTTTTGTTCATCGATTGGTACGACAATATTCGTGTCCATATATGGTCCATATCGATTGATCATGAAATTTGGATAAATATAAGCAAAAACCACAGGACCTTCTGTTCGTTGTGTGCCGGTACAATATTGAACAGACGATTTGTTACTTTCGATAGAGACTTTATACTCAGTCATGTTTAGAATCGAATGCAACTGTTTATGTGCGTATGGAACATGATAACCGCCATCGAGATAATTATCGACGAAGATTTTCCAGTTACATTTTATTGGATAACTTTCTCGAGTAATGAAAATAAGCCGGTCATAATTAGTCGATTGTAAATACTTTGTATGGATTTGTTTGATAGACGAAAGACCGCTGTCATCGATATTTGTATGGTTCGAAAAATTGAAATTCAAATAAATAAACGGACCGATGGTTTCGATAGCGATTGGTTTCAAACGAATTTTCGAAGCTTTAAATTCTTGAATAGATTTTAAACGTAACGCTTTTTTTAAACGTCCCGATAACTCATATACCCAACCATGATATGGACAAACAATTTCATTCGAATCTATGTGTCCTTGATGCTTTTCTAACAAACGCATACCATGATGACAACAAACATTATAATGACCGTGTAAATTTCCCGACGCGTCCACATTGATTAGATATGGTTCGGAAAGAAATTGATCGGTAAGAAAATCACCAGATTTATCTACTTGATCTTTCCGTCCAGCATATAGCCAATTCTGTCCGAAGACAGCATACCGTTCGAGTTCAAATACATCCCGAGATGTATAAAAACCAGATGGAAGGGTCAAAGCACGTTCGACAGGAATTTTCGAAGACCATGATTGAAGAATACGTTCGAGTTGATTTGGATTTGCGGGTGAATATGTTTTCAAGAAACGACGTGGTATTTGAAGTAAACTAAATAAATGAAAACAAAATGCGAGTGAATCAGCGACGGAGTTGAAGAAGAGAAAGATATGGTTCGAATCATTTGAGCGGAATCATCAGAATTTACTACAGCGTTATTTACGATGACGATCGTAAGAAATGAAGAGACATCAGCGCGATTTTTCGACCTAGAAATGATGCAATGAAAAAATACATACACTTCTAGTAGCTGTCTCGTCATTGGTCGAAACATCATCCAGTGATATTCTTCTGATTCGTTCTTTCTTTCTTGCCTGCTGTTTTATCAAATGTCTGTCTCACGCGTCAGGTGCGACACAAGCTAATTATTCACTCGTGGGGTATAGACTATTGATGTACTACCTGAGGTCGAATATTTTTAATACGACTGCGATGTTTGATGCTACTGTGAGCTGAGTTTGACATTCGAGCAGTACGAAAAAGTTGGAAGAACGATTGATCAGGCGAAGACTTTTACTAATTCATTCTTTTTTGGTGAAATGGATTTATTTATGCAAAAATATTGGTTGCTTTTTAATTAATGTGAAAATCTTATTCAAACGACGGTTAAAAGTTTTCGCGAGAATCATTAAATTTTTCGAAATTGAACAAATCCTCCTTGTGATTACATATATTCTTATCCAGATAGAACTGAATTAAAATGTGTTCGTTTTTTCACAACGAAACGCCATTGTGGATGTCACTAGTAAACGTTTCATCTGTCGTTTGTCATACAAAAAGAATCGTTTTCTAAACCTCTTTGCTATAGTCAAGCAATCCTTCAGCGAAGAAGAACGTTATATTTTTCTTTCTTCTTCTTCTCGTTCATATTATGTGAGAATGAGTTCTAACCAATGAAAATGTTTTGCATAGACAAAACAAATCATTACTTACTCTTACTTACTCTCTATAAATCACATTCGTTTATTTGTCGATACAATCGCTGTAAACAAAATTTTGTCATTCGAGAGTGTCGACAGAGATGCGAGCTGATCTTATGTTAATTTTGACTCAACCTATAATATTCAAGAGAAGCTTGTGCACTCGGAGACGGAGAGGAGCGTTGCCGGATTTCCCACGGTGTTCTTAATATATTTATTAAATTTCCAACATATAGACTTCTTCCCGCATATTAACAATAGTTCCTGTGCTTTATTAACTTGTGAATATATCACTTGTGTTAAATTTCTGTTTTTTCTAGAATATTTTCTTTGATATTTGTTGATCTAAACTGGCGGTTATCGTCGGCGCGAGTGATTAACATTTATTTCGGCGTAATAAGTCGCAAAAGTAACTTTATATCTTCATATTTATCATACAAATGTTGTTTCTTTCTAGTATAAATAAACAACAATGGGTTTGGGGGCAAATCTTTGGAAAATTCTTTCACACTATTCTCAATTTTGTAAGTGAATTTTTCTCCTAAACTCACTCGTTATTTTCATTGATCAAAATAGATTTCGTTTCAATTGCATCGGTACTCGGCACAGGTATTCTCGGCTTACCTGTAACATTATCCGAGAGTGGTTTTCGACCGTTCATACTTTCATTTGTGATCTGCTATTTCGTTCAAGTAAAACAAGAGTTCATCAACTCATGCTTTTCAAACATCTCGTCTTCTAGGTACTGACTATATTTTTCTTTACGGAAGTTTTACAAAAAGCTTACTATCGCAACATCGAACAATTGCAAGAAGTAAAAATTGATATTGATTACTCGAATTTGTCATTGTTATATATTATTAATAGAATGACAAGGATAATGCACCTATTCATCTGGAGAAACATGAATTGCATACATACGGATCGGATTATGACTTGTCATCAAAACAGGGTAAGAGAAGATGAATATTCAAGATCTTTTTTTGCTTTCTCTCTGTCTCTCGCTCCTCTCTTGCTTATATTATCACATCTGTTTGCAATTAATTGATATCGCAAAAGATATGATCACCATCACTCGTATTCCATGAGCAAGATTATCGTTTACTTAATAAAACTCTCTTCCCGGGGAGTATCAAATCGAGAATGGTATTAATAAGCGAGAAAAGACAAACATATCTAGTTAACTGTATCTTCGATTGAGCATACACTGTATAGCAAATTTCAGTGAAGCCAAGATACATAATGACAGTTATTCCACGTTTCTACATCTTTATATTCATGGGTTTGAGTGTCATTCTCACAATTGTATTGATTATTCAATTGAGCAATGGATTCTTCAACACAATAGCTACTTTTAGACGCAAAACTCGCACAAATCAATATTCGATTTATAATTTCTATATTCTTCACCATTTGATTGTATGTATCTTACGTTGTATAACGATGTCTATCATGTGTGTTTTCTTTCTATACTATTCGGAGTGTCTTTCCCTTGAAATTCTTATACATTTTTTCCTTCTTTTATCCACATTCGATGTTTTCCTTATAATCATCGGTGAAACAGTTCACTTTTGGGATTGTACTGTCAATCATAAAAGTACTCTATATTCGAAATGTTGTTTCACCGTTGGTATATGTTTCAATTATTTTCTCTCGACATTCTTCCTTGCAATTCACATGACGTTAGGTGGAACTCATCCGATCATCTTTCATTTCTGCCAAGCGAAATCTCAGCAATTCGTATTCAGTCAAACAATCGAATATGAAAAATCCTCGATTCCAACGATTATTCTCTATGTTCTTTTTATCCTATTGACTCTTCTGTCATTTGTATGGATTTATATATCATACAGCGATATTTCGAAGTTAAAACGCAAACGGTTAGCAACAGTTTTTTTCTATTCACTTGTTTTAACGAAATTCAGAGATCATGAACGATCGAAAATGGTCACTCAAACATTAAAACGTCTTTTATCAATTGGATTATTCATTCTCAGTAATATTATTACTTTAATACCTGTTTTAACACTGAAAGTAATGAAAATTTCAATGTTAAATATTTATGTACAAATCTTTTTAATTTTTATTACACAATTACCCTGGAGTGAATCAGTGACGTTCGTCTTTTTCAATGAAATGAAATTCAATTTACCGAATAGGCCTTTTCGTTTCAAAAGAAATCAGCAATTTCACGAACGAATTGGAAGTCGTCTGAGTTCCTATCAACAGAATAGACTTTCTATGCATATGAACGAACATAAATAACTAGATACACGAAGGCACGGACAATCTCATTTTTATTTAGAATATGGCGAATTCGCTGAATTAAGAGATATGGTTGTTCCTTCGAGAGGTGATTTGGCTTTTCCCCCCTATTAAATGTTGTTTTCCCTTGTTTTCTACGTCTGTGTGTGTAACTTGTCTTAGTAAATATATATTTCTATATGTTGCTTATTGTGTTCCTTCAGACAACGATCCATCGAATGTGCCATTGATGACAAATGATGATGATGATGATGACGGTGACAATGTAACTACTAGTGTTACTAACACGAAATATTACATAAAATCGTGTAGGGATTTTTGTTTAATATGTCGCTGCACTAATGCTTTCGTTGTATGATTAAAAACGATCAAGAATATATTTTCGTTTTCTAGCATATAAGGCGGATATAATCAAACGATGTTTGCCGAATCTTCATTCGCTTGGCGAACTTCTTTTACCATGTTTCCTTCGACAAGTATTTACAGGAACTGTACTATTAGCTTTGTATGTTTGAATTACATTTATCGACAGAGATTTCACTTTGATTCTGTTAGATTGTGCATTTTGATCAGCTATGCACTTGCTGGTAGCCAAGCGTTCACAGCATTGTTTAACATTCCGTAAGTTGTGCTCAGAATGAGATTGAGAAAATCTTTTCTGTTTGATTTAGATACATTAAAATGATTCCGATTTTTTGTTGGACATGGACATTTGTCGTCGTGTTTCTTCATTCGTTCATTCAACCGATTATTTCAATCTTAACGTTTCTGAAAGGCACACTTTTTACTGCGACAGTAAAAAACGACATTTGTTTATCATTAGTTAATCTTGTCGCCTTCTATTTTCTAGGTCATCGTTACATTATTAGTAGGATTGAAAATACAAAATCCGGTTAAGAGCGATTATTCAGCTATTGGAGACTCGTTTCTAATGAGTACAATCGCATTAGGTACGAACAGAGATCTTAACATGTTTGTATTAACGGATTAGCGTTTAATTAGGTGGATTGATGAACGTCATGCCAATGATGTTTGCGAAATTGAAACAAACTAGAGAAGAAGTACATCGAAAATTTTCCTCCAAGACTATTTCATAATGCCTTTATGTCTGTAGATAATTGGTTTCAACGTATCGGTGTTTCTTGGCTTGACAACATGCGTTATTTTGAATATTCTTTGGTAAGGGGAGGTGCATGTGGATAATTAGCAGCTGTTCGAAACAGCGACTTTTACAGGCGGAGATTAATTGAGGAAAACAACGAATCCTTAGAATTACTGTACCAAGATCTGGTTTGAAACTTTCATTCGACCTATCATGTATATATGCAAATCATAAGTTTTCTATTGGAAGTTCATAATTGAATATGAATAATAGGTAAAAAGCAAATCACGCTAGTCAATACTATTCTAAAATGCATGAAATCACATTTTTAACACATGTTACATTGCACGAGCGAAAATAAGGAATTTTTATATCTGTTCTTGAAGGTGTTGGTCGATCCTTGCCGTAGTACCTCAGAGCAGTACGTGTCTATCGACAAATATTAACGATTCGGTTCATATCGTGTTTAATCTTATGAATGACTCACAAATTCATGGTCAATGTATTCAATCACCTTCTTTAAAAAAGTAAAAGCTATTTTCATCAAAGAATCATCAGTTTTTCATCCGCATAAATACTTTCTATATTTTCAGATCGGCACTAAATGGAGAAATCTCAACAGTACCATTGACTCAAGTATGTATCACACTAAGATACAAGAAAAAGAGATTCATCATTATTTTCTTTCAGATTCTTGAAAACGGCGAATTCAGCTACTTTCAATACGTTTCTTTTATCGTACAATTATTCATCATCACGAGCATTTCTGTATCATTCATGACAATGGGCTCTGCATTACATCATACAAGTAAATCACTTTGAAGTCTTTGCAAAGAACAAATCTACTATCTATTTCTATCCAGTCAAAGGTGTTGTCGATTCATACTGGAATCCAACATTAGAAGCCGAAACGAGCTTAAGAAAATATGGAAGTATCTTCGAGTATATCACTGTACGAAGGTGCGTAAAACATCATTCAATGGGTTCCTTCTGTTTATCATACTACTCTACAATTTTTCTTAAAGAATCGCTCAGTGGATTGCATCGCTGTTGATTTTTTCTATCGTCTTTGGTATTGCTATGAGCAATCCTAAGGTATGATATCGAAGGAGATAAATAGTGTTTCGACTTTCTGTTCTTCACTCACACAGGGTTTCAAATTGATTCTTGAGCAAGCAGCAAGTCTATTTCAAAATGTCGAGGTTGGATTATTCCTCAGTATAATGATTTACAAAGTTTCAACACGCGAATATAAGTAAGATATGAATGTAATTGTCGAATACTCTATCATTTCATGCTCTTCCTAGTCATTATATCCTCCCATTTCAATTGCCGTCATGGTCACACTATTTAAAAGGAATCATTCCAGTTTATTTTCTCTTTGCTGTTTTTTATGATATTTATCATATAGTACGCACTTATTTAAAATAATCAATATTTATTTGTCGTTATTTTTTCGCTTCTCTGTACGACCAATCTATCCCACTGAATCTATTCAATCTTATTCTTATATATTATATCTCCCATGCAATAAGTGTCGTCGATACATATATATATTTTGTAATAGTTTATGTGCATATTTATTTTCCTTACTATTCTTTTGATTAATTATTGTCATGTGCGTAATATATAAGTTGATTTTGTTTTCTTGGTGTTGTCTTCAGATTAAATAGAAAGACTTATGCAATCACGACCAGATTTAATTGGAACCGACGAAATGCGCGGGCAACAGAAACGATCATATATTGGATTCGAAAAGTTCGAAGAGGAATACAATCATGAGACGTCAATGAATAATGCTGCAGGTAGAACATCAGCCTTTGAAAATAATTGTAGTTTGTTTCCTGAGAAACTCGAATGGAGTATTTGATTTGTTGTTAGGGAATGCGAAATCGAATTCAACATCACCTCGTCAGCCTACCAGAACTTCATCTTTTCAAAATTCACCATCACGTTCTTATGATGACTCACAATTTACCTTGCAGCATTTGTGCACTCCGATGCTTTCGAGCATCTATTCCGAAATTGTCACTTTCTGGTTCAAAGTGCAATGGTTAATATATGATGACAATGTCAGAGAAACTTTTCTCGTACTGAAATCGAATGTTGATGGTTATTTACCTATTCAGACAGCTCTTGATCAAAAGTCTTTCGTGAATAGTAAATCTCGCTTACATAACGTCCCAGAATGTCTTCTAATCCAAACGGAATTCCACAGTAAAACAACCTTCCTACCCAATTTGTTTATTTCGTTCGATCACCTTCTTCATAAAAATATCCGATTAAAAGAAAGTTCATTTCAAGGGCAACTAATTGCTATTCTATGTAAATTAAACGAAAGAGGCAGTAAACTTATGTTTTATAAACATTTACAAAGAAACACTTGGCACATATACTTTAATACTCCTGAATTTCCATCGGAATATTATGCAAATGTGTTATCAGATGATGAAGCATCTCAGCTAGAATCGATTGCCGAGGAAAACGATTCGGGCAATTTCAACGATGTTCGTCGGCTAGAATATCCTTTATCACTTTTAACTACCCACCCGATTATTTATGTATATATAACACGAAAAATTTCTGATGCAAACTAACCGAATGTTCTCTTTTTGCTATGACATGTACGAGTTTTTTCAAAATAAATCCCGAATGATTTTGATTGTGTGATAAATTGTATTATATTTCAGATTAACGTCAGCTTTAAACGTTTACACAATACATTATGGCAGGACGTGAGTTTAGATGTTTAAATTGAAACTCTCATAAGATATTTCCTTTCTTCATTCAGCACGTAACAATAAATCTCGAGATGACGATGACGACGAATTACGTGGTTTCGTTCGGAATAATGCTATTACTGGTTACATGAAGACTCAATGTGAAAAATATTTGAACGATCAAACGTATCGAGATAAGATTCATTTGAACTCGGGAGAGTATCGAGACATTTTAGAATTGTACGCATCGAATGGCTTACAGACAATTCAAAAAATAATTGACGACCACCGTGAGTTAGGCACAGTTCGTCTTCGAAGGCCAGTACCAGATATTTTACCAATAAGAATTCTAAAATTGTTCGACGATCCGAATTCATACATCGTGCCATCGGAGAGACTAATAATCGACACTATTTCTCCTCGATCACCGCAATATCACCTACATGCAATTCTCTGTGAGATTAATCAACTAACTGTTGTTTTCATTCGACATCTCTCAACAAAAAAATGGTACTATTATCAGAATAATTATGCGTGCGAATCAATGAATGACAATTTATCGGAAGACCTCAATCGTATATTAGATTCGAGATCAGCGCACGAACAAAAGAAGTTAATTGAGTGCACACACTTTATCGTTTCAATTATTTTTCATAATCCTTTGAAATATATTTATATACAAGATGACGATTAATCTATATTTAACATATTGTAATGTAATATACATCGTTTTAGATTCGTAAGTTGATGAATACTTTACATGTGGGCGATACTGTGCAAAACTCCATTCAGAGTGCTATGTAAGTCTCAATCGCAAGCTCTGAACATTGAAAAGGTTTTCTCATTTTGTCAAACAGTGTCCGCTGGCTAGGTTCAATTGAAGATCATGCAATGATTGGCTTGGAATTAATCGATTCGACGTTACCTGGTAGGATGAAATGATCTCCTCTTTCTTAGCATGTTCTGCTTCTTGACTATAGGATACACTGATGGTACATGTCCATGTGATAATAAACGTTACTTTCACTGTCCACCTGGTCGTGGCTATTACATTTTACAAAAAAATTTTACCGATTCGTACAAAGTTATTGACAAATATACTGATAAAAATGGCCATGCTCATCCAATCAAGTAAACAAATTATTGATTTCTGTCAGTTAGATACTTAATCTTTTCTAGTCAATCATCACCAACTTCTCCAAATCGTACGTTTTTTCCATCTCAACCAATTCGATCAGCGATGTCACCGTCGGTTTCTCAAATGCAGCCACCTAGTTCAGATAACAGCCATGCAATAGCATCACCACGCGGTGTGCTCAGTCGATTAGCATCTGAACGAGAACATAGAAACATTCAGCTCACTCCATTGACTTCTGACAATAGCAATTCATCACCTCGAGTATATCGTCCAGAAAATTATCAATCTAAAGCTTATGACGCATCTGTGGATTCAGGCACTACAAATACAAACGAGGTGCCTTCGTTTGGCGACGAGTATTTTCTCAACGATTGGACACTTGGCCGTTTAAAGTCACTTCTCGAAACGAAGATTCCAGGCGATAATCAACTATGTTTAAATGTCTGTATTGATCAATGTGAAACTCAACAACTAATTGACGAACAAATCAACAAATGCCCTTCACGTCGGCCACCAGTACCACCGTCTGCCATTCGTATTGAACTAATCAAAATATACGACAATGTCGAAATCGTCTTTCCATCACGTTCCATTCGTCTATATAATAACGATTACTTACTATTAGCTATTTTATGCTCATACAGCGAATGCGCTTACGTTCGTACAAAATCTGGCTGGGCATATGTTGATGATGAAAGTGATCAAGGAAATTCTATTATTATTGATGAAATCTCACAAATGATTGATAATATCAATCATGATATTATTTTCAGATCCGAGCAATGCCTTCATGTGCTGAAAAATGCTTCGTTTTTATATTATAAACTTGTCGCATAGTCTTTTATTTTCTGTTAAATCAGAAACAAATAATAAATAGTTAAATATGTTAATTTTATATTTATTTTCAAGTTTATCAAAACAGAACCAGAATCAAAAGAAAGAAAGGACGGTATTCATATAATACATAGAGATTGCTCCAAGTCGCATTCTCGTCATCATCGCTTTTCAACTTTCTCTCCCTCTGTTCGCATCTGCATTGCTTATACACACACACACATCAATTAGACCAACATGCCTGGAAGGCTTCAGTGACGGTGACGACAAGCACATAGGATCGAGAAAAGGCTCGAGGCTTGAAGCAGTAGTAGAAGAAGCATTTGGAGTGAAGAAGAGAAAATGAAGGCGAAGAGAGAAAAATCGCAAGAGCAAAAGATGATTGCGCATGGCCACAGGTAAATGAGCTATGTGCATACATACATACAATAGAGACGAGAAGTTTTCCTTTCTTTTTGATTTTCCCTATTTCTGATCATCTTCTTGTAAACGTGTCAAAGAAAGCAAAAAATAGAGAAAAAAAAGGAGAAGATAGTTGGAAGCATAAAAGACAGATTGAAGCTTTAAGGCAACATAAGCGAACGAAAGAGAGGCATATTCAATTGCCGCAAGGACTTCTTCCTTTCTCTCGGTGTCTAATCGTGAGAAAACTAATCTGCAGCAACATGGCAAGCAATTTGCCTGGAGGAATATTCTGCAAAAGACCGCTACCATATACATACGTCGTGTCGATTCTCACTCATTCTTTTACTCTGCTTTCGGCCGCTCGCTTGCCCTCTTCTTTCTCCCTCTCCATTCTAACGAATAGCCCTCGGCGACACTGTGTGCGCGTGTGTACGTATGCGCATATATATATATATATATTAGAAAAAGAAAACGAGAAATTCGTTCTTCCTTATCATCATTAGCTGGCTGTCGTCTCGTACACAAGGTAGTACATATTCTTCTAATCTACTGTCCCATTTGCCTCATAATCTAGCACGAGTATGAATAACAATATTGCCGAAAGACGCTCATCGTCTGTTAGCCCGAATGTTATTTCCACGATGGTCATACCTAAATGTGAACCAATCGAAAATGAATTTAATCAAAATAATAAACGTCAACTAGGCGAATATCATTTGAACGACAGCGAGCCTATTCTCTCGACTAAACGGCAAATGGCAACAAAAAAGTCTCCACAGACAGATACTAATTCGTCAAAATTTCATAACGGACGAAATGATAGTATTGACGACCAACAGCAAAAACAAGCTGATTCACCTTTACTATCGAATAGTCCGAAAATCAGTGCATCAAAATTATTTACAAATGGTGGGAGTATTGAAATATCAACATCACCATCGAACGTTCAAGTAAAACCAAGGTAAGCTACGATACTTTCTTGAATTCGAATAAAAATTGACTATTCTCATAAATAGATTTCTGGATGCAAACTCGGAGAATCCAACTGTTCGACCGCAAGTTTCCTCGTCACCCATGGGTATTCCACGTCCAGCAAATCCATCACGTTACACAGCTCCTGTTCACATTGACGTCGGTGGCACAATATTTACATCGTCATTAGAAACATTAACACGTTATCCTGATAGTCGCCTATCAAAATTATTCAACGGAACAATTCCTATCGTTCTCGATACTCTTAAACAGCATTACTTTATCGATCGTGATGGCAAACTTTTTCGTTATATATTAAATTTCATGCGCTATGGAACGCTAGCGTTACCTGATCATTTCACCGAATTTCCAGCTCTACTCGAAGAAGCACGTTACTTTGAATTAGCACCACTAATCAATGCCATTGAAGAACGTTTAGCAAATCGAAAAGTATCCGCAACAAGTAACTATTCACTCTCAAAACCTATCAAACAATCAACAGCAAATACAAATAATGATGTGTTATCGTTGCATATAAGTCAAGATCGTGTGTTAATTAGTGGAAGTATAACTCTCATTCATGACCTGTTTCCAGAGATTCAGAAACAACAGCAACAGCAAACAACGACGTTGCATGCGCACGTGGAGAGAAATCAATTCATACGGTTTACATTGAATGCTTTCATTAATTTAACACAATTAGAGATCTTTCAACGATTATTGAACTTAAAATTTCAAATTGTCGCCTCGACATGTGGAACGAGTATTGACACGATGACACAATTTAGTGAATATATTTTCTCTCGAATTTCCTCAATGTCGAAGAAACCTATCGCGAACTCATGTGAAAATGGCACAGAGACTGATGATGATGATGAAAGAGAAGAAGAAGAAGAAAGATATAGTTAAAATCGTTGCGTTCAATGTATAGTTTTATTGGCAAACACGGTGAATGTTATTTCGTAATGAATAATTTTGTAAATAAAAAGTTGTTTTTTTTTCTTTCTGGTTGTATTTTTGATCAGAATTGAAGAGAAAAGCTTTTTAGTTGATTTCGACATGTGGACATGACTAACTTTCGTAACGATTCTTTATTTTCTAGTTCTCTTATAAAAATAAACTCCTAACTGATTTTAAATGATTGTTTTGATTTCAGTTTCATAAGAGAACGAACACGAAAAAGAAACTGTATGGATGTAATCTTTCCTGTCGTAAGAGTCGGTGAACCAATCGATGAGAAAAAAGAGACGCGCGCAAGGCCTCACCAATAGTCATCGAAGAGTATGTTACGATTCGCTCGTTTTTCCTCTTCTTACACGTGATGTATGGTCATGCGTAATTGAACAAATGAATTTTTCTTCGAAAAATCATCTCGTATACAGTTACTCATGTTTCGTCGAACGATATATTTCATATTATTTCAATGGTCGCAACGATTTCATTTCTATTTTGTTCTTCTTAGTCTTCTCAATGCTTGTTGGATTTCATATTGGCAGCCATATGGACTTTTATTCAATCTTAAACATGTCATTTGGGAAGATGAATCTGTTGAATTCGTTCGTGAGAGTATCATAGCTGAGCATAAAGAACAGCAAAAACTTGCTGTTGAATGGATGGAAGATGTGATTACAAATCCAAGTAAATATCCGCATTTGATTTCAAATGTATCTCATCAATTACTAGTCTATGATTATATTCATTCGAACTCGGCTGTAGCAAAACCATTTTCGGCTTATACATTATTAAATAGACCAAGGCAAACTTTATTAAATATAACAGATCATATTGTTATCTCAATACTGTATGGTAAACAGGATACAGATCATCGAGAAGGAAAATTTTATATAGGCCAAATTCTTTACCATCTTTTGAGATATCATCACCCACGTTTTCTCATAACCCTATGTGAAAATAATAATACAAATGAAGATATATCCCATGGTATCAATGTCATTCGAAACTTATTTCCTGTTTTCATCGTTAATAGTGTACCAAAGCCATCAGCACCCGACGTAAATACATATGAACGAGAGAAACAAGCACATCTACAATGCATTCTTGCAAACTTTCAATCATTTCCAAATCTTAATCATCTTCTATTACTTCAAGATGATGCTGAACCAATTAGCAAAGATTTTACCTATCAATTAACTCGACTGATTGATGATCGTGTTCAACAACAATGGCCATCAAATAGCCGTCAGAAACAGCAGCCAGCATTTATTAAAATTTACCATCCGCGATGGTTAATTAGTTATTTAAACCCATCCATTTATCTGATAATTCAACTTCTAACAACAAGTTTTCTACTAACATTCATTGGATACTATTCGTATAAAATTTTGATTAAAGTAAGTTGCTGGTCATTTGTTTGATTCGAATTGATATTGTTTCTCTTTCGTTAAGAGAAGAACTCCGTTGAAATCGACTGAGCATCAATTGTGTTTACGACTAGCATTTCGCAATATTATCTTTCTTCCGAGGATGGTTACTCGAACTAGGATCTGCTGTCTTGCTTATTTCTTTCTCATAATTATCATTCTTATTTTAATTGATCATACAAATTTTGCCTGGTCGTGGCGTTCATTGCATCCGTCACTTTACGCAATTTATCCTGCACCATCATGTTGTTTGCCCGGAGTACTCTATTTCGGACAAACTTACACTCAAGTTGTTGACTATTTAAATCAAGTAGAATGCCATAGAAAATATGCTATCGATACAGCATTTGATGATCTACCACGACGTACCAATCTACGAACATATCTTGTCGAACCAAATTTAGTACATCATATCGGTCTTTATTCGAGACTTCGACGATCGTATATTAACCCGTTTTTACTCGACTGAGTATTATTTATTTTCAATGAATAAAATGTTATGTTGAAATCAAAAACTAATTTAATTGACTGATGAACGCGATCATAAACGTGCTAAGTTTCACAGTATGATGGCGAACCGCGTTTGAACATGAGTGTTTCTTACGCTGTCAGGTCAATCATTATATTAACAATCTTTTGAACAGAATGACAAGCTTTGATCAGAGAGCTTGATACAAAGTATTTCAAAGACAAAAAAAGAGGAGTCTTTACTCAACTAGTCATGAGATAAAAATTTAGTTTCGTTTCGACACTCAACCTCAAAGTATTCCATAGGCACAATAGATTTGAAGATCAGTTTAGTGAGCTGTGAAAGCAGGATTCATTACTAGAGCATGTTATGTTTTGTTGACATTAATTGAGGTATTTCGATGCGGAGACTTCGAATCTGATGTTAGTTTTCTCGATTTTTTAATAAAACTTTTTTAAATAATATTTGACCGAAGGGTAATCGAGGTTGAGGATCCCGAATCTCATGTTAGTTTTGGCAAATACTAACTAATTAATTAGTTAATTAGCCAATGATTAGTTCTTATATTGTCAAATAAGGGTTGACTCGAAGAGTAATCTGTTCCCAAGATTTGTAGTCTGTTGTTAGTTTTTCAATCGAAAATCCTGTTCTGTTTTTAAACAAAGGTCGATTTTTTGCAAGGAAGTTTTTTTAGGCGATAGTGTTTGAAGCAGCAATATGTAGAACTGAAACGAAATAGCTGATTAACATCGGATTGTTGGATATTCATATACATCAGGAGCACATTGATAACATCAGGATCATATAAACAGTTATATCACGCAAACATTATCTGATGCTAACCATTCAAAGTAATACTTCCTCTGACAAATGTTGTTTTGGACAGCCACAACGGCGCAAAGTTGGTGGTTCTTCAGCAGGGAATGGAAAGAAATGGTTTGATTCATTCTGAAGGGAATTTTAAACTAGATGAAAGAATGAAGGTTGGACATTAACGGCTAGCGGTGAGTGGCCGATCGGAGGAAGACCGACGAACAACTAGGCGTTTATTTGAATTGCTTAGAGAAGATAAAAATAAGTGAAAATAAATTGATTTTTTTATTCAGAGTAGTCTGAAGAGAGTCGATAAATAGATTTTTATAAACAGTGTTCGTTTTGTTTATGTCTTTGAACAAGTGAATTGAAAGTAATCTGACATGAATGAAGCAGAAAATGAAAGAATGAGCATAAAAGTGACTTCAATTCGAAGCCAGTTAGATTGAGATCTAAGTGGAAGCGTTTATCTGCTAGTTTTCTAATACTTTCAGAAAAGGGTCAACGAATCCAACGGATGAACGCTACTTGTATGCTACATGTTTTTCCTTATTCATGTGGTACAGAGTATATCATCACCTATGGGGAAATTATCTAGCACACACACATATATATAAATAAATATATGTACCTGTGTCTATCTCGTTCTCCTTCGTATTTCATATACCACGTGTCATCTAGTTTATTCTTTCTCCACATATTTTCTCTGTGCATGTGTTATCTTCTAGCGTTATATTTTTAGAATAAGGAATTGAACACTCCTTGTCATTAAACTTCGTAGAAAGAAAAAGAGCATACTTTATGTATAATTTACAGTTTTCAAAGGAGGTCACGCCGGTACTCCCCCTGGATTCGTCACTGGTAAGTGTTTTCACTTTTTATCAATTGAAAATAACTCCATACTTTTAGTTTTTCACCATGTCTACAACTGATGAACGTTCAGTGAACGAGTGCTTCAATGCATTCATGGACAGATATATATACTTAGAGAACGAATTATTTCTAAGAAAACAGACATATACCACTAGAAAGTTGAATAAGTGAATTGAACTTTCGAATTTAACACTACTGTCGCCGATCGCACTGTGGCCCGTAACTGTGTCGCACTTGTTAAAAAATAGGCAGCATATCCATCTAGGAATTGTTAATAAATGAAAAAGTGCTACGTTCTTTTTAACTTTTGCATGTGAGTATTGATTCTATTGCTTCTTTTGAATTGAAACAACGTACCGTAACTATGGCATGTGTTTTAGTATAACTGTGCTGCGTTAGCCATGTTTGATATGTGCAGCAATTTTTAACACAGAGTTTTAAATAGTTGAAACCGTTCCAATCAACGAGGACCAACAGTTCAAACAGTCGAATGCCGAAGATCCACCTCAGAGCCGATCACTAAAGACAAGGGTCTAGACGTTTTAATATTTTTTGTTTGTTTGTTGTTATACCACGATTTGTTTTCTGTTCAATCGTGTGCAATAATATTTTTTGAAAAATAAAATAGATTAATTTGAAGACGATTTTAAGGGTGAAAATTGAGGAAAAGCAACATCAATACCTTCCTTATAGTCGATATCGATTCATATTTTCTTTGACTCGACTTGTTGTTTACCGATCTCACGAGCGAGAATATGGCCAATCAAATCACGTCGCCTATAATTATCAGAACGAATGATTGAGACTAATTAAGAGCTTGACAACAGAATTAGTCTATCGTTCTGATTAACTTTGTTAGTATCGTCCACAAAATTCTATGAAGAATGGTGATTAGATCATCGATGCCAATAGCTCAAGATGAAGAAACGACAGATCAACACGGTCATGTTCTCATCACCGAATATTTAACAGGCACAAATCGAACAATCATAGAAGAGCATAACATCATTGCTGTTAGTCCAAATGATCATCGATGGTACCGGTAAATTGATTTAGTCACTGCACTCCTTTTAAACAATCTATCATTGACACAGATTAATTGAACTAAGAAACGGTTTACGATGTATGTTGGTAACAAGTAATGTACATGAAGATGAAGATGAAGAAGAAGAAGACGATAGCGGTGACGCAGATGATACAATGTAAATTGAATTTATGTTGCAGTACGGAATATGTAGTTGATTGCAGGGACAGACTGAGTTCTTCGGATGTCGAAGAAGCATTTCTACAATACCATATGGTGGTGTGACTCATGCTGAACTAGCAAGATATTCTTTTGCTTTTGTTTAGACAACTGTTGCTTTGTGCATACCAGCCGGTTCGCTTCTTGATTCCGCAAATTTACAAGGACTTGCCCATTTAACTGAACATCGTCTGTTTTCTAATCCATAAAACTCATCCATCACTCTTCGATTCGTCCTTTTTTTATTTCAGTGCTCTTTTCAAGTTCCTCAAAATATCCTGAAGTTAACTGTCTTGATGCCTTCGTTTCCTATCATGGTGGAACAGTTCATGCTTATACCGAACTTGAATTTGTCTGTTGCGCATCATTTGATTGAGCAGTTCCTTTCGACGTTTTCTGTTTTTCTAGACTGTTATTCTTATTGAGATTTCATCGAATCGTATTGTCGAAACACTCGATATACTCCTTCATTCACTGATTGATCCATTGATGTCGTTAGAAACAATTTATGATCAAATGCAAACACTTGATGAAGAGTATACGATTGCACAAACGGATGATCATTACCGAGCGACACGATTACTTGCCTATTTAGCAAGAGAAGATCATCCAATAAAACAATTCTCTTGGGGTAGAATACTTTCGGCATACTTTATTCAAAAATATCTCAAATTTGTTCTAGGAAATAAAACAAGTTTGAGTGAATTGATCGAAAATAGAAATAGTACGGAACTGTTGAGAAAACTTGTCAAAGATCGCTATTGTATACCCGAGGGAATGAACCTTGTTATGATATCGAACGGTATGAACAATAAGACAATATAGTAAAGACATAGTTCTTTATAATATTCCGAAGAGTCGTTTCGAATTATGCAACAGCGAATCGAGCGATTATTTTGTTTGATGAAACGAAGGTATTTCTGAAAAGGCAATACGTCAAACTATTGATTTCATCTCCGTTCAGTTTTAAAACTCTACCTGACTACATAAGTCTCAAAGATCCATGGAATACAGACGAGTTCAAGAGATTTCATCTAGGTAAACACGAGTATTGAAGATTTTCTAGTTGTCTTATGCTTCGTTCCAGTGTATCCATTCGAAGACATTCATCAATTACGTTTATCATTCCCACTATCATCTATCGATGAGTCTTGGAAAGTCAAACCAGAAGATTATATTCGATTTATTTTCGCACATGAAGCACCAGGAAGTTTGAATAGCTACTTGAAAAACAAGTACAAAGTTTCATTTGATATAGAATGAAGTTATTCATCTATTTTCCAAGATTGTGGATAAACCATATCGATTTTGACCTTGGTAGTTCACAGTTCTATCACAATTCTGGTTCCTCTCTATTTACCATAATTTTACATTTAACACGGCAAGGCCTTAAAAATATACAATCAGTAAACTTGTTACATTTGTTGCCGTTCATTTGAAAAGATTTTTGTCTGCGCGTTTGTATAGATTATCGATTCGGTGTTTGAAGTCACATATCTCTTAAGACGTCTTGGACCTCTAAAGCGAGTCTATGATGATATGCAATTGGCAGATTTACATGCATTTCTCTTCCAAGATAAAGTTGTTTTCTTACTCTTTTTGTCTCATTTTTGAGTGACGTATTCGATTGTAGATAGATACCATCACGTATGCAGATACAATCGTTCGAAATCTGCGAAAATATCCGGCACTGTTCGTTCTCTTTGGTCATGACTTACATTTACAATTCGAACCTGTGGTATTCGCTCATATCAGTTCCTTTGCTCATGTAGATTTTCAGTATCTTTAGACAATTTTCAAAGCGATCAATACCTTAGATCCGCGTACATGTAACATCATGTTGATCACAAAGTTATCTTCACTGCATTGTGACCAAATTGAACCTTATTTCAACATCAAATATGGCCAATTTGGTAATAAACCCGCTCTCAGAAAATCCAGTTTTTATAAATATATTCTCTATTTTCTAGAAATCCCAGACCATTGGATGTCCTATTGGCTCAGTAGATTGCAATGATTTCTTTCAATAGACAACATTTTGCACATTTTAGATCCAAATGTCAATCCTGCTTTGACGATCCCTGATTCAAGTCAATATTTGGCAGTAGATTTCTCAATAAAACCATTTGATGTTCCACCAAATGAAGTAAGGAGTTCTATGTTATTATCAAATCATCTGACGAGAAATTTATAGATTCCAGTTGTTCTATTGAAGGAACAATTCGGTACCTTGTGGTACTTTCGAAATCAACAAACTTTACCGAAAGGTGAGATTCATTTTATCTGAATTGTCGATCTGGTTCTGTCTTCTAGCTTTCTTTTATCTTCATTTTTTGTCACCTTATGTCAATCTATCTCCACAACAGTAAGCAGTAGTTCGTTTCATACGAATTTATCTCCTTTTTCATTCAGCTCATGTTTGTTTGATTTGTATACACTAATTATCAATTCCTTGTTACAAGCACATGCATATCCAGGCAAAGCATCTCACATATCGATCAATTTCTTTCCCACAGATACTGGTTTAATCTTGAAATTATCCGGTTTCAATCAACATCTATCGAAATATCTCGAAGCAGTTCTACAAGTCCTGAATAATTTTCCGATCAATGAAGAAGGTACGATAGCATGGAAACAAGAGCTCAAAAATCAATATGTTCGTGAATTGAATCATTCAAACAAACTAATTAAGTAAACAATTAATCATTCTCTCAGAGAATCGATAATAGCATGACGTTTTAGACATGTCCGATTGTATTTTCTGAAAGGCACTTGGTGGCCGGTTTTCGAAAAAATTCAATTTCTCGACGATATCACCCATAAACAAATCATGGATTTTTCCAGTTTATTCCGATTAAATCTAACAGTTAATATGCTCGTTGCAGGAAATATGACCGGCGAAGTCAGAAAGTCTTCACATACAATATACGAATCATTACTAAATTTTTGTGTTCCAGGAATCCAAAGAGCTCTTCCATACCACGAGAACTATACTTCAATTGAATTTCGTTGCGCAAATCTTACTTCCTTCGGTAAATATTCTGCTTCTCATTGAAACAAATCATAACTAGATTATTTTGATGAAAGCTACGAGCAGTTCAAATACCTGCTCGAGGAAGCATAATCAAGATTTCCAGTTACCAATCGAATGATTGTGCTACGCATATGTTAATTTTTTTCGAACATGGTCGAACTTCAATACGAGACTATGTACTCATCGAGATTCTCGCGGAAACTATTCAAGAATCACTCGAAGATTATTTACAATCTGCTGGTCAAAGTCATTTCACATGTCACAGTATGTTGAGCATAAAATTTCGTTTTCTTTTCAATGACAGCGCATTGCAGTAACACTCCGTGATACATATGGCATTGTTTCGCTTCAAATTGAATTGTAAGAATCATTGTATGTAAAAACACAAGACTTGATTCAATGTCCATTCTTCTAGAATATTTTCATCTGAAATCTATAATTCATTGGTTAGATTGGTTGAAATGAAAACCTATGTTGTGATCTAGCTTCCTTCTCATGTAGGATGTAGTCGATTATGTGTCGAAATTCTTCGTTCTCTTCAAAGACATCATTATGGATACCACTAAAGTTGAATTTGATCGATTGCTCACAGTATTCAAAAATGGTAATGAATATATACGTTAATTTCTCTCTTCAAAAGATGATTTCATGACTATTTAATTTTGTAGGCAAACAGAATCTTGATATGTCCTTACAAGCTTGTGTCGATCGATATTGGACCGAAATTCTCCTAAACTCCTTTGTATTTGATCGGAACAATCAAGAGGTAAATTCGATTCTTGTTCAATCAATCATTTTTCTCCGTTATAGCGAGAAGCACTTGAAACTCTAACTGTGACGGACATGCAAGACTGGTACAATGAACATATTATCGCACCATCAACTCGCCGCCAATTGATTATCATTATTTGTTCGACTGATGAAGTCCGACCGACCGCCGCAGGCATTGTTGCAAATAATACTGCTTCTTCGATGACAAATGATTATCAACGAAATCGACATAGCATGCGATCAAGCTTTGGTATGACGACGGATCGTCTTCCTCGACTTGGACGGCGAACTGATGAGATGGAAGATATCGACCATGAACATATGTCGTTATTGCAGTCGAAATCGGATTCCAAGTTACGCTGTTTGACAACAAAACGCAAACATAATATTAATCTCCGTGTAACGAAAAGTGAAACACTACATTTAAGTCAACCATTTACATATCCAAACGATCGAACGAAACTTGAATATATTATTAAATCATTCGAATCTATTGAGATTCGTGATGATGAAGATACAAATCCACATGACAAATCATTGAAAATTCTAGTCGAAACTGACTTGACCGAACTCCAAAAATCATCTTATGTATTCATACACAATTTGAAAGATTTTAAAGAGTCATGCTTGTTGTATAACGTCGCGTATATTCAATAAATACAAGTATTCAGCCATCAGACAGACACATGTTTCATTTCTATCTATATACACAAGCGTCATCTATGAAACATCCATATAGTATCCATAGACATATGTCCAATACAATCAATGATCACTTTTTACTGACTGTTCTGTTCTGTTTTTTTTCTCCTTCGCTGTTTTTTATGACTCTTCTTGTAGTCGATAAATGTAACTTGTGATTTATTCTTATCGCGCTATTCTATACGTAAAAGTATCATTTTATTCTGAATGAAACAAATATGGATGTAGACTCAGTATCAAGCAAGTCACCGTTGAAACGTCGCCGACTTTTATTTAGTAAAGCAAAACTAAAAGCTGTATCAAGAACAAGCGCTTTACTTTCCGGCTTTGCCATGGTCAGTCATTTGTTTTTCTTGTATGTATCGGGTGAACATCCTCATCTAACCGAGGCGTGTTTTTTTCATTGTTTCTTTTCAATAGGTAGCAATGGTAGAAATTTCCTTAGATGACCATAAAAATTCGAAAGGCTCAGCGCCACTATTAGTTGTCTATTCAATTGTAACTTGTCTTCTTGTCGGTGTACATCTGTTAGCTTTGATGATAAGTACTTGTATATTGCCGCAGCTTGAAGCTGATAGTTTACTTGGCTATGAAGAATACGCATCCCATGAGACAATGCACATTTATATCGAATTGGCATGGATATTGAGTACTGGATTTGGTAAGATTTAGTGCAGTTGTATGAAAGGAGATGATGGAATTGTTTTTTGTTTTTAGGAATATTTTTGTTTCTAGTTGAAATAGCGATTGTGTGTTGGGTGAAATTTTACTATGTCACACGACCAGCCGCCGTAGCGACAACGATTGTGATTGTGCCTGTTATCATCTTATTTTGTATATTTTCATTACATTTTTATCGACGGCTTGTCTCATTCAAACTAAGTCGTCACCAAGATGCATTAAATGAAATCGAAAATACATTAACAGTTGGTAAACTAGCCCAAGCTAATATTGTTTAAATCAACAAATGAAACAACTCAATATTTCAGTGTTATTCTCTCTCTATCTTTGACATATCTAATCTCATATTGTATTTTGTGAAGCTTTTTTTCGTTGTCTTCTGTGCATGATATGAAATATATATTTGTAGAATTGAACTACGATAATGAAAAGAACAGATTTGAAAATCAAATCTTTCGCCCTTCCTATGAAATTTTGTTACATCGAAGACAACCACTGTAAATGAGTGCCTGTTATTCGATTACTTTCATTTCTAGCGTTATCACGACGACACAGACATCGACATGTTGCTAAAGGTTGTCATACTGCGTGAGATTATCTGTTTGTTGTTGATGTATTGCAATGATGCAAAACTCGCTGTCTGTTATGTGTAAGTCGTAAAGAACATTTTTAGGTGAAAAATGTCAAAATGAAGAGAGAATAGTCGTATATGGGCACATGATCGATTTGTTACTGTAAACAAATAGCTGTTCGCAAAAGTCATGAACTTCTTTCATTCTAAAACCAGATAGCTCTTCATATCTGTCACATCGTATCTTGGAAATGTTGTTTGCCGTCTTAGCCGTACTAATTACAGTACAGAGCTCATTTTGCAATGAATTAAATCAAACAACTTGTCGACCGAAAGCAACGCAGAAGAATACATCAATAATCCTGAAAGACCTTCGTCGTGAAATGCAAAACATCGGTATTGGTATATATATTATTCTTTCCGGAGATGAACATGGCAGCGAATATACTCAAGAGTACGATAAACGCCGTGAGTGGCTCACAGGATTCCATGGTTCATCTGGTATAGCAATCGTGACGCTACAAACAGCAGCTCTCTGGACAGACAGTCGATATTTTACACAAGCCGAAGAAGAATTAGATTGTGCTAATTGGCTTCTAATGAGAGACAGAGCTGCAGGTGTACCGACTGTTACTCAATGGTTATTAACTATGGGAAATCAAACGAGATTAGTAAGTTTTGCTTTACGAGTAGTGTTTTTACAATCTGGCACTTTCTAGCCAATCGGCGGAACACCTACATTTGCTCCTTCGTCCAAGTGGATAACGATCAACAAAGCATTGAAACAGATTGGTAAACAGCTTCAACCTGTCGATGACCTTGTCACTCGTATATGGCCTAACGAAGAACGTCCAAAGCCATTACAAAATCCTATTGTTGAACACGATATTAAATATGCTGGAGAAACCGTTCAAGAAAAATTACAAAAAACGACGAGATCAATGAAACGTCGTGGTATCACAGCAACGATTATCAGTGCTCTCGATGAAGTTGCGTGGCAATTTAACTTACGTGGGGCAGATATTCCGTACAATCCATTTTTCAAATCATACGCTATTATTTATACTGATTATATCAATCGACTACCAGAATTATTTGTCAATTTAGCACAACTCAATGGGACTATGTATCCAATAGGCGTCAAGGTCTTCGATTATGTCGCGTTTTGGCAATATTTGAATCGAACAGTAGCAGATCCGACAGTAAAGAAAATCTGGATTGATCCACAGGTGTCTCAAGCCATATACGGTTCGATTCCTGCTGAGAAATTGATGTTACCTTTGCTAAATTCTCCAGTGCAACGTGTGAAAGCGCAAAAGAACCGAGTTGAACGACATGGCATGAGGATTTCTCAAATTCGAGATTCGGTTGCTCGTCTAAAACATCTCGGATGGATTGAAGAACAATTGAAAGCAGGAATACCGATTAATGAGTCAAGTGCAGCCGACCAATTGCTTGTCTATCAAAAACAACAAAGTAATTTTCAATTTCCAAGCTTCAAAGCAATCTCAGGATCGGGAGAGAACGCTGCGCTTCCTCATTATTCACCTGAACCAAAAACAGCACGACCAATAACAAAAGATCAAGTTTATCTGTTGGACGTAAGTCAACCGTAGTGATACACATTTTGATAAACATAGCGACTCTTCTCATAGGCCGGCAGTCAATATCTTGATGGTACAACTGATATAACGCGGACACATCATTTCGGTACACCGACGGATGTAGAACGGCGTGCTTATACTCGAGTTCTGCAAGGTGTGCTTGATATTGCCGATGCCATTTTCCCTCTTGGTACTTACGGTAGATCCATCGATTATCTTGCCCGTATGCATTTGTTTCGCGATGGAATGATCTATGGTCATTCAACTGGGTTTGTATTCTCACACTCATCTTCGCTTTGCGTTTGTTATTGGACCGAATATTCTTTTTTTTTCCTAACAGACATGGTGTTGGCTATTTCTTGGGTGTCCATGAAGGCCCGCAAAGTATTGGATATAGTTATGATCAATATGAAGAACCACTACTTGAAGGAGTATTTATTTCCGATGAACCCGGATTTTATAAAGTACATGATTTTGGCATACGTATAGAAAACGTCATGGAAATTGTGCGTGCTAATAATAGCGTTTACAACAAGGAACAATTCCTGCGTTTCAATACGATCACATATCTGCCATATGAACGTTCAATGATCGATGTTAGTTTGCTAACAATTAAACAGTATAACACCATCAATCAATATCATAAAGAAGTTGCTGAAATGCTCGAGCCATTACTGAAAGATGATCTGGCTGCTTTAAGGGCATTACATTCGCGTACAAAACGCTTAGATCCGCTTCCATTTATAAATCTGAAGATTTCGAGATCAGAAAATGACGCTCACGCTATGACTAGCTCACGATTTATAATAGCATTTCTACCCTTGCTTGTATGTTTCTACTTACAATAAATATCTCGTCTGTATTTGTCAAAGTACGACATCTGCAGATTGAAGTACCAAGCCAAACTACCAATCCAACCCTATTATATGAAATTCTTCTCTTCTTTACTACTTATTCACCCATCAGTTATATATTTCCGTCTGAATTCGTTGTGCTTTTCGTTCGACTGGTCGAAATCAATTGCATGTCTTGTATAACAACAGATCGTATGTTGAAATTTTCTTAATACATAGCCCTCGTCATAATTTCCTCTATTAGACTAGTAAGAAGTATTGTTTACGTGCTCATAATACAATAACAACTTTCGTAACATCTTTATCTATGGAATTCCGAGAATGGCAAATGCAGATAGTGATCTAGTCTATATTTTTCATTCAAAGAATTAAACATGCGAAACGGAGAGTTTTTTTCGAAAGTTTATTTCATTTTGTAGTTCTTGCGTCCATGTTGTAACGTTGATTTTCGAGCTGATTTTATCGATCGGCGTATTGCATTATTACTCGTTGCTTTCTGCTTAGTAGACAATGGTACTTCAATCATTTGCACTGGTAATGACTCTTTAGCTATGCTCGATTTATCAGGAGTAGAACCTTCGTCACCCGCACCCATTTGTTGCGTAGTTGAAAGTTTCGAGAGAGAAGAAGGATCAGTTTCCGACAGAGCTTTGTGTGTTTGAGTATTTGGAATCGAAACAAGTTCATCCGCCATTCGTTTAACAGCGATCGAAACTAATTGCCACATTTCTTTCGTTAAATGTCGTTTTGCTAATTTGGTTTCATCATCCAGACTATCAGACGTATTCTGTTTGGTTGGCGAGGACATTGTTGATGGTTTCTTTGGTAATTTCGTATGTTTACGAGATGAACTTTTCTTTGTTGATTTCTTTGCTCGACGTGCCATTGCAAGGAAAACAAAAAAGTCAAATAATTTTGAAAAATGCGCGATAAATTATCGTTTTTTTTTCTAGATTTAAATGTATTCCCGCCAGATTCTTTCTCGTTTAACAACATCAACAATTCGTTCGCGTTGTTTTGCCAGTACACTTGTACTTGCCGAACAAATCGAAGGTGGGAAACTTGCACCAGTCACATTGAATACGTATGACGTATAGAAAGGATACAAATAATTTATCATTGTCCTTCTTCTAGATTGACAGCTGCTGCTCAATTAAAACAAGACATTGATTGTGTGATCTTCGGTACAGAGAAAACGAACGAAACAGCCAATGAATTGAAAAAATTTACTAACTGCAACATTAAAAAGATTCTTCTAGCTGAAAATGCAGGTTTTAAAGGTTTACTCAGTGAATCTGTCACACCTGTTCTACTGGATATACAAAAGAAAAACAATTATACACATATCTTAGGTGGCTCGTCAACCTTTGCAAAAGGAGTTTTGCCACGCCTAGCTGCACTACTTGATGTCCAACCAATTTCTGATGTAACTGCAGTTATTGATAAATCCCAGTACAGCCGATTCATTTACGCTGGAAACGCAATCCTAAAATTGAAATCGAATGATCCAGTGCAAATTATCACTGTACGTGGCACAGCTTTTGAAGCAGCTAAACAAGGCACTGGAAGCGGAGAAGCTCAAATCGAAAAAGTGAATAGTACACCCAACAACGATTTGTCAGAGTTCGTTTCTCGACAAGTTCAACAATCGGAACGTCCCGAACTGGCCAGTGCTCGTATTGTACGTATATCTACTCGAAATACTCACTAATCTTTATTTTCCTCCTAGATCTTTTCCGGTGGTCGCGCTTTGAAAAGCAAAGAAAACTTCAAATTACTTTATGATTTAGCTGATCTATTTCCAGGCCAAGCAACTGTGGGTGCATCCCGAGCTGCTGTTGACGCCGGTTATTGCGCAAATGATCTACAGATTGGTCAAACAGGAAAAATTGTTGCACCCGACTTATACGTCGCTATTGGCATCTCCGGTGCTATTCAACATATTGCTGGAATGAAGGATAGTAAAGTAATTGTTGCTATTAACAAGGATGCCGACTCGCCAATATTTGCAATAGCTGACTATGGACTTACCGGTGATTTATTTAAAATTCTTCCTGAATTAACAGAAAAATTGAAGAAAAAATAAACAATTCACTTTACTTTTTCATATATATTGAATAAAATTTTCTTTAGTAATTGCTCTTTTCAGATGGATATTGATATGAATTCATCAATGACTGTTGATTCTTTATTGAATACATATCCTTCATTAAAACGACTACCTGATAAAGATCGCGTAAGACAATCGAATTCATTTGTTTTTGTCATGTTCACTTGTGCTTTTCAATTAGATCAAATGCAGCTGGACTCAACATGAAATGCCAGCACGTGTTGATGCTATTGAAAAATACATTCAGGGAAAGAAATATCAACAAATTTTGAAGAAAAAATTTGATTACGATACATTGGAAAAGTTCAAGGATTTCATCGAACCGAGCACGAAAAAGAATCACGAGTAATTATCTAATTGTTGGCTTCATTGATGAGAAAACTTGTTTGTAGACGGCAATTATTCTGCAAATTAACATCACGACATTTGAATAAAGATCCACATCATATTATGAAACATGTCGAAGGAAAAAAGTTCAAACGAGCCTATGCTCAATGTAGGTTGAAAGTTCCGATCATCAAGCAATGTTCTATATTCCCTCTCGTTAGGGCAAGAATGTCAAGTGAATGGAACGGAATTTGTTTCGGTTGGACGCCGAAAGAAGAAACAAGAAAAAGTAGCAGGAGATGACGATGATGAATACGTTGATTTAAGTGATGATGAAATCGTTATTGAAGATGACGATGATGATCTCTCAGATTTATATCCTGGTAACGATACTCTTTTTTCTCTGAATGTACATTCAATTGATCGATTCTATTCGATTAGATTTTCGTCGTCTACGCGCAAGTGATCTCAAGGAGCGAACAACCACGAATGAGAACATGGTTGACAATATGAGCGGAACAAAACGTAAAGCTCAAACATCACAAGTAAACGATGATCTTGGCGATCGATTTCGTTGTTCTAATGATAAGGATTCTGTTTAGGTTAAAAAACCGAAGAAACTGGCAGCACCAAGCTCGAAACGAATGCGAACATCTGACGAGAAGATGTCCAATGGTGATGAATTAGTTAAACCGACGAAAACAATGACTATCACCATCTAAGTTTTCTGTTTGTTTGTTTTTTTTCACTGGACACAATACCGTTGAATGTCAGTTCTCGTTTGAATTAAATCGTTTCCATCTTTCAGATTTGATTTTCTAAGAGCGAAAAGTAATTATGACAAATCAAACATCTCCGATCGATGAAGATATCGATGATCAACTTTATAAGTAAGTTTATTAGCAAACTTGATCAGCTCATCGATGAAGTCGTGTTCTAGTCGGCAACGATATGTTCTCGGTGATGATGCTATGAAACGTTTGAGGCAACATCATATTTTAATCATCAATGCTGGTGGTCTGGGAATTGAAATAGCGAAAAATGTTGTTCTTGCTGGTGTACATGTAAGTTATTTTTCAACTAAGGATTAAATAAAGTGCTTCGTCTCATGTAGAGTGTAACTTTACAAGATTCAAATAATGCGAGTATACTAGACCTCGCTACTCAATATTATCTACATGAGAACGATATTGGAAAGAATCGGTAAACTATGAACATTGTCTGCAGATCTTTTGATAGCTAGTTGTTTGTATGTTGTAGGGCTGAATGCAGTTTGGAGAAATTACGGGCATTAAACGATTATGTGAAAATTTACACTTGCAAGAAAACGTTATCCGATTGTTCAGCGGAATACTTCCAAAAGTTTACAGTAACGATCAATGCGTACGAGAGAATTTTGGAGATAACAGAAGAGATTTTCTTTTAGTGTGTGGTTCTAACTGAAGGCAATCTAGATGAAATGAAACGAGTCAATGAAATTTGTCGAACGAATAATATAGTCGTATGTTTTACTCGTATTCGCATTTGTCTGATGAAATCACGTTTTCTGTCGATTAGTTTATTACGGCCGATATCTACGGTGTTTTTTCTCGATGTTTTGTTGATTGTGGAGCGCAACCATTCACTGTATTTGACAAAGATGGTGAACAGTTGAAAGAAGTGTTCATTAACCATATCTCACCGGTAAGAGCGAACAAGTGAGAACGTTTTTGAGTGAAAATCCCGTTCTAGGAAGGAATCGTAACGGTTGCGGGTGACGAAAGACATCCTTTTCAAGATAATGATATTGTTTCATTCCGAGAGCTGATTGGCCTAGAGAAATTAAATCATTGCGAAAGAACTGTGAAAGGTTTGTCGATGAGTTTCGTTTGGCAAAAGCAAACTTCAGTTTGATTTGTATTCAGATATGAATGTTCATCAATTTTCTATTGGAGATATATCTTCCCTTGGCGGAGAATACAAACGAGGAGGCATCGCACGAGAAGTAAAACAAAAAGTGCAGATGAATTTTGTAAGATTGAATAGTTCATTTCTCCAATTATGTTCGATTTCCGTTTATAGCAAAGTTTGAATGAGCAAATAAGTAATCCAAGAATTTTAACGATTGATGGTTCTGATTACTGGACAAAAGACATCTCTGGAGATGTAAGTATCTCGTCTAACTGAATTATGAATTGAAATGGAATAATTTCAGGTTCCCCAAGTTATCTATGTGCATGTGATTCTGTTAGCCATAAGCGAATTTAAACAACTGCATCAACGATTACCTGAACCGATGTAAACTATTCATCATACAAATTACCAAAGATTACGTTTTGTTGACGTGTTTAGAGAAGAAAATGATCAAATCATTCTAACAAACTTAGCAAGAAAATATTTGGATGAATTGAAATCCAACGATGTATGGAAATTATTTTGTAAACTATGATCGAATTATTCGTTTGTTCATTTTAGCACAAAGTGAACGACGATTGTTTTCAAAATCTGACGAAATATGTCTTCTACACAGCCAAAGGTTCGTTTGCTCCAATATGTTCTGGCATGGGTGGTTTTGTTGGCCAACAAGTTCTTACGGCAATCACCGGTAAATTCACACCAGTTCGACAATGGGTAATTGATTAAAGATTGGTTAGTAAACTTTGCCTTCATATTTCTATTCGATTAGCTTTACCTTGACGCATACGAATTAATCAAAGAGATTCCAGTAGAAGATGAATATAAACAACTGAAATCGTAAGAGGGTAAATTCAATCATTCGATTAATCACAATTATCCACGTCTAGAGTGACACCAGATCGATATCAAGCCTTACGGCTGTGCATTGGCAATACACTTGTTCAATGTCTTGCACGACAACGTTTATTCATGGTAAGTAAATCATTACATGAAAATTTTCACAGTTTTCATCTTTGTCTTCTAGGTTGGTTGTGGTGCAATTGGATGTGAATTATTAAAATTGTTCGCTCTCCTTGGCGTCGGTAGAAATGGACAAGTATTTCTAGTAGAAGAAGAAAAGTCGTCCTAGTTTCAATGATTTTTTTTCTAGATTACCATTACTGATCATGATCATATTGAAAAATCTAATTTAAATCGTCAGTTTTTATTCCATAAACAACATCTCAATCAACCAAAATCAACAATCGCTGCACAATCAGCTCTTGAAATGAATCGAGAACTGCAAATTCAATCTCACACACAAAAAGGTTTAAAATAATCCTTTCCATTCATCATCATCAACTTCTTTGTCGTAGTTGGCGTTGGCTCCAATGATCTCTGCTCTGATGCATTTATATCCAGCCAAACCATTATCGTCAATGCACTAGACAATGTCGAAGCTAGACGATATATGGACTCGTACGTTGAGCAAAAAGAGTCTCAATGATGCTTAATCTGATGTTCCATCTTTAGACGTTGCGTGACAAACAAAAGACCTTTGATTGAATCCGGAACCATGGGTCCAAAAGGTCATACATTTGTTGTTGTACCATACAAGTCAGAATCTTATTCCAATCAAGTAAAACGACATATATTTCGACTCAAACGAACTTGTATTCAACATATTTCTATTCGATAGAATGATCCAATTGATAGAGATGTTCCGTATTGTAATGTGAAATCATTTCCGGCAAATATCGAACATTGTACAATTTGGGCTAGAGAAAAAGTAAGGCCGCTGCGAATAATCCGCATTTCAAAGCTTTCTTTCTTCTTTTAGTTTGAAAGTGCTTTTCATATGAAACCATCATTGTACAACAGTATTATGTCCCAAGCAAATATATGGGATCGTATTAATAACGGAGATACGATCGAAGATCTGCCTAAGATTTATAAATTTATGAAACGAAAATGTCTCGACTGGAACGATTGTTTGTGTTTGGCAAGAGAAAAATTCGATAAATATTTTTCGAATAAAGTACGAACGATTTTAGATTTTGAAAGTGTGGTGTAAATTCATTTCCTTTAGGCACGAGATTTGTTACATAAATTTCCAGCTGATATGGTCGACGACAAAGGAGGTAGGATACTCAGATATTGGCTTTAGGGTTTATTTCATATGAATATTTAGTTCCATATTGGAAATTACCAAAACGAGCACCGACACCACTTGAATTTGATATTAATAATGATCTGTGAGATATTAGTCTCTGCGATTCCACTGATATGATCACTGTACGTATGTTTTTAGCCATTACAATTTTGTTTTGTCGTGTGCGAAAATATTTGCCATGATCTATGCGATTCCGGTGAGTGAATTCTGATTTAAATTAGAAATTTTAAGTAGGAATTATCTTCTTCCGTGTCTAGGTAACCAACGAACAGATCAACGATGTGGAAACCAATCGAGATGTTATTTCACAGAGTAAAATTGAACAGTGGCAGCCTAGAAATAAGGTACCATATTTCAAATCAACCATTTGTTAATGTTGATGTGTTTTTGTTTCATCGAAAGATGATTATAACTGATCCGACAGTTGCAAAACCAACTACATCTAAACACGAAGGTGATATTAGTTCCGATGAATGGAAATATGTTCAAGATCGCACAAAAGCTTTTAGTAGGATCAAAACTCGTTCATTAAATTTCTAATAGAAACAACTGATTTTCAATCTCTGTAGAAGCCGTGCCCATTCCATTCGAAAAAGATGATGATTTTCAAATCGACTTTATTACATCTGCGACCGTATGTTCCATTGTCGATCCGTGAAACTTATCTTTCACCTTTATTTGCAGAATTTGAGAGCACAAATGTATGCTCTTGAGATGGGTGATCGATATGAAATCAAACGTATCGCCGGTTAGTGTCATTTGAACCAAACTTACAGATGAACTGACTTTGTATTTTAGGACGTATTGTGCCTGCGATTGGAACAACAACTTCTACTGTATCTGGCCTTGTAAGTCATCTAGATCGATTTCTTTTTTGATAATTTCTTACACATATCGATAGATTATTGTTGAACTTGTCAAATTATGTCTGAGTCAATTGAAAGATCTCTCTTTGGCTGTTTACAGAAATTTCTACATCAACATTGCATTACCGTTTTTTATCTCCAGTGAGCCGTTAGCGTGTGAAACACAAAAGATTGGGTATGATTGAGTTTCATCTATGAAATTGATGGATTTGCATCCTCGACGACTTTTTTTTAGAAAATTTGAAGTCAATATTTGGTCAAGTTTTGAAATTAAAGGAAATCCAGACATGACTCTCGAAGGATTCATACAGGAAGTCGAAGTATGTTAATAGTTTGACTTTCGAGTCATTCATTTTGCTTTTCGATTGTTTCATTTAGAAAAAATATGATATCAAACCAGTATTAATATCCGAAGGAGTCAAGTCAGTTTATGCACCCTGGATGCCAAAAGCGTCATCACAATTAAAACGAAAGTAATCTTTAACTATGAAATCTTCTTCGTTGGTGACTAACAGCAAATTCTCTTTTTTCAGAATGGATGAATTACTACCGCACAAAGCGAACATAACCTATTCCGATTTAGTTGTTTTACCGGATGATAACGATATGGATGTTCAAACTGACGGAAATAGCGAAACGACACCACCGCCTATTCGTTACTATTTCAATGGTTAAACTTTTTATTCTGCATTCTTATATTTTTAATAAAGATTTGCCTTTTTTTCTGTCAATCTAATCGATCTTGAAAAGAGAAAGCCGAATTGATCGATATTGATAAGAGTATCGAGTTAAAAATATCGACTGATTGCTTGTTGTTTTTCAATTATGAGATTAACTGCCATTTGTTTTCACTCAAATGCCTTTTATTCTGCAAACGCAAATTACACCGGTTGTTTTCACACGATCAGATTACCAATGAGATTGATATATAAGCTGGAAAACAGTAGTCATATATAGACCAGTATCGTTTCAAAATAAGAATCGAAAACAATGAACGGAATGTGGATTTTATCAATTGTTTTAATTGCAGCTGTCTTTGATGCAGGTTGATAAACTTCATTTGGGAGAAAGACCAGGATTTTCATTGTTCGTTTCTTTAGCACTTGGTTGCACCCATACCCATTCAGCTGCTCTTTCACAAATCAAATCAGTCGGTATCGGAATTTCATCATCAGGTGGCTGCAGCAACCGTAATAATCCTAAATGCACATCACTTGAATCCGTTCGATGCAATGTCATTCGTTGCTTGAAAACATTGAAAACCTCATCAGGCTGTTCAATCACAGTCACCGGAGGCACAGTAAGTGTGTTTTAGAAAGAATTTACTACTCTAATATCGATTGACTAGGAAACTGGTCATGCTGGTGGCACATACTCCCATTCTAACGGATACAAAATTGATATTTCACTCAATTCATGTATCAACAACTACGTCACCTCACAATTCTCTTACATCGGCAAACGTGGTGATGGTGCTGCTCAATACAAAGCATCAAGTGGTAATGTTTATGCTAAAGAAGGCAATCACTGGGATATCACATTCACTGCTACATGTTAAACATTGACTTGTGGTTATTTTTTTTCTTTTCTGATTAATAGAATGTACTGTGCGTAACATCTTTGTTTTACTGCTACAATACGTTAAATGCAATCATAAAAGAAAATAATTCGTACTTTTTGTAAGTGTTGAACTGTGATAGACCGGCTAATCCATTAGAAAAGATCATAGAGACAGAAATTTGTTTAAGCAGAACATAATTTAATCGTATGGCTTCATGTCTGTTGTATAAGGTACAGAAGGAAAATTAGACGACAATAGATTTCGGGTCACCTAGGTCGAAGAAGTACAAATTATTGTCAAGTAATCAAAATAGTACAAAAGATTGCTTACTAATCATTTTCAAGGCCTGTTGTTTTCAACGAATGTGCCCAATATGTTTTAATTATTCTATCTGCGTATAGGAATTCGTAATTCTCTTATATGCGAGACGTCTATATAAATCCAACAAAATAAAGGTGTAAAACTTCATTCTCTTCGAAACGAAAGATACTATACTGTCTGTAATGCTAACTAATTGTATGCACGTACTCATTATTCTCATTTCGTTCACGGTGAACGCCAACGCCAGTCATTTTCTGGGCGGTATCATCAGCTGGCGCGTACAGAACGCGTCAACGAATAATTCATTGATAGGTATTTTGATTACTCAAACATATTCATGGACTTATGTTCCTGGCCGATGTGATAACAATTCAATCATAACTAATCAATTAGTTTCTGGTGCTAGTGGAACACTTACTTGTTCGCCCAGCTGTCCTCCTGGTTGTTCGGGTATTTCTGCAGCACCGATCTGTACTGATCTATCAATATTGAATGGTATTGCCGTTGGGCAACGTTCAGATATTGTTTATGTACCAGTGGGCAGTAGCTTCTCAATTATATATGCAAGTAGCGCTTGGGGTACGTTATCACTAGGTGGGACTGCTTGGTCTATTGCTTCGCGCATCAATCTCGCACGACGCTCTGACAATAATATGTTTAATAATGCTCCTGTAGCCACCATCATGTCGCCGGTGAATATAGAAGTAAATCAGAAGACTTGGATAACTGTGTCAGTAAGTGATGCTGATGGCGATGTTGTTCGATGCCGTTGGGCTGGTGTTGTTAATGGTGTTGATGAATGCTCTTCTGTATGTTCACCAGGTTCATTACCACCGAATTCAATCCTGTACTCTAATTGTACACTTGAAATTACAGGTCCAACTATTAGAAATAAATATGCTGTAGCACTGATGGTCTGCCTTGTCGAACTTTTGCCTTCCGAGGCATAACTATATATTATTCTTGATTTCTAGGTGGAGGATTTTATTAATTCAACTAGTACAATCCCTTTAAGTTCCGTTCCAGTTCAATATCTTGTTAGTATTGTTGGACCAGCATCATGTCTTGTACTTCCTGAAATAACCTTTTCTGGATCATCATGCACACCAATAAAAGTTAACGACACATTCTACGGATCGATTTTTGGTATCAACCACTGTAGCTCAAATGTCACTATTCTCGATATTTCTACATTATCCTTTCCTGGTTTGATTCAAGGTCCCCTCACAGCGCTGAATTCTACAATATACTATAGAGCTTTACAATGGACGCCTACAATAAAACAGCTAGGGTTTCAAGGGATGTGCGCGATGGCATTGAACAGGTAATTACGACGAGTCATAACAGAATCATCTCAACAAAACATTCCATTTTTTCGTTCTCTTGCAGTGAAAAATCACAATCACCACAGTACTGTTTCACTTTCTATGTGACAGAAAATGGTACAAGTACGTGTCCTGTAGCTACCATTAGCAATGCAACAACAACAACAACAACTACTACTACTAAAACATCAGCTAATCATATTGATTGGCCATTAATCGCAGGTGTATGTGCTGCTCTTGCACTTGCCGTCTTGGGGTGTTGCCTATGCTTACTTCTTCGCATATTCAAGTAAGTGAAACACAATGCGACATGAAGCACTTTTTTGAAATAAAATTTTCTCTTTTAGATGCTATCCGTTTTCATCTCGTAGGAGGTCTAGTAAAAACAATGGTCCAGAGCATTCCAAGCTGCCAATGCATACACGAAAGATCAGCACTGTCCGTTATTTCCGAAATGAGAATCCCAATGATTTGAGCGAAAACTCATCTCGATCGAGTCTTATAAAAAGTAAATGTTTTTGCAAAACTACTATTTATACTATGTTTTCTCTCTCTCTCTTTTATCAATAGTTAACAATCACAGACAACCAAACATCGCTGAGGTTTCTCAATGTTCACACAAAATACCACGGACAGTGCCATCCAACGATACTAATTTGAATGACAAATCTACAGATAATGATTGTGGTACCTCTATAACTCAATCACGACATAATGTTCATGTTAAAAGGATTCGTCAACAATACCTCAAGAGTATGTTTGATGATAAGTCATCAAAAATGAAGAAAATACGCCCGCATAATACGGCTTCTACAAACAACATGAATGTCATACCAAATGCTGTTTTTGGTGTTCTCTCTCAATCTCAATCTCAAATGCAAATCCAGAAACCCGTACAACCAAAAACTGAGCATGCTGGCAATTCCTTTACAAATGTCACCATCTCACACATATCTCGATCGAATTTGTAGTTTTCTTTTTTTTTCTATCGATAAATGCACGACTGTCCTCACACAGCTCTTCTTTTGAGTCCGAGTATGTCAATAATTCCAGTTATTCTCATTATTTTTTAGAGCGAGTGTGAGTGAGAATCAGGTCGGCCATCTGTGCCCCATTGGAGACAAGGAGTACGGTATCCTATTTCAACGATTTATATTCAATTTAGACTATTTTTCTCTGTAGAAGATTGAAAATAATATTTTCTTCGAAATCTGTAATATTTAAAATTTTTGTCGACACCTTCACTTATCTGAAAACGCGAAGAGCCAATTATATTGGCTTACTTAACATCAATATACGATATCGTTATTCATAGCAGTTGATTTTCTTTTCCTTTGCCATCTACCATTTTGATGACACGATCGAAGTAAAACCATGTTTCTAATAAATTATAGATTCAGTGCAACATACCGAGAAATTGTTATAGGTTTTAATTAGGGACCAAATGATCATCGATAACTCTGTTGAAACAGATACTGAATTCATCAAAGAACGAAACCATTTTATGACAAACGAATTCAAAAAAGCAAAAGCATCAAGTTCCATCTCTAAATTCTTGGTTGATTTCGAAATGAAACAGAAATTGAATTTAATTGCTATCTTTAAAACAGAGACAGTAGTGTCAAACCCGAAAGTTGAATTCAGTTATTCAAGCATAATACTTGAATAGTTGAACTTTTTTCCATTATTTAGATATTTCCCACACTCACGCTCACACCCTCAAGATGAAGAAATTCTTTCCAATATCATTTGAAACACCACACCAAAGATGAACCGAAGAGTTTTATTTTCGATTTTTGGTGCCAGCTTGACATTGATATAGCATTCTAATATAGTTCGAGACAACAAGCCTTGAGCAAATAAAACTGTCGAATCGAATTATTAAAATGTAAATTTTTTTAATACAATCAGTGTAACGAGCTCGAAAAGAGAACTGTCTGTGAGATGATAACACATGCTTCATTTGGCTTCTTCACGTAACAAGCATATATAGACAACGGAAAACAATGGATATCGATTAAGTATAGTGGTCATGCTAGTATAGACGAGTCATAGGTTAGCGTATAGCAATATGCTCCGGTACAATCAGTTTTTCGTAGGCTTCATATTACGGTGAGAAGAACGTGTAAATACTTTGCCAACGTCCAAAAGAAAAACATCGTTAGTTCATGTCAGACTGTCTCGGTCCGCCCAAAGGCAAATGAAATGGGTCGTTTCATGCAAACACGAACCAGGCTTTTTTATGTGCATTTCGAATTTTATTGAAACTCAAGAAATAAATAAATATAGAAGATATGATCAATATGAAAGATAGGTTGCTTCACAGGTCACAAATTCACCAATTATTATCGTTGAGATTTGAAAAGAACAAAACAAACGATTGTCTTTAATACAGCATCAACGGAAATAGAAGGAACGGCCACATCATCATAGTGCCCAATGCCATGCCTGTCATTGCTCCTGCTGCGATACTACCAGAACCATCATAGTAAGGATCTCGATCAACAATAATAACAGTCTGTGGTTGTTGCTGTCCATTAGACGTTCGATAGATTCGAGGCAGGTCACTGCTATCGCTGTAGAAAACATAGCGATTTAGTGGTATCTGTGTGTTGGTCCGTTGTGCATGCTGTTGTTGCAAGCGTTCGATGTATAATTGACGAACATCTTCAAAGGATGTTTGCCAAGCAACTAGATCATCGGTCGATTCTGCACACAATGTCCATATATCACCTTTACTTGGCACAAGTTCAATTAATTGCTCGCGCGTTGATTCGTTCGGTGGTTCAACAGTAGCTGGTATTTCATCGGAGCCAAAACGTATTTGCCGACAGCGATGTAGCTCAAATACATCATCCGCCTTATCGTTCTGCTTTTCAGGTGATGCCATCCGACGAAGGCGAGCATCATTTGTTAATACAAACCATTCGCGTTTCCAATTTTTTAGAACCGTTGTACGTCGTTGCAGCCAACCTGCTTTAACAATATCCGTCATTGTTGACTGTCTGTTCTGATTAGTAACACTAATATGAAGTGATTAATAACTTGTGAAGTCAACCGAGAAATACGTGACAGAATCGTAGACTTTTTTCGCATGTACTAGTAACCAATTAAAATATGACTCGGTTGACATTTCTGGAAACTTGATACAAAAGACTGTTACAATAAAGTGAAGTTTCATAAAAGTGCTCATCTATCAAGAATAATATTCCTTGAAATGTGACTGGCTACTATACAGACCAATCAGCGTGAGATTCGTGATCTTGTGTTTGTTTAATGTGAATGAAAGTTGTATTCATTTTCAGGGAAGAATAGATGATAAAGTTTTAATCAATGACGGAAAGATTCATTTTCCGCGTGAGACTTCGCATTTGAATTAATTTACTTTTTTTCTCGTTCGATGCGATAAGATAGGGCAGATGAAGCGATACTTGACAAGTTTTTCTTTCCTAATATTTTCTTTGAAAGTATAGTGATCTTAGCGACCTATATCATTCATTCTATTATAGATTCAGATTGCATGGCTATCTATCGAACTCGTACACATTTTGATATTGACACATCAAAATATGAACATGAATATATAATTAACAATTATTCCAAAGTATTCAGATATTTACACATTGAAACGTACGTTTTGTCTGACTTTTATAAAAATTCCCAAACGAAAGTATTTGTTTGTTTTCGATCTAGGCCAGATTATGAAGTACGAAATGAAGCTTGTAAATATAATTTCATCATCGAACCAGGTCGTCGCCATATATTAATCAATGTAATTGTCGAATTTCCTCTAATATTAACTCAACGACGTTGTTTCGAAGTCATTGCTGAATGTTACAATGAAATACGTTCATCACCGGCAGCTACAAGCACCAGTACCATATCGAATACATCGAGAAAAGCATCTAGATCGAATGTGACGAATCAAACCAGTAAATTAATATCCCAGTGAGTTGATAGATGATTCGTCTTGCAGAATTAAACAATACCTATTCATTCTCTAGTGATGAAAATCAGATTCTTTATTCTCGTGTTCCCGATGAAGTGGACTTGTATGATAGTGATGACTACAGTGATGATGGTTTCGTTAATAATCGTCGCTACGTTAAACTTCGTCTGGATTTGGATGAAGTTTCATCAATAAAAAAGCTCCGAATAAAAATAAAATGTTCTTACAATCGCATCTTATCGAACGATTCCATCGAGCCGCAGTTGATCGATCAACCGAATTCGTCGGACAAAACTGATCTTTCCCTCTTGGAATTGTTTCACACAAAAATTCCCTATGATATTAAAATCCAAATTGGCTCACATACATTCAACGCTCATCGGCATATTCTGATTTTACGATCGGATTATTTCAAAACTTTATTCGAAAGCCAATTCAACGACTGCACAAACAGCCAATTGAAACTAAGCGATGATATTAATATAAATGCGTTTGATATTCTATTGAAATATCTCTATAGTAATCAAATTGACTCAATTCTTCATGATGAAACATTGCTAATCGAGTTATTCAAACTGTCCGATCGATTTCTCATCGATTCATTAAAACGGCAATGTCTACTCGAATTACTACGACATCATGTTAATAAAGATAATGTTTTTTCCTATTTAAATCTCTTGAATACCTATGATGGCTGTCATGAACTACGCGAAAAATGTTTGGACTTATTTCATAAACATTCATATCTATTAAAAACACCGACATTTCAACTTTTAGAAAAAACAAATCCCAAACTAGCTCTTCAAATCTATGCTTCATTTTTCTGAGCAAATATTCGTTGGCGTTTTTGTATAATCATATATTTTTCTCTTTTTGTTCGTTCTTATTCATGAAATAAAATGTTATTGAACATTTCTTTCTTTGTTTTACTATTCTAGATTACGATGGATAAGAAACTAGAAACGATTATCGATACGACGTATGTGAATATTGACCTGATTCTCGAAATAAATTTTTGATTTTAGGATTGAAAGATTCAATATTATCGATGTCGAGGTCAAAGGTGTACTTGTTTGTGATAAAAATGGTTTGGTCTTAGCAAGTAAGTCGTAAGAAAGACTATGATTAACTTTGACTTATTGTTTGGGTTTAGCCAAAAATGTTTCGATAGCTCCTGGACCTATCGCACGATTGGCGGAGTTGGCAACGGAATTGTCCGGTCGGCGGACCACTGTTTGTCTTGAAAATAATGAGGAGTAAGTAATGATATCTTTCTATAGCTCTTCGAAAAGGAACTTCATTCATTTTTAGCCAAGTATTGATCAATCAGACGGAAAAGGCAGTTGTTGGCGTGTATACCAAACATGCTAGTTGATTCCTTCATTCAAGTATCTACCTTCCAATTCAATTGAGTTATTTTCTGTTACAATTGATGATAAAAATCTTTTTTTGTTCTTCTGTTATTATCTATCTGATTGTATATGAATAATATGAATTCTTCTTTTTGTCTTGTGTTCTCGCTCTATCTCGACATGATTACTTCAAATAAATATTTGTATATATGATCAAAGATACCTACCTATGTCACCGAAAAGAACTGTGATTGACATACAAACGAATTCTAGATCTCATGAGCTCTCTTATCCCGTGTTTATCGATATCTGTGCTCTCGGATAGCCTTATTCAATATTCATCGGGTACAATTCCAGTTTCCGCCACCGAGCTTAATTTAAAACAAACTCTACTCGGTGGTCAATCATTTCGGTAATGAATTTCCTACGTGCGTTCGTTTTGAAGCATTTTTACGACGTTTTAGATGGTGCGAACAATCCCCCAATGAATTCGTTGGTGTTCTTCATTCCTACATTGTTCGTTTACAATATGAAAACGAGGAACTGCATTTCAAATTCTACGTACATAAGGACACCAACTCATTATTGAATGAATGTGACCGTGAAAAAGAAAGTGCATCAACTTTGCACAAATACTTTCAGTTATCAGTCAAACTCGAAGATCTCTTTGAACAATGGTGCAAATCAGATGAAAGATTTCGAAATAAACAAATACCAACTGGTATTCGAGTACTGGACCAAGATCCACTAGAAAATTTAATTTGTTTTATATGCTCCAGTAACAACAATGTACAGCGAATCACAAAGATGATTAAAACATTGTCGGAAATCTACGGAAAGGAAATCGGTACGCTGAACGGAACAACTTATTATCAATTTCCAACGATTGGTACGTCAATGAAAAAGATATGTCTATGCTGATACGAATTCAAATTTCGTTGTTTTATTTTTAGATGAACTCGATCAACCTGAGCTCGAAAAAGATCTACGAAAGCTCAATTTTGGCTACAGAGCACGGTATATTCATAAGGCAGTGCAGTATCTTAAACACACAATCAACGATCCATCGTATTTCAATCGACTGAAATCTTCATCTGTGCAAGATGCACGCAATGAGCTATTAAAAATTATGGGCGTTGGTCGAAAAGTAAATCAAAATCTAAACAATCGTTGATATTCATATTATTCTATTGTTATTAGGTGGCAGACTGCGTTCTATTGATGTCGTTAGGTAAACAAGATGTCGTACCAGTTGATACTCATATACATTCAATCGCAGTGACATATTACGGACAAAGGAAGAATTCACAATTATCTATGAGTAATTACAACAACATTTCCTCATTTTTCCAACAACTTTGGCAGCCATATGCTGGTTGGGCACAAGCGGTATGTTTGTTTTTTGAGACAGATCAATGCCAAATATTTGGTTCTCTACAGGCGGCTTTTTCTAACGAGCTCCGTTCACCAACAAGCCAAACCACATCAGTTAAACGTTCCAAAATGACTAATCATTGTAAATTTATCAAATATGAAACAGAAATCAAAGAATCTTGAATAATTTATTCGATCTATCTGTTTTGTTGTTTTTCTTTGTCACACACACATATATATATATATATCGAGAGATATACAAAATCTGGAATGTTCTTTCCGTTCTCTGGCATTTGTGTTCTAAGAATAAAGAGAGGGAGAGAGGGAGAGGAAACAGGCGAGAATTAGGTCGTAGACTAAGCGAACGAAGAGGATGTTTTTCTTTTTTGCTTGTTGATTTCGATTGAGAAAAACATATGTTCGAGAGCGATTCAAATTACAAGAGCGTTGTTTTTTATTAAGACCCCAGAAAAACACGATTAGCTCTTTTTTGTGGACTCGCTTTAATGGAAAAGCTTAGTAGGGCGAGAAAATAGAAGATAAATATATGAAATTCAATCAAGTGAATATATGCATGAGCAAGAAATCGATCTTCGCATATTTGCATGTTTTTGTTTTCGATAAAGAATAGTAAACATCTCGTTTCGTGTGAGTCATTCTTGTTTTAGGATAATGAATTTGTCTTGGACGTTTTATCACGATTATTTGTGGAGAGGAAATGCAACAAAATCACTAGGCTTGACGTTGACATCCAGAAGTGCTCTTCACAACCGAACGGAGAAGATGATGTTCTTCAAGTTCGAACGAACGGAGACATTTTGTGAACGAGCTGTCGATTCGTTCGACAGCAGCAGAGCCTGAAGTCTATCGGTTTTGAAAAAAACAATCACTTTCTTGTGCTGTTGAGTGGAACGCGTAATCAGTCCATCGTTTTTCTCCTTTTGACGCGTTTGCCGACAACTTGCGCACTCTATCAGCATCTCGTGCACTATTAGTTCAAAAAAAAACAGAACATAGCCTGTCAATTACTATTTATTATTTATTATTTATTTGTCATCGGCGCCATCAGATTGGATGGCAAGCGACATTTGCGATCGGAAAAGCAGAGAAAAATAGAGATGTTTATTTATTCAAAGAAATTTCATTGTTTTTAGATGTAAATTTTTACTGAGAGCATCGTCAATGAAGAAGATAACAACGAGTTCATAACAGAGATGACAAGTAGAATAAAATTACCATTTAAATTAGGTGATTCGAAGAAAATAACTGAAGTTGATGTCAATGAACCATTGAAAAAAGAAGATTTTTCATTGAGTGAAGTAAGATTAACGCGACATTGACCCTCCGTGATTGATTTATACCATTCGCAGATCGTTCGATATGGTTTTCCGTACCGACCAACAACACTTGCTTACGATCCTGTTCAAAAACTTTTAGCCATCGGAACGAAAAATGGAATCATTAAAATGTAAGATTCATTTCGGATTTGGCTCGTTATTTTCTCTTTTCATTAGTTATGGTGGTGCATTTGTCGAATGTTCACTTGAACATCCGAGTGAGGTTGAAATTGTTCAATTAGTGTTTCGTATTAATGAAGTAAGCGATGTGCATACTGTTTAAAATCGATACGAATCGTTTTGATCGATCTCTTAGGGGGCATTGATCAGCGCATGCCGAGACAATTATATTCATTTATGGAATTTACGGCAGAAGAAACCAGTGATTGCTAGTTCACTTCAATTTGTTAAAGAGAAGTAATTCAACTCAATGTGATTTGATTTCAGCGTAAACATCTCTTTTCATTTCATGTTTAGAATTAGCCGTTGTTTATTACCACTCGCTTTTAATTCAAAATGGCTATTAGTTGGAACTTATTGTGGTAATGTCTATGTTGTTAATTTGGACACATTTACACTTTCATCATATAAAATTATGTGGAATAATGCCATTGGAATGTAAGGATAATAGGATAATTGCTGCAAATGATTTTGTTTTCTTTTCTCTCGCTCTCTCTCTTTCCTACAGGGGTAAAAGTTCTCATCCAGGAGTTGTTGTTGATTTATGTCAAAATCCTGATGATCCGACACGCGTAAGTATAATTGAATTTAATCATTGAATGTGTGTTCAATCAACGGAAACGAATCTTTTCGTATCCGGAATGTGACTTTGTTCAGTTAATGAAAAACGAACAGAACTTACACGAGTTTCGAGTTCTTCTTTATTCCTTTTTCTTGTTCGTACCCAAGATTAAATATTTAATAATGGATAAGTGTCCGACACTAGTCAGACAAGAAGTACTCTTCAAAATATTGCTGTCTTCAGCAGATACTTGACAATACGTCTGAAATACTTACAATAAAACACGACTATATACTTTACTCAGAGAGAAGGAAAATCGAAATATAGTTTTGGATGTAGAGCATCTTCAATGTAAATGAAGTAGACAACTATACAAAAAGGAAAGAGAACAAAATAGGAATTTGATCGAGATAATTTCCTATTGGTTCAAAGACAATGGATAATGCTGAAGTTTTCCTCCTCTGTGTTTTAGTTGTACATTGGATTTAGTACACACCTATCATTACCAAACAGTGTCCCAGTCGGGCATGTCATTTGCTGGAATTTACAACAGAAAACATCAGAAAGTGTTTACAGTTTACCACAAGTAAAACAATCAAAGTTCGTAAATAGAAAACATGGAAATCGAATGTTCATTGGTAGGGTTTAACGTCACTTTCATGGCATTACGAGGGTCGGCAATTTATGTGTTCGCATTGTGATGGATCACTATCCGTATGGAATCTTCGAGCGAATGACAAACCTGTTAGCGTGAACTATCCACACAGTGAGTAGAAAATTTCGATGGGAAAGAGAATTCGTCAACTTGTAATCGTTTGTTTTCAGCTCGTATTTGTAAAGATGAACCGTCGAAATTCGGTCCGGTTACGAAAGTTGTTTGGAGCGCTGTTAAAAGCTCGTAAGTTGCATTCCAATCGTTGCTCGTGTATTTCTCACGTATGGATTTCAGTGGTGATTCATTCATTATCTTTTCTGGTGGTATGCCACAACAAAATGATCAACAGCAGAATTCATTGAAAAATTCGTCATGTTTTTTAACTATACTTCGCGGGCAAACAACAAATGTCTTACATATGGATAATTCCATTGTTGACTTTTACGTTGTTACACCATCGCCACATATTGCTGGTTTGTTTGACAGATTGACGATTTGTGTACACCACCGTTTGCTTTAGATGTTCCGGATCCGGTTGCAGTCATCGTTCTACTAGAAAATGATCTTGTTGTCATTGATTTAAAGAGCGAAAAGTAAAGCAGAGCCCTTGAAGTGAAGCCATTCGAAGTCGTTCATTTTTCATTCTATTTAGTTATCCATTATTCGAAGGCCTTCATACACTGGATTTACACGAATCGCCAATAACATATTGTTATTATATCACTGAACCAAATTCGATTTTTTATCAAAATTTGCTTCGTTTGCAATCGAAACAAACAAGCAAACGAACTTATAGTCAAATGGTAACAGACATTCTTCGTATTTGTCATTCGCATCGAACTCTTTGTGTTTTTTTTAAACAGGAAAACCCAATATCAGGTGGTCGATATGGCTCAACAATTTTTGGTTATAATGAATTGATTATCACTGGGTAAGTAAAATCATCGCATATATGCTTCGTAATATTGTTCTTCTCAAAAGACATGCGGATGGTTCAATTAAATTCTGGGATGCATCCGGCTGTAATCTTGTATTTCTTTACAAACTGCGTACCAATCGTTTATTTGATCGTATTCAAATCAATGCATCGGCATCGTCACATGTCGCAAGTTCAAATCCATCTAAAGACGTCAATTCAAATATCAAATTTGACTCGAAGTCAACTCGTGCGAATAGCAATACGAACGATGAACAATTGCAACAAATGTTATTGAGTGATGATAATCCATTCAGTATTTACTCGATAAAAATGTGTTGTGATGGAAAGTATTTGATTGCAGCTGGCCGTGGCGGACATGTAACATTGTTTAAATTTACCGGATCAGAATTAGAGAAAGCAGATGAAGGTCTAGGAGATTTATCATGTCTGGAAATCCCGATATTTCATCGAAACTTATCAAGTAATCATGATGATCTGAATTCAACATCGAACAGTTCAATCCTGAATGATTTACAGGCTATTGCTATCAAACAAAACCTGGAGAAAAAGGTACAGACGTTCATCCTCGAAAATCGATATTTGACGGCCTTAGAATCTTTTCTAGGAATTTAAAAGTTTACTTCGAGCAAAAATGGGCTATCGAAGAATGGCTGGCTATCAACCTGAACTTGTCTGTTTACTATCATGGTTACCAACTGATAAAGTGCCAATTCTCACTGATATTGCCATCAATTCGAAATATGGCTTGTATGATTCTTCGATCTTTGTACGTGCGAAATTCATCTCGTTCGTGCTTTATTCTAGATTAATATTTGGACTCGAAAATGGCCTTGTTGTGGTGGATTATTTAAGTAAATTCATTTTGATGAATATGGCCACATCAGATCTGTACGGAACAATGGATCCGTTTCAACGTGCAACTTCTTCACCGAAACGTCGTGGAACGTCAAACGAATCGAACAATGACGACTCCAATACATTTTCTTACGAATATCAGGTAAAGTCTCTCGTTCTTTTCTTTCTCTCTAGACAATCGAATTGAATTCTTCTCGAACTAATCATTATGCGATTTGATATAACCTAGCAGCGATCATTATCACCTAATTCGGCTCCATTGTCGAATATATTCTCATTTAATAATCTCGACGAAAACTTTTCCAAGAATCACTTGCAACCATTCGACCAATACACGCAAATCTATCGCTCACGCTCGATTGAATCGATGTCGACACTCGATCCGAATCTGATAGGAAACTATTCGGAAGAGAAAACATTTTCATCAACTAATCCAACATTAGCTAAAACATTTCGAACAATACGTAAACATCTCACACGAACGACAAATAATAAAAATGACAATCAAATTCTCTTCGATGAAAGCGATATCAACAATCTCAACGATGAGTTTCATGCGAATTTTCCTAAACAAACCATAACTACGGTGACAATCAAACGAACAATACCTGCCGATAAGACTTTAACAACATTTGAGAGTCAATCATCGTCGTTGAATGAAGCGTATCCGACATTTGACTATGTCAAAGACAGACTCCCGAAGCAAAAAACCGAGTTTTATCAACAGTCAACCGCCAATAAGCAAGCAGTATCAACAATGTATACGACATATCACACGCATACAGTTACAGTTCATAGTAATTCGGGTGCGCGCGCATCCCTGAGCATGTGTTTGTTTTCTTTTTTTCTCTTGACAACTGCACGAGATTTCGTCTTGCGATTACGAGCATTTTTGAGGAATGATTGTCAATCACACTATATACTTCTAGCCATCCTCACCTCCTACGAATCCATCAAATTTAATTGAAAAACGAACATTGACTCAATCGAATGATGCTAATTCAGCTGTTTGTAAGTTTCTTGTTGGGTAACGAAGAAAACGAGAACTTCTTCTGGTGTTGTCAGTCAACGTCTCTAATGTCAAGTTAATTTGCTTTGCTTTTCTCGTATCTGTCGCATGTCTGTTGAAAGATGTGATTAATCGAGCATATTCTCTATATACTTCTTCATTCATCTATTTAGACAAACCATTGGTTATTGATCTTCCACGTTCTTCAAGTACATCTAGTCTAGACCAAATAGTCACCAATGAAAGTGTTTGTGCTATTCAATTTTCCGAATCATTTACGTACAAAAACGGTACGTTCGTGTTGTAATTTAGGTGTATTTTAAGCCTTTGTATATAGATTCGACTATTTCACCAAGTGTTTGGCTTGGTACGAGTACTGGCTCTGTTATTGTTGTTAACTTAAATATTATTTTTGAACCGAGAAATATCAGTGGTAAGTAGGAATTAAAGAAAACGTGTTGTTGAATAGGAGAATGTTCATTTAGTTGTCCCGAGTGGAAGTGTATTTCGACTAGCTGGCCGAATTCTACATATTTCTTTTCTGGATCATAAGGGAGCGATCCTACCAACGCCGAGTGAAAAATGGGAAACGAAAAGTATGACGGAATTCACAGTGGAAGACTTATCACGTGACGCAACTTCTTTTTTAGAAACGAAAACTAATCGAATGACCGATGGAACGCAAGATTTAAATCCTTCATCAGTTGTTTTACCAACTGGTAATTCCGTGCTTTCTTCAACAACGACTGTTGCATCGAATAATACTCAATATGCTGTATTTTGTTCATCAAGAGAAGCTCGAGTTCGTAGTCAACACTGATTGATTATGATCTCTAACTCAAATCATCTTTTGTAGGTTATCGCATTACCATCACAAGCTTCAATATCAAAGCAGAAGATTTACGATTCACTTGGAACGTCAGCATCGAATATTATTCGAGCGTCAGTTGTTAAAATTGCTGGTAGAATATCCGTGTCGAACGTCTTCTTTCGATTTTCATCTGCATTCGAATTCTAGGTGCTGCTTGTTTAACATGTTATTTAGCTGCAGGTCGTATCCATATTTATAGTTTACCGAGTCTACGCGAATTATTCACTACAAATCTTGAGCCAGTCATTGATTCGTGCAGGTAGGCTATTTTGAGAGAAAGAAAAGAATTACCGTGGAACGAGTGGATTTAGATCAATGATAGGTTTATCGTTTACACTTACAAACCGTGGTCATGGACTCTTCATGTGTTCACCGACTGAGATTGAAAAAATATCGATTTCTTCTGATGTCAAGTATGTCGAAAAGGAGTTTTCATTGAAAAAAAATCTCATTTGGACATCGATGCTTGTTTCAGAGAACAAATCAATGAAATGCTTTGCGAATTGTATAGTCCATCGATACTAATGCCTGAAGCACCGAGACAAAACTTCTTTGCTAAATTATTCGCTTCAAATGCAATGATTGACTCAGATCAATTATGTAAAGAAGAAAGACATACGATGAAAATTTTCTAAATCATTTTCTTCTCTAGTCGGTGAGGCAGCTGGTAAAGCTCCGGCTGGCGTTATTAGAAAAGAAATAGTCAATATTAACATGAATCAATTACGTGGCAGTGCTGATTCAGCAGGTAGTGTTATACATGACACTCGAATGGTAAGATAACCGGAACAGTTAGGATGCGATCTTCGGAAATGTATTTTTTAGAAACTTATCGAACGTGGTCAAAAATTGAATGAAACCGAACTAGCGTCAAAACAAATGGCCGATCGCGCCGAGGAATTTTCTAGTTTAACACATAAAGTAATGTTAAAACAAAAGGAGAAGGCCGAATGGTCATGGCCATTCACATCGAAAAAATAGTGATTTCCCGCGTTCATTCGTTTTGTCGAACTTGGATTTCTTCTCTTGCTCGCTCTCGGTTTTTTCCTATCTTTTACATTGAGTGCAATATATCCTTGTTTGTTTATCCTCTATATTTAGTAGAACGTCTTTTTTGTTCTTGATTTTTCTTCTCGTTGTTGTGTATGTGGATATGTTTGTTCGCGATCGATACATGCAATAATTTTTTCACAGATCACACATTATATGTTGCTTTTCTATCCAGATTTCTCAGTAGAACAGTGGCCTACTTTCATAAGTCAATACGTATGTGTGAATATGAAACAAATTCTATCTTTGATAAGAGTACTGTTCACTTTTTTTCTATCCGAATGACGATCTCATATAGAAAACCTTTCTCTCTCTCTCTCTCTCTCTCTCTCTCTCTTTCCTTTTCATTTGTATGCCCTATTGTATTTTTATTGATGTTTTAAAGAAAAAAAACACAACTAATCTTTTTATTCGTAATCGCATTCAATAAAGTGAGTTTATTTATTTGCAAATATTGGAACAATAGCGTACGAGAACTCGTCGAATACGTATTCATTACATTTAACCATCGGTTGTCTTTCCTGTCGAAGCATTTCTTGTCTGAATCGCTTTCAGACTATCCAGTGTTTTTGCGAATGATTATGGATCTACATTTGGAACATTATGTGATGAAACAGATCCATTTTTCTAATGATTTCACATAATCTTCTCAATTGGTTTCCGGTCGACAGAGAAAAATGTGCCTGAGGTCAAACATATCTCCAACAAAATAATAGTCAATTTTCTATGTCAAATAACGAGATTGAATCCGGTGACTGACCCGATGTCGAAATTACTAGTCTTCTTTGTTCATTACCTAAATCGATAAAATGGCTTGAATTCTTCGAAATGGTTTAATTCGATGAGCTGTTTGATCTTTTTGTGCTATAATACTTGCCTAATCTCATCAATACAATTTGTTTAATGGAACTCGCATTGCAAACTAATATGATCATAATGTTTATGTGTACTGATGACAATTACAGGGAAGAATGAATGATCTTGAACGATTTTTACAGTGCCTTCTTCAGTATCAATTAGAAGAGACTATCGTGAACCAACAACCAGATAGGATAGAAAATCTTCATTATGATATAGTTCGTTTATACTTTCAAGTGAGCAGTTATTCATCGAATGACGTTTCATTATCTAAATCTATTTCTGTGTAATACCAATTGATTCTTGAAAATTTAATCGAATTTTAAATGAGTTCACATGATATATCGATTCACAGATTCTATATGGAAAGGCCACTTGACATAATAAAATAGAATATGATATGATATGTTACGTTACGAAATAAACAATCACGAAATTCATAAACAAAAGCACACAAAAGGAGTATTCTATCACTACTTATGATTGTGTTCCTAGTGATTTGTAATAAGCCGATAGAACTTTCCATCCCGCTGGCACCATGAATCCTTCCGGCGGTTGTTCGCCACTACGCGCAATCTTTCTCATGCGTGTACCTGATATAAAATCGAATTCATCATGTTTCTCAGGATCGTAGAAAGCCATGTCTTTCAAAACGCGATTGTAGGCAGCAACTTTGAAGGGTAAAATTTGTAATTGATTGAGACCTGGCGCCATGGTGAGAACTTTCGAACCATGACTGGGATCATACAAATCCTTAGACTTATCAGCTGGATTAGGCAAACCAGCAGGATCACGACCGACAATATAGAATGTTGCACCGGTGCACATACGAGCTTTCGCATGCCATTGAACTTCTGTTGGACCAGCGTAACTCATAGGCGATGGAAATATGGCAAGTACAGTACGTGAACGGTCAAGTCGATCGTTCTCGTCTTCATTTAGGAATGCCTGATGTTGAGCCATACGCACAGGTAAAGGAACATCATCCTCTTTTGTCCAGCCGCCTAATATAACAAAATGTGCTGTAGAAAGACATTGGTGTAAAAGTATACCTAATGGATGAAGTAAAAGAACAGGATTTTTAAAACCATGATCGACGAGATATTGTCGTGTTGTTTGCATTAGAAGTGAATGACCGTTGTGAATAGGATTTCGAAGTTGAAAAGCAAACACTGCGTCCGCCTATTCGACAAATTGAAAATAAAATCTATTCGGAAGATCAACTGTTTATTCTTACTTTAATATCACGGAATCGTTGTCGTAATTCGTTAGGTGTTAAACGAAATTCATCTAGGCCATCGTTCCAACGAATTCGTTCTAGAACTTCAAGGTCACCACCGATTAACCAATCACCACTTTCAAAAATCATCTACGAACAGACAGTGTAACGAATAGAAAGAACACGATGACAAATTTTCGACCTACTTTGATATGTGGATGTTCGATATTTGTTGTGCCAAAGACCCTTGCGCATCTTTCTTCTTTTCTATGTGCATAAAATTCTGGTTTTTTTACTTCATCCATTAGGNTAGAACTTCAAGGTCACCACCGATTAACCAATCACCACTTTCAAAAATCATCTACGAACAGACAGTGTAACGAATAGAAAGAACACGATGACAAATTTTCGACCTACTTTGATATGTGGATGTTCGATATTTGTTGTGCCAAAGACCCTTGCGCATCTTTCTTCTTTTCTATGTGCATAAAATTCTGGTTTTTTCAAAAGAGCGACCAACTTTTGATTATAACACAAAGCAATGATCTGTGACGATTGTAAACGTTCTTTATCTTCAGTTGTACATGGTAAAACAATAGGAATCGTCTGATTTTCAGTATGACCTAAGAATCAAAATTAATCATCGTTCTTTATGATCGTAGGATATGTTTACCTTTCATGAGACAACCGAAGTGCAAACATTGTAAATATTCTGTTTCCCGCATGAAACCGCTTAGTGGAGTAGCCCAACCTTCACTTAACACCTGAATCCACTGTAAATCAATCTGTAAAAATCGATCGATGTTACGTTAAGGCTGACGCAAATATGCCAACAAATAGCATTATTACTTCAGTAATTTCAAGTTTATCCAAATTTGGAAACTCTTCCGTAGCTCTTGCACGCATCTGTTCGTCCATAAACAATTCGTTGACAGCCATGATTAATGTTGATGAAAGGACGTTCTAAACAGACAAGCACTTAGTGAAAGGTTATGTCATAGCTCTATTAACAAATTTACTCGTTCGGCTAATTTAGCAATGATCATCTCAATTGAACGATCTAATGGAACTATGCTTGTATCGATAACTATATCCGGATGCGCTGGTGGCTGATACGGTGCATCAATACCGGTAAAACCTAAAACATATGTCTATTTCTCATTGTTTCATAGTAAACCAATCTTACCTTTGATCATTCCTTTCCGTGCTTTTTCATATAAACCTTTCTTATCTCGTGATTCGCATACAGCTAATGGTGTGCTAACAAAGACTTCGATGAACGGTATTTCAGCGTCTTCGTGTAATTTTCGTGCACCTTCGCGATCCTAGGAAAGTTTATACAAGAGTACGGATTATTATTGCACTCAATTCTGATTTACCTCTTCGAATGGGCTGATAAAAGCAACAATACACATAATACCAGCATCGGCAAATAGTTTCGCCACTTCAGCAACACGCCGAATGTTTTCGACACGATCTTCATTGGAAAAGCCCAAGTTTTTGTTCAAACCAAATCGAATATTATCACCATCCAGACAATACGCTGGCAAACCCTTACTAACAATATATTCTTCTAGTGCGAAACTTCACAAAAATTAAAAAATGAATATTTCTTCTAAATGAACAGATCAGTCTTCTTACGCAATCGTCGATTTTCCGGCACCGGAAAGACCTATAGAGAATGGAAGTTCGTTTCAGTAGTCGGCCATTAAGGACAACTTACCAGTTAACCAAACCGTTGATCCCCGAAATGCTCCGCGCTGCCCGAGAGCAACCGCACGCTTTTCACGCGTGATCTTCGACACCGAATAGAAAATATTTCTTTCATTCTAAGAAAGCAAAAAGCAAGTTACAACAAGAGTAGATAAACCGCTTTAGAGCAGGTTAACATTCACCCAAAAGCACTAAAAAAACATTCATGAAAACACTACCTGAGGCATAATTAAATGTACAAATTGAAGGAACACTCAATATTTATACTATAATATATACACTTGATTCGCATGAAAGGTTTCTACCGCGTGTTCGGTATACAATACCGACAAACGAACCGGGATTTATATACCTGAGAAGTGTGGATTGCATGTGTTGGTTGTTTATCAACGCTAGCGATTGTTTTCTTTTGATTTTGTTTGATTAAAGCTTCAATAATTTCTACCAGTTTAGTTCCAAGCTGATCTTTATCATGCAGAACGCTTAGCGATAAATTACGAGTCGATAGGGAATTCATGAGAGAATTCCATTCAACTGTATCGGACGATTGAATAAAAAGAATGAGATTAACAATTGACGACGAACTTTGATCCAGATATGATAGTAACTGGGGTAATGATGTCGAAATTGTCGAACAACAGCAAATAATTGACGGTGAAGGAAACGAATATGAGAGACCAATTTGAATCTTTTGATCTAGATTTTGTTTTGTAAATGTTAATGATGAATTCTGTTGAACGAAATGTTCTTTTCGAAGAAGTTCACCAATTAATTCTGTATTATCAGTATTGATTCGAAATTGGTGTACCGACATCGACGACATTTGCCCCGAATGTGATGTGATTCAGGTACACTCAGGTGGAATGTACTTAAATAGTATATAGGCAAATTTAGTCAAGTCAGGACTTCATTCCCTTTCAACGGGTCCGTTAAATAGACCAATTTGTGTTGCTTCGGACAGATGTCACGAGTTGATTCCGAGTACGTTGGAAAGAAAGTCTCAGGCACACTTCAAAATATCCTGTCACGCGAATGAATAGCTTTAACACAAATCGTTTTGTACGTGTGCACGCGATTATACTCAACGAATTCGTCATCAATGAGTCTTTTTTTTATATTTCGAACAAATATCGTTCTCGAGAATCGTTTGAAAACAACTCAAGAATAAAGTAACATGTATGCTGAAGGCAAGAGAACGATTTTAACATAGAAATCAACAAAAAATGAACTGAAATTTTTAAAAAAACGAGGGCAACAACAGTGAAAATGCACATGTGTATTACATTTGGACGAGTTAGTCGCTCAGTTTAATAGATTTTTTTTTAAATATTCACTGTGTATAACCTTTATTCTTTTATTTTGAATATTGTTCTTTAAAGAATGTTAAATATCTTTTTCAAATCGACCATCAATTGCCAGTCGGACTTTTGCATATCATCACGAAAATGATCTTTGACAACATCAATCGTTTCTCGGGATACCTGAAATGAAAGAAATGATGTCGTTTCTTGCGAAAAGAAAACGAAAACTATCCATCAATTTACTTTGCTCATCAAGATATCACTTTCGTCAAAATGTCGGCCGAACATTTTCGGTGCTTCACCACTGACCGGATCAATTTTGATACAAACTTCCGCACCTTTTCTTGCAATTTCCATTGGTTTATGATTCAATTCGATACTTACAATTCGGCCAAGATCAATGAACTAAAAGAGAAAACAAGAAATTTGCTCTTCTTCCTATCCAAGGACTTTTACTTCTTTTGACGGAACACAGATCGGTGTACCCAGCTTGACAAAACCATCTTCCACGACTACACCACAGATGATTGGATCACGCGAATTGAATACGAATTGCGGTAGAACTTTTAATTTGCACGGAAACACGGCAAGATGTCGAAATTTTTCTTGATTTTCTTTTTTAACGCGTTCACGATGAGCAATAAACATGTCGAAGAGATGATAGATGATATCAGCTTGGAAGATTTTCACACCTATTCATCAACAATGACATCTCTATCTAATAAAAACATTTCAATGTGCTTACCAACGTTATCTGCATGGTCCTGAGCATCTCTCTCGATTCTCACATCAAACGCCAGTACAACTGCCCATCTAAACGATTACAACGTATTGATACGACGATAAACTAAACAACGTTTACTGTGCATCTCGTTCCAATTGAGTTGACGCACGAATAATATCTTTTCGGTGAACAGGCCCGATGTTAATGCCAGCGTACTAGACAAATTTTCGAAATTCATAGGATTACTCGACAGGAATAATCTTACTGGTATATTGGATGTTTTCAGAAACTCAAGTAAGGCTTCTAGTGAGCCCAGAGTTGATGCTTGAACGTAGACACCGTTTTCTTTTAGTTTGATTGAGCTAAGTGCAGTCTTGAGAATATTTTGAATTTCATTTCTGAAATAATCAACTTCATCGTCTTTTCGACCGACGAACAATGGAAGGCCAGCCATGGCTTTTTCGAGATCTTTAGCTGCAATCTTAATACCACGGGCAGCTTTGACTGATTTATAGTTTTGATATTGGTTCTAACAAGAAAAATCAAAAGAGTTAACCATCATCGAAATTCCAGATAAAGAACGTACGCGAACACGAAGTTCTCGATTCGGTTCAGGCATAAGAAGGCCACGAACTTGTGTTACAATCGGTCCTTCTTGGCCTGCAACAATAATTGTATCACCAACATGTAAATGTCCATTCACAAGAACAACATCAATCGTTGTACCAAGACCACCAATTGCTTTCACCTATAACACAAAGACTAAATATCGTTTTCGAACATTAAAAATACTCTACCTCCATGACTGTGGCTTGCAATTCATCAGTATATGACAAACGTTTAGCAAGCGTAGTTTGACATCTTTCAATAATCATGGCGATTAATGAACCCATGCCATCACCGGTATGTGCTGATGTTGGTACCATGGAATAAAATTCGTTTGGATCAGGATTTTTATAATAAAGTGCAACATTCAGACCCTACGAAAATAATGATGAGTTAGTAAGAATAAAGATTAATTGGTTTTACTTGTTCGGCAAATTGAACAATGACATCATTGCAGCGCTTTTCAAATTCGTTGCGCGTATTTGGACTTTGTTCTTCGAGAACAAGTTCCACATTTCTCTTACTATCACCTTTCCAATTATACAATCGATCGATCTAAACAACGGTGTATCGCATTAGCTATTTCGATCCAAGCTTGAGTTTTCTCTACCTTGTTCAGTGCGACGATGAATGGCGTCTTTCTTTCGATTAATAATTGAATAGATTCGAGTGTTTGTGGTTCTATACCGTGCATTAAGTCAACAACGAGAATGGCCAGATCGCAAAGTGATGAACCACGTGATCGTAAGTTTTTGAAAGACTCGTGCCCCGGTGTATCAATGATCAGAAGGCCTGGAACGATGAAATCGCCTTCACGTGAAACCAGTTTTCGACACATCTTCGTTCGTTCACGAATAGTTTCGAGTGGAACATTTGTTGCACCGATCTGTTGAGTGATACCACCGGCTTCACCATCTTGGACATGCGTTCGACGAAGATTATCCAGAATTTTCGTTTTACCCGTATCGACGTGACCCAAAACGCAAATAACAGGTGCACGAAGAACCTCTGTAGTACGACGACTTTCACACGTTTCGTGACGTCTGTGTAAACGACGTTTGACGCGCTCAAACGGCGAAAGTTGACTAGTTTCGTCATCATCACTCGATGAGCTGGTATCCTCGGATTCGTCCGACGATGATTCGTCTTCAGATGATTCGGATTCTGAACTTTCATTGGTTGCATTCTTCGCTGATGTTGTAGTTGTCGTTGTCACTGATGGTGTTGGGTTCACATGTTTAACATTAATACTAGCAGTTTCAGTTGTTGGTGTTTGAGATTCTTCAACTTCACCTGCTACTTCTTCTTCTGATTCTTGTTCCCAATCATCTTTCAAGTTATCTTCTTCCTAAATTAACATGAGCATGAATGAAACGATGATTTCTATCTCAAGAGACAAAACTCACTTTAACTGGCAATGGCTTTTCTACTCCGTCCGATGTTACCGACTCTGATGCGCCTGCAGCTGCTGAACCAGCTGTACCTGCTTCTACAGATAAGAATGAAACTAATTGTGAACGTTATTTTGTTTAATTCATGAAATATACGTTTAGCTGCATTGGCTTGATTTTTCTTTCGACGATCATCGTAGAGAACACGTTTTTTTATTGGTTGTTCTCCATTATTCGCAGATTTCGATTCAGCACTTCGCGCGGGTACTTGAATGCCAGCTGCTTCGAATTGAATACGAGCACGTTCTAACTTCTCTCGTTGCTCTTTCGTCAAATAGGAACCTTCCTCTTTCTTTCGTTGAATACGATCTTTTTCTTTTTGTTTTTTCTTATCACGACGCTCTTTTTCTAAACGTAGTCTTTCTTCGCGTTGTTTCTCTAGTTCTTCTTGTAATCTTAGCTCTGCTTCTTCATCTTGGAGTGCTTTCAATTTCGCTTCTTCTTGTTTCCGTTGAAATTCTTTCATCAAACTCAACTGAAAATCGAGAAAAGAAATGCATTATACCAGAAGCACAAAGATTCGGACGTAGACCTACCGTTTTGGCGTCAACACCACCTTTCGCCTTCTTTTCTGCAGCTGCTTTCTTCTTGTTCTTCGATGAACTCTTTTTCTCGTCACCAGCAGCAGCGCCAGCTTCGTCTAACGAAATCTCAAAACATTCAGTTGTTTCGTACGAATATCAAGTTCTACCTTCTTGAACTTCAGTCTTAGTTACAGCCGATGCCTTTTCAGTCGTCGAGCTTTGTGCGCCAACTTCATTACCCTTCAACAAAGAGAGCATTCGCTGAACGGAATTTTCAAAGTAACTTACAGCTGGTTTAGTCTCCACAGATTCTACTTCCATAGTGAAAATAGCACATAAGTATTGATAACAAAACGACTGAACACTTACCTTTCTCTTCTTTCTTGTTCTTTTTCTTTTCCTTCTTCGCCTCCTTTCGTCGATCTTTTTCGTCAAATTTTTCATCAATTTCCTAGCGAAGAAGAGAGTTACAACCGCATTTTCTTTATTGACATTCATCCTACTTTGAGAATATCTTCTAGATCTTGTCCTTCGCCTTCTTTAAAAGCTTCTTCATCTTGATTGACTGTTGTCGCAGCTTGTTTATTCTTCTTCTTATCAGATTTTTTCGTCGATACACTGGTTGATTCAATTTGTGCTAACAGAGAATCAATTTCGTCATCTTCTTTCTTATTCTTCGATGTTTGCTTTTTAGCTTTCGCTCCTTTCTTTTTCGAAGAACTTGCTGCCACCGTTGGTACAGACTTAACTGGTGCAACTTCTTCGTCGTTATCATCATCTGCGGCGTCATTATCGTCGTCGGACATTAACATGGAAAATTTGGCCTGAAATTTATTAGCTGATGAGGTGGTTCCAAAGTCACCGTCATTGTCATCGTCTTCAACATCTTCTTGATTGGTAGCTATATTTCTGAAACAGTAAACGAAAAGACAACATTGATCTGCGTGAGATATTCCAAGTAGAATCTCGTTTACTTGGGCAAAGGTGCTTTCTTGTTTTTGTTTGCCATGTCTATTGATCATTCGGATGAATAAATTAATCTAGATGAGAATAAGGAGAAATCTATGAGATCGAATTGCGTAAATTTCTTTATCGACTCAACAACATAGGAAGAAAACGACACGGCTGAGAATCAAAGCGGACGGCGTTTCTTCAGTTTAGTGCAAAATAAAACATTCGTTCATTTATTGGCCGATAGCTACCAAATAGGTTTTTTATCTGATAGTATACAAATATGACTCAAAACTAAGGCCATAAAGCAAAGTTTTACATTTGAAAAGATGTCGCCAGTTTCAACAGACAATTTTTTCTCTTATTTTTTCTCTGGAAGTGAAGATTTAAAAGAAGATTCTTCACTCCAAAATATCTTTTGAAAAATTGTTATCAACGTGTAAACCATAACAATATTGAAAACAAATATTTATGCATGTAAAATAAAAACAAATGAGACAAACGAGAAAAAAAATCAGATCAAACTTCGAATCACAAATACAAAAAAAACCAAGATCTGTGTCATATATTTATATTTACAGGCATAACGATCTTTTGTTGCGATTGTCACCATCGGAATTTTGTTTTGTGGTAATTAACTCCACCCACACCGGATCTGTACATGGTAAATGATCTAACACATATGGATTTCGATCGGAAAATCCTATTCGTAGTTTACTGCGAACGGATAGCGTATAGTATTGTATAAACATTTGATAGTAAATCGAGGTAGCATTGCTGTGAAAATAGTTAATGCCGTTGTAAACCAAAATCGGGCTTTCCGAAGTGTATGATACGAGACTTGATATGGACTTTCACCTGGAATGCATACCACACAAGTTTCATCAAATACCAGGGTAAATCCAAGAAATACGAGAAAACTGAATGCGATGGAACTAATGATAGATATATCAACACGCGATGTTTGCAAAAGAACATGTATCAAAGATGTAACAATCATACTGAATGCAATAGAAAAACCAAACGCCGACACATCAATATAAAATTCGTTTCTGTATGATAGATAAGCAAAGAAAAATATCACTGAACTCTGCCATATAGCATCGAGAATATTTATCCAATATGACCACATTCGATAGCATCTCGCATGTAGAGTGTATTGATACAGCTGAGGTTCATGTAATGCTCGTTCAGCGGGCACATGTTGATCAAATAAAGCTGCAGCACACTACATAAATTCGCAACCTAAGACAAATGATTAGCATTCGATTCCGTCTTACTTGTGGAAGCACGGTAAACAAGCTTGAATACAACGTCAGATCTAAAATATTCAACATAATTGCGAAAACAACTATTTTATTTTCGTCACTTACAGAATGAATGCAGAGACACTGCCCCTGAAAAGCCATTGAAAAACTGATGAAAGAAAATCACAAATACGTAAGCACAGTTGTGCATGAATGTGTACAAGATAAGTTCACTTGTTCGAGTGAAACACCAAGCACCGTGAACAAGAAGTAAACGACGAAGACATTCGAAACGATCAACTGCAAAGTCGCCTGCGGCTACTGCTTGAGATCCTTCACGACCATACACAGCAACTCCACAGTGAGATTCACGAATCATTCCAACATCATTTGCACCATCACCGATCGCCAAGATTCGATGCTTGAACACCGACTTCGCAACACTCACCAGTTCACGCTTCTGCGTTGCCGACACTCGACAGAACAATACCGACTGACATTCCGATGNTTCGAAACGATCAACTGCAAAGTCGCCTGCGGCTACTGCTTGAGATCCTTCACGACCATACACAGCAACTCCACAGTGAGATTCACGAATCATTCCAACATCATTTGCACCATCACCGATCGCCAAGATTCGATGCTTGAACACCGACTTCGCAACACTCACCAGTTCACGCTTCTGCGTTGCCGACACTCGACAGAACAATACCGACTGACATTCCGATGCAGCTCGAATGAACTCTTTTGGCTTGTATCGAAGGATCACACCTGTAACACAACAGACAATCATTCTCATGCACTGCTCTCTCTCTTTCACTTACTCAGATCTTCGCCAGTCACAACAAGTGACACCGGTGACGCTTGTGCAGCAATAACTTCACGCATCCGACTGATCGTCTTCTCTGTTCGAACATCATCCGACGCGCTGCTCTCTCGATTACCTAAACATCAACAGTCATCTCTCCTACTTTCGATCGCACATCCCGCAAAGTAAAAACATACGTAGTTGCTGGTCGATTTCAATGAGTTGGGAACTATAGTAGATCATATGAGTGTGCTGGTTGAGTCGAGCTTGAGCCGAGCGATCAAAGTCCCAGGCGGTGGCGGCTGGTGCAATATTCTAGAAAGTAGCGACACGATTATCCCAGTCTATAGATGACGACAAAGACGTTGCTCACCCGAGATGTTGAATGAGAGTCCGATGAGAGTGTTTGTGGAATGTTGATGAGAGATGCAGCTTGTGCTGTGCTCAGGGCAGTTGCTTGTTTGTCACCTGTCAACAGCCACAGCTTGATACCAGCACATCTGAGAGTGGCGATGGCTCGTGGTACACCGTCTTGTAGTTTATCTTCGACAGCTGTCAGTCCAGCCAACATCAGATCCACTTCGATCTCAGTCGCTGCATCGGAGATGGCTTCCTCTCGGTTATCGAGCGCGTTCGCTGCAAATCGATATCGCTCGAACCATGACTCAAACTCTCGTAGAGTCAGCTGCCGATAGGCGACTAACAGTGATCGGTAGCCTTGTTCGGCAAAAGTCAAGCTGTGCTGTTCGATGGTTGACTTCGTGTGAGTATCGTTGAGAGGACTGAGATGTGGCCAGATAGATGATTCGGCACCCTTGATGTACAAGAAGATCTGATCGTTGAGTCGAACAATGATGGACATTCGTTTGCGTGTGGAGTCGAATGGTAGGAGACAGAGAATGTCATAGTCGAGATCTTGTTTGTTCGAGTTGGACGAGTCGAGGTATCGAACGGTGATGGTTTGTGCTGATCGTGAGATCATTCTGACACCGAATTGNAGAGAACTGAGATGTGGCCAGATAGATGATTCGGCACCCTTGATGTACAAGAAGATCTGATCGTTGAGTCGAACAATGATGGACATTCGTTTGCGTGTGGAGTCGAATGGTAGGAGACAGAGAATGTCATAGTCGAGATCTTGTTTGTTCGAGTTGGACGAGTCGAGGTATCGAACGGTGATGGTTTGTGCTGATCGTGAGATCATTCTGACACCGAATTGCGATGCTGTTTGACAGAGGACGAGATCGTCGGCGTTGTCGCCTTCGTACTTGGGCTGGTAGTCGAGTCGATGCATGAACTCGGGATGATCGTGGACGATGAATGAGGTGTTGCAGATGGCCAGTGTAGTGAGGAAGTGTTGAATCAATGGGTCGTTTTTTTCAGGTAATTCAGACCTAGAATGAAGGTAGATTTGTCGTTTACAAGCAGTTTTCATCATTCATACAAATAGAAAACGTCGAGTCTTTCTGCTGGCTGATGAGAAGGGCAATAAGCAAGGTACGTGGAAGTTTGGGAAATAATTCAGTTCATACCTGCCTGAATAGTATATGCCACCCACAGACATCATTTTAAACACTAGTTTGTTTTGTGTCAAAGTTCCAGTTTTATCTGTAAACACATATCCGATTTGACCAAGATCCTCATTGATCGTGAACGTTCGACAACTGATCGGATGCTCATACTTGAGATGCTTGTCACGTGCGATAGTGTACATTTGTAGAACACGAACAAGATCCAATGAGACATACAAGGCGATGGGTACCATCACTTGAAATAATATCACAAACCGTAGCGTGTTGGCAAAGAAATCTCGAACAGAGTTATCAAATGGATCATCTACTATAAATGGAACAAACGTCCATTTGTCACCAAATGAACGTTCCCAATAAATGGATAGACCAGCACAAAGTAAGCATATGGTTGTCAAAATTAAGCTCGAAAATAGTACATCTCTATTTATGTACCTTTCGATCAACGCATGTTTACTGATTGTCTGACGAGATGACTTGATGATCTTCGTTTCGTTTCCTAAACAACCACAACTCAACATCTAACACTACGTTTTACCGATGACACTCACCAGCATACACTATCAGTCCATCCACATACTCTGTGATTCTCAATACACAGCCACGCAACAGAAAGTTATTGTTGTCACATGGACAAGCATTCGACCCAGTCGAGAACAATAATCGACCACAGAAACGATAGATATCATCGTTCGGTGGATCGCACTGAAGTTCAAAACTGGTTTCTTCTGCTGTTTTGTCCAAGTTGAGAAAACAAGATGGAATACTCTTTTGTTTCAGATTGGTTTCGCCATCGATGGCGGCTGTGTCCAGGTAGCAAGTGCTTTCGGTGGATGCTGAAGAGAGAAGAAGAATATCGGCGGGTACTGTTTCGTCAGTTCGAACTCGAACGACGTTTCCAACTGAGAGATCTTGCCATTTACAAGGAATGAATGTTTTGGTTTTTCTGTGCAGAAAAAAAGAGTGAACGATAAACGAATGAGAAAGTGCTGATGATCGACTGACTTGTCGTAGACTTGTGCAATTTGTTTGTTGATTTGGGCGTCACTTCTCCAACGCTTGAGATCTTCGACGAGATCTTTGATAGCTGTGATTGTGAGAATGACTGTGAGAGGAATGAAAGCAACCTAGAAGAGTAATCGTTCAAAAATAGCATATGAAACAAAATAAACTGTGAGACATACTTGTTTTGAAAGTGCATTGACAATAGGTATCCAATTGAGTCCGATAAGAATAGCAAAATAAACATTGGCAACGCGACGAAATTGTTCGAAAAGATTCTTCGGTATGAAAGTGAGAATATTGTAGCGAGTAGTTTTAATGCGGTTGGTGTGTGGTTTATGCCGCCGTCGATTTTTAATGGCCACCCAAATAGGTGATTCGACAGGAGAAGGTACATTATGATGGACTATGTATGGTTCAGATCTTGGTACCGATACTTGTGCACCATTGGTAATAGAGGAAACAGTGGCACGGCGTGATTGTGTCCGTGAGATGTGTGGAGTTCGACGTAAAGTAGGTACAGCAGTACAATTTCCCATACAGAACAACAAAAGATGTAAGATGTTTAATCTGAATAAAAATACGACAACATCGAATGTGAGCTTCTACGAAAGGAAAGGAAGTTCGGTGGTATAGTCGAAATAGAAATATATGTTGTCTTTGTATTCAGTTTCGCTTATTAAGTGTAAAGGATACCAACGAATCTTAAAAAACTCAACGTCAAACAGGTAAGTTAAGAGAAGAGAGAAAAAGCATGTTGGCGAAAACAAAGCAAATTCAACATTACTCTTTTTCAATAAATATTCACTTTGTGAACTGCTTCCTATTTCATTAGAGGATTGCTAAAGCTTTTATTTGGATGTTTTGACTAACTTCTCTAAAAAAGTTTCTATTTTCCTTCGAACCCCACCTACGATAACAGCGGAGAAAACGATCAATGTCAAGCAGTTTCTAATGCACTTTTGAAAGCATACAATTGCACTGTTTTTTTTTCTCTTTCGTCACAATCTTAACAACAGGCGAAAGAACGTCTACGTAGCTACTAGTATTCACACATGGAGAATTATTATTTCAAGTTGTTTTGCTAGCGGCAATCGCTTCAAATTCTACCATTGTGAAGAGAAAATCGACAAATGTTTTTTCAGACTAAATCAGAGAAAATACTCAATTAGTTCTTCAGAGTAACAGATGAATCATATCAGACTTGATCGTAATTTGATTTGTATTACTTACGTATTGGATGTGTGCTGTCTGATAGTTTCATTTTTTTTCTCTGACAGCAGTCTCCATACTCGTCAACTTTTTTTCTTCACATTATATGTTCACATAAATGAATAAGAGCGAAAGAGAAAACTTAATTCTCAACCAACCCGTCTTTTCTTTCTTTCTCATTCTGATCAATTGACAGCCATAGTCTGTACGTGACGTAATCACACTATTCATTACCTACACTATAAGTATTCGTTCGCTAGTGCCGCTGCTGCTGCGAAACACATTTCTTTATTTTCAATTCGATTGCACTTGAGGAAAAATTGAAATATCCGATATTTTCAAGGTTAAAATACAAAACGATCAGTCAATATTAGGATGAATGACAAAAAAGGTTTGCTTCTATTTCACAATGAAGACTAATACAAAATATTAGTTTTAATTTCCATACAGCATGGTCATTCGCCAGGATGAACAGTATTCGTTCGTTTCTCTCGATGCGGCAATAGCAGCAGTTGACGCACTTCCTTACGATATTTTTTACTTGTTAATGAATAAATATAGAAAGTAATACTATTACTGATATACGAGATTTCAATCGAGATTTGATTGAGAAGACTATCGATAGCAGTCGTCAAAGTACTTTTCATCATATAAGCAGTTGCAGTGCTGTACAGCTTTTGCATAGTGACTGGTATAGAGAATAAAATCAGAACAGATACTTGTATGAGTAATATTCGTATCAATTGGGAATCTCGACGGCGCGCAGTAACAAGGTTTTGTGTATGTTTAACATTTTTTATGGTTAAAATACTTATAAGAGCCATGAAAATCGGTGGTAGACCCGAATTGCAACAAAGTAAAATGATGTCATTTAATGATTTGCATTTTGTATCGATCTGTATACAAACTCCACGCGAACTGATATTATAACAATAGAATGCTTGAGTATAAGGAAAAGTAAATGCAATCAGCGTTGATAGGACGATGAGACGTTTAGCAAAACGTAAAGAACTCCAGGCACGTATGTGAACATGAACGGATGTTGATAAGTATCGATCGATACATGCCAAAAGGATGAACCAGGTTGAAAGTGTAATGGTTGAATATCGAAGATAGAATCGAAATTTACATAAAATTGGATTGAATTGGGTTGGATCGAGATTGTACAATCCGAGAAAAGGTGTTATTAAACCAATATAAAGAGAAAAGAAGTTAATAATACTACCACTGATGAAATAGAGCGAACAAGGATTTTTTCGGAGTGCCGCTCGGGTAAATACTAGGAGATTCAATACGTTACCAATTGTTCCAAGGACTAGAAATGTTAATGGTATATAACGATTTAATTCTCGTGTGATGTAATTCAAATAATCAACTGTCGACTGTGTGTTACTGCTGCTCATTTTCCTGAGATATGCTTTCAGTGTAAAGAGATCCTACCATACATATATATATATATAGTAAATGCTCCGACGTTCGTTGCAGATGCATCAGTTCTTCAGGACAATGAAAATCCTAATGACGAGAGGATTTTTTTTTACTAAAAAAGATTTTGCTCAATGATTCTTGACAATAACTAATTGACCTAATGAGAGCAAGATTGTCTAACTCTAATTTGACTAATTGGATTCTTCTTGATATATTTGGCAAAAAATTTCAAACAAAGTTAAACTTTGTATCAATTAGTAATGATTTACTGAAATTTGCTTCATAAATCCAAAGAAGATAAATCTTCTGCTGTTAGCATATCCATTTGGAAATTAAAATACGGTAAGTATTATCTTTCAAAGTTTTATGAATCAACTTAAAATAGAATTGACGTCAATGATTACGCCAGTTTTATTCATACATATTTGAAAATACGTGTTCATCTTTCATGTATACGAAAAACAGTCTGTCATATTCGTAATTGACTTTGTTACAGTGAATAGGAAGTCTTATTGTACTGGTTGACGCCGAATATTTCAGTACGCCAGTTCTTTGAGACATGAAAATGTCAGTGTGTGTTCTGCTGACGGAGTACAAAACAAAATGCATCATGCAGAACTCGTTTAGGCGGCCGAGGCGAATTGAGTTCGTAAAATTTTGTCGACTTAGTTAGAGGGTTTAAGGGGTTCTATGTTGCCGTCATATGACGGATTGTCAAAAGTCAAATTCTATTATGAACACATCGCCTTACATTTTAATATGATGATGATGATGATGATGGAGTAGTAATCTAGTCGCGATGACCTTTTATTGATAATCCAGAAAATTTCGGAGAAGGTGCTGCTCGATCTGATGATATAGACTTAAAAAATCTCTTTGTGATATTTCAATTTTATTAAAAGTCATTTATAAGAAATTGCACAAAAAGAAAGGGAGATATTTGTCGATGATAAAATTAATAAATTTATAATTTCTTTTTAAACACCGGTGACATTTGCTCGTGTTCCATGAGATTCTCTCGATGCTTTCCTTCATGAACATCATCATCGTCGCCATCATCGTTCAAGAGTGCATCGAGATCTTCAATGCACGGTTCCTTTCTCTTCTTATTTTCGATACGTAACGATTTCGTGGGCGTTTGCATTTTTGCGTAATCTTCACAAAGTTGATCGTCTTCATCCTGATTACGAATGCGATCGTTGTCATTCATTTTTGTGTCCTTTTGTTCTTGTTCAAATGACTCAGCAAAACGACGCATTTCATCATCATCGATCTCATCAAAATGTATCTGTGTCGTTGTTGGATTTGATGCTCGTTGAGGAACAGTGCTAAATACAAGATCATCATCAACTTCATCACCCTCGAATTCATTTTCGTAATCATTAGAACTAGTCTTTTCAGCTTCTTGACCAACTGCACCCATAATTTGAGCGACACGGGCTAGTGATTGTTGTTTAACTTCTATAGGCTACGAAGTACAAGATGGAAATGTGTACGAAACTGAGAAGTGCAATCGAATGATTTTACTTTGTTACTACCAGCAGTATGGAATGCAGTTTGTTGAGAGAAACATTCATTTTGTGAGGACATTCTTTTATCTGAAACAGATTATCGATGAATCGAGAATGCAACGATGAGTTAGATCATCTCATCATCGTTTTTCAAACAATCGATTCTCCTTCAAACAGTTTCAATTCGCGCATAAACGAAATTCTGCTGAATAAAGGTGAGTCAACGTCCCGATTGGTCAGTTGACCGACGAATCGAATTCGAAGAATGAATGTTTTATTGTACAAATAATAATAAAATATTCTTAAATATTCATTTAATTTCGAATTAAAATGACCGAAGTAGCCCGGAGACGGTATTCTTGTTTCTGAAAACTCCATGAGTAATGGTTTGTGTTTGGCCAATCAGATTGATTGTTTGTTTTATTTATTTTATTTTATTAAATGGAGACAAGAAAATCAGTCCTCTCGTCGGTTTATATTTGATCTCAAACGAAAATTTCATTTCGATTTTAGATTTGATTACCGATCAAACAATGACATCGTCAAAAAAAGTTGAAAAACCTCAGGGTTCTTACATCAAAAAGGGCCGGTAAGTTCTATTTTGCTCAGAATTTCTTTCTACAGTATACTTCGATTGATGTAGTCTCTATGTCAAAGCAGTATTTACTGGTTTTCGACGTGGTAAACGTAATCAACACGAAAATACCGCTTTACTTAAATTAGACGGTGTCAATACTCGACGTGAAACAAACTTTTATTTAGGTAAACGTTGTGCCTATGTATACAAGGCTAAAAAGTAGGGCTTTCATGTCCAGAAACCATATCATAATAAATATTGTATTTGTCTCTTTCCAGCAAGACTTTAGTACCTGGCCAAAAACGTTTAAACCGTGTTCGTATTATGTGGGGCAAAGTTACCCGAGCACATGGTAAAAGCGGTGCCGTACGAGCCAAATTCCGTCGCAATTTACCACCCAAAGCTCTCGGACGACGAATTCGTGTTGTATGTTGCCTAATTTCCTCTTTGAATATCGTAACGATCTTTACTTTTCTCCTTTAGATGCTCTACCCTTCACGAATTTAAACAATACAGCAATTATCGTTCGGAATGGTATACATTCATCGACTCAACAAATTTATACTTGTTTTCATTATCATCTCTATTCAAAACTTGTTTTGAGTCGACAAGAATAAATAAGATAATATAACGATAAACATTCACCTTTTTTCTTCCTTCGTTTGATCTCAATTCGAACACTTTATCTGACCAGAAGATTTATTCACACACACACACACAAAATAGTACATCAATCGCATTTTCTATTTAATAGTTCTCTGCAAATTTCTGATGACAAATCGCAACACCATTTTCATCGTATTCACGCTTAGTTACACAATAATTCGCGTAGTCCGAGGAATTTGTTAGAGTAACACCTGCATTTAAGGCGTACGTTATTGGGCTAAAGAGAAAGAAACAGTAGACAGTTGTATCCATACATAAAAACACAAAATAAACGTTTACTCTTCGGGTAAAGTGATCCGAATTGGATAGTCATCTTTCACCATCGAACGTAGTTCATTTTCTCTGAAAGAAAAAACAAGACGTTTTTGAGCATATTAGTTTGACACATATCTGCTAAACTTACAAACGTTGTTTGAAATTAGGAAATAAGCAATTTCCACCGATGAGTAAGATATTGTTGTATAAACTCGGTCGAATATCTAAATGAAATTCCGGCATATCTCTTGTGAAATTCGTTTGTTTTGTTTCGTCTTACGTTCAGGTAATTCTTCAACAGAATTGTAAATCGATTCTGCAATTCCTGCTTGATCAATTCCGATCATCGATGGTCGAAAGAGTATTTCTGGAATAGTAAAACGTTCGACATTCATTCGCACAACCTAATCACACAAGAAACCTCAATCAAAAATCCCGAAACCTTCTATTCTCTTCACCTGTTGCTGTTGTTTAGTATTCTTTTTCGAAGTATCTACATTGTTACTAATAGAGACTGATGACGATGACGGAGCTTGTGTATAGCCTTGTTTAATCTCATTGTAATCCGGCAGTACGTAGTCGAGCGCATATGGATTTTCAGACAGTGGTAAACTGAGAGAACGTGTCAAACGATGTGCTTTATTACATGATTAAAACACAATTTTACCGCGCCTTTTTCATATCATCTTGAAAATCCAGAGAAACAAAGCAAACATTTTCCTTGAGTTCGTTGATAATATACGTTTCATTCATTACTAACAATTGCCTATGCATTTGAGAGAATAGTTTTTCCTTTAATCAGTGCTTCGTGCTCTCACCGATAAGAGATGACATTCTTCAATTGATTTGTTAACAGTTTTCCTCCAACATCGATTCTATGAAAAACAAGTAAACATACATCGTATGCTAGACGAATATCTTATACCTGATCATTCCATCAAGAATCTTTCTTCCTTGATAGTATGGAACGATATGCGTAAACGAAAAGCCCGAATCGACGACTAGCACATAGTTGGATTTGGTGTCACATTCGTATTGGTATGCACTTAAAGTGGCCGCTAAAATAAAGAAAATAATCTTCAGAAACGAGTTGGGTGAAGATCATAGCATACGATCATATCGTGCAAACGATGCCACTTCATATTCTTCGAAACAGATTTGATCCATTGTTTCGCGAATGAAGTTCAAGTTCATGTATGGCTCTGTCATTAATAGTCCAGTGGATTTAAATGACACCTAAGACGAATTATGGAAAAATTGGAAAATAAACAGTGACAAATTAGAATTACTTTGCCAAATAGATGATCCCAAACTTGCTTTTCAATATTCCAGTCGACTAAATAACCCTGAAGGAAAAGAAGAAGAACGTTTTTACTAAGATTTCATTTCGATTATTTCGTTCACCTTTTGAAATGGTAATTGATAGTAAAGACTTGTCTTATTCGGACATTCATTGTCAATTTGATCGGCAATGAACGTACGACGAGGATAAAATTTCGATTTCATGATACAATTAGGAGCAATTCTACATATTTATTCAAATCAATAGTTGTCATGTATAAGATATATCTAACAAACTTGATGTCTTCATTGTTATTCATTCTGGATTTGAACATAGAAGCTCCATTATCAACAACAAAGACTGGCTTAGTTGCCATCGTTCCGTTTTTTTGTTCAACTGAAAGAAATATACATGTGTTTTTTTTATTTCTTTAAATACAATTTATTGTGCCATTATAGGTTCACAAGAAGAAAATAAAAAGGACAAAAGAAGTAAGAATTGTTCGTACATCATGTTTTACACGTACTGTGAGAGGATAGATTTGACTGTAATAAATAAGATATGTATGCATATGATTTATAATACAAGAGAGAAGGAGCAGAAAAAAAATGTTTTCATGACTAGAATGTAAAGATGTACACATACAAGAGACATCTATTAATGAATGGAGAAAGGTCGAACGTGTATATTCAGTCATATATTTTTATAATTTGATTCGATTTCGATCTACCAATCTCCTGTTGAGCGACAGTATATGTAGCGAGGGATACTTTTAGTTATATGAATCTTATTAATGAATGGTAATGAAGTATTACTATAATTATATAGCGAGTTATCGTCATTCGATGGTAATTTATGATATTTTGCTTTTATTTATTTATTTATTTATCTAATTTTATATTTATATTATGATTGTTGGTTAATTTTACCAACGATTCCGTGCGACTCATTTCGAACATCAACAAAATATTTGATTATCAACAATTATTCAATCGAAAGAGATCCCCAATTAACCTGGTTCAAAGAAATATTTATATACAAACCAATTCAGGTAAAGTGTGTTTTCTTTATAGAATAGAAATTGATCTTTATGTGCGTTTTTAAATTGGTTCCAATCAAGTAGAGAATGTTGAGCACGCTCCGTTAGTCGTCGAGGAAAGAAACTGTTTTTTCGAAATCCCATACTTTTATACCATTCTTTATTGTTTGATTTAATTGTTTGAAAAGCTTGCCATGATTGCTGATATTCGATAGCGTCTGGCGTTTTTTCAAGATGCGAAGAAAAGCGATACCAGTACGAAAAAATGTAGTCAAGAAGACTTTTTTCTTTAGATATTACTAGCGTGGATAAATTATCCCATCGATTTAAGGAGTAAAGAATGCGTAAACCAGAGCAGAAGACATGTTCAATCATTCTTTTTTGATTTTCCGTAAAATAAAACCATGCGCAAAAGAACCAACAAAAGTGAGGGAGAACAAACGCGAGAAATACTTTTCGACGTAGTGAAGTAAGATTAAGCGGTATCGTGCGAAGAATTATACCCATTGCTTTGTAAATTTTTTTGATCGTCCGTATCCTATGACTTATAAATAAACTCCAACCAAGTTTGGTTGCAATAAATACGCCTACATATCTAAAACAGTTGACATATTCGATTTTTTGTTGTTTGTAGCTAATTTTTGGAAAGCTAGGTGAGACTGCACTATGAACAAGCAAACTGGAAGTAGCATATTATTTGAGAACAGTTCGGGTTGTTTCATTACTTCTTTTGCTCGCGTTTCAAGATCAATTATATTCAAAGAGAGTCGTTTTTCGAGCGAACCTGTTAAGACAATTGCAAGATCATCTGCGAATAAATACGTAGAGAGACCAAAGAAAAATGAAGAAAGAAAATGAACATGCAACCTGAACAATGTTGCAGCAAGTACAGAGCCTTGAGGTGCTCCAACATGCATTTGGATATTTCTTGAATGACTATTTCCAAACGCGATTGAGAGCGACCTATTCATAGGCCATGACTGTACCCATTTCAAGAGATCGAGAGGCATACCTAGATCTTTCAAATTAGTTATCAACGCAGGAAACCGCATGCGATCAAATGCCGAGTGAAAATCAAGAAATATTACAAGACCAGGTCTATTACATGCTGCAACCGTTAGCCGAAGATTCTCTACGAGCGAGAGAATTCTGGTTTGAAGTCGTCTACTTTGCATAAAGCCGCTTTGTTCATCTACAGCAATATTATGATTATGACACCAAGACAAGATTCTATGATGGATTATACGTTCGAATAATTTACCAATATTTGGTAGTAAAGATATCGGTCTTAATTTTGTTTCATTTGGGAACATTCCGTCTTTCGATAAACAAACAATTTTAGCAATTTTTTCAGCAGCGAAAAATTCACCTTTAGTGGCGCATTTATTAAAAAGTACACTTAGAATGGTTATGTAATTGAGTGGTAATTTTTTCAACATAATAGCCGATGTTCCAGCACTATCTGTCGATTTTTTTTTGCTAGAAATTTTCTCCATTGACGTTCGACTTCTTCATATTTTATTTTTTCTAAAGGTAAAGCAGGCATGTACGTTAAACTCTCGTAGATTGCCACTGCTCGTTGATGTATTGGATTTGATAGATCAAATTCTGGTCTAGCAAAGTGTTTTTCATAATGATCGGCAAGAACATTTACAATTTTTTGCGGATCAGCTTCTTTGACACCATTAACAGTTAGACCTTTAAATGCAGGTGCATATGGTCTAAACGCTGGTTTAACATATTTCCATATGTTATTACCTTCACCTATCCATACCATTTTTGCATCTCTGAGTGATTGTTGATAAGTAGTTCTTTCCGAAATAAAGTTTTCCTTCATGAGTAGATATCGTTGTAAGTAGAAAATTGAACGAGTTTTGCGGTACATACGTCTAGCTTTATTTACAGTTCGAGCTAGATGTAGGAGTGAAGGTGGCCATGGAGTTCTATATTTGTCGACGGTTTTAAAGATACTGCATCTATTGTACAATGCGTTTAGAAATAAAGAAAATAGCGAGAAAAAGTTTTCAGCATCGAAGTTGTGCACAAGTGAGTACCAATATTGGTGTGAAGATGAGAGAAAGAATGTAAAAAGATTCCAATTAGTTTGACGAAAGAAAGTATTTTTATCAGTGGCTATAGGTGCTTGAAAAATGATTGGCCAATGATCCGAGGTCCCCTCGTGCAGTACTTCTGAGTTCCATTCTGTCGCATCGTGTGTAATCCCAAAATCAATAATAGCATCAGATCGTCGAGATGTAGAGGTTGGTGGTTTAATCATTTCATTGCCTGTTGCTTCCATCCAGTTGAGTAGATGTGATCCACTCGTATTGTTTTCTTTACAGTTCCACGTAGTATGTTTCGCATTGTAATCACCAAATATATAAAAATTGTTGTTGCTGTATTTGTTGAGTAATTGGAATGGTGGAAGTGATCCCGGAGGAACATAGACAGCTCCAATAGTGATCGGTTCAGAAGCCGTTTGAACTTCGATTGCTATGAAATTGACTTCTTTGTCGATTAGTTTACATTTGGCTGAGTTTTCATATAGAATGGCTATTCCGCCATACGAGTTCGTTCCGACTTGAGACAAGCCTGAGTAACCAGTAAATTGAGGTAACTTTCTTGATGCGGCACCAACACCAGTAAGAACACATATATTATGTTTGTATTCGTTTAAAAGTATATCAACATCGCTAATATGACTATTCAATCCCTCTACATTGAACAAAAGAATGAGTAGACCAGAATCGTTTGAATTAACAGGGCGTTCTTTACGCCATTTACGGCATAGATCAGATATACACGTTCGAGAATTCCATTCATTAATCATTTGAGAAAGTATATGTTTTTCGATAGGAGAAGCAGAAAATGAATTACACACATCAGTAAAAAATAGACGGCTCAGAGAAATAGAAAAAAATCATTGTTCATTACCTGTTGATAATAATTCAATTCCACGTTTCATCATTTCATTGTTCTTCGCAAAATAGTTAAGTAATTCCAGTTGTTTATTATTGATAAGATCATTTTGATTATTGACACAGCTGATTGGAGTTTGTACTTGTTGTACAAGTAATTCAAGATTGTATTTTTCACTCAGATCGGATGTCGATTGGATTGTTTTTGTAGCAAGTATTTGACATATAGCCAAAGAATTTGTGACCAATGGTACGACTTCTTTCATAACTGAAAATAGTGAATTTAAACTCTCGTGTTGTTGTTGAACTTGTACCAATAATAACGATAGAATTGTTCCTAGTTGTAATCTTTGTTCACTTAGTTTTAATGTAAGATTTTTTTCTTGTTGTTCGTATCTTTTTTTCAGCATATCTAAATCACTTTGTGCTTTAATCATTTCATTCGATAATGCATTAGTTTCTGTAGATAAAGGAGTCCATTTCATCAATGACGATGTAGTATTTCTTGTGATTCCATTCAATTTTGGCCATTCATTAGCATCGTAAGAATAGGTTTGCTGTAGTTGAATATGTTGCTGTTGTTGAGAATGTTGTATTTGATTATTGAATGAGTTATTTTTAAGAATATGATTGTTTTTTTCGTTTTTGTTTCGAAGTTCTGTTGGTATAAATAGTTGCACATTCGAGGGTAAAAGATCTGGACGCTTTTTCAATTGTTCTACTAACTCACATCTAAATTCATTTATTGTTGGGCATTTTTAGGATGTTGCTTCATGTTTGCCTTCACAGTGATGAAGAAATATACACGTATTGAGACGAGAAAATGAAGTTTCTCGTCGAATGTTTCGTCAAAATCCTAACTGAGTTTTATATTTGAATAAGCATATACAAAATAACAAGCAAACAAAAAATGTTCAAGTGTAACAGAGAAATAACAACATGGTTGTGTCATTAATCGTGTGGATATTGTTCTTGTAACCATTGTTGCATGATGTATTGGCTACCATCGAAAAACGTGAAATAGTCACTTAGTTGTGCATTGACAATCTGAATCGAAGGAAAACAGTCAAATAAATCATCAATCGTTGTTATGTACGTACTTTAGTATTTTTAATCACTTCGATATGTTCTTGTGGTATGTATGTCTTATGAGTTCGACGGTCTCTTGTATCGAGTAGAACTGAATAGTTTGGCTGCGTTCGGTATTCCTAAAATAAGACGACAACTTTGTGAAAAGAATTATTTCGTGAAAAGAAACGAACTGGATGTCCTTGATGGTGCTCGTCTAGCCATTCGTCAGGTGCAGAAGCGATTTCATCCCAGCCGATAATAACTGCACGATAACCGTAAAGTTTATGTCGAATTACCTGCCCAACATGAAATTTGACATATTCCGATCGAGGTGATCGAATATTTGGTGAAGCTAGAACAACAATCACCATTTTATTCACAGTCACTTGAGTTTATTTGAAAACTTACTTCCAAAGTATCCATATTTCTCTCTGACGAAATACACCTCAGTTGCAGGAGATTCAATGCCGCGACGCCATGATCTTTTGTGTAAGAGTGGATTAAATCCGAGCGGAATCTCAACAACCAAGCTGAGCATCCAATTGAGCCATGTGTTTGGTGATAAATAATGAATGATTTGATTAATTTGGTTTGTCAACCTAGAAAAAAAAAGATGTTCGGATCGTATGAAGATGCATTGTTCGAATAAAAACACATACTTATTAACCGCTTGTGTTTGCTCAATATCTTTTGCAGACCATTTGGTTAAAATAAAATATTGTAAAGGTACAGCAAGTAAAAGTAAAGCGAATTGCAAAACTGCTAAACGATCCATTTACATCTGAAATGAAAAATTTCCTTCAGCACAATCAGTTATTGTCAATTCACAATTTAGAATATAACAATAAACACTATTGACAATACGCGCGACTGAATCATTACGTTGTACAGATTCCTTTAACGTCATTCGCAAATATTAACATTGATTCATGAAGTAAATGATTGAAAGTAATTATTGAATCATGAAATATCAAAATACTATCGTTTGTGAGGCTTTATTCGAAGAGCTGTGTGCTAATTTAAAGCCTCGCTTTTCTGATACTTTAGATAAATTCTCGGGCATCTGAAAAGACTTTCTAACTGAAATTTTATGAAACTACAATATCAAATGAAATACTACTTGTTACACTGTATCGCTCTTGAGCGAAATATCTCGTTTCCATTCCTTATGTTACAAGGAATGATTTTCTTATTCGTGGATCATCAATAAACAAACGCACACAGCTGTAGCTTGTCGTCGTACCAATAGCAAATATGCTCGTGTCAAACATTGTAGTGACATCTATGTTGTACTGTCGAAGACGAGGATGCACATATTCGAATTTATGAAGACTCATTGATTATTGTTTTTCAAAAGTTAATCACATCTCACTTACATCAGTAATTATGAATCCATGAGGCTGCATAGTGTGACGAATTATGAGAGTGATTGCCTATGTCTTTCGACATGATGGTGTGTTGTGTCATCTGCACACTCATAATCCGCTCGTTTCTTTATTTAACACAGCTTATATACGAAACATCGTGCATAACATAACAAAGAAGAGGCAAGGTCAACATCTATAAGCAGGGCGCATAGGTGAATTATAGCTATACGCTGGCCGTTACACATAGTAAAATAACAAGATCGTTCCATCAAGAGAAGCTCGCAGGTTTGATAATCTATTATACATTTGCTAAGTTCGAAACCGTTTAATCAGATTTTTAAAAGCGTACTATATTTAAAAAGAACAGCAAAAGTACATGACAATATTACACTGACTTAAATAAATTTTAGTAACAAAAATGTTTAATAATGATGGTGATGATGATGATAAGATGGAGGTGGTGGACAGTAGCCAGGAACTGGTGGGGGTGCACAATAATCAGGTGGTGGTGGACAGTAACCAGGAACTGGGGGCGGTGGACAATAGCCGGGCACTGGTGGTGGTGCTGGGCAATAACCAGGAACAGGTGGTGGTGGAGGACAATGGTGATGGTGATGTGGAGGGCGATGGTGATGATGATGATGACCCGAATATTCGTTACCCATGTTTATTTATTTGAGAAAGAAGTTGAGTTGAGCAAGTAAGACTAATAGATTGTGAAAAGGACGACAGATGAGGTGTTTAAATATGCCTATGATACCATGACGAATGTTTAACGTATCTGATTCACTTTATTTCGATAAGCAGTTTCGAGACTAAGTATTGTCGTCAACACACAACGCCCTAACTGCGTCAAAACGATAGATAAGGGAAAAAAGTTCTGCTTTTTATATTGATAAGCAAAAAACATCTAGAAGTTGTATATTATTGTGCTAATTTCATTTCAAAAGGTCTTACTCACCCTGTCACACAAATAGATAGCATCAGATTATGTGAAATGATTTGTTTTTCAAAATTGAATATGATTTTACACAAGAATTGCTTTGCTAAACATTACGACGCGTATAGCCTATCGATAACTCTGGCGCTCAGCAGGGTTCTATATTAAGACACAAAGAATAAAGTCTACGTTTGATTTTTATTTCTCGTATAGTTAAATACATATTTATTTGATTATTTCATGTGTAAAAACAAAGTACAATTAATTTAATACAAAGCATTGTTTCGAAAGAATCTGTTTTTCTCTGAATCAGTGGTAACCATGATGATGATGATGATGATGATGTGGGGGTGGTGGTGGACAGAAATTTGGTGGCGGTGCATGCGTTTGATAACCTTCATAGGGATAATGAATTTGACCTCCTCCGTAGCTCGGCATTGGCGGGGGTGGAGTATATCCACCGGGTACTGGGTAGGACGAACCAGGTGGTGGAGGGCAGTATCCACCTGGCATGGAGTCAGGAGGTGGTGGACAATATCCGCCAGGTGCTCCATACGATGGAGGTGGAGGTGTGTAATTGTTTTGATATGGATTGTAACTCATACTTAATTTTTGTGATCCTTTGTAGACTGAATAATTAAGAATATGTGTATCACCAAATGTTAATGGAAAATAACTGAGATGATACACATATATATATATATACGTGAAGTTTTAGACAGAAATATTATCGAGATAAGGAATCACCTTGGCAACTTTTTTCTGTTATCATGTTGAAGTCTAAAACAAACACATTTCATCACGTGTTTCACCATAATCTTAAAGTTCTTATGAAAACACGATTATCAACAATGAACTACCTAAAATAGCCGAATTCTACAAATTTACTTCAAAATTTCAATTAACTAGAACTTGTTTTCTCATTATTTCATTCTATGCTTGCCGCTTCTATTTTCATGTAATACCATTCCCAATATAAAAAAGGAAGGCAGAACAAACGAATGTTTCCTGATTTTCACGGTATGTCTCAAACATCGTCTTCCACATGATAAAGCATAAATAACGTAGCTAGCAATTATTTCCAAAATCTTCCAAAGAATCCCTTCGCTTTCCGCGAAATAACAACTCACCGATAACAACTGACGCGCTTTGTCCTTGAATAACATTGAATTTCATATTGCGAAAGTACCGACACTGCTATTTATTTTCGATATACAATATACAGTTATAAATATGATTACAATCAAATTTATGCAGTCAACAAAATAGAGAATAAGATTTTCACTGTCTAATTTCCAAAAAATGACTCCTTATGCTTCTAACGTTTTAGCGCAAAATAACAACGAATGTTTCAAAGAGAAGAAAAACATATATAATGAGATAAATAAAACAGTCGTACATAGAATCAGAACACCCAAAAATAACAACAACAAAAAGAAATGATCTTCAGGTTGGTGATATTTGATTGAGATCATCAACAACACGTTTCTTCCTTGTCCATTGAATATATTGTGCGTAGAGTGTTCGAGCACACGACAGGATTCGTTCCCCGTTATTTCGACGGCGATAGCGATCGAAGTGCATCGAAATTTCTTGTTCATCCAGCGTCGTCTGCTTCAACAGAAAACTTCGATGTGTTAACAGTATGGATACACAAACAAATATCAGAAATAGATTATCTTCTTCTTGCCATGTCGTATCACCTTCGGGCAAACGTTGTAGCCAATGTGAAATAGGTGCATTCTGTGATGACGCATTTACTGAAGTGTTATTGCATGATGATAGTTGTTCGCCGTCGAACTCCGCTATTTCACTAAGTGCAAAAGAGTTTTCGAGACTCTTTTCTCGTGACCTGCTGGACATCGATTTTGTACTGGAGCGGTGCAATGAAGAACGTCGGTATTCATAAGCATCGGATGTGGAATGTGAATCGGAATTTTGCTGGTGTTGACAAGTTTCGAGAACGGCTAGTAATTGTTCTTTGGTACAGAAAGCTAATGAAGAAGAACGATGCTTAACTTTGCGAGCAAATGATTCATCGACTATATGCAATTGTGGACAACTGATTGATCGACGTTGCGATACTTCGCAAGGAATAGGACATACGCTTTCAGCAATCATAGTATCCGATGGTGATGTGATCAGAGATATTTCACTAAGCTGCGGGGGTTCATTTTCAATAGGTAATGTTGCCCACATAACTTCGAGTACACGGAGAGCATCATTGAAAGGAAATTCACGTTTACATTCAAGTAGTAACCATCGATATGTAAAATAAAGATTCACTAAATAGATTGAAGTGTACCAAAGAATCTGTGATAAAAGCTTCAAGGGATATTCTACCTGCATCGTGTGATTCGAGAAAACTCCAATAAACAGGGTCGATTGATTGTAACAAAACTTTCAGATGATGAAACTTCGTTGCAATCGCTACACCATCCGTCGCGAAGTTTGCACGAATGCGTTTCATTATTGAACAAAAACAAACATACGCTAATGCCTCTTCGCGCATAACGTACAATATCGTCGAAGCGTAATCGTTCATAGCTAACACAAAAGAATAGCGTTCACAGAAATTCGTTCAGAATCAAGTTCAAACCTTGGCAATAGGTTGTATTTGGATGACTAACACAATAAGTCATTAGAATATTAAATAATGATTGCACATTGACATGACCATCGCCTGAGTCGGCATAGAACCCGAATGCTCGATCTGTTCTTGACACGTCTTTCTCGATGCTACGCATGATCAATCGCGTGTTTTCATTTTGATGTTGTTCATCCGTCCACCGTTTCTTCAGTCTAATAAAAAAGAAGTACTTCTTTCCGAGAAAACGAACTTCATCCTGATACGAACGTTTTGTATTTAATATCAATGCACTTCAAGTAGTCAATACGTTCGAGACCGGTGATATTCAACGGAAAGATATTCAGTAAATGACGCCAAACAACCTTTCGGTACGCTGGTTCGACACCACCTTCGAAAATTGCTTGACGTAGTTCATTGACATAAATGAGACGTCCTTCCGAATCAAGAAACTTTCTCATATCCCCATCGCCAACCGGCTTCGAACAGCGTCGTTCATTTCCTCCATACATCCAATCTGCAAAAAGAAAATGTGTATACTTTCGGAATACAACAGAAAGAACAGAGCGTATACTGATTGCTTTGTTTAATGCGGATGCTGCTTTGCCGGCTGTTTGATTGACAGTTGCAATGATGGAGCGACTATCGACATTGAACCAACGAATGTTTGCATTGAAATCGTTCAATCCGACGAAATCCCAATCGTCGAGCCCTTGAATAGCGCACGAAGTTCCGTAGAACAACGGAATTTTTCAAGAATGAGTTACCTTCTTCTCGAGGTGTGACATCGTAGCGTAATCTAAGGTATGCACCTGGCTGAACAGCTTGAATGGATGCATCTAAATCCCAATCGGACCAAATCGCTGAGATCTGTTCTCGTCCAGTTGTTGAACATCGTTGAATAGCACTGATAACGAAATCGGTTTTAATATCGAACGCTTGAGCAATTAGGCATTGAAGTGTTTGGTAAGTTGTTAGACGTGGATCAATGCAGAATTTTTTCGATGAGCCTGTTTCTTGTTTTTCGTCATTCGTATCACTATTAGGTTTCTACAAACGCAATTTAGAATCCAATCGAATCTCATCGATCGACAACATTCACTTACATAAACTTTGATTCTGACAACATCTGGATGAGCAGATCCAATGACCGACATAGAAGGTAGCGAGGTACTCGCTCGAGATGTAGTCCAGATCTAAAATAAGATTTTTCAATGATAATGGAATTAGATTAGAACATAGATAACGAACTGTAGATAATCTCATTCTTAAGTCGTTGGATGTCGCGTCAATGAGAAACGTTCTTCTCTTATATCGTCTTCTCTGTTGCTTATCTTAGGAACGGTGTGAGTGCGCAAAAAAACCTAAGTATATCAATGTCAAGGATGTCCGCTGATAACGCGATTCTAATCGGCGAGAAAAGTCAATATCTAGTTGTTTCTGTTATGCGTGTAAAAAACATTGAGTAAAGAAAACAAGAAAACAGAAATCAAAATCGAACTTTATTTTAAGAAAATTATATCACTGAAATATAAAACATCACTACTTATTTATGTATATATAGAAACCGACTGAACGGTATTTATTTACAGCCAAACAAATAATTCTTTCCGCGTCAATTCAATTGCGTGTAAATGTAATAATCGATTCTGATTTTCACCCAGCCAATCACTCAATTGTATCTCACTCGGTATCGCTGACGAATTCGTCAGTGGTTTCTCATCAAACCGTACATGCATATAATGCAATTTCGAGCGCATATTGATCAGAATATGTTCTCCTATTGCATTGAGTTGTTCAATAAATGAAGAAAGCAGTTCCATAGAAAACTGTAATGTTTGGAGATTTGAAAAGTTTTTACTAATCGCCTTGATATCTTTGATTTGTAAAGGGCATGAACTGGCGATGTTTAAATGGTAGATATCCATTATAACTTGTCTTTCTTCTAACAGTCGAGATAAACTCGCATAATTGACATTGGTATCTGTAATATCAAGGTAACGAATACGTCGTAAAGCGTGACACATCGTTGCTTGCTTTAGGAAATATTCCAAACATGCAACATTAAGAAAATTCAAATGTCGGATATGCGTTGTCGTCCCTTCGAATAAACTATGTCGAGGAAGAAGCCATCGATGCAATGAATTCTGAGCTCGATGTACTATTTGTAGAGATTTCAAATTCTGGAAATGACTTGTCGAGAGAGGAGTCGTAGGCATGCGACTACAAAAATCAAGTGTTAGCTGATTTACATTAGCATAATCGAACTAAAAGAAGGGTAAGTATTTCGAATACGAAAAGTTGAAAAGGAATGACACTTACACACGTGCCAATCATTTCTCCTTGACTAATCCATGAAAATGTCGATGTACAACATGGATCTGTGTAAATAGACAGAGTATCATCATGGATATTTCGGAGCCAAGCTCCACAAAAATGAACAATCACATTCGATCGATGTTGTACGTAGAATTCCGTACGAAAACTTTGAACAAGTATATCAACATCCGTTTGTCTTAATACTAAACGTGATTTGAATTGTAAATAGAAATTAAGTCGACAAGTATCCGAAAGACTTGAAAATAAAGTACTGAAACTTTCTCCACGATAATCTTCAAATCGATCATCAATGATAATCACTGTTATTTCTTCTAAACTATTAGTAATAAACTGCGACATGTGTGTCCATTGTCGACTGTAATCATGAATAGAAATCTTCAAATGTCTTACAAACGGAAGAAACGTATGTAAGACTGGATTGTGACAATCGACTAATATCTGATTATACATTCCTCCATGATCTGCTAATGCTAATCGTAGACTACTGATATCACAGATTGTAATACAATCGACTCGGTTTCGATAATGAAATTTTCGAAAGATGATTTTATCTTCGAACGAATAGATGAGAAATGACTGAAGAAGAGTATTCGGTAAAGAGATCTTCGTATTGATGATTGGTCGAATTAATATAACTTGTTGTAAAGTTTGACAAAGATACCGTAATCGATGGTGATCAAGAAGTAACGAAAAAACGAGCTCGATATTTGCCGAACAGGAATCCGGTTGTGATTGATGATTGGAAAATTTGATCGAAGGCGTAAAAGAAGAGATGGAATCATAGGATGTTTTGAAAAAGTTAAGAATTGCTTGGCGGGAATGTGAAGACAAATCAATAGTATTCAAACGTACATTTTTCACCAGTGAACCGAAATGATGATTAAGATCAGCAAAAGATTGTAAAATCTCATTACCGGTTAAATACTCAAAAATAAGGTAGAAAATTTCTACTGGAAAACATTCCAATTGAGTTCTAAAAGGATGTCGAGCATTAAAATCTGTCATAGAAAGACAAATGAACTACTTTACCGCTCATTACTACTTCCATCACTGTTCTCACCATTCATCTAAAATATAAAAACATAGATTTCTGCTTCATCAACACATATAATCATAATATTAGTTCGAAAAACATCGCGATTATTTATGTAAATATGTTTGACAAGAATGAGTACACAGGATTCTTCCCGTTTTCATACCATCTCGTACATGTCAACAAATGCATTTGCTCATGTTGACTGGAATAATTTATTATTTGAACAAAACATCTATTTCCTTTGAAATACAAAATCTGAAATAAAGTAATATTCATAAATAAAATTACTTCGAAAAAGATCATTGGCTGTTCGGCAGTCAATCAAAACAGTTCTTCTGTTCTCCATCGCGGTGTTGACTAAAGTGCATAGCTGACTCGTCTCGTCAAATGAATTATCGAAAAACAGAAAAATACGGAAAACTAGTCATCCGAAGTCTACTCAAACATTTTCACGCGCACATGTGATTTTGTGAGAAAGTCATTTTCATTAGTCGTTTGCATCTAGACAGAGACAGTGTGTGTATGTATTTGTTTTTATGTCTTCAAAAAAGAGTATCGATACCGTTAGAAATGGCCACGCATCTTGTTATTTCTCATGTTCTTTTCGCATAATTTTGTTTTGAAACTTATAGATCATAGAGAGAGCAGAAATATTTTTCTCGATAATTAGTGTATTATTCAATCATCAACTAGAAAAAAAAGGGCAAAAATGTCGAAAAATCTCTGAGAAAAACCAGAACAAAAAAAGCAACTAGAAGACTTTTTTCCTTATTCCCGTCCGACTCAAAATTATCATTTATTGTTAATACCTTTGTCTCGTATTATTGTTTAAATGGCTAATGAGCAAGACAAATTAAACATTGACGGAATTATTCAACGGCTACTTGAATGTAATATATCGCTAGTTTTCTCTTTAGAGTCGATCGACATTGTTTTCTTTTGCATCTAGTTCGTGGGGCGAAACCGAATAAGAATGTTCATTTAAGTGAAAACGAAGTACGTGGGTTATGTTTGAAATCGCGAGAAATCTTTCTCAGTCAACCAATTCTACTCGAACTTGAAGCACCATTGAAGATATGCGGTAAGGATTCTTGATGATGAAATTTTCAAATGATTGATTCAAAACATTTCGTTTTCTCTCTATCGTTTGCAGGTGACATTCACGGTAAGATACGCTTGTTTAGCCTTTCGATAGGAGGAATTGAATGATTTTTGTCTTGCTCTAGGTCAATACTATGATCTTTTGCGGTTGTTTGAGTATGGTGGTTTTCCACCGGAATCGAATTATTTATTCCTTGGCGATTATGTTGATCGGGGAAAACAATCTCTCGAAACAATCTGTTTGTTGTTAGCTTATAAAGTGAGTCCGCGCCAACAATTCTGGGTGATATCGAAATTTTTTGTACTTGTAGATAAAGTATCCCGAAAATTTCTTCCTTCTTCGTGGAAATCATGAATGTGCATCGATCAATCGAATCTACGGTTTTTACGACGAATGCAAACGTCGTTATAATATCAAATTATGGAAAACATTCACTGATTGTTTCAACTGTCTTCCTGTTGCTGCAATAATCGACGAAAAAATCTTCTGCTGTCACGGTGGTCTCAGCCCCGATCTACAATCTATGGAGCAAATCCGACGCATTATGCGACCAACTGATGTTCCCGATCAGGGTTTATTATGTGATCTCTTGTGGTCCGATCCAGATAAAGAAGTCAATGGTTGGGGTGAAAATGACCGCGGCGTGTCATTTACGTTCGGAGCTGAAGTTGTTTCAAAATTTTTGCACAAACACGACCTTGATTTGATCTGTCGTGCACATCAAGTAATGCAGTCTGATTCGAATGAAAGAGTTCTCCTATGAAATTTTTCTAGGTTGTCGAAGATGGTTATGAATTCTTTGCAAAACGTCAATTAGTGACATTATTTTCAGCGCCTAACTATTGTGGTGAATTCGATAACGCCGGAGCGATGATGTCTGTCGATGAAACGCTCATGTGTTCTTTTCAAGTAAGTACTTGCCGTTGAACATCGAATTGAATAGGATGTCATGCTTTTGATCGTCTAGATTTTAAAACCATCGGAAAAGAAAGCCAAAACGCCATCATTGGGTAACAATCGTCCAGTCACTCCTCCCCGTGGCGGTGGTGGAAATACTGGCATGAAAGATAATTTAATGAAAGATACGAAAAAACCAATGTAAACCTGTGCAACGAAACGTTTTTTATACACGAAATAACAATGAAGACATTATATCTTTCTGCTTTTCTTTTTCAACCCTACTCTTCGCGCTTCTATTTTTCCCTTTCCGGTTGCATAATCTTATTTAACTAAATCAGCAACGTAGACATCATTCGTCTTTTGTATATAATCAAAAATCATCAGTTTGTACGCGCACGTACATACCTTTCTTCTTTCTATATTCATATATTTACTAGAACTATCATTCATATATATTTCATTTTCTTTTTGCTCCCCCTCTCTCTCACTCTTGTTGTTGTTATTGTCATCTTTGTCAGTTGTTTGGCTTTTTTCTTTCTTCGAGCCCAACATCAATGAAAAACTCTCTGTCCAATCGATTTCATGTGTTCTTCTTCTTTTCCTTTTACTTCTTCTGGACCATATAGATCTATGCGATTTGATGAAGTTGATGTCTATGGCTGGACAATATACAACCAACGAAAGATGAATGTGTATACGCCAATTAAATTTTCTTTGCTCTTTTTCTTTCTCTTCATTAGAACAACTTATTGTCAGCCATCTTTTTTCCTTTCGTGTGTGTGACTTCTATTTGAGAAGAATAAAAACAAAAAAGGATTGAAGTAGCATGTGTGTTTTTCTAAATACTCAACTGAAATGCGTAGAGAATGCGGATTAGTCTGGAAGGGACACGAACTTGAAAAAAAAACATGATTAAACATGAACATGCATCGATGATCAGTATGAAAGGTCAGGTAGCAAAAGAACGACGTGTATCACACTCAAGGAGTAAAGAAATTGAATGACTAATCACTTATCTCGGCTAAAAATATATTGTCGAACGATTTTGTTAATGTTCTGTAATCCGATCTGATCTGATTTAACGACAGTAGTTTTTATTACAGCAAAACGAATGATTTAGCAAATGCAAAAATGTGCATCGAGTCGAAAAACAGTTGTTAAAATGCAAGGTTTCATTTCTTTTTTTCACTCTGGTGATAAGATCATTTTAATTGTTGTCATGATTTGTAATTGCTAACTCTAGTTTGATTCGAACTCATTCAAAATTGCACTATGATGATCGATGATGTTAATCTATAGACGAAATCAAATGAATTCGACGACCGATATTTGTCTCGTGAATGTGTCGTCTATGGAAATCGCTCGAACTTGTTTTCATTTGAGATGAGCATAGGGTAGACCTTTTCACTCTACAGTCTGAACTGATTTTCTCTTTTTTCTTCCTGTTCAACTCCACGTGTTCTTATTATTTGTTCGAAAAGAAATCTATAAGAGCGAACCGTTTTCCTCAATATATATCGTTTTCTTCTTTCTCTCTGTCTCTACTAGTCCTGACACGCCTGCGTCAGTTCCATCAATCCCCTACAATGAATCAACACGTCCAGTTTAAATATAAAGAAAGTCTTCGTTATAAAGAAAATCTTCGTCAAAATTCAGTTTGGAAATTGCGTCGATGTGTCGCTTTATTTCTTCATTTAATCGGTATTTATTCATTCTCACAAAGGAATCTCATTATCACACTTCTACATTCGATAGATAACTCATCCATATCAGATTTTCTCCAATATGATAAACATTTTCGACATGCCGATAAAGTAACCAATAAAATCCTTCTAAAATCTAACTAAGTGACTTTTGTCATTTAGTATTTATTAGCAATGACATTGATCTATTTTTGGCGAGCAAAGCTACGTGAAAATTATTATACAAAGGATTCGTTTTATTTAGCATTGTGAATATCGATCTGAAATGCTTGTCGGAGTTCATACGTCGTTTTCTATTTAGGTGGTTAGCTCATGATTCCGTTGAAGAAGATCTTACAGCTAAATATGGCCTATTACCATGGGCACTTCAAACCAACGACGGTCGTCCATCTGTTGATCTCAAAAATGACTTCAAACGATTTCTCACCAAGAAAAACGATCTCTGGACTCGCTTAGGTTTTCGAGCTCGAGTTTCCAAAGATGAATGTGATGAAGTAACGAACCCATATTTCGATATTCTCATGCAAATCATATGATTAGGTCATGCTTGTTCAACCAAACCATTGGATTTGGCAACGAGAACGATCATACGATTACAACAAAACGATGGCGGCATTAAGTCGACGAGAAAAACATGGTATTGCAACAAATGACGAGAGTTGTTCGTCAACATCTTCCACTTCAACATCGCCAATTGATGATACAAAGTAAGATACACGGAAAAGAGAGTTCGTGCGTCATTTCGAATACATTTGGGTTGTGAAAGATATTCGATAAACTTTCGTCTTTGCTTTTAAATATATGCCTCGTCATTCGTACAGGTCAATGATGATTATCGACAATATGAACGAAGATAAGATCTCCCGGACGCGAAAAAAAGAAGTCACTCTAGATTAAATTATTTTTGGCCACTGCGTGTGTTTTTTTCTCTTTCGATTCCAAGAAAATATTCTTTATTTTCGAGTGTGTGTGTGTGTGTGTCACATTTCGAACATACTGTACATTTTTTTGTTATTTATTTATAAAAGAAGAACAACTATTAGATATCGACTTCTAACGAAAACAAAACATAATCATTTCTTGTCGTTTTAGTTCGTTGAACGGACAATCTGTACCGGATGATGCTCGTATGGATGAGAATCATTGTTTCAATTTATAAGTTTATAGTTTGGGTTTATTTAAGTTGAGAAATTTGCAAATTAATTTGTTCGACAATTTTCATATGTTTGTTAGTTAACATATGTGTTGATTGCTATTGTTTCATATGTGATCTTTTTTTCGTTCAATTTGAATAAAATAGTATATAAATACAGTCTATATTCTCTCTGCGACCTCGAGCATTTGGAGTTTCCTGCTTTCTCGAATATTGTCTGCCTTGTAAAAGAATCGCGCTGTGAGGAACTGTTTTAGGTTTTCGACAGTTTATAATATCATACAAAAATGAAATGATTTTACAGGTTTGAGAATAGTTTCATACTGAAGTATTCAATATTATGGGTATTTCATGACAAAATAGTTTTCAAAGATCGTATAGACTAAAAAACAAGATTTAATTATTGGCTATCAATGTAAAATTACGAAAATAAGCAAAAACGCAAATCAACAGCTGCGCAGTAGAAAATATCACAGAAAATTAATTAATACCATCATTATCATTGTCTAGTTTTTCATTGGAAATAGTTTTGGACGATTCCAAATTCGTTTCACACATTTCAACATCTGCAGATGGTGGAACGAGTTGCGAAGATCGCGAACACGACCAGATTGTATAGATTAGCGAAGCAGTGAATACGGACAACACAGATAAACAAATATGATAGCTGAATTGAGACATTTCAGGTAAGATAATAATGAGTATATAGCGAAGCATGTCGAAAAATTGATTTAAGGAATTTTGAGTGCCACCTATACGACCACGTATCTCTTCCGGAACACGCTCCTGTTGTAATTGATTGACTGTTAAATCCGCAATCCATAGGCCTGAAAGCGAAATCAACTTTTGATGACAGGATTTTCGTGGAAAGTTAAAGTTTTACCAAATCGATTCAATGTTATACCGGCAATAAGCAAAAGAACTGAGAAATTCAGTTTCGAGCAATAATACGGAATCAGATTGATACTGTGTAAAGAATCTGCTCTTCGGCCGGAAAAGCAGGCATCAGGAAAATACTTCTGATATGGAATAAATGTTGATCCATGAACGAAGAGAGATAATAAACAGAGAATTAACATGGAAAACTCAGACCAAAAACCGATGACACCTGTACGTACAAGACCAGTACGTTTGACAAAGACCGGATACATGAATGTTCCGATAACTCCTATGATTGATCCTGCAGCGTTCAATATGCCGAGGACAACTTCAGATAAACCTTCTTCGATTACATATGCTAGAAGAGTAAAGATTTCCTCTGAGAATCGAATTGCAAATTTTGGTAACCTCTTTACCTCGCGTTACGGAATCGAAACTTAGAACAGTCATGTAGAGTAATGCAAGTGAGAGACCAGGTAAACATACTGAAAGAGAACTGTACGTTCCTAAGCCTTGTATCGATGAGAACATTCTATTGAAATAGAATGAAATCGATTCGTACTATGCAAATATCAAGCTTGTACTTTCTTATGGCATTTTCTTCTGCTCCTGATGATTCTAAACAATCATATAGATCGCGTCTTTCATATATGTATACTATGTTGCTTTACTTTGATTGGAAGTTTTTAATGAATCTTTAGTCGATAGACGATCTTCTGCAGATCTATACACTTTTGTATATAGAAGCCATTCGAAAACAAGTGAGATGACATTCCAGCAGGCAATAAAGACAGCGCTAAACCATCGATGTGTGAACGTCATCACCGCACCTGTTGCCACTGGTGCTAGAACGTTACTGATCAGATCAATTCGACGAAGAGTAGCATTGGTTGCTAGTAGAATTCTAGTTTACAAATGTCAATCATATCGAGAAACAGGATATTTACACGCGAGATTGTCTCGATTCGAACCATACAAAGCCACAACCCAATCTCTTGATATAGAAATCTTACTTGCCATACTCGACAATGTGGCGATAATACCAATTGCAATAAGGAGACCTTGAATGAGAATTATCCATCCCCCTGATATACTCGACTGATCATAGAGAGCGATAACAACTAGAACAGCCATGAGAGCAACGGAAAGATTTTGAATGACTAATATCTTCCGAAGAGCTAGAAATACACATGAACTACCGATCGGCGAGTGCCTGAAGAACGTTTACTTGGTAGTCGAGGATTTCGATCAATCCAAACACCAATCACTGTACCAAATAGAATCACTGCTAGGTTAAGTACAACACCATTAACAGCTACTCCCTGAAGGTTTGTTGGATTCAAAGATATGAAATAAATTCCGACAGCAAAGTGCCACATACGATCCCCCTAGACGAGAGACGTTCGTCATGAATAATACTCAAGTCAGTAGACTTACCCAAGATGAGAGAGTCATAGCAATATAGAGATAGATTTTGGTTTTGTCTAGAAAAAAACTTTTGGCCTTTTTGTGTTTGTGAAAAGAACGATTGTTATACCATATTTTGATTTCGTCTTATCGATTATTTCGATTTCAGCTAGTTGATTATCTGTCATTTTGTTCTACAAAAGTACAAACATTGAACAAGAATGAAGAAAATGCGTTTTTTTTCTTTTTTTATCTAGGACTGATTCATTTTTATTGTTTGAAGAAAAAAAAATAAACAGAATTTCATTTTTCTTTCTCAAAATTGCTTTTGTTCTTTTTCAAAGAAAATGATCGCTTCTAGGAAACTAAATGACAAGAGAAGGATTGTTTTGTTTGCAATATTTTTGACGACAAAGAAAAGACGATTTATTAGGATGTCACAAACGAAATTCTAGTCCGAGTACTTCTTCTTGTTGTTTTTGCTACCATCTTCCGTGTAGGTAAACACTCGAACGTCTTCAGCCATGCTTCGTTGTGCGAGAAAGATCTTGCACATACGAGCAAACGCAGATAAAACGGGTTCGTCATGAAAACGAACTAGTTCAGGAAATGTGCGACGAAAATGTTCCGTTGCTTCTTCTGAAAACGACGAGAGAGGAAAGATGAGCAAGTTGAAGAAGAATACCGATAAAGAAAGTTTTACCTAAATGATAGTGTGGTACTTTGGTGAAAAGATGATGGATTTGATGTGTACCAATTGAATGAATGATTGAATGCGCATAGCCATAGTGACGATCAACAGTTGAAAGTTGACCTTTGACATTGTTCCATTCCGAATCAGCATACCATGGAACATCACTAAAAGAAGTTTCCTCTCGGTTACAAAGAACAATCCAAGAGGCAATACATTACATTTCCGTATGATGTAACATTGTTATGATTACCATATAAGAAGCAAAAATGCATACCGGAATAAGATGATAGACAAATAAAGTGACAAAACCGTAGGTGCAGGCATGCAAATACATTAGATAACACTACAAGTAGTGAATATGCATAGATGATAATCTTGAAATTTAGAACAATAGATAATTACCATTCCCAAATAAGCAGCTAGCGATGAGCAAACACCAAAGAAGTGTCGATCATAGAAGATGGGTTGAAACTTGAAATGGAAATAGAATTTAGTAGAAAATAATGTTGAAAACTAAATAGATGCAATTACTGGATTGAAATGGCTAACTGTTCTTGGTGCATAGCCATAGACTATATAATAGAACCAACCAATACCGGGAAACCAGAAGAAAATATCATCACTAATCGATGGTTCATATGGTTCACCCCGATGTGGATAAAAAACTTCATCCTTATCAATATTATTTGTATTCTTATGATGATGGTTATGTGTTAGCTAGAATATACATTTCTCAATAGTAACAAACTTCCTTCATTCAGTAAAAACTACCTTCCAGGTGTAATACGGCGCTAAGATCCAAGTGTGTAAGATAGTTCCTAGAAGAAAATCCGTTGATTTTTTGTTCTTGAAGCGAGACGTATTCATTCCTTACCAACAATGTCGTTTAATAAGGGATAGAAACTGAAACTTCCATGTCCACAATCATGTCCAAGGACGAAAAGTGATGTATAGAGTGTGCCTAAACAAACGCGCAAAAAGGATGTGATCAATTGACGTCAAACATAACACGCACCTTGAATGTACCAGTAGAGAGGAAAGAGCAAAAAACCAAACTGAAAGTTCTTTTGAATTTGCCACATAACCAAGAATGCCAGTGCAACATAGATGACATCTTTAACAACATAGGTCATCGATTCTCGAACGGTCGGACGAAAACAATGCGATGGTATCTTAACTTTGATTTCCGACAGCGTTGGCAAACGATGAGGCGATGATGCATCGATTTGTTGTTCCTCATGTTTTTCAATACGTGTGTTATGGCTACCCTTTCCCATTTGATCTTCTGTTGGAAACTAATCTTAAATATACTAGAATACAAATTGTTATATATTTTTTGTTTTTGGTAAATAAAAAACGAGCTCTAGTTTGCGATAATTAATGTACGCAACTGATAAGCATCCAAAGCAAATGTATTCGAGTGAATGAGTACGATTACAACTGGCTGTTTTTTTTTCAGGAAGTATGTGGCGCTGCCGTTGTTTTTTTCTTCGTTTTATTCGCACTAAGAATCTTTCTTTCCATGTAAATACATGTTCCAGAACGTGAAGGAAACATCTATTTACGCTGATGGATAATGTTAAAGATGTCGCCAAGTCACATTGCCGCACACGCACATGCGTTGTCGACGTGAAACGAAAGTGATATGATTACAACTACAACCATTTGAAAGAACGTACGTACCTTCGTCTGTCTATCAGAGGTCACATTGGTATTTTCTTCCATCGCTTTCGTATTTTGTGTAAAACAATAAATCAGAGCAAAAAAATAAGAATAAAACGATGCCGCCGAATGCAAAAGATTCCGTTCAACGTAAATATAATCGTTAAAAATGAAAATCCTCACTGAATATGTTTCGATCTAGCACGACAACTAACATCAACTAATCAAGATGAATTATCATCTGTATTCAATCGTTATGCCCATCACGAACATCTTGGCCAACGTTATATGACCCCAAATGAATTCTTACAAGATTATCTCGGATACTTAAAAGGAGATAATATTGATCCAACAACATTGAATATTCTTGCCTCGTTGGTAGACTTAAATAAGGATCAAAGTATTCCATTCATTTTTCCGTTATTGTCATCGAATCTTTATCTTTACAGAGATTACTATAACGGAATTTGCTAATTTCGAATCGTTACTAACTGCATCCGATTCGTTGTATCGTATTGCTTTTCAGCTATTCGATCGACACGGGCAAGGTTTTATTACCTTCGATGATTTTCAATATGTCGTCACTGCAACTAAACAATTCAAAGAATTTCCTTTCAATTTCGATTCTGAATTTGTCCGAATGCATTTCGGCGTCAATCGTCAACGACATATAACTTATAAAGAATTCACTCAAATTCTTCTTGGTAAAACAATCAAAATTCGTCTTCCCTACAGTCATTTTTTCTTTTCCCACTAGATTTCATCGACGAACAAACTACTCAGATCTTTCGTAAATTCGATAAAGCGAATGTTGGCTACATATCGTTGAAGAATTTCGAACTGATATTAAAGGAACTACGACAATATCAACTATCAGAATTCATCTCTACAAACTTAGTTGATGTCGTTCGATTATCCACATCAACAGCATTACCAAATCAAATATCCTATCCATACTTTACAGCTTTCTTACAATTGTTATCCAACGTTGAATCGATGAGAAAAATCTACCTTTCAATATGTGAAAAAAAAGCACATACATACAAATCGTCAGTGATTACCAAAGATGAATTTCTTACAGAAGCTCAACATTTTCCACGAACCACACCTATACAAATCGATATTTTATTTGCTGTTACACGTTTATTGCACCAGAAAGCTAGCGGAAAAGATGTTTCGACTGAATATGTTGAACTACATGACTTTGATGTTATATCTGCTAATGAACATCTTTTGCCTTATCGTCTACGATCAGAAATTGTCGACGAGCACTATAAAGTTGAACATCAATCTGTTCTCATGAAAATTTTAGAGAGTGGCTATCGATTTGGACTGGGTAAAATCTTGATGTCTAAGCAGATTCCATAGATAATCGAACGATTTCTTATTTAGGTAGTATCGCTGGCGCTGTCGGTGCTACAGCTGTCTATCCTATTGATCTTGGTAAGATTGATTAAACGATAATGAATTAGACTGACTGGTTTAAATGCTTTGTATAGTTAAAACTCGTATGCAAAATCAACGCAGCACGAGTATTGTCGGTGAACGTTTATATCGAAACTCGATAGATTGCTTTAAAAAAGTTGTTCGTCACGAAGGTATCTTTGGTTTATATCGAGGTAAGATGGGATGAATAAAAGAAATTGATGTGTGATTGAGTATTATTCAGGTTTAATTCCACAATTGGTTGGTGTTGCACCGGAAAAAGCTATCAAATTAACTGTAAATGATTTTATTCGTGATAGATTAACTCTTGCCGATGGAAGTATACCTCTCTGGGCTGAAATTGTTGCTGGTGGTTGTGCCGGTGCTTCACAAGTAAAACAGCATTTTTCACTTTGGATAAAACATGTCTGTAATTGAGTTAGGTTACGTTCACTAATCCATTGGAAATTGTGAAAATTCGTTTACAAGTTGCTGGTGAACTCCAATCAGTTCGTCGTCCAGCTGCAAGTGAAGTCGTACGTGAGCTTGGCTTACGTGGCTTATACAAAGGTGCTCGTGCTTGTTTTCTTCGTGATATTCCATTCTCTGCAATATATTTCCCGGCCTACGCGCATATGAAGAAACGCTCTGCTGATGAACATGGTTATAACGATCCGAAGAGTTTGTTCGTCTCTGGTCTTCTTGCTGGTATACCAGCGGCCGGCCTTTGTACACCGGCTGATGTTGTTAAGACTCGTTTACAAGTTCAAGCAAGAAAAGGACAAACGAAGTACAATGGCTTGACCGATGCGTTTAGAAAAATCTACGCCGAAGAAGGATGGACAGCATTTTGGAAGGGTAAAACTCACGATCGATGAACAAATATAAAAAAATGAATCGATCCTTTCTTATCTAGGTGCTGGTGCACGTATGTTTCGTTCATCGCCACAATTTGGTTTCACTTTGTTAACATATGAATTACTTCAACGTGCATTAAATATTGATTTTCAAGGACGAAAACTGGAAGGATCACAACACGTTGATCAAGAACAATATTCGCCTAAGTCACGTGCATCGATTATACTATCGACTAATCCTGATCATGTCGGTGGATTCCGTCTAGCACAGGCAACATTTGAAGGTTAGAAAATTGCATTAAACTCAACTTATTTTCCTATGATGAATCTCTAGGTATCGAAACACGTTTTGGTCTAGCTTTTCCCAAATACAAGAATCCAACGTCGTCGGAAGCTTCTCCAACTATTCCTCCATTAACTACGTTACTCGGTGTTAATCCGTCACAAGCGAACTCAGCTCATTAATGGCCAATTTCCAAGGACTTTCAAAACTTAGATTAGACTTTATTTGTCTTTCTTTTCCCATCATATAATCCGAGTGGCGTAGAACTTGTTGACAGTGATATTATCTGGTCTTCTTTTCCTACTTATTTTTTGTGCAAGAATCGCCTTTCCCATACAGAATGAATCAACAAGTTTGTATATGAAATTATAGGCTACAAAATAGTGTAGAGATTGATATTTCTGATCTTTTCTTTTTTATGGTTTAGGTGTTTTATGATTTTTATCCTTTACATCTTTCCGTTCACTGAACAGGTGAGCGTGTAAGAACAGTGTCGATCCTAAAAACGAAAATAAAACGGATTTGTACACGTATTTATTTTGTTAGAACCATCCAAAAGATCTTCGTAAACGTTCGCCAGTCTGTGCACTCCAACAGAGATTCTTTCGTTGATAAATATCACTAACTTGCCGGTGCCTCGATCGTTGTAATATCAAACGGCGCCAATACGCATGTCGTAATTTTTCGTATTGATAATGTTTTGCTTTGGACAACTTCTTGTTAGAAATCTCATGTAATTTCTTATACAAATATGTTTCATTCAATTCGCGATAATCATTAATAATCAAAACAGGTAGATTTTCGTAGAGCACATTCAACGAATTATTCCAGACGATTGGAATTATGTCGAGATAAAGTGCTTCCCATGTTCGGTGACAATCGAGCCCACCACCTCGTGGTGATAACCAGAACACGTATTGACGATTACGCTGGTAAATATTATAAAGATCACCGATCTGAACGCCACTTGGTTTTCTTTTACATGTTACGTAAGGATAAGCAGCCGCTGTTTTTGTGGAACACATTGTTTGCCAGAGTTTTACACGAAGACGTGATCCATCAGTACCCGGATCGAAGTTGATCAACACTAAATTTTGAATTGATACATTGGCTGATAATACTTGCCGAGAAACGTCTTGTAGATCAACGTAATCAGCGGGTTCGTCAATATCGTAATGAACGGAAGGCAAGGTATAATTTGGTTGTTCTGAGTAAAGACGTTTAATAGCATCGGCCATTTCAAAACAATTGATTCCTTTAGGAAAAGAAGTTTTTATATATTTAATATTCTTGCACTAACGAAGTACTTGCCGATTGGTAAATGAGTAAATTTTTCATAAGCAGAAACGTCATATTGCCCATTTTGTCCAAACCAATGAATTATCTTTGAATTTGGTTCAACAAGATGAGTTAAATGTGTGGGTGACGACATATCACCTTCGCCTGTTACCAATACAAATTCATTGATTAAATAAGGATATATGAAGCGAAAGAAGCTATCGATTTCCCATATACGAACGTAGATTATACTACCAGATGGCAAACACGGCGCTATGGACCTTCCATTATCCGTTGGAACGTTAAGAGATTCATGAAATTGATCAGGCCATGCATACACCCAGTCAGCGAGGTTTCGAAAATTTTGCGGACAAACAAAATCGGGAAAATGTCGAATAGTGTGTGAAGTGCTGAATTGGAGTGCCTTATTGGTTAACTTACTCCAATAAGGACATAGTTTGGAACAAGGTTCTACCGATTCGTTAACAAGAAAAAGTGTTTTAATAAGAATACTTAAGACTGATAAACATATCAGGACAGGAATACTGGCACGCATATATTTTGATCGAGGTCTCAATGATTTAATTAACGCCATTATGTACAAAGTGTTCCTCCTACTGAGCATCATTACAACTAAACATTTTGGAAGAGATTTGATCTACAAAAAAACAGATGAACATACGTGAAGGTAGAGGAGTTTTACTTGAATGATATCTGAATATGTCGACATGACGAGATGCAACATCTCTAAGTACGTTGTTTTACGTGACCGACATGCTTGAATGACAAAGTTTGATCGATTCTTTCCTTGACAGTGCATATTGCAACGTGCATAGAAGGTCCTTATGCGAAGAAAGTGAATAACATGAAATGTGCAGCATAGTATCCCACAGGTACTTTTCTCATCGTCAGCTGTCAAGATTTATAAAATATAAGCTTGTTGCCGAACAAAGATGAAGTATATTTCGTTATGCGATACAATCTTCGAAAGGTACAAATCACGCTAGCGTTGGTTAATTGGACCAAATGTATTAATACACATACTCTGTTTCAACGATTAACATTCGTCTTGATATTGATCGCTCAGTTAAGTTTTCGTGTGGCATCGTGGAAGAAATCGAATAAAAATAGAGAGTTGTATCAATAAACTACCGATGCACTAGTCGTTCTAACATTGAGAAAATAAATTGATAGTAAAACAAATACATATATCACACGGGGCGTGGTTAGTGATGCGAAGTAACATGTAGTGGCGCTTACTGTGTGTTTTTTTGCTCGTTTTTTTTATCAAAGACAAATGTAATACTTGTCACTAACGACACCAAAACAAATACAAGAGACAACATTGAAAATAGTCTCTGCGTTCAGATACGATAGAATCAATGACTCGATTCTAAATCTACTGAATATGATGACTATAGAAAAAGTGCTGTCAGGCGAAATAATCAAACATCCGTGGAAAAGATTCAAGGTAAAAAACGATTCTAAATATTCTGCTTTATTCGCACACTTGCTTTTATATGTTCGAGTATACTCTCGAATACGCATAAGAACCGTCAATATCTTTTAGACGACAGCTTTCGAGAAATTTCACCGAGAACGATGCTAATATTGCAGAACTTACGTATGAAACACGATCTTATGTAAAATAACAGTACAATACACACTGTATCGCATTTCTATCAAAGAGAGCAGAAAAATGTTACAACCTTTTTATATTTAGTGAAATATCGACATATTGGGTGGCAGAATCGCTTTGTTTAGAATTTTGGAACAGGAGTACGCGTTGTATAAATGTCACTAAAGCAAACAATTCGGTGATTGCTCTCGAGAAAATCATCATTATCATCTTTCTATGCTAAGACAAGCAACGCTGTGATATGATGTTCATATTTTAATTCGTCATATCATAGGTAGAAGATTCTGGTACATGTATGTGAATGATGGAGAGGTACTTCAACATATTTTATGAGTTCATCTGATACTTCCCTTCTTCCTCGGAAGGAGTAAAGTTAGAAAAATCGTAGTATCCTACCAAAGTTAGTGCATGTCCCTCCCACAAGCCACAAGTGAGATCAATCATGCTATGGAACAAGTTTAAATAAGTAATCAAGGTCGACAATTTGTTTCCAATGGAGTAAAACAAACCTATTATTATGAATCGAGAAAAATTGTAAAGCGAACGAAGCTTTGCATCGTAACCCTGAGAGAAAAGATTCTTTTACTAAATATATAACTCTTACATTATAGAAAGTAGAAATAGGAAGCACGATATGCTTCCCGATAAACGCACGGTTCTTTTCTTTCTCTTTGCAAAATGCGAATCGGCTGACGTCGAGTTTCAGAAGAATTTTTTTAGTATTTATTTTTCCTTTCTATTCATTATCTTTTACGGCCGTGTAGACATATTAGAGATGATTCAGACAAGAAGAAACTTGAGAAAACATCCATTCCGACTGAAGATGCTATTCGTAATTTAATTGATCAAAGATTTTCTTTTCTTCTCTATTATTCCTTCATAATTAAAACAAACACTCACTAATCGCATCAAGGACTTTTTTGGCAAAAAAAGGAATCACTAGAAATCAAGTGAAAGACTGTTTCTCTAAATTATGTCCTTTTCTTTTTTCAATTTCAGTTCACATTGTTTGTCGAATTTTATTTCCATGGAGCATTGGAAATACCATTATACATTGTCGCAGAACGAAAAATACCCTAAAGAATTGCAAATTAACTCGCGAACAACATTTGTCAACGAATAGACTTACTTGCATTTGACTCGGCAAAGGTAAACGATTAATGGAATCGAAGGTGTTTTTCGTGTTCATATGATACTAATCAGAATAGAGATCGGTGAATAGAAACATCCAAGTAGGTGAACATACTCGTGGCCACATGGTACTTTTAGGTGTTTCATCATAGACTCCCAAGCCGTAATTTCTATAACTATACTTAACTGGTTTCTTCAATGATGGCGAATATGATGAACAGGAAAACGACGGACTGCGATAGATTTGATTTTGAATTGAACAGGAGTCCGTTTGCGATTTATCTGGTCGTAATCTATTCAGAGATGTTACATTGAAAAGCACATAGTCTGTATCAAAGCAAGTCATGTTAACCTTTGACCGAAGGCTGGTGTCGATGTCGATTGTAGTGGTGCTGCATCCTCTGAGCCCATCAAGGCTTTACCTGTATTATTCCAATTCTGCAAGTTTTAATTAGATTTCAACTGAAACCTTTCAAACGAGTATTTTCGACTTACTAATCCAGAAAATTCAACAAATGAACCTGAACGAGTCGGGTCAAAGGTCTGAAATTGTTCTGCAGATAACAAATAGATAGATGAGAGTATAAAGATACTATCGAGAGCAAACCTTCAGTAAATGAGGTGGTATGACGACAATGTTCATCCGGTAAGCGACACAAAACCTCATCACGCTCGATATGTCGAATTGTTGGAACGTGTGGATTGTACAGTTGTTTTTTTACTGATGCTAATTTATAACGTGGTGCTCGAAATCTAAGTACACTCACTGGATAACTTATGAGAAGAAAACATTTCAGGGCATTACTCAGCAAACGCTTTGGGTGTAATATAACGACCTTGAGTTGAAAGATGTTGAAAATCATTCCAATCTCTTCTTAATGGATCAATATTAACTCTGAAAAAGTAAACAAGTCCGTTGATTAGCCGGTGTTCAATCCGAAAACTCTCTCACTTTGGTAATGTATTCGATGGAATAAAGACGAGATCGTTCATAATTTCGAGAAAAAAGCTGTCGATAATTTCACAATTGATTGATTATTGATTCGCCTACTTTTCAAAAACACACACCCAAAGCTAGAAGAAAAAAAGAAGAAATGAACCATCACAACAGCAACAGTAACAATAACAAAGATCGAAAAGCGAAGGAGAGAAGAAAAAACTTCTGTTTGTGAGAGTCTCTCCTTCTCGTATATGTGTTTTTTTTCCAATCCTATGTGAAAGTAGAAATCAAATGGCATACGGCAACAACATCGCAACATGATTATGTCTGGCAATGACAATAGTAACGATTCACGTGTTGAAATTGTTTTTTGGATATATATACACACTTCTTGACAATTCCATTGTTATTCTTTTCTAATTCAAAATGTTAAGTAACACTTCATTTAATGAGGCGAACGACAATGACGGTTGAAGATTTCTTGACGAAAAGCGATCGGATCATCTAGATCAAACGAATTCGAAATGCATGCCAAATGTGCACCTGTAGAAAATAAGAAATGAACGACAAAAGATTGTGAATGTGTCTTCTGACTTGAGAAAGGATCAAGTTGTCTTGTCCACTCATCGTCGCGATTAATAAAACAATCTGATTGAGCTATTTCTTCTACTGGCTTTGCAATTGATACATTTTCAATGATTTCATCGTTCGACTGATCCAGTGCAATTTCTTCGATACTATCGTTGATCGGTAGTGTATCCTCATCGATTGATTCTTCATTTTCGAAGTATTTCTCGCAACTGCATGCACATTCCCTGCAAATACACTGATGATGATGATGATGATCGCTGCTGCCAATCGATTGGATTTCGTCCGATTGATGTTCTTCTTCAGATCTACACTGGCATGGTTGCTCTTCACATACAACTGTCTGCCAATGATCGAAAAGTTCTCTACAGAGTTCGTTTGATAGATCCTAATGGAGAAACACATTTGAGTTCTACTTTCTTTTTATGATACGGAGATACCTGTTCATTGAAATGTGACTGCCAATCTAAATATTGGAATAAATGCTCATTCGGCAATGTGTTTCTTAGCGGATCAAATTCATCAAAATTAATTTTCATATTTTCCGCTTTTTCATCTTCGGTCATTTTTACTTTCGTTTTCGCCTGCTTCGCATTTGTCACCCTCATCGTTTCACAGGAGTCAATCCGACAGCGATACAATTGATTGTTAGTCCCCACAATCGAAATCTCTTGAGTCTGACGAAATATTTCCTTCTTCACACGTCTATCACCTTGTTTCAGTCGATTTAAACAATAAATATCCGATGGACTGTAACCTAACAATTGATGTATCTAAAGACGACGAGAATAATCTATGTTGAACGAACGACAGTCAATGATTTACTTGCATGCGAAGCGAATTTTGCATATAACGCAAGAAATGTAATGAATGATTCGGAAATAGATTCGCTGCTGCCTGGAACGAAACATCGATGAGAAGGACGATGATAAACATTGATGTTGATCTTACCCACGCTTGTCGTCGATACAATGGAATCGTTCCGTAGGGTGATCTGGTCAAAGCTTGTCGTTGATATCGACGAATTTCTTCAAGTTCAAATGTTCTGTAAGGTTGCGAACTTTGATATGAAGACATTCGATGCGGTTTGACATTCGAAGGGAGGTCAGTCGAAAGAAACGTTTGCATTTGATGAGCTTGACATGACGCAGTTTTCATACGTTTAATCTGTTCTAATTCTTTTGCATTTTGTTTATTCAATTCGATTAATCTTTTCACTTGCTGATCGATATACATTCTGAACTTGATTAGATCATTTTTCGTCGATTTTTCCTTGAGATTATCTTGTAATTTCAATAAATTAATATTCACCTGATCTTGTTGATCAAAGGCTTTGGAATCAAAATCGATGTTATCAGCAGCTTGAAGAATTCTTTCAAGGATATTAACATCTGTCTGACATTGATAAACGCGTTTTTGGGCAGTGCGAACGGATTCTTTGAGACTCTTCATGCACATCTTCAACTTTTCGATCGATTGATCTATTTGTCGTGTTTCCGATTTGATTTGCATAGTAATTAAATCTTTGATAAGCAATGTAAATTCCCTGAACAAAATTTTGAAATCTTTCTCGATTATCTCTCGAAGTTGATAATTCTCCAGCTGTTGAATCAACTGTTCAAGGCGATAGAGCGAACGAGCGAGTGATCTCCAATCATACACATCCGAGCAAAAGTTCCAGAGATATTTACGAAAGATCTGATACGATGACTTATCGATTTCATTTCCAATCTGATTGAATTTCTCTTCTAATTCGATTTGCTTCGAATGCAACTTCTTGAGTTTAGATAAAATATCAGGCACATATTGAATTGAAGGTTTCGATAATGTTAATAAACGATTCAGATTATTTTCAACATCGAACAGAAACATGATATAAACAAAAAATGCGCATATTCTGCCCGCCAAATCTATCGAATCGAACTTCTTACATAAGAATCGATATGCATGCATCCAAAACAGTAATTCTCTTGTTAATCTCTATGAAACTTGGCATCTATCATCCCATCTGGTTAGCTTGTTCTCTCATGTGAGGATAAAGGACATCGTTTAGTCTATATACATCATCATTCTTATCGGAATATGAGAAAGGCGACAAATTACTCGTTTGTCTTTGGAGTAATCAACATCGAACTGTGACATTTCTTTTTCTTCTTTCTGCAGCCGAAGACCCGCAAACAAATTCATTAAGAAAGTATGTGCGAGTTAATCGATGAGGACATTAGCTCTAAGATTACCTTCATTTTCTCATCTATTCACATCAGAAACTAATTCCAATGAGAACTAAAGACCATAATGATAAAATAATGAATTTTCTATAGCACATGATCGCTTGTAGTACGTTTTTTCTTTCGAGATTCTTTCGTTATTTTTTGACTAAACACATCAGGTGATAGATTCGATACGACAGATTTACTTTCCATTTTCATTCGACCAAAGTACAATTGTATATCAGCTGACTATCTTCAAAACAGCAGTGGTACGTTTCAAAACTAACATTCATACGTAAATTGTCAAACCTCTTATACTGCATCTGTTGCCATGCATTATTTTCAGCAAACAATTCCGGAATATAGACAATAGAAGATTTGTATGCATAAAAACCATGCAAATGAGATACAGCTCACTTTCTCTCGTTCTTCTCGCATAAACAAATGCTTTGAAAGTACAATAGAAGAATCGATGTAGAATATATTGTAAAAGTAGTCAATATTTGATTAATACATGAATCTCAATATACACGACATCCTAAACATATTTACTTTCAAATGAAATGTTTGTTGCACATGCACGTTTCCGTATCTTGAGTGGTACTTTTGACATCACTCACCTGTCGAATATCCTCGAGCAAGGAGAGAACTCCATGACGACAAATAGGATTTACTGATAATGATTTAAGTCGTGAGTTGTGTCGTTGTTTCGTATAGTTATAGATGTAGATCAGCTTTATATATGAAAACAAAAATGCTGTAGACAAAAGATTGTTTTATGACATGTGTATATTTAATATTAACTTTTTCTTTGTAGTCACATGTCACCCTACGTTTCACGACACATACTGGCTGTTCAGTCGAGCAGAAATTATGAAATATCAGTCATTCGGTTTACTTCGTTCTTTCTGCTTGAATAGTTTTTCAAATGTGAACAACCCTTTTTTTCATTGTTGAAGAAAACTTCTCATGAGTTTCTCCGCCAAGACAACAACAACTTTCTTCGTACAAAGGCAAAGACACTGGATGAAATAACTTCTTTTTCGAAACTTCTTTCTTTTCTTCATTCTACCACCCGAGTTCACACACAATAGGTCTTTTTATAACAATATCACGACATCGACTATCAATATGTCTTTAAAAAGTACTTTTTCGTTTCTTGAAACAAATTCAATCAGCTCGGTGTGTCAGCGGCCGGATTTATCTCACGCTTGATAGAACACGTAAGAAAAAAACATGCTTGGTTGTATAGAACGCAATGCTAAACGCACACGTGAAAATACAACGATCAGTTTTTTACGTATACGCTCTTTCATACGTTAGTGAGCGTGCTATATGTGATCGTACCAGAGTCTTTACTATCATCAGTGTGAAAATAAAACTTTGTTTTAAATTAGACTTTTTCGGTACATTTTCTTTCCTTTTATAAAGCTGACATCGCTTACGAGTTTGAAGCCTATCAGTATATCACCACGAGTGAATTGAGTAGTATTTCTGTCCTTTATTCTTTTAGTGATAAGAGTTCGTTACCTTTGAAGTGGAGAAAATAACATAGAAATTATAAACGATTTGAACTCATTCGCTTGTTTTAGTTTCAATGGCTTTCAATAATTATTGTTCGAAATTATGCATGCAGTATCGCCATCGACGTCGACGTTATTTTTTATTAAATTTATTCGTCATCACTCTGTGCTTATGTGCAATCTTTCCATTCAAGTACCATATTTTTCAATTATCGCCCAGCAAACCATTGCCGCGAAATTCATCATTTTCCGATTTGTTACGAAAGGAAATGACATTAAATTGTACAGGCGACCCATTGACAACCTGGTGTGCAGCAGAAATGAAATACTGTAATTCATCTCTGTTGATCTATAAGAACCTATTTTTTCTAACCCGCTCAGCAATATTACAAACGATACATGCCGAGGGTAAACGAGTCGGTGGTGAACAGATCCAAGCCGTTCTGAATCAAGCAGAAAACGATGAATATTTTCATTTTAAAAAAGATTTCCTTCAAGTAAATCATCGATTGTCCAACTCACTCGTAAAAATTCTATTTTAGATTCCGTGCAATGCATCACTCCCTCGAGGCATCACTCTGCAATATCATCTTTCGAAGATCCTATCTTCCATAACTTCATATCAAACATCTGCAAATGCCGATTTGATCGTGAATGAGAGTACAATAGCTGTGAATCGTCATGATTATGCAAATATTTACCATACGATGACAGATTTGTATACCGCATATATTCTCTGTCGATTCTTCCAACGCGATCCAAAATCCGTTCGAATCCTTTTTCTTGATGCACATCCACATGGGAATTTAGACGTTTATTGGTCGAAATTATTCCATTCCTACTCTCGTTTGGGACATTTGAAGAAATATAGTAAAATTTTGTATCACGAGATAATCTGGGCTCAGCCTCAAGCACAATCCGACATCGATGTTCAACGGCATCGAAAGCAGACTCCGAGTTTCTTCGCTGACTTTCGTCAACATATGCTCAAGCAATTCCATGCGGATTCGACAGCTACTCGAACAGTTAATTGTGAATCATTACAGATATTCTATCTTGGACGACGAAACTATGTGGCTCATCCAAGAAATCCATCAGGCAAAGTCACTCGACAGTTGCCCAATGAAAAACAAGTTCTAGAAACTCTACAGAAGAAATTCTCTGGTTATTCCAAACTCAATTTTACGTATAACTATTTCGAACAGTTACCGATCGAAGAACAGTTACAAACAATCGCTCGAACAGATGTATTTATTGGAATGCATGGCGCTGGTTTAACCTATGTTACAATGTTAAAACCCAATCGAGCACTCGTAGAGTTAAGTGGACCTTCTTGGCAATCACAAGATCACTTTCAGCAGTTAGCGATCATAAATCAAGTTCGGTATCGTCAATGTGCCATTCAAGATGAATCACCGACGGTAGCCGAAAAAATCTTCGATTGCACAAAGGAAAAGGTTCTAGAATTGTGTCCGTCAATTATGACTTGATCGGAACATGATAGTCAGATTTGGTATTTGATTTTCATAATTCAAGGAGAAATAAACGAAACTATTATTTATATTGAAATATAAGAAAGCGAAGTAATTTCACTTTGTTTACACAAGATTATGATCGATTTCAGTGCTTTTTAAATGTCATTGCAAAGATAGAAAAACGAAACAATATACTTTTGTTTTTCAATTAGCTCAAATTTCTCAATAACAAAAACGAAAACCTCACACCGGTTGTCTTGACCACGCATCCAGCCGAAAACCATCGATTAATTGCGCAAATCATTTCGTTCAGTTAATATATCAAATGAAACACTTCAATTTGCACATGATTTGACTTTTTTCTTTCTTATAAAAACAATGTCGATTCACATGGACAAAAAAATTGAGCTAAATTATTGACAACATGCACACACACACATACCTACCACTTGAAATCCATCGCGTCACATCATGGGTAGTAACAAAAGCAAACAGCCGAAGTAACGAAGTCAAATCTAACTTATTGCTCTGATCTATTTGTCCTCGAATAGATATGTTAAACCTTATGTTCGACCAAAACCTGTGGAAAAACGTCCAGTTGTTCCTCCTGAACCAGAACCAGTACCTGAACCACCGAAGAAAATCACAAAGAGAATTCCGAAAGTCTTCCCTCGTTATATTCCACGTCGCGATCGACTACATAGTCCTCAAACTAAGCGACCTATCGAGCTGTCATGGTTACAAAAGAACGGCGAAAACGATAATTATTCGTACGTAACCTATTGACAAAAAAAATGAAAGATTATTTTCTTCTGATAACAATATTTTTCTTTCTTCTTTTTATTAGTCGAATCAATTACCACTATCACGGCCTTCATCAATATCATTATCATGGCCATCACCATCATCATCATCATCAGAGCCTTCACGATAATGAACATGATACTCGAATTCCATTAGCAATCAAACGTTGGCCGGTTAATAACGATCTCTTCGGAAGATCTAGATTTCGTATACGACCTGAAATGCGCACGAAATCTTTCATCGATGAATATGTCTATCAAAAGAAAGGCCCTTCTTAATTTCTTGTTTATCTCGTATTCCTTCGTATCGCATCTTTTGTTATTTAATCTCAATTGAAACTATTTTGACTATCAATCCTTGTTTATACTGGGGAGTATTTCATAGTGCAAACACTTTATACTCTCATCATCGCGTGTCGATACTTTTCTCATGTAAAAAAAGTATACCGCATATTTATTCGAATAAACATTAAATACGACATAGAGAAAAAATATCGTTAATCGACTACATAATTTCTCCCCTCGATTTTTTTCTCTTTTTTTCTACTTTAACACAATCAAAACTCAATCGAAGGTGCTTTTCAATAGTGTACTTTAAGGCACATATATATTATGATCATATTCGACATTATCAATAAGGAAAAAAAATCGAGTACGAAAAAAAGAGACAAGCATATTTATCGAATGGATTCTTCGCTTTCCTCCAACGTCTCTGCACAACCAAAACGTATCAGACAAATGCAATCAAGAAAGAAAAAAACAGCCTTTACATACAGATAGACAATCACAAAAAAAATGAAGAGAGTCAACGACATATCAACGATAATGACGTTGATATAAACACAATCAAAACGAGTGTATATATTTGCTTTCGCTCAAGGCATTCATGGTTTTGTGGTCACATTTCGTGACGTATACGGTATGACTTTCTCCCGCTCTCACTTATTTCATATTCCGAGTAAGTTTATTTAACTAGCGGTGTTATAGATCATATATAATATTCATCCACACACACACACACATCTGTTTGTTCATCGGAAGGACCTTCAAGGTTATTCTCCTATTGTTTATTGTATAAGAGTAGTATGTGTTAAGTAATATAAGACAATAGCTTTCTATCTTTCTATACCCAAGTGTCACTGATATTAGTTATTATGTGCAAAAGTATGATGATTGGCAACATCAACATGTGGTTCGCTTATCTCTATTGCCCACTGAGTTTTGTCTCTGTGACAATGATTGATGAGACTTTAGAAAACAGTAATGATCTCGTGATGAAAAGTTCTGCATACATCCATAAATATATATATCTACATAACTGTATGTGTATGGATGTATCGATGAGTTCGGCGTATACTATTTGAATACTAAGCATGCACTTTGAAAAAAAAAACAACTTAACATTTTCATTGTAGAATTTCGGTATTGCGTGTTGATGCTTCGAGCATATGTATCCTTTCCTTTCTCTTTTNTTAGAAAACAGTAATGATCTCGTGATGAAAAGTTCTGCATACATCCATAAATATATATATCTACATAACTGTATGTGTATGGATGTATCGATGAGTTCGGCGTATACTATTTGAATACTAAGCATGCACTTTGAAAAAAAAAACAACTTAACATTTTCATTGTAGAATTTCGGTATTGCGTGTTGATGCTTCGAGCATATGTATCCTTTCCTTTCTCTTTTTTTCTTTTTTCATCTTTTCGATGAAGGTCAAGAACAAACGATAACAATTATCTTGTAAAGGTATTCCTGAGTAAACTGTGGTTTTTTTCTCTCTCTCTCACTCTCATTCTCACTATCTGTCGATCTTATCCCGAGATCATAAAGATAGAAAAGAATAATTACATCAATTAATTTATTTCAATGTAATGAAGGCCAGTTGGCAGCGTTTATACAACAGGAAGATATAATCCTCGGATAGTGAATATGATTGATGAGATGTGAAGGACAACGAACGTTTATTTAGTATAGATTGAAAAGGAAAAGTCTATTTAGACTTCCGTCGTCGGAGAAACGATTTCTATTTCTCTTCACATCACCATCATCATCGGATCTTTGTTAATATTAGAATATCATATAAATACGTTCCCAATGGAAATAGATCTCCGAAATGAAATATATATGAGATTATCAATGTCAGACAAATGGTTAAAGATTATTTACAAACTATTCGTCTCTTTCCATTTGATGATTAGATTAGAATGTTTTGATAGATAGACGAAAGCATCTTCGAAATACTTATTGAGACGTACAATTGTCATCGATTGATGTTTTCGCTCTTTGGTTTAATTATACCGGGCAAAGATTAACTGATAGCAGAAAACCGAGACAACGAGAGAGACTGTAAAAGAACATATAAACGAGAATTTTTTGTTTTCTTAGTTGATATATGTCTCACAATCATCAAAAAGAGTCAATCTTTTTGAATAAAGGAATATATGACGCTTGATGACGAAAAAAAAACGCAAATAGACTTTTTCTTTTCTCTCTCTCCCTCTCTCTCTCTCTCTTTGCGTTTCTCTTTTTTTGATGTAGTAAACATTTGCTATTCGCGTTCGCTTCCCCGTATTTGATGCTGTCCCTGTGGTTTGTGGTTGTATGTCACGAGAAAACGAGAATAACGAGAGAACGACGAATGACGCGTGCCTGCTTGGAACATACAAGGAAGATATTTTTGAACAATCGGCATGGCCTTCCCGACTCTATGGACTGCTTAATTCAATCATTCGAAGACAGCAATCATGTCTCTTATGACAAGAACAAGAATAATGTTCGTCATTATACACATCAGTAGATAGAACCGTACTAGAAGTAATTGATTAAGAAAATATGTAAGTATATTTTCTATTATTCATTTCAGTCAAGTGTAGAGCAATTGTAATGGATCAGTGCATCGATGGTGGTCTTAGCGCATATGTTTGTGTGTGTGTGTGCTTGCCTGGATTTTGTCCATAGCGTCTTCTTCGTTATCTGGATGCTTCCTCAGACAAATCTTTATCATTTCCGTTTTTGTTTATGTGATGTCCCTCGATTCGTTAAGTGTTGATAGTCTTATTATAAGTTAATGTATATACTTAGTATCAGTGAAAAACTCGAAGAAAATCCAGATCAAAGAATACAGATATAGGCGATGATATTTTGTGTCTTAACTTATTTTCAGGCCATGTCATTCTTTTTCTAGAAGTCTGATTATTCCCAGAGAATGTTCTTATCTGCGTCTTTTTTGTTGACATGCGAATGAAAGATAGAGGTGTTGAACGAATTGCATTTTCCAAAAAAAACATTTCATACCCACGATGTCCACGCAAATAAATGACCTGATTCCTTTCGTCGCGCGAAGTACTTGAATAAATTATAATAATGATATATGCTCGTATAAATATTTTCGTTCTGACAAGCGCATAACTAGCAGATATATAGATTTCCTTAATGCCACTGCTGGCCGCTAACAGTAATTGATGTAACTGCTGTAGGACATATCATTTTTCGGGTTAGTTATCATTGGTGAGAAAAGAAGGAGAGAGAGAGAGGGAGGGAGAGAAGAGAGTCAAGGGAAAGATGCTACTGTTGCGGTCTATAATTGTGGGAGGTTTTACCACTATTTATTACTCAATAGAAACACCAGAGAAAGAAAAAGAATAATTACATCGTCGACTAGTTCTCTAGATTTTTCTTCTGGGGTATAACATCAGTTGTTTATGTATATGCTCGTCAGATTTGCTATTTGGATGAATGAGGATAAAGAGAAAAAATTATTTATCTTAGTTAGACTAATGATAGACATGACTTGCACGGTATGTAGTACTTGTTTGTGTATATGTTAGAAAAAAAAAGACAGTCGTCTTTCTCGCATTTCGATAGAACTTCGCTTCGATCGTGCATTCAGTTCTATTCTCCGAGAATCAACTAAAGTGTGTAAGTAATTAATAGATTATATCGACAAGAGCCAAATTTCGAACTAAACCTTTTGTTTTTTCTCACAGATTAATAAATATTCGTTAATTATTATTTTGGACCTTGTCCTTTATATGTTATTACATCTCAAAGCCGTTACTATATTATATATATGTATACATACATGCACGCAGATATATACATAATGTATGTGTGAAGACCAAATTATGATCTATGAAAAGAAAGAAGCGTCCTCCAAGTGGAAGTGTTTATATTTGATATCTGTATGAGATGAACCATAGAATATTCTCGCTTTCTTTCTTTCTTTCCGAGATGAATCAACGAGATAGTTTAGGAAGAATTACATCATAAAAGGATATGCATATCAAAAAAGAATTCTCTTCGTGTAAGTAGCCCGAATGATTGAGTTAGGCTAAGCGCAGTTAATGTTCAGACGCGCGATGCGACAGTTTTGAAATAGAAGCAAAGTAAGTGACAACAATACTTTGGAAGCTTTTCTTTTACAAAACAAAAACATTAATGTTTGTTTAGCCATTCTTCATCATTAAATGTGTTTATATGCGTGTGGCAAGGAATGATTGATTTTGTTTTATTTTTTCAGATAACATTCTCTTAATCTTTTTCCAACTTTGTCGGTCCTAACTTTCCTGGGATGGACGCAAAAATCCTCACAGGAGTATTATTGTGTGTCTTTTTAATGACATGCATATCATTATCACAAGTAAATAGCATTTTCTTTTCTTAACGAAATAATTGATGATTCGATGACATTAGAGTGCTTCGAATGAGCTTGATTCAAGGTTGCGGTTTCGACGACAAGCTGTAGACGGTAAGCTAATGTCATATGAATGCTCATAGCTTCTCTTTCTCTCTCTCTCTACTTAATCAATCATCTGTTGCGATTTCTTTCGATAATTAACTCCTTAAATGCTTAATCTCTTGCTACTTGCTTTCTCCCGCTATTAGACGTGACTTGCCCAGAAGGAAAGAAACCTTGCAAAGATGATAATACAAAATGCGCTACATATTGCGATGCAAATCCTGAATGTGCTGATGTTTCGGATGAGCTTGATTGCGGTAAGTATCATTATGATATGTCATCAGAGAGAGAAAAAAAACAGAGACCAATTAATCTATTCATCTTCAGCAACTAGCGCTTCTGCAACAATTGAAAATGAAAATGATCGCGTGAATGCCCCGCAAGTCACGACCGATCTTGCTGAAGCTACGCTACCACAAATCTCAATATTCGATCAGCAAACGAATCCGTCAGGTGTGATGACGAAATGTTGAGAAAGATTTAAATTTGCATGGAATCTTTTGCTGAGTGAAATCTAGAGATAGTTGCTTGCGTTTGCTTGCTGTTTCTTTTCTTTCTATTTCTGTTTAGTAAGAATAGAAACTTAACAAATGTTTGCTTTTTATTTTAGCTGCCACAGGTGCCACTACTAGCGGTAAGAATAATTCTTTGATCTTTTGTTTTCTTCCAAATCTTAAACTCAGCTGTTTCTTTCATAATGCTTAAAATCGAACTTTCTTGCTTCTTCTTTACTAATGAATAAATACACATGCACACTCATAAACTCTATAGCCGACGGTAATGCAGTTACCACTGGATTAGATGCTGATGCAGCAACAGTCATACTTCCTGACGGTACAACAATTGTTTTGCCACCTGGAACTACGGCCACGATTAATGCTGCTGATGATTCTGCAACAACAGCTGCCGATGCAGATTCTGCAGCAACAGCTGCCGATGGAGATTCTGCGACAACGGTTGCCGATGCTGATTCTGCGACTGCTGCTGGTACCGCAGCAACAGTGGTCGATGGTGGTTCGGAAACATCGACCATCATCATTGTCGACAATGGCACTGATGTATTCACAACAATTCAACCTGGGAATGGTCATGCTACAGATGAAGCAGCGAATGACACTAGTGCTGATGCTACAAAGATTTCTGATGTGACTGCACTTGATTTAACTACAGTGGATTCAAATGTAACCGATATTGCTGATGTCAGGGAAACGACTCAAAGTTTGGACCGAAAAACTTGGGGAACAACCATAGGTACCAATCGTATGAACCCGATTTTGAATTCCATGGTTTGTGCACGAACAACATCTCAAGAATGATCCAATGGTTTCTCCACATTTTGCTTGTCTCTTCCTCTCTTTTTTTCTCTTCTGCCTTGAATGCATGTGTTCGTTTCTATCCTCCCTCTCTCTCTTTTGGTTTAATTCTTACAACGTTCAAATTGCTAAAGATGTCATTTTCTCTTTTAGATGCTGATGAATTCGATGGTAAGTTTCAACAATTGTTGTGTCTTTTTCTGTTTGAATATGCATGTGTTTGACAAATATATCTATATGTGTGTCTGTTTGTGCATGACAGCAGGCTATGATGACGAGGGCGAAGACGAAAAGCCAGCTGAGCAATCGACTGCAGTACCCGAAAACGGTGCTGATGAAGAAGATGATCCTGTTCCAGATGAACCTGCAAAGATATCCACTACAACACCAAAACCAAGTCGAGCACCTCCGTCAGGTTCCTCAGACGACGTTGAATATTATGACGAGGAGGATGATGATGACGACGAGAAGTCTAAACCAGACTCTAAGCCATCGTCAGATACCGATTCCGAAAGTGAGATTCATTCAAACATTACATGTCGCTCAGTATTTCGTAATCATACTTATTGCTTACTAATCAAGTAGCTTCTTTTTTTTACACAAATACATATGTCAGTTGATCGTATAATACATAGTTATACAAGTCCATATACGTTGAGCTGCATGTAAATTAGAATTGCATGATTCTTCTTCTTCTTCTTAGTATTATTTATCTTTGCTCATGGCTTGTTTTTATTTAGTTAAATCATATCTAATGATAAAATAACATGACTCGTTTTCCTTGATTTCTTAGGTAATGGAACACGAGGCAATGATACCGAGGGTATGTGTAACTAGTGGAAAGAAAAGAAGAAGAAAGGAATACATTTTTTTGTGTTTTCATAGATGCAACTGTTCCATCAGGTGTTCAACCAGGACCAGGTGGTCGTGTTGAACTTCGTGTTGTTGTCAGCCCTGATGTTATTCAAGTTCGACGTGGCCAAACAGTTGAATTGACTTGCACAGTCTATGGTGGTGACCAAAATACAAACATCTACTGGATTCAAGACGAACCCGAACGCGTAAGTTAGACAAGAAGAATTCGTTTGTTCTGCTAATTGAATTTGGCGTTTAAGCGCTATGCAATCATCGATGCTGCTAGCCCAGGCGATAAACAAGTCACAGCCTCTCAAGTTATTTTACGTTCACGCATCACACTTGACGATCCATCTAAAATCGGCAAATACACATGTCAGGCACAAGATGCTGCCCAAAATACAGGTTCAGCTTCTGTTACCATGCAAGAAGGTTCCGGTGGTTACTATCCAGGCCCAGTTGGCCCTGCACCTGGACGTAAGTCGAACAACTGATTATCTTTGAAGACCGTAAGGCTGTTCTTCTAGCGAGTGCTAGTCGCGGTTATTTACGTATTGTTGCACCCGATATGCAAGAAGGTGATTATGTCGAAATTCACTGCGAAGGTGCAGCACCAGAAGATGAAGGTCGTATTGAATGGTATTTCAATAATAAAGTACGTATTCATTTTCGATTTTTTTTCTGTTAATAATATCGAAAAGACGGAATGAAAGACTTCAATTAGCTGACTGATATTAATTTTTATCTTTTTTCCTTATGTTATTAGTTACTTGAATCAGCGGTAAGTTTCCGATCGCTTTTGATTCTACTCGATTCATTAGTATCAAACGTAACTTCTAATTTTAATTTCGTTTTTCGTTTCTAATGAAAAGGAGTCTGATTCATCAGATGTAAGTTAACTAATCACATGATTAAGCTACATATCAATTCTTCTAATGCTTAGCATTCTTCTTTCATCTATCTACATAAGCTAATTAAATATTGTCTTCTAGCCTGTTGGAAGCGAACAACCGTTATTCCCACGTGGCAAAACTCTTCACATTCGTCCCATTTCTCGACCTTTCTTGGGCAACTACCGCTGTACCATTCCGGGCAGTGGCTATGCTGATGCTAATAGTGTCTTAACATTTGCCGGTAATTTATCCATGATCGTAATCTTCTTTTAAATTCTAATCATGCTCATTTAGGACAAGGCGGTGCTCCAGCTCCACAACCAAGTAAGTTGTACTAATGTCTGATTTTTGTTTCTAAAAATTGCACTTTGTTCAGTTGCACCATCGGGCCGATGCAATATCGATGAAGCCACTTGCCGAAATGGCCGATGTATTCCACGTGCCTATCTTTGCGATGGTAAAAACGATTGCGGAGACAACAGTGATGAATCCTGTTCACGTAAGTTGAATGATAACGTAGAAAAGTGTCAATGTTTGAATGTTTCTATTTATGTAGAACCTAGTGGAAGTGGTAAGAAATTCTATGTTGCTTTTCGCTATCATTGAAAGGCAGTTCTAAACCGCTATAAATGCACATGAGAGGGGAAAATTGATAATCATGAGACAATCAAAACCGCTATACTCCACCTTGCTTATTTTTAACGACTTGGATATTTTATAAATAGAAGCTAATCTTTCGCGGGAATCTTTTAGGTACGGATGTGTGTCAACCCAATGAAATTCGTTGTTCGGACGCTAGCCGTGGACGTAAATGCGTTCAGAAATTCTGGATGTGCGATGGTGATCGGTAGGAGATTTGACTGATGAAATTGTAAGTCATTACTGATTTGATTGATTTCAGCGATTGTGATGATGGTAGTGATGAACAAAACCACTATTGCGGTATGTTGATACGGTCGAAGTTTTACATGATTGATTACACACCTTTTTATTACTGTAGAATTACTTCCTGTACAAGCTCGCTGTAAACCAAGCGAATTTCAATGCGCAAGTGTCAATGGCACGTATGGAAATCCCGTGTGTATTCCACGATCATTTCAATGTGATGGCTACAATGATTGCCCTGATCGTTCAGACGAAATCGGTTGCAGTAAGTTCAATTTCCATTGATATAATTCTATTAATATCCTTATCTGAAATTTTAAGCTAAACCAACGGTGATTTCACCACCACAAAGACAAATTCAAATCAATGCCGGCGAAACGTTAACTATTCAATGTACTGCTCGTGGTTCGCCAGCACCATACATCAATTGGCGTCTCAATTGGGGACACATCTGCGGTGACGGCTCAGACAATGGACGATGTACAATGGCACAATCATTAGATCCCAATGATCCAAGCCTTGTTACTGGTACGCTTACAGTTCGTAATTGCAATGCCAACGATGGTGGTGCGTACTCATGCGAAGCCCTCAACAACCAAGGCTTCATCTTTGCTATTCCCGACGCCATTGTCAATGTCATCATTGGTTTGTAGAGTTTTATTTTGACAAATCAGAAACACTTGTACTAAGAAAATGTTTCTATTCTTCTTTTAATTAGATGGACGAGTACCACAACCTCAACCATGCAATTGTCATGGCCATTCAACAACTTGTTCAGCAGATGGTCGATGTCTGGTATGTTACTATTCGTATAGATACTCTGCTATCATATGAACATTTTCGTTCTCCTAGAACTGCCTACACAATACTGCTGGTTATAATTGTGAACATTGTGCTCCAGGCTATCAAGGTGATGCACGCCGTGGTACACCACAAGATTGTCAATACATCGCACCAGTTCCCATCGGAAGTGAGTGTTTCAGTTCAACCCATCCGTACATGTAGTTTACAACGCTTGATGTTCGAATAGATTGCGATCCTTCGGGCACACACACGGAACGTAATGGACGCTGTATTTGTAAATACAATGTTGAAGGTGATCGATGCGATCGATGCAAACATAATAATTTCTATTTGAATCCTATATCACCAAATGGTTGCTTACCATGCTTCTGCTCAGGTGTTTCAAGTGAATGTCGGTCATCAGACTGGAGACGACAAGCTGTATGTTTATTTGTTTTTATTTGCAAATCTT